GATTATTATCATCACTTATCCCGCCTGCACAACTGTTCCCTTCCCTCATTGTGTTTGCAGCAGCAGCGATCGTGACTCAGGTTGTTCATGAATCAGTGGCAAGGTCAGGGTTTATATTTAGAAAGTCGCGTCCAGTTCTATTTATTTACAGAGTCCTTTAAAAGTTGCAGGTTTGTCACAAAGGATGCATGTCTTTTCCACCTAGGGGGTCACAGTGTGATACACTACACTGCCGAGCTGCTTTGTGCGGAAAGGATGCATAACATCAGCTGATGTGTTTGCTGACAAGATTTTGTACAGAGGCTCAAGGTCCTTCAGTAGCAGGGGACAGAATAAACATTTTCTAAACCCAGGGACTTCTAAGACTTCAAGGAGATCTAAAAACTCTCCAGTCTTTTATTGGAACTATGAACTAATTTGGTGTCTTGAACGCTTGTCTGGAGGAACTTTTCCTAATCGCTGTCACGATAAGGCAAAAACAAAAGGGAGGACCTACATGCAGACTCAAAGATCTATTAAAGCACAAACAAAAGGTAAAACTCCAACAAAAACTTACTTTAAAAATCCAAAATCTAAATGCAAATCCAAAGAACAAAACACTAGTGGGTGCTTTTAAGACTGTTTGAAACAGTAACAGAGCAAAAACTGGACAATCACAGTCTCCACGATACTAACCATTTACCGGCGTCTGTTTTCAGGCCCAAATCCTGGCAGAGCTTTCTCTATCGCTCGAAGGATGACCCAATGTTTTCTCGAGTTAGATTCCTCGCTTGATCACATTTCCTCTTGTATCTGCGCTTTCTTCTGTCGGCGTGCATTTTCTTCGCACTTTTGGCGGTGGGCCGAGCAGAAGAATTTAGTTGCGTCCTTCTCCATCACAGCTCCTGTAGCTAAGCTGCTATGCTACTTTTAGCTGCTCAGAGCTCTGAGGAGGGCCGAGTCGGAACTACGGGAGAGGGGTGTGTTGAATACAGCGAGGTGATTGGATGGAGAGGTGGAGCAGGCGGTTGACCAATAGGAGCTGTCCCCAATGGATGGCTCCCATTGGTTGATGTTTTTGCAGGTCTGCACCTGCTAGGGTGAACGGATTTTTTCCATTCTTTCTTCTCTTCACTTTGTGGAAATCGCACTATAGGACCATGATCGCCATATAAACGAGGTTCATAATAATTACCAATCTCTCCAATCGTCAACCATGTCTTTAAAAGCAAAAACAAAAATAGGAGTTTAGTCACAGACATACATTCATATCAAGGCACCACTCAAACTAAACTTGAAGACAAACGAAAAGTAACAAGGTGTTGCTTGCGCTGGTTTGCTAAATATAGCATCCAATCTTCATCAGATTGTAAGTAAGCTACATGAAAAAAGACTAGCTCCAATAGGCTACATGCAGTACAGGTTTAAGATATCCTAGCTCACACATCTCCTTTCAAACTCAGTTACATTTAAAAACCCAGTCACACACAGCAGACATACAGCTCTCAGCATGGCCTCCGATAGCCTCTATTTTTTGTTGTGTTGCAGAAGTGACATTGCTTGAACTGCTGTCAGACAGCTTATGTCACTTGAAGGTAATATCACAGTCTGAATGCAGAAAAAAAGTCCCCATGGTGCATAGTTTTCAGGAAGTTCTCAGACAGTTCCATGGTGGAGAGTACACCTTCAAAAAGTCCCAGAACTGTTTAGACCAAAAACACCTGATAATTCAAAGTATATCCCATGTTTTAACCACAAGTCTACTGCTAATACTCAAACCCTCTTGAACGATGGCTTGTAATGCATTCACTGTATGGCATTAGTGGTGCAGGAGATCACAACTGACTCATGATCAGTACAGACCACCTCAAAGCTTGAGACCACATGATAAAATTTGTGATCTTGGTGGAAGATAAATGTGCTGCCTCTGAATCCTGATTCAGGGCTGCAGTAAAAGACAACCCAGAAAGTGGTGCTTCACTCTGAAGGCCGCTCATAAAATACATGAACACAAAAATTTCAAAATAAATGAGAAAATCAGCTTCAACACTGCCGTGAAGCTGAGTAAGGTTGGATACTCTGTCATCTCTTCTGTTCAATGTTAGGCAACTTCACTGTCCAGCCTAGTTTTGTGAATAATACTGAATACTGAATATTTTACCGTGTGCAGATGCTTGATTCATTGAGTGTCCACCAAACTATAAAAGAGCCTTTGATTAGTTATGCCACATTATTTAGGATTTATCAAATACAAGGACAGAACTTGTCATTTCATATCATGTTTGTCCTCAGGAGGGAGTAAAAATTACAGAAATTACAGCTCTAGAAAAACTGGAGAAAGAGGCTTTAAATAAGAAACTATAGATTCTGGTGGAATAATCTATTTAAAATGTAGTTTTGAAAAGACTATACCTCAACGATGATGTATTTACAGTATGAAAGCATGAAAAAGTGGGAACAAACTAACCCCTGACACAGTGCCAGTCTCTTTCTCCGGATAGTTCCCTGTACATTGCTGCACCCTAGCGGTATAAGGAAGAACTGCAGCCTCTTCTCTCCCTGACGATTCATCATCAGTGTGTCCTCGTTTCATCATAATTAGATTACTCATCGATATCGACTGTGCTTTGTTTTGGCTGTTACAAAGAGGCGATGTGAACAGGAAATGATGATGCTAAACACACTCCAGAGGACGATCAATACGGACCCAAACTCTGCTGCCAATTTGGAAACATCACACACAGAAAGTCAAAAGCTCTGCGGTATATTTATAGATGATGTATTTAAGTAACAATACTCTCATTTGTCTTCATTTCACCTTAACAGAGAGCCCTGCAGACAGAGAGGAGGCTTACTTTAGTTTCTTTTAAGGGCTGCTTCATTCTCTGACTCCACACTGACTGTGCACATCAATTAACTCCAGAAAAACTCACTGTGGATATTTGAGATCTGGAAAACACCAATTTATGTTATAATCTGAGTTTATGTCCATCATATGTTCACACAGTTTTAGGGGAAGGGGCATCTAAAGAGACAGACAGTCAACAAAAACTTTTTTTCTTGACTAGAATTTTGTTTGAAGCATTTCCTAAATTGAGAGTATCTTTCATAACACACTAACACTATCTCTATAACGCATTATAAATATATGTATAATGCATTATAATCATGTTATAGCACTGTATAACTAGTCATAAGCACTCTTTTATGATCACAAATCTTTATAGCAATAATCATAATGAAGCATTTTATCATGACTTACAAGATCAGGTATTATAATGTGTTATGCTTATTGTTACAAAGCATTATGATAATTAATGGGTGTTTATAATGATAGTTATACAAGTTTATAAGCACATTATAACACATCATAAATATATGTATAATGCATTATCTATGTGGGCATTGTCAGTGAGTTGTTCATTAAATGCTCTATAATGTGTCATGATTATTGCTATAAAGCATTATGATCATTTATGAGTGTTTATAACTATAGTTATACAGTGCTACAACATGATTATAATGCATTATAAATATATTTACAATGCGTTATAGAGATAGGCGTCAAGTAAAGAGTTACCTTTTTTCAATGTGATTTTTTACCTGGTGGCATCTGTTCACCCAATAAGGGATGGGTATCAAGACCCAGGAAAACAGGACAGTAGGGAAAGCAGTGACACAGTCAGGGGTCATCACAACTGAGATTTGAAAGGTATAGTTGGGCTGTCACTTTTTATCCAAAATTCAAACCTTCATTTGAACTCTGGGGATAAAGGTCATATTCAAGCTTTAATCAGCTGTCATAGCTCATAATAACACAGTACACAAGAGCATCAGATTGCCTGAAGAAGCTCACTTTGTGACCCAGCAGAGGGCGCTCTCATGGCAACCTGCATGATTGACAAATACAGCAATGTCAATCTACTACACTCTCTCTTGAATGAGTCCAAATGAATGAAAGCACTGAGAAATGAGCCTGATTGACAGTTTGAGCTTGTTGCGACTCATGAAATAAACCAGCGTGTGCATGTGTGTGGCTGGATGGTAAGCTGCTCTTTCTGGGTTTTTGGATGGTTGCCGAGCAGCAGGTTTTGGGTGTCTGTGGAGGAACAGAGCAGCACATGCCTGCAGGACATGCTTTTCCTCCGATCACACACACACTCACGTATAAACCAACACATGCACACAAACCTCTGCATAGAGTCTCCTGAAAACCGTGGCGCTTTGCCAAAAACAAAAACTGATCTGAAGAAAATGAAAATGAAGAGCATGAGGCTTAAACATACAAGTGTACAGTTTCACACCTTAGAAGTAATTGGCAGACTCACTAGCTCGCCCAGTGCAAATGTGCCAAACTCAACATTGACTTAAGATGATAATTCACAATTTTCTGGAGGTTGTGGGGAGTAATTAGCTGTTCTTGTCTGCTGCTGGCAATTTCGATATGAGCCATCATATTTCAGGGTAACTCTGGCTGTGTCCGAAATGGATCTCTAACCCCTATATAGGCGACTATATGGGGGTTAGCGCCATTTTAAAGGGTGTCCGAAACTTGAGTAATCAATTCTAATGCTCCATGTAGGCGACTCAAAATTTCCCATAAAGCATTGCAAAGTGTAGTGACCGGTGGTGGGCATCCCGTCATGCATTGCGTCTCCAGTGGCAATGCCACAACGGTAGTGTCCAAAACATCTGGTGATTGAGTTCACTACATAGTCAGCTATATAGTGAAACCCCATATGGGGGTTAGGGGTTAGGGATTCATTTCAGACACAGCCTCTGTCTTTCCAAAAACACTGTGACCTTTGACACCCTTGTGTTGCCTGATGATATTGCCAGTGTCTCCTACAGTCAGATCTGAACTCTTCTTAATCAAGCTCATTTGTGATGCGGTGACACCCTCGGCATCCTTTCTAAAGTTTCTCACTGACACATTTCCATCTCAACATGAAGATGTCCTCACCAGACAAGGTCAAGAACAGGTCATCGAGGGGACCAAACATGACATGAGACACATGTTGTAGAAGCCACAATGCAAAGTTTACAACATAGTGACAGATGAAACAACTACACTGTTCTTGCAACAGTTTGTGTGAATCAACAGGTGAGCAGAAATCTCTGCTGTTCACGTCTTAAAATGATTTTACATCCTCAACCTGTTATGTGACAATCTCTTGGTTCTCACTAGCTGCACATTGATAATGATGTTCTTACTTTTCCTGGATATATTCTGCTCCATTCTCACGTCGGCTCGTCTAGACTTAATGCAGATGTTTGCAGGAAAAAGTCAAGAACTAGTATCACTTTATTTTTCATTTCTTAAAAATGATAACAAAAAAGTTGAATGTATCTTTATGGAAATATGTAAAATGTTACAGGCTTAAATTTTACAGATGCATCTTCGCAGAGCAGGCCTCCAGACAGCTGCTCTCCTCCTGCGATCTGATTGGAGGAGGAGTTATCTGCAGGTTTCAGGATGAGTCAAGCCTCCCGAGGCTCTGCTGAGTTTTCTGGGCTCGTCTGATTCTCTCCTCGAAAAAACTCTTCTGGTGCTGATTCCTTTGATCCAATCTGACCAGCCACTGCTCCCTCAGCCTGCAGAGAGAGAGAGAGAGAGGGAGACGGTGAAGGGACAGAAAAAGAGGAAGATAAATTAGGAGCTGGGCCAAGAGAAAAACCTCAGGCTCTGAATGCAAGAAGATAAAATAGGATTGTTGACTTTCATTTAGATACTGGATCTGTGAGTTTAAAGACTCCCAAATCAAAAGATCTGCACATTGATTTTGTCACTGTGCAATCAGATTTTCTAACTTTGTAATCTGCAGGACGTCAGAGAATCACATTTACCAATCTATCTTTGAGCACCTTAAAGCAATTGAAAAATACTTTTTTTAAGTGTCGGTGATGAAGCTGAATACTGCAGTTATAAAAATGTGCCTGAAACCCTCAATGGCTGCACAAAATTAAGACACTGATTAGCAGCACATTAAAGAAGTACACAAATGAGTGCGCAGAGGTGATATGCAGAAAAACAAGCTCTACAGTTTTTCTGAGTTGGGATCCTGTCCTACATTTTTAACTGTGTGCATGTGCAAAAATAGGCTGTTCTCAAAAGCTTTTAAATTTCCATAAGGTAAGTTATGTTGCTACAACTTTTTACGTACAACAAATAATTACTGTCCTCTTTCAGTTTCCTCTTCTTTTACAGGCAACTCACAACTCACCCACTCTCTTCCAGCAGTTGCTTGTTTGTGGGGGAGCCCTGACAAGTTGATCACCGAGTGCGTTTGTTACTGAAGCTGGTATAACTAGAGAAGCAAGCAGTCGGCAACATTCATCTCTTGAGGGGGGTCTAACTCGGTGTTAGGGTGTGTTTGACCTTAACTTAATTGTACGTCAGAATATCCCTTTAAGATTAAGGCCAATGCAGAAGTGGGGAAAAAATGTAGTTCCTGAAGTGCCCACTTGAGGCTGTCTCCAGAATCTGCATTGGGTTCCCTGTTCAAATGCTCATAAGGCCAAAACAACCCTCCAGAAGCGCTAGTTAGTTTGTGCTTTCACTTTGTTTTGCCCTCAGCTAAAACCATGACGTTAGCCCTAAAAGGGTTAACCCGTACCCTAACCCTTGAGACAGGCTGTAAAGGCCCACCACGGCGCCACCTAAACGCCAGCTTCCAGATTAACCAGAAGTTAACTGAAGGCAGCATTTACAACCATCTTTGAGCATCACAAGCCCTCTTCAAAAACCGATGAGTGACAACAATAACAAATCAATCTATCAATCTTAACTAATATACAGTTGCACCACTTCACAACAAAATACAAAGACAATTTATGAAAAGAGCTTGTCTAGACCATATTCCACATGACCCCAAATCAAGATAGGATAAGATTAAGTCTCATCTTCAAACAAGACAAAATTTTATCTCATCTCAATCCAGCATGTAAGAAAAAGTTTACAGCATTTAGCAGGTTACAGTGGAACCGAAAAACTTCCTTTAACAGGCAGGAACATCAAGCAGAACCAGACTTATGATGTACAGTCATCTACCACTTCAGTGTTGGGATTGAAGAGGACATGTAACATATGTTTAAAATAAGTAATAATTTTTTTACAGATTTCATTTAATCCGATCTGTATTCAGTTTTGGGAAGTCAGAGCTCTTTAGTCAGAACATCCTGAGGCCAGTATTTAGTCTGACACCGTAACTCCTGGGCTTAAATTAATCGTGCAGACATCCAGTGAAAGTTGATCCGCAGTCTGAGCTGTCAGGGCTAATAATTGTGTTAGAATATATACGAGGGGCAGCATGTGTGTGTGTGTGTTGGCTGTGAAAGGATTAATATTATTGTGTCTGTGTTAGTGAGTTCGTCTGTCAGCACACTCTGTCATGTGTGCTTAATCTGCTCGTCTGTCTGCAGATATTCACGCTGATCTCCAGGATCTACATGTGTAGTCGAGCTGCTTCTAATCAACATTCTCAGGCTCCTCATGCTGACAGACGGACGAGCTGCAAACATGACCACGGCGTTTTCCAATTTAATCAAGTTATACGGCAGAGACAGGCCGACCGAGTTGAAACTGTTTTCTGATCCTGAACATCAACCAACCCCCCAAAGTCATTCTCTTTGTTCGACTTTCTTCAAACTTTTCTCTAAATTTGAGTTCAGATCCCAAAGTTCCTTTAAAAATGTGAAATTCATCTGACAGAATTTTGTTGGGATGATTTCTGAATAATTCAAAAGGCACAAAGTTATTTCTGCATCCACTTGAGGAAAGTTTGCAAACTCGGAAAACTTGGAGGTTTTGGGTTTGAATGTGTTAACATCACTCAGTTTCATCGATTTGAAAAGACAACATGACAGTAAATCCATGACGCTGTCACCCAGACGAGGGAAGCTTTATCCCGGTTACTTTTCAGCTTCTGGTTATCCTCATTACCACGCATATTTTCAGCTTTCTCCAGTCATGTTTCTCCTCATTATATGGCAGATGGCGGAGTAGCGGGTTTTGTTAAGAGTTGAAGCAGAGGCCATATGGGTAAAAGATGTAAACCTGTACATTTGCCTCCAAAGTCATTATAAAGTTAATCTGAATAGCAGATCTCTGGAAAGCAACATCCTAAAGCACAAATGCATCTATTTTGGTGATTGACCCCTTTTTGCTCAATGTCTTCATACATTTGATGCCATTTAAGAAATAATCCCTCATAGGTTGGCCACCTCAGACTACCTTAATTTATACAGCAGTTATTGGTCTCCTGCCACACTATCTATCAGTGCGTTTAGATGTTCAAAAAACCCAAGATAGTCTGACTAAAACTGGACTTTTAAAATACATGTACAATCTGACTGAAATCACAGGAAGTAGATTGGTTCTTGGGAAAGGACAGATATCCTGCTGTGGTTAAACACTGGAAGAATTATGAATATAAAGCCCAGAGAAGTGAGGAAGTTTATGTAAAATCACCTCAAATGAACTGAATTCAGTCAAGCTTTTGCCTTTTTACTCTGATAACAAACAGATCTCACATCTGCACGAAAGTTAGGATGTGCCTAAACCAGATCAGCACATCTGATTCTTAACAGTGATAGATTTTAGATGGAGTGAGACCTCCTTTGAGTGTTTTGCTGACCGTGACAGAGAGCTGCTCCTCATGCGGTTCTCCTCCTCGTCCATTGACTCAGTGTGCTGAACGATCCTCTGCTCCCAGAACGACCTGAGCTTCTGTTTGTCGTGAATCCGAGCAACATTCATCACCTAGAAACAGGAAACACAGATTCACATGCTGAAGAAGAGAGGAAGATAAATCCTTGTTGATAAAAAGAAGAACTTACAGCTGGTTTTGATTCCTTCTCTCGTCTTCTTTCAGTCTCCAATCACACTTGTCAGTTTTTCCTCATATTTCTCCTTTTTTCCTCTTATGCTTCCTCCCCCTTCTTCTCTCTTTCCTTTGTTACATCCCTTTATCATGTCTTCCTCTCTTAGTTCCCCTCTCTTGTATGTCCTCTTTCAGCTCCTCCCCTCCTCTCCACCTTTCTATTTTACAGTCTCCTCATTTTTCTCTCTCACTTTCCCCACTTTATACCTCCTCATATCCCCTCTCAACTTTTCCTTTAACAGAGTTTATCGCTCCATACCCTCTCTCGCACGTCCTCTCATCCCTCAGTAAATTATGTTTTTATGTCTCGACTGTCTCTGCCTTCGCTTCCTCTACTCTTCACTGAAGTGTCTCTTTCTGAGATTTTCCTCTTCTCTTGCACTCTGTCTTTTCAGCTTATCTTTACCTCATTTTGCTCTTTGGAGTCACTTTTTGTTCGGTGGAGTTCTGTTTTGGAGATAGTCATCCTAAAAGTGGATATTCAGAAGCTTTTCAATGTGTTTTTGTTTCTCTATAATGCAGCAAAGTTGACAGTTTACATGAATCTCAGCTCAGGAGGTCAAACTGATTTCTGTTCCTCCTCTTAGAAAGATAAGAGGCTTTTATATTGGTGCGTGCAAAGTGCATCGTGACTTGATTTGTATATTTGTTCTTTGCGACACTGAAAATAGTGTTTGAGGTTCGTGCACATGGACACCGAGCATCACGTCATTGCTATGAAGTTAGATAATATTACAGTCGGAGTGTATTAGTACCTCAGGGAACACACACATTTCATGTTTGTTTCTGCTGCGATTAACCTCCAGCTTAACTGCAACAGCTGTGATGATAATGAGAGAGAGAGAGAGTGGGGTAATGTAGATGAGTGGGCCTCTGGAAAGCAGACATCATGATGGCAAATGACTGCAGAAACATGTTATCAGGTTCTTGCTGCTGACGCTCATCCCAAACATCTCTATTTCCTGATGGTGTCTCACCTGTTCAGGGTGTGTGAATTCTGCATACCGTTACCGTGAAGGCCTCCAGCATAAGTGTGTCATCATCCTTTTTTCGCTTAGTAATGCTTCCACGGTGGGGGCACTGGCATCCAAAGTGTCGCCTTTTTCTGGCCGTGACCCATCACTGGCGTTTGACTCCTCTGATGTTGGTGATGAGTCTGTTCAAAAGAAAGAGGAGAACATTATTTAGCATTTGAAGGCAATTAGGATGCATGCAAACTAGGGATGGGCGATATATTATCGTTAGAAAAATCCTCCATGATAAGTATGATGTATGCAAGTTGATGATGTAAGCGCGAGCAACGTACTCGCAGCCATAGCCCACACAGAGCAGAATAACAAACAAACATGGCCGAAAGAAGACGTTTCTGAGCAGCTCGTTACTGAATGAAGCCATAACCTTCCACTCAAACTTGTGGTTAAGTATTTTATTTGACGATTCCCAGCAGTGTTCTCAAGACAAAATGAATCAAAAATATACTGTAGATTGGAATTATAATATTTTTTTATCAGGACTTTTATCGTTATCGACAGAATGGCAAATCTTATCATGATAGATTAATCCATCACTGCTCACCATCAACTCACTGCTGAGTTTGAGCCTGATTATTGGGTTTATCGTGTCATACCACTAAAACTGTCTTTTTTGTCCACTGAGCGGCCAGATTTTTGCAGCATGTTCCAGGGACTGGATCTGCAGCTTCTTCATCGTATCCCAACATCTTTTAATTTTCACATAGACAGTTTTGAATTTTGTCACACAACTTTGAGTTTTTATTCAGTTTATCCATGTGGAGAGTCATATGTGAATGTTTAATAAATATTTGTGACACCCAGCACACCTGGAGGCCTGGAGCACGTGGGTTGTGACTGAATTTGCTGAATTTTCCTTTTGCATGTGTTTGTGTGCTTTTGAACTTGTATTCTCATCTACAGTATACATCACATTTGATGCTATCAGCATCATTGCTGGTTCAAGTCTGCTTGAACCAATCATGTGTCTGCACAGGAAACCTGGAGCGTGGTTGTCTCAGACGTTCGTTTTCAGCAGAAGAATAGTTCGTACATAAAGCTGTTTTAACATCTCCACTCCACAGAGTTGTGCAAGAAAGAAATCCAGTGAATCTGACGAGTGTTTTGAGTACAGGAAGAGAGAGAAATATTTCAATAAAAAAGAAGAGATAAAAATACAATATACAGCCTCACTGGGCTAAATAGTAAAAAATCCCATTATAATGTCTAAAATACAAGTTATCACAGTTTTAAATCGTGTCAGAGAGGGTCTTGACCTCTACACTAATGCTTTATATATGAATAAATATCTAAATGGAGTCTGATCCTACAGTGTCCAGTTATGTTTGAATCAGGAGAAAACGACTTTTTCTTTTTGACATTTTCCTTTTTATGATCCGTCAGTCTATTAAAAACAGCACCGAGGGGAGTCAATGTGACATTTCTGCAATTACTCTTTAGATACAAGCCTTTATTATGTGTTCTGTGCTTTACTGTATATATCACTATGATCTGTGACCTTAGTTTCAGTTACACACACACACACACACACACACACACACGCTGGGAGCATAACGACAACTAAGCTGTGGTTAAGATCCTGGTGCCATTTCGTTAAGCCATGACATCTGTGTGTGTCTCTATGTACAGTAGTGTGTGCGTGTGCGTGCATGCCTCTGTGTGTGTGTGTGTGTGTGTGTGTGTGTGTGTGTGTGTGTGTGTGTGTGTGTGTGTGTGTGTGTGTGTGTGTGTGTGTGTGTGTGTGTGTGTGTGCGTGTTTCTCTGTTTATGTATATCATAAACCAGCTGTTGACAGATGAAAACAAACAGAGAAATTAAACCCTTCTTACACTCTCTGACCTGATGATGATGTTCAGTCACATGAATGGATCATCCTGGTGTCGGTTCATTTCTATAACAGTCAGACTCTTTTCTTATCAACAGTCATGGGTGGTGATGTGATGTTACGCTCATAAACATCAGTTTTATCTCAGGTAATTTGAGTTTGACCCAAAGTAGAGGTCAGGAATTTACAAAAGAGGATTAGGGGCACAAGAAGAGAAAAAAATATTTACAAAAGGGAGATTTTTTTAAATTTCCATTTTAAGATTAAAGTCAAAATTTCAAAAATGTTGAGATTTAAAAAACAAAATTACGTGCATAAAATTGAGATTTCAACTTCACTCTCAAAGTTTTAATCTTTTTAATCTCAAATTTTTTTCTACATTATTCACAACATTCTGACAGATTGTAATCTTAAAATTTTGACTTAATTGACATAATTGAAATAATTTCAATTTTTTAATCTCGAAATTTCAACTTTAATCTTGAAATTTCAACTTTAATCTCAAAATTCCGACTTTAATCTTGAAATTTTGACTTAAATCTCCTTCCAGTAATTATCTTTTTTCTTTTCATGTTGCCCTAGTCCTCTTTTGTAGGTACTGGATATGCTGCTTTGTTCTGCATTGAATACAACAATAAGCCAACTTGAAAAGAAAACACAAAAACACTTCTCTCAGTCAAAGTTTCATCATTATTGCTTTACTGACCAGTCTCTAAAGGACAGTGAACGTTTGATACTAATTAACATAAGAAAGAACAAAACCAGATTTCTTTTAACACAAGTCATCATCACCTGGAGTGTGCATGTGTGCGTGTGTGTGTGTGTGTGTGTGTCACCACGAATAACATTTTAATGTTCATCATCATCCAGCCGCTGACAAAATCCCTCAACAGGAGAGTCAGATGGAAAGCATGACAAAACTTTGATATCACACACATACACACACAGACACGCACAGAAACATCACTGACTTGTTCAGATCCACCCAAACAGCTGATCAGCACGACACCATGATGCAAACTCTCATGCCGGGATTAAAACAGCTGACAGTAGCATGTGTGCTTTTCTCTGTGTGTATTAATAAATAGTATATTATTGAGAGGCCCCTCAGCTAGATTTACACGTTTTTATTTCAAGTCCACTCATGAAAATGGAGATTACCAACTGGCGTCATGTTTCGGCTAACAAAGACTTTATTCTGAGGATTTGCAAACTTTGTAAAGATGAGTTTGAGAGGTCTCCCTTCACCAGTCACAGAAGTTTAAGATTGATCTCCTTATTGATAACAGTTTGAAAAAAGGATAAAACAGAATACTTCCAGGGTGAACCTCAGAAAGCTGGAAACACAGAGTTCACTCACAATAAAGTCATTTCAGCGTAAAGTGTTTATTAGTTATTTTTTGTACCTTTGAACGGGTTGATTAGTCTGAATTTAGATTTTAGATGAAATAAAATTTGTGGTGTAGAAAAATCCCTCATTATTAGACCACAGTCCCAGTGAAGGAAGTGTGACATACAGCTGTAGCTGCATACAAACTTTGACTCATTTTCATGTAGTTTTCTGAAAACTGTCAGCTGCAGCATGTTCCTTTGGTTATAAGGCACACAATCACTCATTGTAGGGCGTTTGTTTTTTACCACATTTTAGGGGTACTGTGAGGTTAATACTCAGTTTGGATGGACAGGCTAGTTAGTTTGTGTCAATTTATGTTAATATGTCGTATTTGTTTGTTTGTTTTGTGTAATTTTGAATATTCTGTATGTATATTGCAGGCCAGTATGTTGAGTTTGTCAAGCCACAAAGGTTAGATTAGATCTTGGGTTAAACTCAGTCTCTCTTCTCTGTCCTGCAGCGGATGGATAAAGTTATAATCCAATGGCAGGATGTTTAATGTTTGTAGTCCTCTTTTCACTTCTGTTTCTTGTTTAGTGATTCTTCTGGAGCAGTGAATTAAGTCAAGAAAAGGGCTTATAAAGTTGGATCAAGCTGGTTTACATTTCCTCTTGTATTCACATCCTCTGTAATCCTTTTAAATCTGCTCCCGTCTCCTGCTGCTCCTCCTCTGTATCAACTCAGAAACTTCTCCACCTTCTGAAATCTCCTTTAAACTCTTTGGCATCTTATTCAGAAGCTCCACAAACACATTCAAGAGACACGGCGCAGGGGGAAACCTGCCTCGAAAGCTCCCCCTGCAGAGAGGCAGTAGATAGATTTAGAAGTCTATCCATGTTTCAGAGAAAGAAGAGAGATCTCAGCAGCAGCTCTGACAGGATCTAAAGGGAAATCACATTTTCCAGGTTTTCTGTTTCTGTTTGTTTGTCCAATCGGATCACTCTTCTCAAATAAGTAGTCATACAGGATTAGCTTAGCAACAAAGGAGGAATTCATGTCTAATAAGTTTGGGATTAAAGAGAGAAAATAACACTTTGCAGACAAAAGTAGTGATCTCCACCCTCCTCTTCTCCTATTCTTCCTTCTTTTTCATTTCATTAAAGCTTCTGCTTTGTTCCTCCCTTCAGGGGCAGGCTAACAAACAACAGAAAGTCACTAAGATGATTGATTTTTACAAGAATTTCACATAAAGTTAAGATGTAAAACTTGCACACAGCAGTCAGGGGCAATATCAGGAGAAGTCTTGAGCATTTTATGTCAAATTTCATTCAACATAAAAAAAACAGTGCAGAGCAGCAGAGAAATTCATCATTCTGTTTTCTCAGCATGTTTATATTCAAAGCTCAGGATTTAGTCACAGACATATATAGGTCTGACCGAGAATGTCACCCCTTTCAGATCGAGACAGAGCTTTTATTCTGAAGAGATGTACATGATGAATTTATATGGTGCAACAACCATATCTGAATATAAAAAATACATTCAACACTAAACATGGTTATTCTGCTAATAGAAGCCTTTATAGTTCGTTAACACATTAAAATGTATGTTCATGACTTACACACTGATGCCTTCTTAAAGTTTCTAAAAGCAGAAACACTGTGGATTATTTTCTTTTTGAAAAATGTAATTGCTATTTGCCAAAATAAAGGGGCACACCAAAATTCCACCTGCACCTGATAAACAGGCACAAGAAGTTTTGGGGCTGATGCAGGGGTTCACTTCAGGTGATCAGTTAAAGTTAGACCAGCAACATCTGAGTTCTGAGCATCAGATTGTGGGTTTAAGTGGATCCTGGGGCATAAAAGTTGGCACCGCGTGGGGGGAAAAGTGAGGCTGATTTTCAGAGTCTTTGACTGAGAGGGGAACGAAAATATAAGACATTTACAGAAGTACAGAAGTAAAAGACTGGATGCAATTCAGTTAAACCTAAATTAATGAAGGCAGCCCTGAAGAGATTTAACAGCTGATTTTGAAAAGAAACATTGAAGTCGAAGAGCGTCTCTGGAGGGGTCCTTGAATAAAAAACTGAATCCGCCAGAGACAGGAAGATAAACTGTTGGTCTCCATTTTTTGATCAGTTGTCCATTAATTTATGCTGCTGCCAGTGGTGTAGTCTGTTGTTGTTGTTTTTTTCGTCCCTCTAAATATTTTGGAAAGTACATCTTGACCTTTAGACCAGGTTATTGTTGATCTGACGTGTAAACACTTAATGCCTCCTTCAGCAACGCGTCTTTGCGCATGACCACCACATCTACTGGCTCTTATATGAGCGCAAGTTCATCTGCTATTTACACCCAGTGTGGAATCCGGGTGTAAACTGACGAGTGCCTCGGGTGCAAAATAACAACAACACTTCTGCTGTAGGCTACGCCAAAACACCTTATCTATGTCTGGGTCCACGATAGTGCCAAACATCGCTGTACACAATTTAATCATAAGCACAGCAGGTGGACCACGATTCATCCTGCACGAACACAACAGATTAAAATGTTTTTCTGACCTTAAACCAGGAAGGCTTGACTTCGATTGATTGCCGTCCTGACACTTTAGGAACAAAGTCCAACTTTAATCCATGATCTCAGTAATGGTACAGGATGTGTGTCTGCCATATATCCAAAAGTTAACAATGACAGGTCCTTTAAATTTCGTGACTGGTGAAGATGTTATATGATTTTAAAAAATGCAAATCACCTCACAGATAGTTATGAAGTTACGGTTACAGCTCTGGTTATTTTTGTGCAATTTTGAATGGGTATTCGGAGATTTGCGTACTTTTTTGTCAAATAAGTCAAACAAAAAAGTAAAGTCTTTCAGCCCCTAAGTCATGAATCTGTGTGTTTTGGTTTCTGTTGTCTCCCATATCATCTTTGCCCATGTTGATGACCTGTGGTGGACTCATTTCTAAAGGTGCACAACGTTATATTATTGCAGACAAACATCCTACCCAACACACTGTAAAAGGAAAGAGCTTAAAAGATGGGAGTTTTGCTTTTAAGGTTATTCCACACAACTTCATTTCTTGTAACTGTTTGCAACAGTTAATATCAGAGCTGTGAGCTGCAGCAGCCGTCAGACTGAGGGAGTGCAGACCAGCTGATGTGTTTGTTTAAGATAAGAAAGCAGCTGATTATCGATGTAAACCTCTGAGATAAGACAGAGCAGTGCTCCCACTGAAATTAACTTCAGATAACAAACAGAGAGGGATGGGGAAGCTTTAAGAAAAGGTTAAGTCTTTGCTTTTAATCTTCACTTTCAAACATTATCTCAGAATGTAGGACATTTTATTTTCGGGAGCGAAAAAATCCACTTTTGACTCGGCTTTTATGATGCGAATATGGGTTTTTCAGGGACAATCTCAAAACAGAAATACAGACATCTGAGAGAGAAAAAATCCTGGACAAGTTTTAATTCATGTTTGTACAGAAATGACAAAATGTGACAGCAGCTCAGTTTGTGCAAATAGACAAAAGACACAAAAACCGCATCTTCTTTACAAAAAAAAAAATCACAAAGCTACAGATCTTTAAAGAACGAGAAAATCTTTTCATAGAAATCTTATGTACACTTTCCTTCACATTACATTTGTTCATCCTTTTATCAGACACACAGACGACACGGCCTTCCACTGGAAGGATAAGTTCACTCGAGCTGAGACTCAGAGTCTGGATCATGTTTACTGCTGGTTTTTGGAGACTGAAAAAAAAATCATCTTATTATCAGTAAGTCCCTTTTTTTAAAGACTGAAATGAACTAAATAAAATAACCAGCTAGAGGAGTCATTTAAGTTCAAGTTTTGCACATCCAAACGGAAAAGTGGAATAAAGGATGAAAGGCTGTAGAGATAAATCCTGCTGTTTGTTCAATGCAATCACTGAAATTTTCTGTAAAGTTGAAACAAGCAGGTTAACTTAGAAAGTATCAAACTGCAAAAATAGTTTGTGTCCTTTCTAACAAACCTCTTATTTCTGGAGTTTTCTAAGTTTTACTCCCACTCACTGCAGCATCTGGACAGAGTAAAATAAATATTTTAAAAAGGTAAAGACTGTTCAGAATGAGTTTAGAAAACAATCCTATGTCTTCACGAAGCAGCTTGAGAAGTGTTGTTCAGTCCACAGCTCACTGTCTAACATGGAGTTTGCAGGAAGACATCAGAGGAGGAGGAGGAGAAGGAGAGGAAGAAGCAGCGTCAGATAAAGACAGCAGCTGGTCTGAACAGCTCGGACGGCAGACGAACGATACCAGCGCACCTCTTCAGAGTCATCTGGAAGAAGAAAGAGATAAAAAAAAAAAACCATCAATCAGTTTCCAGTGCTTGTCTCTGCTATTACTTTACCCTTTTCATGTAACAACTTTTGAATCTGATCAGCTAATTTTTACAAACTCAGCATTAGTCTCAGAACAGCTAAGAGATTCTTTTTATATCGGCTATTCATAAAAAAACGTGCAGAATTAGCTTACAGTAGTTCACAACTGTAAATACATGATAAATGGTGCATCATTTGTGTCAGATATTTGCTCCATTTTAAGCACTGGTTAAGAATAAAAAATAAGAATAACTTTATTTACCACCTGAGGGAAATTCAGTTGTCTGTTGTCTCATTTGTCATGTCTTAAAAAGTCATCTACTATTTATGGAAGAGTTGTAAAGTCTGATGGCTGTGGATACAAAAGATTGGATGCTTATAAAGTTGTGCAGCTTTATATTGTCTGCTTTCTGTTCAGTCTGACTGTTAAGATGAGCTGCAACAACAAGAGTTTTAATAAGAATCCAGCTGGATGAAACAGAGGCCTTAATATCTGACAAGAAATACAACTATTTTGCATGTACATGATTTTACTTCATGTGCACAAGATAATGCACAAGAAGTATTATAATATTTGGGAGTTCAGGGGCCCTGCATAATGATTCTCCTCACAAACTCAGTAGAACATACAGTATGTGCAAATGTTCAATATCAGACAATCTGACAATCAGATTTAACCCCTGATTCTACAATTATATATATCTGATAGACATACAAACAGATATTATGGACAGAAAGTTGATTTACAGAACATCAAGAGGTTGATTTGTGAAATTAAAACCCTGAGGTGCAGCCACTGATAGATTTTACAGATTTTGCTGTGACGTTCATGAGTCAATATTTCAGCACATTAATGTAGTTTGAACTGTTTAAAGAGACGTTAGCAGCAAAGAGGTGTTATTCAGCTTCTGGTGAGAAAACTCTGTTATGTTGTGGTACAAAAGTAAAGGTGCAGCTTGTTTTATCAGTTTGGACTCAGAGCTTTAAATTGGTAATGAGGTAAGGGACCTCTTGACTGTCAGACTCACCAAGTCGTTCACACTCAGTGGGAGTGACCTGGGAGTGTCTCCTGTTTACTGACTTTAAAGTAGAAAATGTGTGAACGATGGGTTTTAAACAAAAGTTTGACTGCTGGGCGTCAACTGCTCGTCCAACTCTTGACACTTCCCTCCACTGCAGCAAATACATAGATAAGAACCACCAGCTGATGTGGAGATTTTCCATTTTCTAAGGAACAAACAGGAATAGAGTGTGGCTCAAGCTGTCCTTAAACGCACCTTCGCACACTCATTACATAAAGCTTCCTCTGTTTATGGCTCACAGTGTAAAGTCATCTGCTGAGTGATCACTGAGGACAATAAACTGATCCAGCAGATAGAGAAAAGGTGTCTGGTGTGTGTTAACCTTACCACAGTCTTTATGGAAGACGTGGGGGAAGCAGTGCAGGATGCCGTAACCACAGCGGCAGTATGAGCATCCTTTCTGAACCCACTCGCCGTGAGGGACCTGATTACAGTTCCTGCAGACAGACAGAATAACAATGTTTGAATTTATGTAAGACAGGTTTTTGATTAGTTAAAAATTTAGAGGGGAGGGATGCAGACGGGTTTTGTACCTGATGCGCTGGTCATACTCGCAGCTCCGTCCGGTAAAAAATGGAGGACAGGCGCAGAAGCTGCCGAGGATGCAGGTTCCTCCGTTTTTACAGCAGCTTCGACTCTGCTCAGCACCTTTAAGAAAAAAGAGACAAACATCAGAGCCACAAACCACAATTACTATTTACTATATTTTATTTAAAAACATTTCTTCCATACAAATAAGAGTCTCAATGGAAATGAAGACAACAGGTTTAGAACTGCTGCCGTGGATTCATCTCAGCCTGCAGCTCCAAAATGGGCCGACATGGCTGCAGCATCAAAATACATCTAATAAGGGTTCATCTAGGCTTCCCTTACATATGACAAACACCATGTATGTTTTCCAAACTACATGAGCTACAAACAAAGACTTGCACAAAGGCACCACTCAAAAGTTACTCCAAAAACAAACACTTTAACAATAAAGGAGATAAAAAATATGTATCTGTAAAGACAAGGGGAGACTGTGTTTGGAAGCAGAATACTGAAAAGCTGCTGTGAGGTTCTGACCGAATAAGAGCAACTGAGACCTCCTCAGGGCCCTCAGACCACAAGCTGAGAAACTCTGTATCTGCGCTGTATCTGTGAGATAAACCAGAGTCTCCATCTGGCAGCACATTCCTGTCGCCCTCTGCTTCACATCGACACACAAACAACGAGAGTCTGAACAAACATCTAAAAGTAGCAGAAAAACACCAAAACTGACCAACGACCCACTGAAAAACATCCCAAGAATTTTTATAAATTCAGAACCTTTTAGATCTGACTTTTTTCTGTTGGGTTCTTTTGTTATTCACTACTTCAATCTTGACGCTTTATATACAGTGTGTGCAGCCCTTGGATTGGAAATGCTTCTGCTCTAAAGACCTTTGACATTAAAAAAGTAGTTTATGTTTCTGTCCACAACCACATCACAAAGCAAGATGTAAGCTATAAAAAGCGTTGAGTTATATTTAGCAAATCTAGTGGCGTACAACGTTGCTTTTATACAACTACAAAATGGTCTTCTTCGTTGGTTTTCTCCTCTTGGTGCGCTCAGTGTTTTATAGTGAACTTACTCCCAGTGAGGCCGATGAAGGGCAGCACAGCGCTGGCGTCACGGTGTTTGCGGTCCCCACTGTTTTGTGAGTTCACCTCTGAGAACTGAGCCAGGAAATCCTGCGCGGGCTGCTGGGACTTCTCAACCACAGCGGACGAAGCAGAAGAAGATGAGGATGGTGATAAAGAGGAGGAGGAGGTCTGGCTGCGTTTGCACTGTTCTCCCTCACAGTCTGAAAAAAAAGAGAAAAGAGTCAGAGTTTGTGCAGGAACTTGCATCTATCCTGTCTTCAATCTCTGTAAGATAACTGAACATTTACCTCTCTCACATCTCTTTAGTAAACTTTTCTACACACAGGAAACTGTGGCAGGTTTGAATATGAAGATTTTAATCAAGTTTATATTCTACAGTGTTCTTTAGTGAATCTGTTTTGCTGCTGATGTTACTTCACATTAGGCCTACAGGGGTGAAGCTGTGCAAAAAGATGTCACTAATTTAAAATGATGCATATACATGTCTTTAATAGAGGCTGCAGCAGCGTTGCTAGTCCCCATATCTGAGGAAAAATTCTCTCTTCAGGCCTGCTCCTTAATCTTAAATAAACACATCTGGATTTAAAACCAACAATGCTTCTTTAACACGAGTTTGTGCACACAGAAAGTGATATTCAGGATGTGATTTATCCAAAATGTATTATGTGACATCTAGGTTAAGATCCTCATCTGGCCTCTAATACCCCACTCGCAATAGACGACTATTAGACATCTAGTTTTTTTACCTAATTTCAACCTCCTAGATTCTGTATATTTTCAGACAGAATTTAGACGTTGCACTTTAACCCATTATTTGATAACTATTGATTTCAAAAAGCAACTGTGAGCTGCAAAACTGATCTCTAAGTACTTAACTAAAATCATTTTGATAGTCTTTGAGCAATATACAGGGTAGAATAGACATAGTGTAGGGATCCTAGGAAGAATCTCGTTACTTTTTAAGCAGACTCCTGTAATATTGATTAAGTAAAATGAAACGTAATGTGTTCACAATTTTCATTTAACTTGATATACTTTTAAAGCTTCAGATGCAAAAGCTAAAGTTGAAGTAAAATGTGGGTGGGTTTGGAAACTGACCTGGAGCAGCAGGAGGAGCAGCAGCAACAGAGTGGAGACACATCACTGCACACAGAACCATCCTACATCCAAACACATGAACACCACATTAGGGATCGTTTAAAGCATTCAAAATAGAGGTACTCTGCAGAGATCTTCACTGCGCTCACCTGAGCAGCTGCGTCCACCTCATTTTACCGGATAGACGAGACAGTAATCCAAAACAGTCCAGAGGAGTAGACTTCAACTCTCAGATCAGTTTTTTAACAGGAAAAAAATAGCTCTCCTAAATATTTGAGAGACAAAAAAGCAGAATTCTGGGAAATTTACCCCAATAAGAAGCTGATAACTTTGTCTGCAACTGTAAAAAGTTTTGTTAAAGTCCCGGTGAGTCCTCAGTTTAGATCGATTTGATGTCTCTGGTCTCTAAAGAGAGGATCGGTCGTAAATCTTCCTGCTGCGTCTGTCCTCACTGTTGCTTCTCTGGAGTGTGTAAGACCTCTTGAACGCAGTTTCTGTTCCACAGGTAAAATCTCGGGCAGGGGGAGGGGCTCCTGAAGCCACGCCCACATCTGACCGCTCTCTGTTTCCGTCTGTCTGACATTATTTTTTGTGGAATCAACAATAATGGAAACTGACCACAACGATTACAGTGCGGCTGATAATGACCTAATGACCCTAATCTATAGGGGAACTCATTTGTGATGTGTATTCTAATAATATTGTCTTATTTTTGACTTTTGCACAGTTTTCACTGATAGTGTTATAGAACCTAATTTGGCCTGTCTGAAACTTGTTTTCTTCACTTCTTCACGTTTAAATAACATGATTCATAAACTTTTTAATACTTGGTGTCTAGAAAACTTGCTCTCCTTTCTTATTGACTATTTTGTTTAGTGTCTCTTTGGTATGGTGGCCCTGAAGGTCAACAACTGAAGGCCTTAACCATTTTACAAAACTAGTAAATACTTTGTATTCAGCTTGCAGTTCAGGAGATTATTATTTGACTGGTAAAATGTTGCGTTCCTGTAAAATTGTCTGATGTTTTCATGTGTTTTGTATACGCGTGTGTGTGTGTGTGTGTGTGTGTGTGTGTGTGTGTGTGTGTGTGTGTGTGTGTTTCATGCACATTTCTTGTTTTTTTTTGAATATTTTGTGCCATGTGAAATGTGATTGTACTTCATGAAATATTTATTGGTTTAATGCAATTAGAAGTTTTTTGGTCGGCATAAATTTCAGCTTTTAACATTCAACATATATTGAAGCTCACTTTTTGAACAACACTCTAATGTAAGAGTTTGTTTCTTCATTCATAAAGAAATTCAAAGTTCTGTTGTCAATGAAAATAAATATGTTATTGTCAGCAAGCTACTCTCATTGTATATATATAAATCGTACCTTTTCAACCCAATACTAAAACATGCAGAGAGTAACCCTTAAATGTCTCTTAAGACATTTAAAACTCATTGTGTAGATTGTGGCTCATTTATTGCGCAAATAACAATAACTAAATAATTAAAAAGCACAATCTACAAGCACAATAACATAGGATATCTTTTCATGTTGTTTTCTCATAAAAAGTCATAAAATGTCTCCCACTACCAGCTCAGGAGTTTAATCCTTTCAAACTTATCTGTAAAAAAGGGCAAAAAATCTCCCTTAAGACTTTTCCTCTGAATATGGGATGTTTTCGTCTGCTGAGAGCAGAGTCTCTTCCTCTCCCCCACTTTCTCACCTCCCTCCCCCTCCCTCTCTCTCTCTTTTCATACACATGAGGCCTGCAGTAACCTCACTTGCCCATCCAGCTTGGCCTTCACATGTTAATGACTCTTCTGCTGAGAGGAAGTCCACCTTTAAAGACCCTTCTTCTAAGCTGCAGACAACAAGAAACCCTCATTTGCATCAGCAATTTTCCATAACTACCACTTTAAACTTTGATTTTGGTTTGTGTTCAGTAAAATACCACCTTGTTTCAGTTATTTGTTAGACAGATAGAAATGTGAGTTTTTAAACGGTCTGGATGTTGTAGTTTGAATTTTTTATAAAGCAAATAAAATGAATGTAGTGATGTACTTTTACAGGCGCAGTGAGCAGGATTTAAAGACCTTTACAAAAACATAATTGGCAAAAATGAAATTCTATAAATCATTGCTAAATTTACATTTATAATCAGCAAAATATAGGATTTTGTATTTACACAGAAGCAGGTTCTTTTCTATGGACGTGGCCATCTTGAAACCTCATGTCTATACAGTAGCACAGAGAAGCCAAAGCAATTAGAAGAAGAAGAAGAAGAAGAAGAGAGTGGTTGTTCATGTGTATGAACATTTTTATGGTAAAATGACAAATATAGGACCATATCTATCATACATCAGAGGAGCTTCTTGTCCTCAAGTGCTCCAGGCACAAGTTAGGAAGAAAGTCCTTTATGTTGATTGCATTGTTAGCTATACAGGTGAGCTATAAAAACACGGGATGCAACAGTTTTTGCCTGTATGCACCTAAACAGCATGTCTTTAGGTTGGTTTTCTAGAGTTAAATCACATTACAGTTGAGATAAAATATAAGTTTAGAAGGGATTTCTATGGAACTCTTTTAGATTAAATAAATAGACCTAAATAACCACCAATAGGAGAGTACACCTGTCCCTGTCTTGCGACATCACTATGCAGTACTCAGACTTGTCTCACACATCTGTATGAGATAATGAGGATCTTTTTTCTTTGTTTTGAGTGTTTCAGTAACCAAAAAGAGAAATTTGTTTTATTGCCAAATGCAATATCAACGTTAAAACATTTGAATTTAAACCTTTCAGATCTGATATCACTTTATCCAGGTTGTCTTTCTCTAATTATTGCACTTCAAGATGTCCTGTAATTTCAACATCAGACCTTTTGTGAGCTTTTGTTTCCAGGAGATTGTTGCAAAAGATGCAAGTATCACTTTTAGTCTAGATCATTTTTGTTGTTTTTTACCTTTACTCACCATAATCTTTGTCGAATATCACTTCATTCCTTGATGCAATTGCTCATTTTACTTTTTTTTATAACTTAAAAGGGTGTGAATCATTTTGCCCCTCAGTCTCTTGAACCTTTTCAGGGTGTTTTTTTCTTTAAACTACAGATATAAATTCTCTGAGTGAGTGTGAAACTGTCTAATTTTTGCATGCAAAGTAACATCTACTAGCCTGATTCAGCTTCATCTTCTTTTTCTGGCTATCTGTACTTTTAACTTCTGACCTTGTTCGGAGTAAAACCAGGACCAAACCCTCCCCCCTCCACACACACCCTCAGCTCTCAGTTAATCTGGCTCTGCTTTGACCACACAGAGACATTCAAAAGGTGGAAATGGGTATTTTGTAATCTGTGCAGCATCACAATGTAGTCTGATCTCATGCTAATACACAGCAGGAGAGGCAGCAGCAGGAGGGGGAGCCTGAGGTGAGCACAGCAGATCATTAGCATGAGAAAAATCCCAGAGAGCTGAAGACTCTGAGAGGAAAAGGATGACACAGATAAACGACAGAGAGCCAGTCAGGCATTCAAAGAGAGAGTTTAAGTCTTTGGCTGCTAAATCACAGTATCAAATTTGTCCTCAAGTGAAAATATTCTGTTCTGACCTCAATGAACAGAGATAAATTCTTATAGAAATAGGAAATCAGAAAAGAGAAATGTATTTTCCCCTTGTTAATGCCATCTGTGAAACTCGCTCTACCAAACTGGCACATTAAACTGGCTCTGCAGTACGACCTACAAGAAAACACATGTACTCACTGACTCAGAGTCTCCCTCTAGTGGCTAGTATAGGAATAAAATCACTTCAAACCAGTGTGATGGGAGGACGCTTTATGGTTATGTCCCTGTGATTTTTTTTCTGGATATAAATGTCTGAATCTTTCAAATGTCATCCAGTAAAGCTCAAGCCAAAGGGGATAACTCCGGAAATAACTTATAAATACACACAGTTAAAAATCACACTAAAGCCCCTTTCATCATGTAAACAAAGTGATTTCATGATGATTTCAGAGCAAACGTGAGGATCTGTCCCTCCTTGCAGATCCCTGAAAGATTTGAGAACACTTCAGGAGAACACCGCCCGTACAATTTCCATAATGTTGTTGATGTTTTTCACACATGCCCCTCACGTTGTGAAGTCTTCCCCTTTGGGACAAGAGGGTGGGTGGGGTCTCAAGAGCTAGGACATTGTGTAAAAAGGGTGTTGTTGTGTTTACAATTGGGCTGTCAGCATAAAGGGGTAAACTGTGATGTGAGTACAGCCTTAAATGAAGATCTTTGTACCTAATGTTAGGGACTTATAAGCATCAATCAGTACTTTCCTGACTGGACCAAGCTCCTGCTTTGTGACCTTTTTTTGGTGGATGAATCACACCTGCCCTCCCTTACTGATCTCTGTGTGCTGCTGGCCTTGTTTGTCTCTTATGAAGTGGGGCATACACTGTGCAACTTGACACAATTTTGGAGTTGCACAACTGTTTTTGAAGTGAGGTTGGATTAAGACCGCTTGCACAATTGTTGTGCAGTGTGCAATTAGACACGAGAACCTATCGTGTTCAGATTAACTGCTTCTGAGCAGTCGGAGGAATTTCTGACATGTCAGAAATTTCAGTCTGTTGACTGCATCTGCTTGAATAACAAATGCAGAGCCGAAAAGCCAATTCCCAGACTTCAGGGTTGTTTTCCTGATTGTGTCCGCAAAAAAATGTCAGGAAGCATTTAAGAGCCCCATGAAACCATGCTGCAGGGTGTGGACAATCGATGTAGTCAGTTATAACCTGATGACTGAGCAATCAAACACAATCAACTACAAGAACGCCACATCTACATTTTCAGCTTTTGTTTACATGTCAGAAAGGTGATATTGTTCCTTATATACCGAGATAGTGTTAGATCAGACAGGCAACAAAGGCAACCTCAGCCAACAGTACATTATTCGACCTTAACTGCATCCATATCAGCTGACAGCTCAGTCAGTTACTCCCTATGCATCAAATGTTTGTTTCAACTGCTTCAGCCTGCTTACACTTTCTTCTTCCCCTGCGACCACTCTACTTTAGTCAAATGTTGTCACTAATGCCTGCTCTATTATGTACTTCACTGGGTCTTTGCTGATGCTCAGTCTGGCCTCTCTTTTCATGTACGCACACAAAAGAGAGGGAGGTGTGGTTTACAGTTCTGCGTCATGCCTTCACCTTACCAAGGTCTTTGCTGCCCATGTTGTCTTGAGCGCAGCATTCTTCTGCTCTATGTTCCCTGCTTGTTCGGTCACAGGAAACCATGGTGACTGATTCATAACATAAGTCTAATAAATGCTGTGCAGCAGAAGATCATGCTTTAAATATTGCAAATGTGAAAAGAAAGAGTGTATGTCCAACACAGACGCATAAATCAGGCTTCAGTATTCTTCATACTTGTTACTGTTACTTGTTGCATGCAAGTAACTCCTTTTGGCAGAGGTGGTCACGACTAAATCATCAAAGTTGAAGTTATGACAGCAAACGAAACATACGGTGAAATGATAACATGACTTTGTTCGACTTTTTGTCATCTAGACATTAAAGTTTTACTTGATTTGAAAATACAGATAAACCGTTTGCCTGCTGAACTTAAAATATTGACATACTGAGGAAATATTAGCTTCTACCAACAGCACTCTCATCTGGTTCACAAACTGAGCCTTGGTTTGTCGTTATATAGGACTGTTAGCCTGTTGATATGAGATATAAAACCAGCCAGCATTTCACAGCTTTTGGTTTGGACCGTGTCTGAAAACTAAGCAGTTGTCTTGTTGAGTACATGTCAGTGTGTGGCCGCAGGCTACAGCGTATGTCCAACACAGAAGCATAAATCAGGCTTCAGCATTCTCCTGTATTTGTTACTGTTACTTCTTGCATGCAAGTAACTCTTTTTGGCAGAGGTGGTCACGACTGAATCATCAAAGCTGCACCCTCTGACCTGACTCTCATGAACTTTGGCTGTACATCATGAATGATTTACCCGTACAGAGTTCACTTTCCACCACAACATCTGAAAAAGTCACACAGTGCATGCTGGGCCTAGAGAATACTGTTGTTCTGACTCTGAGTTTCAAGCTAAAGCACTTGTCTGGACAGAGACGGTTCAGGTTTTGATACGCTGCTTTATTATGAAAACATGAATGTGCAAAGAGGCTTAAATTAACATTCAGACACGGCACTGAGGTCAGGAACTGTCTCTTCACGGTTACAGGACAACACCACGAGTTGACGCCAGTCTTTGGTTCATACAGATTCAGCTCTGTAGGTTTGACACCTGCTGCTTCACTTCCTGGAATTAGACAGTTTCAAACATCAGTGAACTTCACAAGAATCATCTTTAGCTCTCAGAAAACTTCTTCTTCCTCCTCTTCCTCCTCCTCTTCTTCTTCCTCTTCTTCCTCCTCTTCTTCCTCTTCTTCTTCTTCCTCCTCCTCCTCCTCCTCATTATCTCCTTTATATTTCATCCTCCAGCTGCGAGTCCACTCTTTGTTCCATATGTCATCCTCCTCTTCATCATGTATCAGTCTCATGTATCTCGGACTCCGGTGTTCGGTGGAGAAACAAACCACCTCATCTTCGTCCGGTTTCTTCCATCTACAAATCCTCCATGACTCCTTCCAAGCACGCAACTCCTCCACCTCCTCTCCTTCCTCCTCCTCTTCCTCTTCTACGTCTCCTGGTCTGTGAGGGACAGTCACCATCCACGACTGTTTCCAGGAGGAGAAGGAGGTGTGGAGCTTGTGGAACTGAAGATGGAGCGGGGCATTAGGTTTGCGTTTCTTCTTCTTCTTCTTCTCTTTTTTGCTCTCCTTTTCTTCTTCTACATTTTTAATCCTGTCATTCTTTATTGATACTTTTAGCCGCTCTTCTTCAGCAGGTTTGGAGTCCTCCTCTTCCTCATCCTTTTCCTCCTCGCCTTTTTCTTCATCCTCCTCCTCATCTTCCTCTTTGTCCTCTTCCTCTGATTCTTTTAACACCTTTTCATCAGCTTCATCCTCCTCATCTTCTTCCTCCTCTTCTTCATCCTCCTCCTCATCATCATCTTTTTCTTTGTCTTCATCCTCCTTGGCCACCTCTTTTTCCTTTTTAACGTTTATATCTTCTTCATCCTCTTCTTCCTCATCCTCCTCTTTGTCGTCATTCTCCTCCTCCTCCTCCTCCTCAACTTCTTCATCCTCCTTATCTTCTTCTTCCTTGCCCTCCTCCTCCTTTTCCTCCTCATCCATCTTGCCTTTTTCTTTTACCTCCTCCTCTTCCTCCCCCTCTTCATCCTCTTCATTATCTTTATATTCTTTCTCCTCTTCCTCCTCGTCCTCATCTTCATCACTCTCTCTTTTGTGTGCTTTTTCTTCTTTCTCCTGTTCGTCCTCTTCCTCCTCCTCTTCCACATCTACAAACTCATCACTCTCCTCCTCTTCCTCTTCATCCTCCCTCCCCTCCTGCGCTTCCTCAAACTCCTCATCATCATCATCTTCCTCCTCACTCTCCTTCTCTGATACCAATCTTTTATCCTCCTTCTCATCCTCCTTTCCTATTTGAACACTATCACCCTTTTTTTTGTCTTCATCCTCTTCTTCCTCACCCTCATCTTCCTCCTCTTCTACACCTTCATCGTCTTCTTCCACCTCTTTCTCCAGATCCGTCTTGATCATTTCTTCCCTGAACTCCTGTATCTTGCATATTTCTTCATCCTTTCTTTTTGATGTTGTTTCTTCCTCTTTTTCCTCCTCCTCCTCCTCTTCTTCTTCCTCCTCCTCTTCTTCCTCCTCTTCATCTTCCTCCTCATCTATGCCATCCTCCTTACTGTCTACCCCTTCATCCTCTTCCTCCTCCTCCTCTTTCTCTTCTACACCCTTTTCTTCCTCTTTTTCCTCCTCCTCCTCTTCTTCTTCCTCTTCCTCTTCTTCCTCCTCCTCCTCCTCCTCATCTTCCTCCTCCTCTATTTTTTCTATAACTTTTTCTACCTCTTTTTCCATCTTCTCCTCTTTCTCCTTTTCTTCCTCCTCTTCTTCCTCCTCTTCCTCCTCCTCCTCCTCCTCTTCTTCTTCCTCTTCCTCTTCCTCCTTAGGTCCCTCCTCCCTGGGTGGGACCCATCTTTTCAGGGTCTTCCAGGAGTCCATCCATTCTGTCGTATCGGTGATCTCCTCGTCCAGCTGTGACGTCAGGAGGAGGTTTGTGGTTTTGCGTTTGGTTGTCAGCATGACGCTGTGACGATGATGGGACGCCAGCGAAGCTTCACACCACCTGAGGAAAAAAAAATGTATCAAACGAGATAAATAAATATATTTGTTTAATTTTAAGGACATTTTGATTTTTCTGGTTTTCAGTGGTAAGTGAAATAAACAAACATTTCAGCTCCAAAAAAAAAAGAATTTTCTGGCCATAATTTGTGGTTTCAGGTATTAAAGGGTTAAATAAGATTTCAGTGGCTTTTCAGGGGGCACCTCATGACCCCCAGCTCAGTAATTCATGATATCTGGGGGGGGGGGGGGGGGGGTTTCGACCCCTACTTTGGGACCACTGCTTGAAGTATTGCACTCCCAGAATACAGCTGTGCTTGTCAGACCTGAGGTCTATAAAATTTCCCTTTCTTCAGCATGGAATTGTGTAGGCAGACGGGTGCAGAGGTGGAAAAACACCAACTTACATGGCGAGCCCACAAGAACGACCTGGGCCAGTGCTCCAGATTTGACCCCCAAAAGGAGGATGTAACTGCTGGACGGTTGCAGCTGTGGCTATGACAGCATGACTGTTGTATCTACTTTTTTAGCTTTTGGTTCGTAACTTTTTGTGGTCATTGTTGAAGCCGTCTGAGGTGAAATGATTGTAACTAAGCACCACTTGTTGCTGACATGTTGGTCTTGCAAGAAAAAGACTTTGCAGCCACCCATTTCTTGGGTCCTCCAGTGTGGTGCTTTACTCCTGTGTCTTTCATCAAGTATTTTCCTAACTTCTCATATGCTGCTCAACCAATCTGTTTTAAAGATAAACTTTTAAACTGTCAACACAAAAACATTTTCCTGATTACAAACAGAAACTAAAACAAACAAAATAATCACTTACATTTTGTTAGAGTTGTTCAAACCTTTACAGCACTTAACTTTAAGCATGGGGCACACTGACCCACCTGAACTGTTGACTGTATCCCCAGCAGCAGCTCCAGCTCTTCTGATGCTCCTCTGCCTCCACAGGGGGCGCTGCAGACATTAGCCAGGAGCTACTCCAACCGGGCATGAACACGCCATTAATCCTTGTCATCGTAGGTGTTTCAGAGCTGCAGGAGCTTTCTGAAAGTGTCTCATCATAGTCATCATAGTCGTCATATTCATACTCCGACTCCTCCTCATCTTCTTCTGAATCATACTCTGTCTCATCTTCTGTTTGGTATTCTGTTTCGATTTCTGCCTCAGAAAGTTTCCATGAATCCTCCCAGTCCTCTAATTCCTCCTGTAAAACAGTCACAACAAACATTTGTACTTAATATAAAAAAATGAAGGGTGGTCAGCTCAAAGAACTCTTGCATGTAACAAAATATATAGTAGAGCAAAAATGGACAAGAAAAATCCTTGATCCTCACCTCCTCCTCTAGCCTTTGCAGCTCATAAGTCTTATCACTGACTTCTTGTTCATAGTCTGGCCAGATTACATCCCATTCAGGTTTATACTGTCTGAATGGAAAGTTCATGATCTTCCAGGTACCAGCCCAGGGAGGAAGGGTGAATACTTCTATCTCAGTCTTGCCAACATATTTTCTGTCATACAAAACCTCCCACTGGAACTCTTTCTCCTCAGGGGGCTCCAGCTGAGCCGGACTCTTCACCTGGAAAGAAGGACAATGAAAAGACGATCAAAAGAACTGTATTGCCAAAGTTTCTGGAAAGGATCAAGAGCATAATTCTGACATATGATGAATCGTAGGCCGGTCACTGGCAACTCTATGAATCGTTTGATTTTTGGCCTGTGCTTGTAAACTGGGACAAGGACAGCAGTCCAGCATTTCACCGGACGGTTTGGATTAAGGTGTATCAAGGCTGAGGAAAATCCATCCCCAACTGTATGATCTATGAATGTTCATTAGACTATGAGGAATTTGATTCAGTCAGACTAATGTGTTAAACTTAATTTAATTCTAAGTCCAGTTTTAGTCAGTACTAGGTTTTATGTAGACTGTTTTTTTTTTTTTTTTTAACATGTCGTTGGCGGGCAGATAATATTTTCACTGGCCGAAGTGTCTGGCTGAAAAAATCCCGATAAGTAATAACGTTTTTTGGTTTGAATATGTAAAATAACAATATATTAAAATGTGTTTTTAAGTGAAAATACATGAGAAAAAAGTGGGATCATCTCATATGCTGCTTTCGAGTTTCCTCAGAAGTCAGATGTTGGAGCTGAAAATGACACACCCAAGTTACCAGCGTTTCAGTTACCAAGTTGGAAAAAGGCTAAATTGGAGGCGGAAACAAGATGGCTACGTCTACGAAAGTTATTTAAGCACTTGCCTTATATTCAGACAAGGCAAGTTCTAAAATAACTTTCATAGATGTAGCCATCTTGTTCCGACTTCTTAATTGAAACGCTGGTAACTCAGGTGTGACCTCATTTTCAACTTGGACTTCTGCCTTCCGAGGAAACTTGAACGCAGCAATATTTCATACTTTTTCATGCCAGCGAACGTTAGACAAGGCCACATTTTTCTGATGTCACCCAAACACCCCATGACACAACAGTAGTGACTGAGAAAATAGAAACCTGGATCCTTTTAAACAATCAGAAAACATATAAACGTCAATTTTAAAACCATAGCTGAATTTTCATTTCTGTTTAACAAAGGCTGTAAAAAGGTGACTCTCATACAGGTGTAAAACAGGCAAATACGCCAAGTGAGTACTGAAGAGGTATAAAGCCTCCACCAATAGCACTCTATTCTGTTCAGAAACTGAACCTTGGTTTGTAATAATAGTGGACTGTTAGCCTGTTAATACGAGACCTAAAACCAGCCAGTATTTCACAGCCTTTGGTTTGTCTGAAAACTAAGCAGTTGTCTTATTGAGTACATGTCAGTGTGAGGCCTTCAGATAGTGTCAGTCTCAGTACCTGTTTCCAGGAGCGGCTCCATCTCTCAGCAGGAGGCGTCCACACATCCTCAGGTTGGCACTCCTTTGGTTTGTACCTCATGTCATTGGTCAGCTCTATGGTGGTGAATCCTGACATTCTGGCTCTTAACTCTTTGGCCTTAAGGAAAAGATACTTTGGAGGCTTCAGACTCATCCAGGAATCTTTCCAGTATATCCGAAACACGTCTACTTCCACTTTACGTTTATGTCTGTGAAGTTTGGGTGGAGCTTCTTTCTTCGGAGGTGGAGGGGGTGGAGGCTCCGGTTTGGATTTAGGTGGAGGGGGGACGACTTTGAATTTGATTTTTGGCTTTTGCTCCTCTTCATTTTGACCACTGGTTAACTTTTTGAAGTCGCCGTTACAAAGAACAGACCAGTGGTAATTCCACTTTGAGCCTGCTCTGTTGACAAACCAACAAAATAAAGAGAACGTTAAATACATCAGCAGAAAGAGTGAACACTAAATAGTAACCTCAACACATGTGTATCAAAAGTCCATGGGGAATGTTCAGCCTAACAGCAGCAGTCTAAAATCCTTACAACATGGGCCACTTACAAACCACAGGCAAACTAAGTGCATGTAAAAGTGCTGTGCTTAAGATCTAAGCCAAGCTGCAACATCTAGTAGGTCAACATGAAAGTGCAAAATGCTGCAGTTCCCAGAGTGTCCTCCTGAGGCCGGCAGCGAGAGCCATGGCAACCCTACTGAGCGCCTTTCTAAAAATAATTAAAGATCAATTTTCACACATGTAACATGTGAACAGCTTGGTTTGATTCCTCAGTCAAACATCCATCTTGATCATATTAAGGTTAAAAGTTCTACATACACCTGCATATTTAAAGGTGTTACTGAACTGGCTCAAAGGTTGGCATGTAGCTGTTTGTCAGGAGGACATTTGACCGCCTTAACTCAATGTTGTTGATCAAACTCAGGTTGAGTAAGCATTTCCAGTATGACAAGTGGCATCAGTGAGCTATATTATTCCCTAGAAACCAAGGGGTGATGCCTCAGAGCATTACTCCACAAACCACCTCTTGCTTCTCTCTTAGGCCTTGTCCATAGAGAGAGGTGGGGGTTTTTTAAAGATGGAGCTTCTTTGTGTGTTTTGGCCTTTTGTGCACAAGCAAACAGAGCTAGGCCACTAAAAACTGAAAACTGTCTTATCATGCAGGGAGTCTTTGAAAGATCTTCACTATATTTTAAGATGGACTTGTGGAGTTCTTACATTGTGTTGGTACTCTTCTTCTTCCATTCAGCCTCCTGTTTGTTCTCCTTTTCAATGCTTTGAGCCATCTTCTCCCATTGGTCCCTCAGCGGCCCATTGCTGAACGACCTCCCTTCCTTCTTTTTTGACAACATTGTGTCACCTATGAGCAAAAGAGGAAAATCAGGTAATAGACGGCAAAAATAGAGATATTCTATTGTCATTCTTGGCATGAAGTTACTGCAATTTAAATCCCAAGTTTTGGAAAAGTACAACCCCTCATCAAGGTTGCTTTAACCAAAGATTTTGCTGCAAAATGTGTCTGCTGATTGTTTTTGTATTTCTTTTTTTTTATGTATTTTTTGCCTGAAGCATAGACCTTCCAGACTCTGCAGTACTGTCACCATAAGTCTATGCCGTCAGAGTGTGAAAGAGAGCTGTGTGCAACAAAGTTCACACACACTGTAATGCCTGTCTGTCTGTCTGTCTGCAGGATGGGCTGCAGGACTTTGCAGTGTCTGAGCTGATAAATGAAGATGACCTCAGAATAAAACGATGAATTAAAAATAGTAATAGAGCTCAGGCCTCTCTGTGCAAGATGACATTAGAGAAGTCTGATGAAAACTACTGAGAATGAACAAATGAAGGCTGCACCCTCTCAAGTGTGACTTACAGCCACAGATATAGCAGGGTTGCAATACAGTTTTAAAAGGGATTAAGCCTTTTTAAAGCTATACACTAATGCATGGTGTAATTTCTGTGTTTATCTCGGCTTAGCATTGGCTTGAGTTGGGCTGCACTTTCTCAGACTCAGCAGCAGTTCATTGTAACCCAACACTTCAAAATGTGACCATTTAAGCGCCCCTTTATCTTCATAGGCAAATGTAGAGTGAAATACTAACACAGGTGCTAAAGTCACCAAAAAACATGTCAACAAAACCACGTTTCTTTTATAACTTCCATTTACTTTCCTTGTTGTTGCAGAATCCTTGTGCCTGCAATCCCTGCAAGAATGTTGCTTTTGGTGTACAATGAAGGTCCTTTTTGACTGATTTAAGCAAAGATAGCTTACAGTTCTGCATATGTGCAATATTAAACTACATGCCAGCTATCAGGTAGCAAAAGAGTTGTGATCTCTTTCACCCCGCTGCCCCATCACACAGACACTGATCTGGCTCTGTTACTACCTCTGCTGCAAGCTCAACATAGTCAGGATATTACCCCCCACACTCTGTGTCCAAACATTTTCACCAGAGAGCTGTGCAAAAACATGCACAGAAACACAGAATAGTCAAGATGCAGCAATGATCTCAAATTTGACAGAATTAGATTTTAAACCAACACAGACCAAAGCCTCAAGGGAGCCTCAGTGTCCATTTTTGGGTCTCACATTCTGTCCTTTGGTCCTCATCCATCAGGCTTTTGGAAATTTGAAGTGACCAAAGTGACAGGCCTACATGGTGGAGACTCACTACAAAACTAACGCAGATGTAAGGTAGTTCCGTGTTACATGTTCTTATGTAACCAAAAGCTATGTACAGTTTCAATGTGCAGCTCCTCAGTATAACTTTCCCACTTTGTACAGGTTGTGTTGAAAGGGCAGGAGATATAAGTGTACTACCAGCAAAAAGATATCACACATCACATGGCTACTTTTCACGAAACATAAGTGTTGACACCAGCAGAGGTTAGGCTGAAGTGTGAACCCTCTGGTAGAAAACCTGAGCAAAGTGCAACTGGATTCTCTTTGAGAGGATACACTACAAAGAAAAGTACCCTCTGGATGCTACTCCTGTGAGTTGTGAACAAAGTGGTCTTTGGATTCTCCTCCAGTGAATAAAGTGTGAACAAGTTGACCTTCTCTAGCTGATTAAGTGCTTTCTAGGCATGTTTCCAGTGGCTCGACCTTAAACAAAGTGCCAACTGGATATCTCTTACATTAAATGAAATGTCATAATTTTTTCCTCTTATTTTACTGTCCAATAAATTTAAAGTGCTTTATTGATTATTGTAATACAAGATTTATAATACTGTTCAGCCCTCAAGGAGTCTGAGTTCATCACACAGTACTCCCAACATGTGGAAGCAAACGACAAAATCAGAGGGTTCCCCTTTTGTTGGTCACATGACTCTGACCTCGTACATTATAGCAGACTCTCTAGGATGTATAGCCTAGCTATAGCATGGGGGAAAGACTTCCAACAGAGGTCCTTCAAAATCCAAACCTACTTGTTCAAAATCCCACAGACTTTCCTCAAAATATTAGATTTGACATTTTAGATATACAATATATAGAGAAATAAACTTATACTGTCTTACCTTATGTCTCTGCCTCTCTTACAGGGTTCCTGTCTTTCTGTTTACATCCGACAACCGCATGTATGAAGGTTAACCACTCTGTATGTCCACGTTCTCTCTGTCTCTGTCTTGAATCCTTGCTGTTTCAATGAGGGTACCAGTCTGTCCCCCCTGCTTGTCTTTCTGTTTCCCCGTCTATCTGTTTGTCGGTCTGTCTTTGGCTTGTTTGTGCAGTTAAATTTTTATCTGCTTACACAGTCTGTCGTGTATGTCTGCTCTGGGGTGAGTAGGCTTCCCTCTTTGCTATTTTTACATTCTACGTTAACAGATCCAGAGCAGCGGTTCTAAATTTAGTGTCGACTGAGGCAATGAGAGGAGCAGCCGCCTGCCCAGGAACACAGAGGGGTTACTTTAATTAAATGAAAACACTTATGTGAAACTGATCTTTATTCAACAGGTGCACAAATAAACCAAACAAGACAGGTCTTAGCATGTCTGAGCCAATCAGAAACCAGAGCAGCGGTCGAACAGGGGCCATGTTGCTTGCTGGAACAAAGCACTGACATACATTACACTGGAGAGGGTCTATGTAAAGGCTCTTTCTCCCTCTGCTGGTGAGCTGCCAAGTATTGTGAGGATTGTCAAGCAGCTCCTGGTGTTCGGTTTCAGGGTTCTTGCAGTCCATGAACTTGAAGAGCACCATCATATAACCACAAAACTTCAAAATATTCATCTCTGCTCACTTCCGTATTACCTCACAATAGACAAAATTCACATTTCATGATAAAAATATTTGCTCCCGGTTGAGTTCAGCTATGACTCAAGCAACAGGAGAAGGAATGTGTGTGTTTGACAACAAACCGGTAAACTGATCCATGTGCCATAGCAGAGGGTGGTCATTTTTCTAGACTGTGCAGTAGTGGACGGTTATGAAACAACTCTTGCTGAATAAGTGAGTCGAGCCTTCTTTACATTAGTTTTCCTGAAATTTTCTTAAAACTGACTCCTTGAGGCACAACATGGCATCAAAATCAGGTTGTGAACGTCCAAGTGAAGCAGTAGAGCTCTGAATTTGATGAACATTTTTACACTTATATCAAACCTATGCAAAGACCAATGTGCAGTCGTCTTCACTTGTCCTCATCATGAAATTATTCTCCTTGGACATTTATGTTAGAGATGCACAATATTATGGGCTTGATATCAGCAGTCACAGGAGGAACTCTACATTCTTTACAATGAAACAAAGGGTGTGTTTAGATTGGCACCATCATGGGTATCAGCCAAAGAGAGTTTGAAAAACCATCGAGAAAAACCAAAACCATGCGTCCCTAGTTTTCATTTATCCCTCTATGTGCCTCTCTTATTTGGTTTCATGCTACAGAGTGATATACCCCTCAACTGTCTTCATCTCAGCTGGCTGAGTGTGCTCATCAGGAAGAGAGGTTGTATTATTTCCAAAACAATGAGTCAGAGTAAAAGTCCTCAAAGCTCTTTTTTTGGGATCATGCAGAGTTTGCAAAAACTTTTCTGTGTGGCTGCTTTTCCTATAACTGCATCCAAGTGTGGATGGATGTAAACACAAACTCTTATCACCGTGCACTGAAACAATGTGATTGAAATAAACATCCTTTTAGACAGGACATCTATTAACTTAGTGGCATTACTGCTGAAAGAAAGAAATGATAAATGTCAAATGACTTGTGCAAGATAGCAGCAGATTGGAAATACCCATATTTTACATCCTTCTTACACTGTGGGGAGGATGTGCAAACAGTGAAAACATAAGACTTGTAAACAAATATATGATCATTATGGACAGAGTCTCAGATTCTAAATAAAGACACATAGTTTTATGCGGTACAGCATGATTCAGCAGCATGAACCGGACTTCCCCTAATGTGTCAGTGATGATGCAAGATCAGTCCAATTGGTGGAGCGGGCAGGGCAGAGCATCTTTGTGTGTGTGTGTGTGTGTGTGTGTGTGTGTGTGTGTGTGTGTGTGTGTGTGTGTGTGTGTGTGTGTGTGTGTGTGTGTGTGTGTGTGTGTGTCAATGGGACAACACAGCAAGTGCCAAAATCCTCCAGAACTGAAGGATCCTCACAGTTGTTGTTGACTGACTACTTTATTTTTGTCCTCACAGACTTTTAAGAAAATGTTTGAAAGGGACAAAATCTTCCAAGTTTCAAGGCTGCACATAATGATTAGTTTCTGCCTATTTATTTTAGAACTCAATGTGGCGACAAATTTACTCAAACCGTTTTTTAAAGTCTTGTTATTCATAATTCTATTTTGTCTAATCTTCCTCTTAAAACAGATGAACACACATATGTATGACAGAGTTTGCTCTGCAGGGTTCCTTTTCTCAGCTTCACACATCACAGTCTTAACTGCTAATCTGTGTTTTACAATCATAAAAAAAGTCTTTCAAGGGTATAAATACTCATGTCTTAACTTATCTTCTGTTGATGAGACTTTAGAGTTTTTCTAGTGGACCAGATTGTTTGGCTCTGAGAGAATCCGTTGTTTTGGCTCCCAAACAGTTCATCATATTACCATTTTGACTACCAAGGGTGGCTGATGAGTCACTAGAAGCTCTCCACCTCTGAGTTCATATAGTCTGCTGCCACAGTGCTGTGTCCCTGCAGTGATGGCAAAAATGATGATGAAAGAAAAAAACTGAAATTATCAGAAGTCAACAGATTGTCATCATTCCTTAAATTCATACCTATATTTACAGCTAATAAAAAAACACTTTTGTTGTGCCCAACCATGGGGAAACCAGACTACAACATACCCCTCACCTTCCTTACTCCTAAGGATGACACTGCAATGCAACATTGACAACCTAATAAATAACTAAAAGGACAAGGAACAAAAGCTCTGAACAGGTGTGTGTATAGTCAGAGGCTGATGGATGAGGTGCTTATGGAAAGTTTAGCTTTCATCAGGACTAATAATAAAATGAACTATTGTGTGAGTTGGTTTGTATTCGCACTTTCTGTCTCTATCAAATGACAGAAAATGTCTTGTGTTGTTGATTTCACCATGAAGACTGTAGATTCACCCACAAAAGCACATTATAAAGACCTTTAAAATAGGTTCTTCTTAAAGGTCAGTTGTGACCTGCCTGATCCACAGCTCAGTTTAACCTGCTGCAGTTTTCTGCCACCAGCAGCAGGATGTCCAGAGGATCTAATTACAGATGGAGAGGTCTCCTACTGCTGCCTGACCTCACAGAGAAAATGACCCATGAAAAATGACCCATGGTAACAGATCTCTTGCTCTACTGGGTGTTAAAAATGCTGCACTAGGATAAACAAGTGTTTGTTTAAAGATTTAGTTTGATTAATTTCACAAGGACACAAAGTCTGAGAGTGGGATGAAAAATAGAAAATCAGACAACGTTTTAGAGAAATTCTTCAAATTTCAGGATAAATTGTATATTGCATATATTGCACCAGAAACTCTTGTGCTTTTTGTGTAAGTTGGCTCAACTGTATTTGTGTAGACAGAAAAAAACAGGTCTCATCATCTCAAAATAAGTGTTCCACAAAGTTGGCCAAAGTTCAGTCAGACAGCTCAGGTTGTAATGGTTGGAAATGATTACCCTTGTAGAGGTGCAAGAGCACCATCTGGTGGACATAAGAGGTCCTGCTCTGACCACAGCACCTATGTGATCCTGATTCTTAAAAACTAAGCAGACAAGTTGCATAAATTATCTGCATGGGGCCTTTTTTCATCCCTCTTTCCTGTATGAATTTTGTATTTGAATGATTTACTATCATTTAAAGTGGTTCTTTTCCCCTTCACAATCTTAGTCGCCTATTATGCTCTTTACTCAGACTGTCAGGATCCTCCTTGTGCTATAGGTTTTTATCTAATTCTTGTTTTTACAGATATTTGGTTTTGATTTCCAGCATTTAAACTTGATATTTGTACTTAAAACATGAAAGATCAGAGTACCACCACTCATACTAATGACTCTTAATTGGTTTAAATGTGAGTGTGTATGATATAGCTGTCACTAAATCAATCTTGTGACTGTCAATGGTTATACATTGACAGGACAGGACACATGATTGTGTCCTGTGAGTTCGTAAACCATTTTGAATGAATCCCTTTTGGGTTATGGTTTATGACACAATCTGGTATCGAGAGTAAATACCTGAAACCATATGTGAAGGGGCAAGTGTGAAATGAGAGGATAAACAGCAAACTAAATAATTAGCCTTTTTAGAACTTAATTTGACTGTTGAACAAGAGCAAAGTAAGAGTTTGCATTAGAATTCATACACAACAAAGTAAGTAAATCTATTGGAGGTACCATATTGTCCACAGGGGGGCACTAAAATCAACACAAACAGAGCTTTACTAACGCAGTATTTTCAGATGAGTATTGTTGGAGGTGGAGTGCAAAAATACACACAAAACAAATGGCTGTGTTAAACGTCTTTTACTCAAAATATAGGCAGAGGTATACATCCACTCTGATAAACAGCAGTTTCTTTCAACACCACAAATTTCAACTTGCAGGCTTTCCAGAAATTCTTGCTTATACATTAAATAATCTTTTGTAAACCTTTTAAGCATGTCACAAACAAATTGTAAAATAGTTGTAAAAAAAAAAAAATTAAACGACGAGTAGTAAAATTTGTAGTCAGATTTATTGTAAATGTTTCACCTTAATGTCTGAGCTTAACGTTTTCGATGCACTTTTTCTATCTGGTCTTTGGGCCGTTTGTTGGTGGGTAAGGAGGTATAAGGCATTTCCATGACTTACTCCAGCTTTTGGGAGAAACCATACGAATCTTCTTGAGACTACCAGGCTTTACCAAGAACTTCCATGATTGGACCCATTCTTCATATAACCCGTCATCTTCCTCCCCTTGGTTGGGCATCTTGGCAGATGAAGCACCTTTCTTGGGCTTTGGCTGGGTTTTTCCTAACAGGTGGCATCCTGCCCATGTCTTATCTGCTTGTTTCACCTTCATTAATTTAGCATACAGATCAACCCTTGAATTTATACGTTTTGCAACAATTACCATGGGGTCAACAACCTGCTGAGGCTTTCCTTTGTCTTTGGTCTGAGAGCTGCTGCCCTGGAGGAATCTGTGGGAAGGCCCCCATTGACTGAAGTTTGCAGGGCTGTTGCCGAACATTGGGTTGATTTTGTTTGGAGTTGTAATCCCTCTTACCCACATGACTGTATACTTAGATGGATTAGGAGAGGACTGAACCCAAGGTTGCTCCAATTTGGGCATAGGGTTAGCGATCCTAAATGGCCGCCCCCACTTTGAGCCATGACCATTGGTGGTGGCATGTTGATTCTGAACAGAACCACTCATAGTCTTCCCACTTGGCCCTGAAGATCCATAAACACTTGCCATATGGCCCAGGAGCTCCCCAGCTTTCCATGAAGCATTCCATTCCTTCTCTGGATAGCGTTCCCTGAACATCTTATTGTCAAAAGATCGGCTCATTCTTGTCTCCATTCTAATCCATTCTCTTGGGGGCTGGATCTCCATTAACACACTTTGTCGGTTCTCTCTGGGCATCTGGTCAGCCCAGTGCTCTGTGTGGAAGATGGACCACTGCCAGGCATCCCTCCACTGAGTTAAGGAAGGTCTGTCATGGCGGAACTGGGTCTCCGAGACCATCCAGGCCTCCCGCCAGTCAGAAACTGACCTTGCATACCTCCTCTGTGCCCTTGAATGATCAGGATGTTGGGGAGGTACATTTGACCTTCCCTGGCTTGTTGGTGCCCTGACCTGGCCAGGCTGCTGCCTTAAAAACCTCCATGATTGCTCCCAACCTCGCTCTCCAGTTGGGCCATTCTTGGGAAGGTCCACTGGGGCAAAGTGGTTCCACTCTCTTGCACGATCCACTCTGATTTGGGGAAGGGCGGTCCAACCTTGCTGCCACTGATCAGGCTCCTGCTGCAGTGGCTGGCAGGTGTATTTCCATGAATCTTTCCACTCTGAGGCGGCAGGCTTCCTGTCTCCTCCCCTCTCAGGTCGTCTGAAAGGGCTTGAAGGATCAGGTCTGTATCTTCTCCTCTCCATCCTCATTTGGTGTTTCACTGCCTTCCAAGATTCTTTCCATTCCGGGGCAGGTAGGACATTTTCCAGACGTTTCATTCGAAGGAGCTGAGCTTGGGTAAATTCTCTCCTTGGGTGGTACATCACACTATGTCTCAGTTGCTCATAACGTGGGTCTGCAGTGCTTGGTGTTGGGGGGAGTGCTTTTTCCTTACTCTCTACCTTTGGAACCTCTAGAACAGCCTCCTGTGAGAGTTTCAGGACCTTTTCTATTTCTTCACATGGTTTTGAGTTGTTCTTTGTCACCTCCCAGGACTTGGTCCACTCAGAGAGAGCCTGAAATTCATCCCAGACTTGTGAGTAACGGTTTCTATACTTTTTCTCCTGAGATGTAAGGCTCACTCTGTAGAGTTGTGATTGGCCATGCTGGCCATGATCATCATGGGTACCCATGTCGCCTTGCGTCATAGAGGCATCAGAATTCTTGTTATCATTGGGGACCATCATGGCCGCCCTCCATGAGTTGTTCCACACTGGACTTAAAGATTTTTTGACCGCGGTTGTTGGGGTCTTGTTGCCACCATACTGGTTTGTAAGCTTCCAACCTTCCAACAAAGAGCCCATGTCTTTATTCTGCTCCATTGGGCTAACATCTTCCTCAAGATACTCCTCCTCACTTGGCTTGGTAGACATCCATGACCCATCCCACTCTGATGCGCATAATTCTTCATTGTACTGCTGAGTCTGCATCAATAAGCTGAACATGCCATATTTGTGCAGGTTCTCCCCATCCACAGAATCCTTTAGGGTTTTGTTTAATCTTCTCCAGGAAGCATGCCACTCATCCTCGGGAAGACCCAGGTCTAGTTCCTCAGTTTCCACCAGTCTGGTCTCAAGTTTCTCCCAGAAGTGCATGCTGTTAGGATCCATCATGTTGGGCCCATTTTTCCAAGGCTGGCCTGCCTCACTAAAAGGCTGCTGAGTGGCAAACATCCAGCACTGCCCCCAGTCTGATTGGGCGTCATTGCCATCTGCAAGTGTTGGCAAGGACTTGTTGAACTTCCATGACTTTCCCCATACCATGTTTGAAGGCTGACCTTGGTTGATATACATAAGTAACTGAAGCTTCATGAGGTTTTTGTCTGGCAACTTTTTCTCCTTAACGGGAGCGGCGGGGGCTCTGCCTGGGGCTGCTGGTCTGGTGGGTGGAGCTAAAGCTGGAACACCACGTGGCTTAGAAGGTGGAACTTGTGGTTTCTTGGACTTCCAGACATTTTCCTCTTCCAGGGCCTCTTCACTTCTTGGTTTCCTCTCTGGCCTTTTGTAGTTTCCTTGTCTTGCAGCCAATCGTCCCGCCCACTCCTTATTGATGCTGTGGGAAAGATGTACAAGTGAAAAGACCAAACAAGACTCGTATTCTCAAGGACCATATAAGGGTACATATAAGAATACTGTACCTGACCACTTTTATGAGAGATATGTGTACATATATAAATCTGAAATCTGAATCTGCAGGCAGTTCAGCCCTAGGACTCTTTTACTACAGAGCCATGCTGTTGTATAATCTGCAGAATGTGGTTTGTCATTATCTTGCTGAAATATGAAGGTCGTCTGTATAAAGTCATTGTCTGAATGGCAACATATGTTGCTCCTAAACCTGTACATATTGTTCAACATTGATCATGGAAGTAAACTACTTATGCCATGGACACCTATACATCCCAATTTAAGGATTTTGAACTTTTTCATTGTTTTGCAGGGGAAATTATTGGTGCTTTCTTATCACATCTCAGTGATTGGGATGCAGGGCGAACAGTTATGCTATACAGTACTATAGGCTAGATTTGTTGCTGGGTTACAGCATGTGTTATGTATTTATAGACATGGAGGGAGTCCAAAAATGTGTGGTCAGGGATATATATATATCTGCTCTGTTTATAATTAGGCCTGGGGTGACACTCATTACTGGATGAGATAATGTTACAGGGACACTCACCAGTTAATAGCTTAATTAAAATCCTGACTGTAAGCACCTCAATAAAAACATTCCCCTCAACAAAGTGAAGCAATATTTTGGATTTTTGACTTGACAGTGATGTGTGGGAGGAATTACTTAACACTGTACAGCATGGATAAACGTTTACATTTGGTATTTGTATATAAGAAATATAAAGTATGCCAACAATTGTCCTTACTTAAACTCATAGATGTATTATCTATCATGCTATGTTTATCTATACTGAATAATATACTGTCAAATATATGATATTTACTGTGCAGCATTTATTTTTATAATGCAACACATATATTTTCTACCATGGAGTATAATTTTCAGTATTGCAATTTCATGCAATCATGTGTTGTGAAGTCAGTACATTCGTCTGTACAATCTTAGTTTCTACTGTGCAAATTATATTGTTATCTGTGTGACATACATTTTTCTCAGTGAAATGGGCATAAACATTATTTGCTGAACAATATGATCTTGAAATAAGTTATATACTTTGTCAACTCTGCAAAATCTTGTTGTTGTTGTTCAGTCTACATTTTGTCTCCTCATTCCATTTTTTTCCTGTGGAGCATCACTTGACTTCCTTGAGTGTTGTATAATAACAATATGTGCTCCTAACCATCTAATAATGAGCCATGTATCTCTGTGGAATACAGTTGAATCTGCTGATTGATTTCTGCAGGTTAAATGGGTCCAAATGGTAGAAAACATTGGAAAAAACTAAGACGGGGAAAGAATTTTTTTTTTTTGCGCAACTGGTTTGGATTACAGATTTTTAGAAAAAAAATGTATCTAGTGTCTACTGCACAGTTATTCTACCCTCCCACATGTTTAGAGTCGACTGTAAAATCACTATCTGTGCCGCTATGTTCAGTGATTCCTCACTCCTCCCACAGTAAGGTCGAGACATTTAAGTACACGATGCTACTGTCTGAGCCCTGCTGTCAGTCAATGTGAAATAACCTTTGGCATGCTGACAGATTGAATATCATTCACACTCTTTTAATAGGTGCCGTAAATAAATAAGTATTATGTCAAAGTCTTATAAATAAGTCCATTCATATACGGGGTTTGGATCAAAAAAAGAACAATCCAATTTTTGCAAGTTTTTCTGTGTCTTTCTTTCTTTTCTTTGATTTAATTGCACTAAAGTTTGGTCCATCATTGATTTAGTTGCAACAGTGTTTGATAAACTTTTTAAAGTCCAAACAAGGAAGTTTAAAAATTGACAGAAATTGTGCAGAGGTAACAAAGCTTTGAGCATATAACGATCAACTGTAATCTGCCATCCATTAAATTAACTTCTACTAATGGTGTCTGCAAACATCCATTATAATTCAAAATGCAAAAGCTGTTTTGAGAAAATTTTTATGCTGAAAATCTGCTCTCCAAAGGACAAAGAAGTTATACTCTCAGATTTGTGGGGGACTTGCAGACAAGTCTGTTCAGACACACACAGACACAGAAACTGTTTTAGTTCTTACGCAGGCAGAGCACTTTTCGCCCTCCGCTCCTGTTCCTGCTGTATCTTCTGTTCATACTCTCTCTCTCGGATCTCCCAAACATTCTTCATGATGGAGGCGTCGCAGCCGACAGCCTCCACGTTCCTCTCATTCGACATCTTCAAAGTTCTTCAAGCACCCTGCACACACAAAGAAAAAAAGAATACACCTCTATTAATCACAACATCTAACTCGTCCCTCCTCCACTTAAGATTTCTGGATCATGCAGAGGGTGTTGGAGGTGATGTACCTGGAAGTGGTGATAATCTGTCCTTCAGTGCTGCAGGCTGCTCCGCTCTTATATATTGTTACTGAAGGGGGGGTATTAACCTGCTGAAAGATGTCTGAGGGGCTGGCCTGACTAAAAATACAACACCCTCCCCACCCACACACACCCACCCGGATGAACCCCTCCGTCTCCAAAGACATATGACTCCTACATTGGGGACACTGGGGGCTCCTATATATGATGTATGATTTGCTATCTACATGCGAACATGCGGGGAATGCTCCTGGATAAACTGTACGTTCCACTTTTGAAATCCTGCATTCAACTCTACCAACATTGCATCAAACGCGTGTCAGCCTCAGGACTGCTGTGATTTGGAACTGAAGATAGCACAGGATTTCTTCATTCTGATAAGTCGTTAAGTAACATTTCAAAGCTGGGGTTCAAGACGAGGAAAAATTTCTGGAAAATTTTAAAAGCTCTGACCCTGAAATTTACTGGTCAAACTGGAGGAATGGAGGGGATCTAAGGAGGTTGATCATGATGTCAAATAGTTGATATTGTATTTATGGTGTCATGCTTTGCATCCCTATCTAAGATTAAAATCACTGATTGTTCAATTTTACTCTGCCCAACTTTTAATGTAGTTTAAATCTTTATTTTTGTTTAGCTCTCAGCCCCTGGCACAAACGTCTGCTCATAAATTCACTGCCATGTTATCATCAATGTTTGCAATGAAGTTTGTTTAAAAAAAAAAAAAAAAAAATGTCACTCAGAGACAGTACACTCTAACAACTAACTTTGTTATTCACGTCTGTATCAGCCGTGAAAGGTATTGTAGGTATCAACATATAAGTGAAATAAACTGACTCCAGAGGATGCAAAGCCATACATATTGAGAATTTTACAAATCTAATTTGCTGTAAGTAAGCATTTCATAGTTTGACAATCACACCACCTGTTGCAAAATAAATAAATAAATAATAAAAATAATTTAAAAAACCTGAATAAAAATGAACTTTTTTGTTGCAGTCAGAGCGAAAATTCACAATCCAATCTCTAAGTGAAATCTTGAGCAGAGGAATTGAAATTTTCACGTATCAGCTAAAAATAATCTTTGCCTGTAAAATAAATATGTGGAGTTTAAATAGTTCTTGTAAAATACTGTAATGTAATAAAAGTGTCATGCACCGCTGAGGACACTCCGTTTCATCAGGAGGTTTTGAGTTACCTCTCTCTGAACTGACACATCTGACGGAAATACCAATACATGGTATGACTAGGAGGCTTCTCAGGTCTGAGATGTTACATAAGGTTTAAGCTGCTGCTGCTGCTGCTGCTGCTGCTCTCTAAGCTTTAACTTGATCTGCACAGTCATGTGTAACTGAGGTTGAAGTTTTTATGAGGAATATATATATGGCTCACACCATTAAGCTCACATATCCCGCCATAACTGGTAAGCTGGGTAGAGAATGGCATGCTGGGAATGTCCTCATCCAATGAGGACATACTGGCATCAACCAGTGCCCACTTTGCCTCAGTTTTTTCATGACCCAAAAAACACAAGCGCTGGGAGAAAGTGTTAACGGTGTCTTTTCCAAACACGCAGGTGTCCTTGGCAGCTCTGAAGCAGCAAAGACGATTGATCCATCTCCGGTTCAGAAGCTGTGACCTCTGATCCTTGGCTTTCTGTCAATGTTTGGATTGTTCGGTGAGATGTGGGCCTCAGTTTGTCACGTTTGGTCATGAGGATGGTATTTTGGGAATTCACTGTCTTAAAATAAAAATGCACTGCCGTAAATAGAATTTAAGGCTGTTTCCACCTGCCGCATATAGAAGGGATCAGCCATCACTTCATAACAGCTGAGATAAAGTGAATAACACTGATTGTTTTACTACAGTGGCAGCTGTTAGTGGGTTGGACATGTGAGGCAGTTGGTGAACATTTTGTTCTTGACAATTATGTGTTGTTTTTTTTACTTCGGCCATGGTTCTTGGTTCTGCACAATGTTATAAGAAGATACCGGAGAGTTAAAGTCACATGTGCCAAATTTGTGCTGCTTGTACCCGTTTGTTTTCAAAAGTTTAATGCAGATAAGTTTGCTCCTGATTAAGAAATACCTTCGTCAGTGGTCACAGAATAAGTTGAAATGGCACCACATTTGAGCATGCATTTTGTTTTCGTTTTTGAGGTCGTGGTTTTGTAACTCATTATGTTTGCACAAGCAAAGTGCACTGTGTCACTGACGTAAAGCAACACAACATCGAAGGCAGAGGGAAAATCTAACATGCTAACCTTTTTGTAGGAAGGTTTAGAGGTATCCCAGATGTAGACTTGTTTATTGAATTGAACACTCTTCAGGGGATAAAGGTTTGATTTTCTGAGCCGACAGGTCCTGGAAACCCTGTCTGCCAGGCCAGGTTGTAATCATGCTTATGCGCCATAGTCTGACCTTGGCATGACCTTGGCATGAGTGATGTCTATGTTTTGGTTTTTTGCAGTGCTATTGATGTAAATTGGCTGAACAAAATGGTTCAGGGCGTGCAGAGTGCCAAGTGTCATTAATGATTCAACATTACCGTCAAAAATTAATTCATATACTGGTGCATGAGGACAAGTTTTCTGCATGCAAAAAGGAACCATCTGAGAGTGCAGCAAGAATAAGAAACTGCAGTTTGATGCAGATTCATCAAAATTATGAGCTAATCACTAAAATCCTCAGAGAAACTCAATTAAAAAAATCTAAAGATAAATTACCAAAACACTGAGCGTGAATTTAACGGAATTACCCTAAATTTTCAACATTTTTCCACTTTGCAAAATTGGTCCTCTCAAAGTTTATCAAGCTTGTTCCTGAATCAAACGAAGGTTCAAAATCTGACAAGTTTACCTCATCCACTTTTAAAGAGTTCAAAATGCAACTAAAAAAGAGAGGGGGTTTGTGCTTCAGCTGATAAAGTATTGCAAAGCTGTGTATCTCACGACAGGGATGGAAAATCACGGCAAAAAAAAGGAAAAAGCACACAGGCAATTCAGCAATTTGAATGAGGTTCAAATGTTTGACCTTTATTCATGTTCAATGAATGAGTGACGTCTTCAGATAGTTCAACCTGTCACACATTCATACAACTCATTTGCTTCAACAATACATAAAACACTCGAATAACAAGGTTTAAAAGACAAACACATGCAGCTCAAAACTCATGAACTCTACAAATCATTACTTCCAAAAAATAAAACATAAAAAAAAAATGGAAAAAGACAAATTCACTCCTCCATTTAAAAGGCAGGATGATATGAAGAGAATATACCTTAAAAGCTTCTCTTTGCAAGAGTCCTTCAATAATATGACCAACTCTTAATTATGAGAGGATAATATACGACAACTTTTCCCTCCTCTGCCCTAAAAGTTCTCAAACTCAGCTCACACAAACTATTGGCTCACAGCTTGATATTGCGGTGCCCATGCTTTATCCCCCGCCTCTTAAGCAAACTGTCACTGAGTGATTTATGTTTTTAGGGAGGCCGTAAGGAGAGAAACACAAACCTATAAGCAGTCCGAACAGTATGTACCAATGTATGACCTATTTTGTCCCATATACATCCTAAGATCTGTTTCAAAGCACGGAGACATCTGTGTGATGATAGCAGATATGATGACAACATGTGCAGGGGGCAAAAAATAGAGCTGTACATTCTGTCCACATGGAGTCTGCAACACACATCACTGTCATGCTACTAACATACAGTATACTGTACTGTTCATATGAGTGCATGTCACTGTTACATGCGGACAGTGACCTAAAGATGATTTAAAGTGCAGCTTAACAACTAGACCCCTTTGTTTAGCTAAAAAAAAACATTCATATAGGTATTTAGTGATAGTGTTAATCGATTCATGTCCAAATCTCTACGTATGAGTCTAAATAGTGCAGGTTGAAACTCAGTGACTGTAAATTCATTATTCTATTGGCTGATTTGGCGCCAATGATGTATCTGATACACACTTCTATCGCTGATCCCTATAAGAACTACCCTATGATCTAAATAGTTATAATGTAAAACTATAGTTTAATATAGTTTAATTTAAAATCCAATTCCGTGCCAGACATTTCTGTCTTTGACACAACTGTCAACTCTGCAGAATGCTGAGGTGAGTGTATGAAGGATATGCAGGTCATATGCATTTGAAATAGTGTGATCGCTTGGCTTATGTAATGGAAAGAAACAGGTCTAGCAAATTAATTATCTAGACCTGCTCTTTTTTTGGACAGTGTCTTGGGATAATGATTTGGCGTTATATAATTAAATTTGATTGATTGATTGATCGATGTTGGCAAAGTTGCAATAAGGTTACCGCATCCTCAATGACCCTGTTGTGTCATGTTACTGTGTCTACTTACTTGCCTTTCTCCTGTTGCCTATTGTTGTCTCACTACTGTATAAATCCTGTTGGTATTCTGGTAAATCGACTGGTGTGATCAAATGTCAAATGTTAAATATTATAGCCATAAAATTTGAAAACCTTCAGGGTGGCATTGTTTAGTATTCACCAAGTTGCATCATCCACTCTGTATTGTCCCTGCCTGTGCTTGCAGCTCAGTCTGATTGGCTCCAGACCGCCTTGGTCCCAGCCTACAGAAGACTCTGGAGGACAGAAATCCTACTTATTGTCTTTAAAGTTTCAATGCTGCCTCTGGAGTTATCACTCATAGTTAAGTGACTGAGCTAAACCAGCTAATCTGTGTGTGTACATGTGTAACTGTGTGCACGTGTGTTCAACTGTGCGTGCAAGCATGAGCCGTATAGAATGTAAGATGCTGAGGTTGATGACATGAGAGGGCGTGTCTAACCAAAAACATCTATCTCTGTTCCTGTAAACCACCAGACTGACAGGATTTTTAACCCAGTCAAGAACGCCCTGCCACCTCAAGCTGCTATGTTAGGAATGTGAGCTCTGGTCGCCCGCACTTTGTCTTGCACATGTCAACCTGTATATGTTTGTTAATAACCAGTAGTTGCTTAAAGACAAGTTTGAAAGTACTCCAGGTAAGAGTACAAGTCATGCTTTAACATATAAGCTGATTCCTAGAGGCTGTCTAATGAAAGTAAGGAACAATAAGGTAGGAATTGAGGTAAAGGAACTAAGGAAGTAAGTAAGGAAGCATGATACCAAAAAGTCAGCTTGGCTAACATCGAGAAGTAACAGAGTTGTGGTTTTATTGTCACAATAATTGTTTGTTAAAAACCTTTTTATTTTCTTTGTGGAAGATGAGACAAGGACGAGTTAACAATAACACTGACTAGTTGTTGTTGTTGCAGTGAGATGAGATAAGGATGTGTCAAATACTCCTTTTTGGTAAAGGAAAATGACCCGAAAGTCTTCGAGTGTCAGTTTGATATCTTTAAATAATAAAGAGAAGAGCTGTGTTGCCTTCTTTATTACCTTATTTGGCAAATGATGCACTTGACCATACTTTTCTTTTAATTCTCTGCACCACTGACATTTTCAACTGGGACCCTTTCTATTGTACCTGGCAACAAACTATTAGCAGGACAGCAACTGATATGAAGCTAAATTCACCGAATAAAACTTTTTTTAACCAAACTTGTGGTTCATGTGGATTTACATTTTACTAACATTTGTCAATATTTGATCACTTTCAACTTCTAATCCATGACTTTGACCGTGGCAGAGATGAAGTATGACTTCTGCTGTTCAATGACAAAACACAAGAGTTTGGATATTATAACTTTAATGAAGAGGAGGCCAATAATCCTATAAGAAGATAAAATGAAGTGAGACACAACAGTCTGCTTTCAAGGTCCTGGTAGTAACTTTTAGTTTGTGTCATTTTGGGCTTGCTTGAGTTTTGACTATCAAATGTAACGTTAATTGTGAATATCTTAGGTGTAAAAAATTTGTAAAATCCAGTTTTGTAGTAGTTAGGCTGACACCTACCCTCTTCTACTGGTTTCAGACATTAAAAATGAGGAAATAAAAACAATCAATCTTGTCACTGATGCACTTGTTTGCTTTTGGATTTCATGAAAAGTTTTTTTCATGAATGTCAAAACACACCTCACAGGAGCTTTAAACCTGTAGGATAAAAAGTAATCTAAACAACAGAACAGGAGATGTTTCTATGATGTGCAATAGTATAACAAGGGAATAAACGCCCTTTATCACCATGACAGGTTGACATTAAGTGATAGGACATCTAACCTCACGGATGTTTTCTGAGGCTTAAACATTTTTCTGATGACTGGAAACTCTTTGTCGGACAGGTTTTCCTACCTTCTCTGGTACATTTGCCACACTGTCTGTTAACTTATCTTTATCTGTTCCGATAATGGGGCCCATAATGACAGGAATGTGTCAAATACTCTGCTCAGTATACGTTTCCAGCTTAAAGGTAAAAATTATAATTAAAGGAATGCTATCAGGGTCTATCGAGCACATCTAGTGTTTTTCTTTGTTTTCTTTTTCCTCTCTGAGTTGTGATCCTCAGAGTAAAACTTGGAACTGTCTGGTTAAATAAACTGAAACTCAGAATTTCTTTCTGGAAATAATAATAACAAATAAACATTTCATAATTACAGCTTTCAGTTTTCATTAGCCAAGTGTAATATCATTGATTTAACAGACCGGCCCCAGTACTCTTGAAAAGCGCTCGTTCACATTGAAATTACTGCCTTAAGTCTCCAAATATCTCTTTTTAGAAACCTTTTGATTTGTGTGAAAGGGCTCTTTTAGAATCACAATAACCAATATTTAATTGGAGCTTTCGTAACACCAATGATGGAAGGTGACAGAAAATGTTGAAAAAGCGAAAGAGAGCAACATTTTAGTTGTTCATTTTTACAGTTTTATTAACAGAGAAATAATATGTATATTGTCCCAAAATAATCAGAGTCAAGACCAAAACTGTCTGACTACTTCATGACAAAGAGACAATAATAAAAAAAAAAGGTCACAAGTTTGACCAAAATTTTGATAACCAGAAAGTCAGTTCATGAAATATCTGGAAAAAGTGTGAAGGAGAAATAAGTGCAAATTTTCACTTAAATTGACATCAACAGTGTCTCTGCTTAGTTATTTCTCATCTTAAACAAACAAATGTGTCATATTGATTACACATACAAACAAAGTGAAACTAATTACATCTAAATTAAAATACCTGGACTGTTACCTAATAAACCAATCTGCTTCCTCTTGCCAAAAACATCTATCTCTGTTCCTGTAAACCACTAGACTGACAGGATTTTGAACCCTGTCAAAACTGCCCTGGGACATTCCTGCTGCTGTGTTAGTTAGGTATGCACAAAGCTAAAACAACTATATTACAAAGGAACACCCTGTTTTTGAAATCAGTTCACAAGGTTTATGATATTCTTGCAGATAATTAAATTGTTCTTTTCTGTAGTAGTAGTAAACAAAATTAAATCTTCTTTACACTTCACACCGATTTTACAGTCATGGAGCAGTTTCTATCACTGATTTAGCTTCACTAAGATACAAGTGTGAGTCAGTGGGAGCCACTGACTGGCCCGGGTCATCATCGGTATTTGTCCTATCAGTTGCAGCCAGTGTGGCCTGGAAAAGAATCATCTTCTGCAGCAGATCAGCCATGAAGGAGGAGGTCAAAGGTAGATGCTCCTCAGTAGGTTTGTCCTCCCTCTTCGTATCACCCACCTGCCTTTCCTCGCTCTGCCACATCTCTTCGTACATCTCCTCACCAAAGGGCTGTCTACCATTCTCTTCCACCAGCTCATCGATCTTCTTGATCAGCTCCACCACTTGGAATCTCTTACACTTCTTCTTGTTGTTGAAGACGTGGAACCTGTTACCGCACCTGTCGATCAGCTGTCTGAGTTTGGGGTGGCCAGACTGAATGAATTCAACAATACTTTTGCCTTTCAACTGATCACCATGTGTAAACAGAACAATCATGTAGTTGGACACCAATGGACCAAAGAGCTTTTCCAGAGCATCTATGCTGTTCTCTTCTTCTTTGGTGAATCTGCCAATCTGGAGGACCAGTAAGAAGACGTGAGGACCAGGGTAGGACAACTTGAGACATTTAGCAATCTCATTTTTGATGCTGTCTGCACTTTTATTCGTGTCCAGTATCCCAGGTGTATCAATCACTTCGATGTTTCTGCCTCTTGTGACCAGTACTTTCTCACAACTCTTTGTCTGGGAGACCGCGCTGGTTGAAGACCTTAACACCCTTTTGCCGACAATAGTGTTCCCAGCAGCGCTCTTCCCCCCTCCAGTTTTTCCAATCATCACAATCCTCAGTGGAGCACCTGCAAACAAAAGAAAGTACTGTTAAATATGAACAAAATTATAGCAAACCAATTAGTTCAAGCGTCGATTCCACTGTGTTGAAAGGAGGCCTTAAATGAGTAAAGATTCAAACCTCACCCTTAGGGATCGAGAATTTGGCACCCATCTCTCTCTCTCTCTGCTCTTGCCTCTTCACAGAATAAAGAAAACAGAGTTTACCTTTGTTTTTAATCTCCAGACTCCTCCCAGAGGGTGGATCTACCTCATCTATATCAGTGTAAACCTCTCTGATATTCTTCAAAGCTTACCCACGGACTGAAGCAAAGCCTACCTGCTGTCGGATTCTACAGAGAAGCTCAAATGACTTCTTGCAGTGCAGCACCAGGTACGTGATGCTTTCCTGACCTTATATCCTATACTTTCTGGTTGAGAGGTTGATATTCACAAGAGTTTTTAGACAATGATTGTGCAAAAGCTATTCTTCACACTCCTGTAGAGTGTGAGTATAAGACTGGGATGACTACTGTGATGTTGAGCTTTCATTAATATTCTTAACATTCATTTGATGAGGTGAATGAAAAAGAGAGGTATTAAAAACCCATTCTGCATATGACACAAAATTAAAAACATAAGAAGAGAGCCAGATGTGAGGGTTTTTTTTCAGACCTGTCTGTTATAGTTCACTATAACCATGGTTCCTCACACATGGAAAATTCTCCTTGAACTGCAAACAGTTTTTTCAAACTCAAATGTGTTTATACCATGTGCCTCTCTACATCACAGGGTGAGTAAAAGGAATGACTTTTTGAACATGTTTGATCACATGATCAACTTTGTCTATGGTTGCATAGAAACAAGGGGTGGCTCCACCTTCCCACAGGCTCAAATGTGTGGATTTACTGGAAGATAAGGTCACTGTGATACTGAAACTATGTTCTTTTGTTCCCAAAGGCTTAAATCACACTACTTCCCCCTTTAGTGGCACCATTTTCAACTTCAAATCTAAAGCAATAACTAGAATTTTAAGATGGTTTTAGTAAGATCTGGCCTCATCATGTATGTTTTTAGGATGCCATGTAAATAGCTGTCAGCTTGAGTTTGCACAACATCGAATCTAAAAACACATCAGCCATTGTATCATTCCAGATTGTTACTGATAACTTCATACTTTCTTTTCCAGCACATGGGGAGAAGTTAGCCATTGCTCTGTTTGGAGAGGGGCTGCAGAAAGAGACAGAGGATTTAATCCTCCCTTGTGATATAAAGTATGTCACCATCACAAATGATATCATAATGCGAGAAAGCGACTCATTCAAAGTCATTAGCATCCAGCACTTCTTCGATGAAGAGTCTCTGCACCAAGACCAGCAGATCATTGATGTCATGGCGTTGTCCTATCCCGGCCCACATCTTTTCATACTGACAGTTGACCCAGAAGACACCCGAGAGGAGAAAGTCATCGCACAGATCAGTAAACTTCAAGTCGCCTTTGGAGAAAATATCAGGACACACCTTATTGTCATGCTTCCAGACAGCCAAACCTACAATTCACTCAGTCATCTGAAAAATGTTGACATCCAGTTGCTAATTTTCACAAGATATCTGGCCAGAGACTGTGTGAGATGGTGTGAGGGGCATCATTCATTTATTTATGACTACAAGAACTACAGTCAGGAGGTCGTGATTAGAAGAAAAGCAGCACTGGAGAAAAGGAGGTAAACACAACCGTATTACACAACCCAGGAAATTCATATGACTTATCTTACTGTTGGGATAGTTAGCTTTTCATTAAGGGTTTGAGATTGTCCTAAAGCATGATGAACCCACCTCTATAGCATTTCATGGTTAACAATCATTATGTTGTAACTCTTTTAGAAGCGAGGATCATCTGCACCAAGTAAAAGCAGGTAAGTCTAGTTTTGAATACTTTGCATTGTTGCAGTGCTGCGGTGTCATTTGGCAGGTGCTTTTGTCCAAAGCAATGAACATTTGAGAGTTACAAGCAAAGGTCTAGACAGAATCAAACATAAGTAAGTGCTACAAACTGAATGTTATGCTAAAAGGAAAAACAAAGTTATTGCATCTCACTGAAGAGCTCATTATGTCTGTTACATAATGTGGGGGCACCAATGGCCAAGCAGTCTGAGCATGTATAGAGGCTATAGTCCTTATTATAGCAGTTAAGGTATCCCAGCCTAAACCCTTTACTGCATGTCTTTCAACACTCTCTACTCCCCACATTTCCTGTCTCCTTACAGCTGTTCTACCTATTGAAGACCAAGTTACCAAAAATATAACTTAAATAAGAGAACAGTGCAGCAAGAGAGTAAAAACATCATATCAGGTGATCTTGTATGAGGATCAGGCAGATAAAACCGGAAGGCTATTTTGAGGACACTAAATTCAAAAAGTAGGAAGAAAGTGGTCTGATTCCCATAATAACCAAAACCCTCACATTTCCTCACAATGTTTTGAAATGACACATGGCATACTACAAAAAATACTTTTAAATGATTTAAAGAGAATTCATGACTGTAATGATGTTATTGTATCTATTCAGACAACACGCAGCCCATGAGTGAGGTATACGAAACCCTTCTGGCCCCTGGGAGAGCAACACCTGAACAACACAATGGTATGCCATCTATAAATTAAATGTCAAAGACTATCATTAACAGTAATCTGTACCCTAGTTTACTGAAAACATGAACACTTGAAAAACGATGTCATCTAGGTAACGGTGGCCATGAAGTTCCCGACAACTTATTAAACATCATTCTGCTGGGTCGTACCGGAACTGGAAAGAGTGCATCTGCGAACACCATCCTCGCCGCAGGGACCACCCCGCTGAGTTCATGTCTGCTTTTTAAATCTGAGATAGCCTCCCTGCCAGTCACCACCCGATGCGAGGCCAAAATTATCGGGTTATTTGGGGTGCAGGTGAGGGTGATCGACACTCCAGACTTCTTCCATGACCGATTACAAAACTGCCAAGCCCACATAGAAGTGTGTAGGAGGTACTGTCAGCCTGGGCGCTGTGTGGTGTTACTTGTGTTACAGCTCGGCCGGTTCACCAAGGAAGAGGAGGAAATGTTAGAGAAGCTGGAGAGCAAACTTGGCTGGAAGATCAGAGAATACACAACCATCCTACTGACCCATGGAGAAAACCTGAAAGGAAGTCTAAAGCAGTATATTCAAGCATGTGCTCCTCTCCAGAACATTGTTGGCATGTGCGGCAATCGACATCATCTATTTAGCAACCCCAGCAAAGACAAAAACCAAGTCAAAAAGCTCATGAAGAAAATTCACCAGCAGTGGAAAGTCTTTCCGAAGTTTGACAACCAACAGCAAGAGGAGTGTGTAATATGTTAGTGTGATGTACTGTACTTATAAATGAACTGAAAGTGCGTCAAATGTTAGACGATGGAACCACAAGATCATTTTAATCAACATTAACTCAAATCTACAATGAAGTTGGGACATTTTGTAGAAAGTAAAAAAAAAAAAGGATATTTACGATATACGATTTGCAAATTCCTTTCCAACTATATTCAGTTAAATACACTACAAACACAAGATATTTAATGTTCAAACTGATGAACAGATGAGGGGAAAATACAGCTTAAGTTGTGCACAGAGATTGTAAAATTCCAGGAAATGTGGGTTTACTTAGAAGATAAGCTGGAAGACAAGGTCACCATGATACTAAAACTATGCACTTCTAGTTGTTTTGATGCACTAGTTGTGCTCTATTCTTGCAAGGATAACATTTTTCTATCATTTGTGCTGCTGTAAATTTTATTCTAATGTTTGCTGACTTGTAATTCACTTCATTATGTTCTGTTCTGTTAATAAAATCATGCAAATTGTTTTAAACTGTTATATTCACAGTTTTAATGAAAATATGTTCCAAAAGTTAACAAAACTCAAATATTGAAATGAATAAAGTACATTAAATGAGATCACTTTTTGTATTCTGCTCTCATTTCAGAACTTGAAGTACTTTTTGTTTTGTTTGAAGAGGATTACCCTTTAAAATGTGCAATTTTTATCCTAAAAGGATGATGTACTCCAGCCTGTGTTGGGGAAATAATCTGCTGATAAAATCCAGTTACACAGATGTATTCAAACATTGTTACATAAAGTTATGTAAGTAGTTAATGAGGGTTACTGAATGCAGTTTACCTGTCATCTAGTGGTCATTTAGAGGACTGCATGGGAACCTTACCTTTGTAAAGGATTTCAGGCAGGGATGAACAAGGACCAAAAACTGCCCTGAACTCTAACTCAGCCAAGCCCATAAGGTTAAATTTAGTGTGTCTCAGCATTATTATTACATTATGCTGAAATTGTTCCGCTTTTTTCCCAGGCAGTCTCTCACAAAGCGGTGAAAGCAGTGATGTTTACATTATTTACCAACAATGTATCATTTATTGTGAATATTATGCAGGAACTGCGAAAGCTGGGGCTGTTTTCTTCAGCTGCTGGATTTCAGTAAGTTTTATAAATGTCAAAAACACCTCACGTGAGCTTTTCAACACCCAATCATGTTATTAATCTGTTGCAAATCAACCCAATTAATTCTTCATTTTCACAAGTATTTTACACAAGCTTTGATTCACTGCTTTTAAATCATGGCTTAAAACTCAATTTTACAGACTTGCTCTTATGTGATTTTGTCTTCTTTAAAACCTTTTACTCTTCTTAGTCATGTTTTATAATAGTCCCCTTGGTCTCAGGTTTTTGTGATTGGGTTCCTGTGTTAGCTGGGTATCATGGGCTCTTATTATGTATTTGTTTTAATGTCTTCATTTTAATAACATCCCAGCTCATGAGACATTTATCAAAATTTTTATGTCTCCCGCCAATTTTTATTATTTTATTTCTTTGTTGCCAATCATGTGTCATTTCCCCCAAGTGTTCTCTTGTTGTTATTTTGTTTTTATTTTCTTTATTTTCCTGCATGTTAGAGCGCTTTTAAAAGTGCTATATAAATAAAGTTATTATTATTATTAGTAGTAGTAGTAGTAGTAGTAGTAGTAGTAGAAGTAGTAGTAGTATTCATAACCACATAATACAACCTACATTTTTTGTTTATTGTTTTTCTGTTTGTTTGTTTGTTTTTGTTTTTTTGTCTGTTTGTTTTGTGTGTGTGTGTGTGTGTGTGTGTGTGTGTGTGTGTGTGTGTGTGTGTGTGTGTGTGTGTGTGTTTTGTTTGTTTGTTTGTTTGTTTGTTTGTTTGTTTTCAAATCAAGACTCATACATATGTAAAGCACTTTCATCTTAATAAATTGATCTATCTGAAAATACCGCGTATGAGAGCCAATTGTGATTTCCTGGAGGACCAAATATTGCATTTTTTTGTAATGAACAACATCATTATCTGAGAATTAAGAAACATTTTTTTAAATAAAGAAATCAAAAGAAAACTCTGACCTGATTTTCTAAACTCACTGGATTATTATCTCATTTCCAAAAAAAAGAGCAGAAATTTTCTGAAATGAATGCAGTGCGCTCTCGTGGTGCTCAATAAAAAAGCAAAAACAATTTAACGAACAAACACAAATCAAGTACGTTACTCGTGATCTTGATGCATCGTCATCATTCCTTCTCTGCGCGCCCTAATGACGTTTTTAGCATGCGCCAGAGCAGCCTGGGCTCTGGAGCTGGCAGCAGAAGCGGAGGCAGGCGGACAGAGATGGCTGCGCCCACGGAGCGGTGCCGCGGCGGTGGCGGAGGCTCTGTCGGGTGTTCGCCGACGGTGAAGCGGTTGCTGCGGCTCTCAGTGCTCCTGTTCTCCGTTTGCTCCCTGCCGACGGTCTCTGCGCTAGTGGAGGGCCTCTACTGCGGCACGGAAGTCTGTTACGATGTGCTCGGCGTCACCAGAGAGGCCACCAAGGCGGAGATCGCCCGGGCTTACCGGCAGCTGGCTCGCAGGTACCACCCGGACCGGTTCCGACCTGGAGAGCCCGGCATGGAGTTGGAGACCGAGGAGTCCGCCCAGCAGAAGTTTCTGCTCGTCGTGACCGCGTACGAGACGTTAAAGGTCGGTCCAAGTCCGTACTAGAGTCCCTGAAGTTTTCTCAGAGAGATGACTGCTCAGGCAACGACTCCAACTTTCTGTCTGTTTCTCATCTTCATCACATCCTTATTACTCCTCTTCATTATATTATCGTTTTGTGATGTATATCACTTTCTCAGAGCTGCAGAGTCCTAAATCTTCTGGGAAAAGACAAAAAAAAAACTGTTATAAAACTTTAGTGCTGATATTAGTGCTGGCATCTACGGTGGCTCTGAGGTGCCAAACACTTACAAACATTTCTTTTATAACACAGGAACTTCTTACTGTAGGCAAATGGATTGGTGCTGATTCAGCTCTCTTCCAGCAGCAGCTTGTTTGTAGTGAGACCTCAGGCCAGTCCAGTACGGACTGCTGTGGGGTGCCACAGCTCAAGGAAGAACATTTATGATCATTACTTTATCATTTCCTTTAAGTAATAATCACCATATTAATCATTTTGTACTGCAGACGCGGTAGTTCTTCTGCCTTGGCATCTCGGTCTGATTGCATTTCCATATCATATCTATAGAATGGCTTTTTGGTTTGAGGTTTGTTTATGGCTCCTTAGACCGCTGTGTATTGCTATCCTGCAGTCGTTACTAAAGTTGGTATGACTAGAGAATCAAGCGGTCGGCAACATTCATCTCTCCCTATCTATACCTATCAGTATTTATTGGCCTGTTTTCCTTGTGCTTACAATAATAGTATCTGCGTACCCCCCTCTGTTTTAGTTGTAACTAGTTGCTGGCTGCCATCATTCTTTGCTCTTATGCTGTCTGGTGTGTAACTTTTGCTTGATTAGCAACATAATGATTATTTGATGCCGTTTGTCTCATCACTAACCTTAAATAAATAGAAATACTGTCTTGATGTCTGTACAGGATGAGGAGACTCGGCGGGACTACGACTACATGCTGGACCATCCTGAGGAGTATTACCAACACTACTACACCTACTACCGCAGACGGCTCACACCCAAAGTAGACGTCAGAGTGGTCATCCTGGTGACCATCTGCGCTATCTCTCTTTTCCAGGTAAAGTGCAGCTTTCAACAAGGCCGCTAACTACCCTCAGCTCCCCATTATCGCTCACCTGAATTGCAGTGAATTTTAGAACTTCACAGATGAGCACAGTCCGTGTTTTTTATTTAACGGCGGAGAGCTTTTTACTTTTTTACTTTGGTCCAAAACAGTGTGACTTAATGCTGTTAAGTTTTTTGTAAATAAACTATTTGGGTTAGATGAGAAAACAACCAAAAAGAAACCCTTTAAATTGCTCCACTTCTTTGTCATAGTGCCCTATTAAACACACAATATCTAAGACATATAACTAAAATAATAACCTCTCGATTATCTGGATTTATGTGGAAATCAGAAGTGTTTATAAATTGGTGCATGAGAATGTCCCTCTTCCTTCTCCAGTACTGCAGCTGGCACAGCAGCTACAACAAGGCCATCAACTACCTGGTAACCGTCCCCAAGTACAGACTCCAGGCTACAGAGATCGCCAAGCAGCAGGGCCTCCTCAACCGCACTAAGGAGAGGGGTAAGAACCGCCGCTCTAAGGAGGAGATCCGAGAGCAGGAGGAGGAGGTGATCCGTGAAATCATCAAAACTAAGATTGACATTAAGGGAGGCTACCAGAAGCCCAACCTGTCGGACATCCTGCTCTGTCAGATCATCCTCTTTCCCTACTACTTGACCAACTACGTGACCTGGTACGTGTCCTGGATTTACCGCTTCACGATCTGCAGGGAGGAGTATGGAGACGAGGAGAAGCTCTACATCATCAGGTCAGCCGTGTCAGAAACTTGAGCTTAGATACAGCGTTGTTTTGTTTTTCTCCTCTATATCATAACTCTTCCTTTTAACCCTCAGGAGGTACATGAAGATGTCTCAGTCTCAGTTTGACGGTCTGGACGATCACAACAAAGAGACCTTCCTGGAGAAAAAACTCTGGATCAAAGAAAACTACGAGGTGTGTTTCTTCACTCTGTCAAACCATTCTTTCTCTTTTATTCATTTGCTCTTGAACTCTTACTGAGTTATTTTCTGTCCGCCCTTTTCCCTCCTCTCTCAATCCTTCATTTTATCCACTTAGTAAATAAACCTGCCAGAGGCGGGCCCGTAACCTTCTGGCAAACAGCTACAGTGTGCCCGCCCGTAAGCCAAGTCAGCGGTGCCTCTGATTTGTCGATCCCGTAGCCTTAATAACATTGACACAAACGTGTTTGTTTTGGCTGTAACCAGGCTGTAAACTTGTTTATTTTTGCTCTCACAAGTTGACTTCTCTAGATTAGTGTAAACATGGTACACATGCTTCCAGTGCGTCCGCAGACAGCCCCGAGAGGGTACATTGGGAACTGTTTTCTGTCACCTCAGCTTCGGCTACATTTCACAAAACTGGAGGGTGGCGCTTGGTTGTGATTGGAAAACTGTGCTTTTATTTTGAAGTATAAACTACTTGGGGCAGATGGTGAATGACACATTTAAATGAAAATGTGAAATAACGATCTGAAAGTGTAAATGTTCTGCTGACTAACATGAAAAAACGCAGTTCTTTCATAGCACTTACTAAGAAGGTATAAACCTTGAAATCTTTGTTTTTTAGGTGTACAGAAGGGAACAGGAGGAGGAGATGAAAGTGAGGATGGCAACTGACCCGAGGATGAAGAGGTACAGACGCTGGATGAAGAACGAGGGGCCCGGCCGCCTCACATTCATCGATGACTGAATGTCACAAGCTCCTTCTGTGACAAACACGCCTGCCTCAGTGCCAACAAAGTCGGTCACACGCCGTGCTGTGTGGAGAAACGCCTGTACAGAGAGTCACCTACGCCTGTTTATACAGCCAGAGATATTTTCATAGCAATCAGGACTCACGCAGACGATGTCAAAGTGGAAGAACTGTGAGCATGGGCTGCAGATTTTTCACTAACTTTTGAAATCACGTTTCCTTTTTTTTTTCCAAACCAACATTTCTGTTTTATTTGTTTTATTTCAATAAAGATTAATGTTTTTTTTTTCAGTGATCCTCGCCAGCTAATTTTTGTTTCACCTGCTGGTTGGGTCAGGTAGAAAGGTCAAGTGTTTATGCACGGCACCATGCAACAGGAAGGCTACCAGTTTGTCCGGCAACGGCCAGTAAAACTGTAAAAGTGTCCTTGGACGAGGTCTCGGACTGCCGTCTGCTCACTCTCTCTGTATGCTGCTTCAGATTGTCAGCTAAAAAGGCTGTTGACTTTTGTTGTTTTAATGATGAATAAACCAGGGCCAGAGACTTTTTTGTTTCTTTTCTTCTACTTTTTTTGACAAGAGTGGTGGTTAAAGATTGATTCTGACAAGTATTTTTTGTTTTGAGCAAAATCTTTGGCATAATGCTGCGTTCGAGTTATCTCAGATGTCAGATATCAGAGCTAAAATTGACGTCACACCCGAGTAACCAGCGTTTTGGTTGCCAAGTCCGAGAAAAGCAAAATCAGAGGCGGAAAAGTTATTTTAACGTTATTTTAGCCTCGTCCAAATACAACAAGGACAAGGCAAGCGCTAAAATAACCTTCATAGATATAGCCATCTTGTTTCCGCCTCCGATTTAGCTTTTTTTCCGACTTGGTAACTGAAACGCTGGTGATTTGGGTGTGACGTCATTTTTAGCTCCGACATCTGACTTCCGAGGCATTAAATACCTTAAGCTGAACATGCTGGACAGCAAACAAACCACACAGTTCAAGGTTTTCCATTAACAATAAAAATTAACATATATTTTGAAACATACAAAAACAAACAATACAAGGCAGAAGGACGATAGAAGGCCAATGTCATTCCAACATTAACATCAATTGTCTGTGAACTCTATAACAGTGAAATGTTCTGGATTGGACTCAACCTTTAATTTTATTACATTTCAGTAACAATGCATTAATAATAATTCATATTATCATGTTGAGATGATCACAATCATACCTTTCTTTACATAAAGTAAAACATATACAAGTGCAGAAAACACAGACCTCAGGAGAATCTGTCTTCTTTTTTTAAGTGCGGTTATAATAAGAGATGTAATCTGCCCGGCAACTAATACATCATAGGAAATACTCAGACTGAAGGTTTTACTCATCTTACTTTAGCCATCTAAAGTAAGTAAAGCAGTAAAGTGAGAGATCTGATTGGTTGAATACATAATGGACGGCTCTCTAATCTCTTTAGTTTCTTTTGTGTCCAACAGATTCGCTGTTACTCAAAGTTAAAATATAAACTGAAGGTAATTATTCACGGGTCGCTGCTTTAAGTGTTCAAAAAAGGACAATTCGATTAATCTGAACCCCAAAGTCTCGAAATACAGAAGTACACAAGCTAAGAGGGATTCGAAACATAAAAGTTTTTTTTTTGTGGTTGAGAATACTAGAGATTTTCCTGTGTTGTTTAAAGAATTATTACTTCCAGTTGTAGGTATCACAGGCCTGTTATTATCATGACACCTTTGCTTCATTCAGGTTAATTTTCTAAAAGATCTGAAGAAACTCATGAGTAACCATCAAATTCATCATTTCTGTCATCGGTCGTCTTTGCTTGTTTACATCCAGGTAGTAGAGCATTGTAGCATTAAGGCAATAGCTATTATGTTGAGCGGAAGGCCCTGTTAGTAGATTGCACCACTGCTGAGATGAAATATAACTCTGTCATATCAGGCCAACAGTCTAAGAATATTTGTTAGTAATGATGTTTTATCATTTAGTCTATGAACTGGACACATCTTTAGAATTAATGTCCAAAAAGAAAAAAAATCTTCTTGAGTTTGATGAATATTTCAAGAACTGAATATTTAAAACATTTCTGCCAACTCCATGGAAACTACAGATCTTAACTCTTAACTATTAAATTTGACTCAAATTTCAGAGCTCTTACAACATTTTAGACATATTTAACCTCTTGGCTACAAGAGTTTTTAATTGGTTATGAAACAGAATGAAAGTAGCTCCGATTCCTCCTCATGACCAAAATCAAGAGCTGAGCTCATCAAAACAAGGAATTTTCCTTTTCTCGAAGCTTGTTTTACATCCTGAATCACAGCTATATATGGTAGCAGTGAGACCAAGTGACAAACAGTACTTTGCTCAGACAGCCTCTGTAACTTTTTAAAAAATATAAGTGTTGCCAAAATTGTAATGCCTTTTTCTCACAATTTCTCCATCCATGACATATAAGAGAAAGCCAAAAAAGATTATTTTAGTCCAAGTCAAAATATAGTTTTAAAAATGTATCGATCGGTAAAAACCTACGAGGGTTATTCTTAAAAAATGTGTTTAAATATTAGCAAAATAATCCAGTTACAAACTTTTAAAACAAGTCTGAATCGGTCATTCTGTTTCTGCAAAACCTTCAGTCTGGAGTAAATCAGAACCAACTAAAAATGTACAGTTATTAAACGGGGATTTTACGCCTTCACCTGTTTTAAATCTCTTTGTGTTAAAGACATCTGCGTGTGTCCTCTTACTGCATACATACATACATACATACATACAGAGCTGATTACACTTCTTTATAAGTAAAAACTGGGATACTTTATGTTATAATTCTATCAACTCAGACATAAAGTTATTGGAATTTCAAAAACCTTTGAAACTGAAACCTGTACTGGATCAGCAGCACAGTTTGTTTTTCTTGTGGTTTCTGGTGAAAATTGAAGTTGATCATACTCAAACTGTCCCAGTCATCTCCTTTTTTCCGCTTGAAGGTGCATCATATCATGTTCTCCACTCTTTTAACAAACAATGTCCGCCATTTACAATCCATCAACGGGTTTTTTTAAGTTCAAAAATCGGCAAACAAATACAAGAAAAATTCCTCTGGGATGAGATTTTTCACATCGAAATGAACCACAGAGGACAGAAGGAGCTTTGGCCGAGTTTCTGTTTCGCTTCTCCGTCCTCTTTCACTTCATCGTTGACGTAGCAAAGACGACACGAGAGCAAATCCAAAGGCTTGAGTGAAATCACGAGAAAAAGCTGTCTAATCGTCTTTGACAACAAACAACTCCACGACAAGAACGGGTTTTGGCAATGATATAAAAGGCAAAAAAAAGCCCCCGTTTTTTTTTCTTTTTTTTTTCCAAGCACAGTTTTGACTGCAGATGTCTTCAGATGGATGGAGGATTTTTAACCCTCTTTTATGGATATTCAGTCTGTGTGGGTGAGATGGGGCCAGTGAAAGCAGCACAGCAAATGACGGTTAAATCTTTCTTGTTTTGTCCTGTACAACCGTAAACCATCGAGCTTGGTTAAAGTTTATCATCAGCATTTCTCCCTTTAGGTTTACAAGGCTTCAGGGGCCCAGCTCTAATGTTTAACTACAGCGACCTTTATCCTTGTGAATCCATTTGTATGGAAGTGCCATAAAAGAAAAAAAAAGCAACAATTACATGAGGCATTGAATCCTTGTGGTTGGTTAGTCTGGAGTTTTTTGGAAGAGTGCAAGAAACAACAAAAAGAGGGGAAAAAATATTGTTTCATTCTTAAATATTTGGTTCAAAGTTGAAATTGAAAACAAATTTGTTAATTTAAAAACATCCAACATCATTGAAAATAAAACCACTTATTTTTTCTGATGCCTTGTATAGACTTCTCAATATTATACCAATATAAAAAGTATGTACTTAATAAGTACTACAGTACAGTAATAAGATCAAATTAAAGCCACACTGACAAATAATCAGTTCAATTTTGGGCACTGTTATCATCTCTGAAAAAGGCTCTCAGGATTATCCTGTCAGCTTTTCCCGGGTGTTACAGTGGTTTCATTTTGTCAATCTGCTCAGAAGAATGTGGTTGATATGATTTTTGATATCCATATTTACCGTCATAGCTGTGCTATCTGAGTCACACTGGACCGCAAGAGATTTTGTGAGACCTCCAGTTTAGAGAGCCGGTACTCTGGTTGTTGGTCATCAAATCTGTAAGTGTGTAAAGCGCACTACACACACACGGACCTCTAAAGAACTAATTTATTCTCATCTGTTACTATCTGACTGTTACTAATCTGCCACCGTGTGTAAGATCTGGCATTTTCCAACAACAGTCAAGACTGGTCTCAGATTTCCTCAGATAAAACAAAAAGTTTTACTTATTTTTCGTGCTGAATTAGAAAAGGATGAAAATGTAGGTATTACGCCGTGAGTTCTTACTTTGACTTGGTATGAGATGACCACCTCAAATCTTTCTTCATAGTTTTTTTTTTTTCTTTTATGGCAGAAACGGGCTTCCATACATTTCTACATCTGGTCCTTATAGAGTGGGATAACAGAATTCATCAGTGTTGATCTGCGTCGTTTGTTCCTGTTTTGAGATTTTTTCTTCTAGCAGCTCCAGAAACCAGCCCCAGACTTCACTTCTTTGCGTTTTCTCAGATATGATGGCCAGATATGTTTGCTGATGTAGGAAACAGTTTGGACTTGTACCTGAATCTTCTTCTTCTTCTTCTGTTTCCTGGTCGTGAAGCACAAAGAAGTTGACCAACTGAGTGGTGTGCCTCAGATAGGCAGATCAACAATTTTAAAGTTTGCACACTAGAGGGAGTAAACTTCGTTCTCAGGCGGCCTCCTGAGGAGGGTCTCCCAGGGTTTTTGAAATGTTTTGGATAATTTGATGTAAACCACGGTCACAGTTTTCCTTGTGTTTGTGGGCTTCAGAAAGTCATAGATCTGATTCTTCAACATCAGCTATTTTTTTTTCCATTTCCAAATGTTCCTGGAACTCAAAAGAAGCCAGTCCTCTGAGTATCCTTCCCATCCTTTTCCATAGTCAGAGGACTTTTAGTGTCTTAGTTTTTCATTGATGGTTTGAGGAACAAGCACTTGATCAGTATGAAGGGGGGGGGCTCAGCATGTCCACAGAGCCTTAAGAAGTTTTGACCAGGTCGTAGACGTAAATGAGGAAATCGTCGTCAAATTTGATGAAGTAGACCGATGGTTTGGCCTCCACCTGGTGGATGACCATGCCTGTTCGCTTGCCCCCGTCCTCTTTGGCGTACTCCACCTGTTTGCCCACCAGGCTGTCCACCACCTCTCCGGGTTCCCTCTCTGCGGGGACGCTGTCATCTACAGTAGGACACAGAGGGAGAGGATTTACTGACCATGTCCTGCATCTCAACTGGACTTTCTGATAGGACTGAAAACAAAGAGCAGCTGGGACTTTTCTTGTCGATATAAAGACACATCTGCCAAGACAGATCTGTTGGAACTTAGAGCTGATTTTGTGTTCATATTTTGGCTGTTGTTGTTTTTTTCATTTCAAAACAGGGTTATGAAAATAATTTCTCCTCTGCTTTTAGTCTATGGGCTGAGATATTTTCTGTGTTTTACAATAATATATACAATAATATCATCTTAAAGGAGACCCTCTTGTAGGACTGGGTGATTTGGTAAAAGAAATTATAAGGATATATTTTGTCATATCGTCCGATCTCGATTTTTATCTGTTTTTTTTCTTTTTTAATTGCTAGTTTTAAAGCATCTGTACTAAAAACTAAAGAAACTAGAGATTAGTTCAACATTTTATTAACATAAGAAGTTAATAAAGCAAATTGAATAAGATAAACTTAAAACCCATAAAACCCAGTTTAACTCAACAGTATAAGTTAGAGCTGGGGTACTCACAGGACTCTGTATAAATGCTTATACTATAAAGGCATTATTGTGAGCCATAAACTAGAAGAACGACTCGGCATCTGAAACCTTTTATCTATACAATCAATAACTTCCTGCAGTCAGACCACAGCCATGCATGAGGTCTCCACAAGCTCTTTTTGGGGAGCGATGCACCACAGCCGCCACTACAAAGAGACAGGAAACTTTTTACCAGGATGTTGTGCCATCTTTGACTTCTAAGCCAACCGACTGGTAAAAAACTAAATCAAAGAGACTTCCTAATCTTTCATGGGTCTGCATACCAGCACCATCAGTGCCTCCTGAGTGTGAGTGTTCTGCTGCTAAGCTGGAGAAAAAGAATTTATAACGACTTTGACTAACATCAGACAAGATGGGCATGTTTATTTTAGAAAACTGAGCACTGAGTCTTAAATACTTTAGTGCTCAGCTCTCTTGTAGCAGCATTTTCACATTGTATGACTATGTCTGCATTGATTCCTCTTTTTTGAGCCTGTTCTGCACGTTGATATTAATTGACTCTAATAGATTTTTGTCAAATGAATTTTGGAAATCTATCCAGCCAACTTGAATTATTAACAATAAAACTATAACGTGAATACTGCAATTAAAATAATAAAAATCACTCTGATGGTAAATTGGTCTCTATTTTGCTTTAATTATGTCTAACAAGCTGAATAAGGCAGCTTCACTCACTGGAGTCAGGCATGATGCGGAGGTCTCCCTCCTTGTAGTCGTCCAGCAGCTGGTACATGTAAAGGACCGGGTCTTTCTCGTAGGTGATGTAGAACCAGGTGGTCATGATGGGAGCACGGGCCAAAACCATCCCCCTCCACTCCTCCTTTGGACCCTCCTCCGTCTCAAACATGTGCTCCACTGCTTTACCGATCATGGTGTCTGCTAGGTTGACGTCTGTTAAACGGGATTTCGCTGCAGGGAAACACAAATCCATGTAAAGAAGAGCACTACTTCACTTTTCAGCACTTTCTTGTTTCTTTCTATCTCAGTTGATTTGACAGTTTTAAAATCTTATAACCAATAAATACACTTTTTCATTCCAGATGTAGTGAACTCACTGTGTGGTCCTCAATCTCCACTGTGTGATCCTGATCTCAATTCAGTCTTACCGAGTCTGTCAGGGAGCACCTCCAGACCTTGAACCCGCTCGTCTTTATGAAGCTCCAGACCATAAACGCAGTCGAAACCATCGTACTTAATCAGGTAGAGGGATGGGTTCACTGGCACCTGGTGGACATACAAACACAAATGGTAATTATTGTGTTGTTTGAAATGTGTTGTAGGTCTTTCCGTCAGTGATTACTCCACCCTCGGTTTACCTGGTCCAGCACAGTTCCTTTCCAGACCACATGTCCCCCTCCTTCCTTCCACACATGCTGGATTCTGCAGCCGACGATGTTGCGTCGTGGCTGCGACAGAACTTTGGTGGTCGGGCCCAGACTGCTCTTATGTTTTCTTTGAGAAAATAAAAACAACATTTGTTATTGAGGTTGTGTTTTTTTGTTTGTCATTTTAGTTGCACAGAAACAGTCCTACAGCTACAGAAAATTTGAGTGAAATTATTCTGGTCTGGCAGAAATCAACACAAAAAAAGAGATTCAGAATGTCGGAGCATTTTGACTCACTTGTGGGGATTCTTTTTCTTCATCATATTTGCAGAAACACCTGCATGCCCTGAGGAGACAAACACACAACAGCACAATCATCAGACACTGTTCAAATCAAAACTCTTTGTTTGTTAACAAATGTCAGTGTTTTGTGTAACAGCTCATTTACTTTTCATTGCTTGGCTGGTTTGAACACACAGCAGCTTGACCTGTGTTTTGGAAAAATCACCAAAAACACACAAAGCCTCTAAATATGAACACAATAGTCTAGTGATGCATTTAAAATACGCAGAGGCTTTTAAAATGTTGATGCTGGCGCATCCCTGAACTCATCAAGAAAAATAAACATCAAACTGGGAAGACACAGAACACAACAGATAATATAAGAGTTAGGATTTCTGAAGTGGAGACACCAATGATAACACATACACTCACCGACCACTTCATTAGGTAGGTTCACCCGTTAAGTTGCTTGTTAAAACAAACAGCTAATCAGGAAATCACACGGCAGTAACTCAGCGCATTTAGGCATGTAGATGTGGTCAAGATGACTTGCTGAAGTTCTAACTGAGCATCAGAATGAGGAATTAAGTGACTCTGAACATGACATGGGTTTTCACACACAACCATCTAAAATGTCTACAGAGAACGGTCAGAAAAAGAGAAAATGTCCTGTGTGCAGCAGTTGTGTGGACCAAATTGCCTTGCTGATGTTGAGGTCAGAGGAGAATGGGCAGACTGGTTCAAGATGATAGAAAGGCTACAGTAAGTTAAAGAACCTCTCATTAAAACCAAGGTATGCAGAACACCGTCTCTGAAAGCTCAACACCTCAAACCTTGAAGCAGATGGACTACGACAGCAGCAGAAGAGCAAAAGGTCTTTTACACCTGTCAGCTAAGAACAGGAAACCGAGGCTACAATTCACACAGACTCAATGGACGATCTGAAAAAAGTGTTTGCTGGATTTCAGCTGAAAAGATTCAGTTTGTGGATCAGCATTTGACAACATGAAAGCATGGATCTATCCTGCCTTGTTTCAGCAGTTCAGGCTGGTGGTGGTGGTGGTGTAATGGTGCTGGGGATGGCACACTTTGGGTCCCTTAGTATCAACTAAGCATTATCTAAACATCACAGCCTACCTGGGTATTATTGCTGACCATGTTCATCCCTACCATCTTCTGTTGGCTACTTCCAGTAGGATAATGCACAAAGCTCAAATCATCTCAAACTGGTTTCTTGAACATGAAAGTGAGTTCACTGTACTCTAGTGGCCTCCAGTCACCAGATCTCAGTCCAATGGAGCTCCTTTGGGATGTGGTGGAACGGGAAATACTTATGGATGTGCAGCCAACAAATCTGCAGCAGCTGTGTGATGCTCTCATGTTAATAAGGACAAAAACCTCTGGGGGATGTTTCCAACATCTAGTTGAAAGAATGCCATGAAGAATCAGTTCTGAAGGCAAAAGGGAGTCCAACACGGTACTCGCGAGGTGTACCTGATAAAGTGGCCTGTGAGTGTATGGTGGCCAGTTATCGTGGGTTTACAAAGTCATTATTTAAGTCTTGAACATTATGATTTTTTATCTGTAATGTAAGTTAACTGACAAACCAATCAACAGTAAAAACTGTAACTATGCACTATGTGTGCATAAGGTGAGGTTGACCTCTGACCTGCATCAGCAGTGTCTCTGGGTCCCGGAGTGTTCTTCATTCATCTGGAGGCAGGGAGGCAGCCAAGCTGCCCGGCCACGCAGCTACAGAACACACCTGTTCAGAGCTGTAACACAACATAGAGCAGATTATTATTATTACCTGTGAGTTAAAGTCAGATGAGCAGACTCTGAGAGATAGTATACTATCCAACAGATCAGCTTCTCTGACATCTAGTGGTTGAAGGTGAGAATTACAATAACAGCACCAGGCCTCACGTCTGGCAAACAGATCACCGATATATGTCTTGTCTTATCTCGGAAAATGCCGATTTAGTTGTGCTTACCAGGAATCCAGTATGGAGGAGTGTTGATGATTTGGTGGTTTTCTGGGTTGTCAGGACTCAGGTGTTCATCTGCAGGACAAAACCAGAGTTACACCTGCGGCAGCAAAACAAAGTCAGCAATTACTCTACAGTTTTCACAAATCTACTCTGAACACATTATTCTGACCTCCACGGATAAGTTCAATCTCAATCTTGTTTATTTGGTTAAACTTTTCATTGAGACATAATGCCATTCCAAATTCCACTCTGTAGTTGTCATGAAAACTAGATTCCTGATAGAGGCCCAAGAAATCTAACCAAGAACAAGCTAGCAGATTTGATTAAATCTTGTTTAACCCTTACAAAGAGCGATTTAGCCGTTGGCTGATTTTTAAGGCGGATTAATTGCATTTCTCAGTCATCAGCATCATATTGGCAACAGCTGATATCACAATGTTTTATTTATACTTTAAAAATCTATTTAAACATGTGACTAGCTAAGATAGCTTTGATAATTTAATTTTAATGTGCATAAAATAACACATTTATGACTTTTTATGATGGCAGTAGTCACCCTTTAGTTTCAGTTCTTTGTTCATAATTTTTGTTGGCTGGACAGACATCCAAAATTTCTTTTATATTTAACTTGGCAAAATACTTTCCCGCCTACAGTTATCCAATAAAATCTTCACGATTTTGTCATTTGTCAGTGTTATTGAATAGTTTGTGAAAAGCAGCGAGTGTGGGGCAGTCAGACACTCTCCTCTGACAGTGAAGGTGTCTGATGGTGGATGTTGTAGCCTCAGGGTGACATCTTGGATAATGCCCTGAACTCTGACTGCAGGCTGCATTATTCATCAGCAGGAATCACAGGCTTCATGTTTTATTTATCACAGCAGCAACTGAAACTCCACTCAAGACACAAACACTCAGTTTATGACCGAAAAAGCAGACATCAGATACTCCGCTGACACAGGGGAGGGTTTAGTGACCTTTGCTTATGTTTACATCTGAGAAAAACTTTCTGGCTTCGTGTCAGTCACCGTAGAGGTTTGTGGTATGATCAGAAATTCAAATCACGTTGCATCAATGTGTGACTGTGCATGAGAGCAGAGAGACTTTTTTATAAACCACTGTGTTCAGTTCTCAGCAGGTTGTAGCTTCTGACTAAATCTGTGTGATCTGAATCTTCATTTCTCTTCTATCTGCCTGTTGAATTATTTCTGTAGTATTTTCAACATACGCTGCAGAGATACAAACAACCCTGCAGCCACAGGTGAAGAGAGGAGAGCAAGGAGAGGAGCAGGCGGAGGAGAGTGTAGGTGTTTGGTGTGCATCTGAAAAGCATATAGAGATCGATCTGTATCACAATAAAATGCAAACCTGATGGTGCATTTACACCAAGCACAAACTTATTCCCGCAAGTGAATTACATGTTAAGTCTGTGTAAGGATTAGGGGTGGGAATCACAAGTGGCCCGACGATACGATATTTTCACGATACTTCGGCCACGATACCATATTATTGCGATTTTTAAAATTTTGCAATACAGTGAGTATTGTGATACAATATATCGCAATTTATATAATATTTTCGACTGTTTCGCAAATTCAGCATTTGTCTTTCCTTTATGTTTGTTTTATTTACGCTGTACTTTAGTTTCATGTAGCACATCTTGCTAACCTTGCAGTATTTGTTGTACTAACTTTCTCCTGCTCTATGATGTCACCTCTGCCAACCTCACTGGACAAACAGTTGATTTTATTTGTACATTACCATAGATTTGACTTCATATTAGCAATTAGTTTGAAAAATGGATACTTGGTAAATAAGATGATACGATACATCACCAGACAAAATATCGCAATATTATGCTGTATCGATTTTTTCTCCCACCCCTCGTAAAGATGCATGTTCTTGTCGACGCCAATGAAATCCGAACACAAACCTAATCCTTGCCTTGAATCAGCAAGATGACAGATGTAAGAATTTAAAACAATTTCAAACCAGATCACTTTGTATTTTCTCCTTTCAGGGGTATGAAGAGGTGAAACTCGGTTGGGCTGGTGGGAAAGAATCAGAGTTCAGGCCTTAAGAGGATCAGTCTCTGAAAGGCTTCATGTCCCGAACATGAGACTTCAATTATTGATCAGCAGAGCCTGTGAGTAAAGCCTGTGGTCTATTATTTATCTGCAGACTGGGTGTTGTGTAACACAATCGACCCTCTTGCTGCTCGATGCACCCCTAACAAAAATACAAGTATGACCAGGATTGTTTTAAGGAGAACCGGGGAAATTAAAATGTTACTAAGAGTGAAATTAAGATCAAGAAAAGAGCATGAAGAGCTGCTACACTGATTTTTTTTCTTTTACTGGCACATTAACAGAAATATCCACGTGCATCTTACAACCAATCCTGACTCAGGCTCTGTCACCAGCTAAAATCTGAAGCTGAAATATGCCTCTGGGAGTAACGGTGAACTTTTCTAGAGTTCAAGTGCAGTCAGCAGCTGGTGACGACTGACCTTCGGCCAGGACATCTCTGTCAGTGCAGAGCATAGAGAACCTCATCCCCTCACATTTGCAAACCAAACATTATCTTTTCTTGGCTCATTATTACATCCCCAGAGAAGCACCTGCTCCTCTGTTTCTGGTGAGTCTCAGTTTCACAGTGGATGGTTAGTTGTGCAGAGGCTTCACTCTGGCTTTCTTCAGAAGTATGAACCCAATACAGAAAACTACTTTCTTACAAATTTGATAGTCAAGCTTTGTCAGGTCTGTTCTAAAGATGAAATAAAACCAACTATCATCCCAATCATTCTAGGAAGTCAGTAAATCTAAACACTGATCGACTCTTGTAACAGGACGTCGAGCAGATGTTTCTCAAGTTAAAATATTCGATGTGGGACAGATTCTTGGTACAAACTTTCATGCAGATGTACTGTAGAAAGACTACAGCTGATCTGTTCCAGGATGTCATTACTATGGATTGTGTTACTCATGTTCTCTCTCTTCTTATTACCATTATTTGATGAGACAGCTGAAGACAGACAAGAAAGACAGAGAGAAGGATTAGAGGTGACTTGTACTAAATAAACTCAGCACTAAAACTAAGGAAATTTGTGTTTTGTGGATTATTTCTTTGATGTAACAATGTTTCTTGGCAATAAGTCTTGGACTGTTGGAAAGCCTGTTTCCTTTCCTTTTAAATGGTGCCACATTTGTAAGCAGAACTTCATTTGATCCCCTGAACTGTTCAACAGAACTGTAAACGGTAAAGGAGCCATTATGAGCCGTTAGGCTTAGCATGCTGACCGGACTAACATCTGACGTCCATATGTCTGTGGTAAAACTCACGTGTAGTCCGTTCTTGTCGATCAGGTTGTGAATGTTTGTGGCGACAATATCACAGAGTGCAGGAAGAGACACATCCGAGAAGAAGCGGCGGCTTGGGAGAGTGTAACGTGGCTCCAAGTGTGCTATGAACTTACGAAAACCCGGGTTCTCGACGACGGAAAAAGGCTGGTCGTCGACCGCTATGAATTCCATCACTTTGTCGTTAATGGCTTTAGCCTTTTCGCTGTCTCTTGAGAAGCTTTTGCAGTTTTTAGACGCCTGCTGAATGGGGACATCGATCCTTGTTGTCTTAGCTTTAGTACCGCTAGCAGCTTCGGCGGCTGTCTCATATTCTTTTAATACTGCTTCGCCGCGATGGCGACTTTTCAGATGAGCTATCAGATTCGTTGTGTTAAAACTTGACGTCTTCTTTCCTCCTCTTGAAATCCTCGCTGAACAGGTTTTGCATATAGCAATGCTGTTGTCATCTTCTGCCACTGAGAGAAACGACCATGCTAGTGAAGACATTTTATTATCTGTCAGGCAGTGACGGGGTCAGGCTTGGGACCTGCGAGTAAAGCTTGATAGAGGACGTGACCAGCGCGTCTCGGACGGGCGGCTACTCCGCCTGCAAACGTTACTCGTAATTTCATTAATATATCGGATCTTTCTATCGGAAAAATGCACCTATCGGACCGATAAAAAATGACGTAATTTCCCCCCAAATCGGCCGATATTTTATCGGTCCGATAAATATCGTGCATCCCTAATGGATTGTGTTACTCATGTTCTTTCTCTTCTTATTACCATTATTTGATGAGACAGCTGAAGACAGACAAGAAAGACGGAGAGAAGGTTTAGAGGTGACTTGTACTAAATAAACTCAGCACTAAAACTAAGGAAATTTGTGTTTTGTGGATTATTTCTTTGATGTAACAATGTTTCTTGGCAATAAGTCTTGGACTGTTGGAAAGCCTGTTTCCTTTCCTTTTAAATGGTGCCACATTTGTAAGGAACATGTATTTGTGGGATGGGCAGCAAAGCTGAGTATGTGGGTTGTGCCAGTGAAAATGTTGCCAAGTCTTCTCCGCCAATGCCAGACAGCCTATTTCGCTGTTGCTATTGACTCTTGTTTTGAGCTTCTGGTACCCCAGAACAGGCCCTGCAACAGTGGTCCGTAGGTGTCTGCTATGAGAATCGGCATGCCATGTTGACTGACCTGGACAGGGCCCTTGCAATAGGGCAACTACAAGCTGGTGCTCTACAAAATACAGTTGGCATCCCAAGGCAGCATCTCCCTCACTGGAAAGACGAGGCTTGTCTGTCACCATTAGAAGAAATCTCAATGCAGAGAGATAATTGAGATGAGATCCTGCAACCAGTGGCATTCCCAAATCTCCACAGTCTGGGATCGAACTCTATCCTCTAAGATGACTACACTCTTCCTCAAAGAATGGGGTTTATCAGAGGTTTCCTCCAGAATTTGGGGGTGGAGAGGATGGACAGTCCTGACCTCAGCTTCATTGAACACTTGTGGGATCAGCTTGGGTGTGCTCTTCCTCCCAGAGTGACCAACACAACCACAGTGGCTGACTTTGGAGAAATGCTGGTTGAAGAATGGGATGCCATCCCAGAGTAGAGTGCGATCAGGCCGGTGACCAGCATGAGGGGAAGGAAGTTCCAGGCCAATACGTCTTTTTTCTACAGACTTCAATCATCCAATCAACCAAACAAGTCAATGGAGGAAGAAGCTGTCAGGCATTGGCAGAGAAAACTTGGCAACATTTTCATGGGTGGAACCCACATACTCAGCTCTGCTGCTCACCCCACAAGTACATGTTCCTTACAAATGTGGCACTATTTTCAAGGGAAATACACAGGCTTTACAACCATATAAGATTTATTGCCAAGAAGCAACAATATAATACAACAAATAAATAATCTACCAGACACTAATTTCCTTACTTCTTGAGCTAAGTTTAGAAAGAGGACTGAGTCACAGCTGCCCCTTAGAATGAACTGGACAGTGTATGATCAGCCAGCTGACAAAAACATGTAATCAGAGTGGACAATAACAAGATGAGACGACCTTATTGTTTCTCAAAGCACTTGCCCCTGCTTCAATCTGATTCCAGCATGAGAAAGATGCCCTCTGCATGTGTGTGTGCCAGCCCCACCCCTGCATGTGTTGAGTGTACAAACGAGAAGAGCCAGATGCACAGGCTTTAAAGGCAAAATAATGAAAAACGAGACAAATCCCTGCATTTTGCTGCGCTAAGAGAGGGGACAGTCATTACAGGCCTCTTCAGAACAAACCTGATATCACTGATGGCATCTTGTGATTTGTTATACCTTAGAGTGATGGGCTAATGAAGGAAAGAAAAGTGACAAATTTGTGTCTTGCTGATCAATAAAAGAATCCAAAATATGATCCTCTCTCAGTTAAATGAACTATGGCAAATGCGATCTGTTGCTTTAACAGTCGAACAAAGCCCTAAGATTTTTACAACCAACATATAACCTGATACTTCGTTGGTACCAGGTGATGACCCACTTATATGCTGTGCAACATATGTATATTCTCTAATTAAGCTTTCAGAGTCAACTTCAACACTGAAACAGACCCCTGCTAACCGCTCAGTGCTGGCTACCTGCAAGAAGAACTAACCAACCTGAAACATAGAGACATTTTGCAGCATTTGACTGCAGCTGGTGGTGATTTCCCTCCTGTTGCCATGAGTAACACAAGATTAGTCATCTTTTGTCACAAGGAGCCCAATGATGCTAGACAGGGGCAGTGGAACGCTCAGCTTAGACGAAACTGAAACCTGAGAGGTAGAAATCGGAGCAAAACTGGGAGTAAAACTACATCCTTCTGTGCACAGACGCACTGAAAAATCTGTCGAACACTAAGCGTTTCACTCTGTCCTCCGCCGAAACATCTGGATCGTATAAATCCCCTGCACTGCCCAAACTGTTAAAACATTCAGACTTCAGCTCAGTGATTCTACAAGAACAATAAGGCAGGGGGTTTTCCTCACATGTGTTTTTCCACAGTAGCTCTGCTGCTTTTGGGTAAAACTATGATTACTTGCTTTTCGCACCCATTGTTTTCACTGTAATATTTCTCCTAACCACGGTCAGTCAGTTTTCACATGAAGACTGATTGTGAATGGTAAGAACCTAACTTGTTGCCATGGAAACATTTGAAACTAACCTCTGTGCAACAATCTAGCAGAGCTCCTCATCTGCTGTAAAACATTCAAAGCTTGCCTCCATGTTTTACTGCTGTAGAGCTGTAAACATAAACACTAGCAGTGAGCATTTAGGCTCCAATTTAGAAAGACATGTTATACTGTTGCTATGTGTGCATGTGCAACAATCACAGCTCAAGACAAAGGAGTCAATCCGACAACCTGACGTGTCTTGTTGGCCGGATGAGAAACCAAAGGCCCCTAAGCTAGTTTCTTGTTCTTGGTCTTGTTTCTTGTTCTCCATGATTGATCAGGTCTACAGGTAAAGTCTGTATGAAACTCCCATGGTGCAGCCACTCACCAAAATACACAGATAACTGACAGCTGTGTATGCAGAGTCTGTACGCCACCTGACCGTAGAATGTAAACATGCAAATGCTGCCAATGTCACGGATAAACTGACACAGTGCTATAGGCAGATGCTCGGCTAGGTTAGGCGGTTTCAAGAGAAGTTGTACCCCTAATAAACAGCACCTCCTGCTGGTGTTAATGAATGCAAGAAACACTTGCAGTATGAGACACACGGTGCGTTTACATGCACAGCTTAATCCGACTAAGCTCATAATTCGTTTTTTTTGCCGAATCGGACTTCTCTCCTTGTCCGCGTATACATGAGGCTGAGAAAATCGAATTGGGTCCTGGATATGGGTCTTTCCAGCGGCACTGTTTCCGGTCGACTCAACAACAACAAATACACAGAAAACTGTGTATAAGAGCTAAATGACAGAAAGTATGACATAGGATTCAAATGTTTGATTATCACAGAAATTATCTGATTTAGATTCTTTTTTATTTACAAATATCACAACATGTAATTTAGAGAGAAAAGAGCATTGCCAGTTTTTTTCCAATATTGTGTGGCTTTTTACTGTTAGCTAAAATCATTGCTGTTAGATCCTGCAGGCATACCCCCCCAGCCCCCGTTACGCCTCTCTCAACGCTGGCTCAGGGGTAAAACGACTTGGCCCAGCCGTCACGCCTTCATGACACTGATTTACCACAAGGTGCAACAGTCCTGACTCGAACAGGCTGTGTGAAAGAGGCCTTTGGCAAGCAGCCATGCCACAGCATAGAACTGTGAACTGTGTGTTTTTTAACACTGCTGCAGCCATGAGACTCCTGGGATCCAAACGACTCTAGAGAAGGAGTTTAATGCTAAACCGAGTCTACAGAGACTAATGTGGGACAAAAACTGAGCTGAGGGTCACATGGCAAACTCAGCTATAATCTTCTATGTTAGACTGAGCTACATTCATTTTTAGACAGGCCACCAAAAATGCGTATGTGTATTGACAGCTTCTCTTTGTTAGTCACATGACCATCATATAGCACATTAAAAAGGTTCCTCAAGAATAAGCCAAACTGATGACGTCAATAACATCAATGATATATTATTATAAATGTTTTCCACACAAATAAACCCACGAATTTCAAATCGCCAGGATGTTGACCAGTCAATCCATTTTAATAACAAGTGCCATAATCTATTGTGGAGTCTGTACCTTACATTACGTTACCCGTGCCACTCGCTATATAGACCATGTATAAGCTTGAACATTACCTTTCACATTAATAGAAGAGAGTCCGACGGGATTTAATGCGCTTGTTATGAAAATAACGTCATGTGTTCTCATGCTCACGCAGTGCCAGTAGAAATCATTAGTGGCGCATTGTTATTAATGATCACGTGAAATTTCAGTAGTGGCGCACCGCCGCTGCTGAATGAATATAGGGAAATCACTGCATTCAAACAGTGAGGTCTTACTTATGCTCATTAACGCGCCAGCCCACCTCCAGCAGTGTGTGAGGTGACACCCACAGTGGGGCAGGGTAAGGCTGGTCTGCTTCTCTACTGACTGACCACAATAGAAGGGGTGGAGCCAAAACATCAAGTTCTGCCCCTGGTCGGCCTCTGGAGAGGTGACCAATCAGAGGAAAGTGGGCTTATGGAGGGGGGCGCTTTAAAGAGACAGCAGTTAAAACAAAGCGTTTCAAACAGAGACTGAAATAATGATAATTTAATACACCACTGTGAGAACCTGGAGTCTTTTTCTGATCTGATAATCATGTAAAGCTATTAAAGAGGTATCAGAAAAGGAAATATAGAGTCTGCAAAAAAAATGCATGATACCCCCACCCCCCATTAAAGAATAAAAAAATACAGAATCGCAACTTCAGAGGCTATTAAAACTAAGAAACCATTCAGCCCCATTCATAAAAGTAGTGGCCAGGTTACAGTTTTTCAACAGCTAATGCCAATATTGATAATGACAGAGCATTACATTTGACACAATACAACAGTTCAATGGTATATAATTTATATCATAGTGCAAACAATGTGAAACTAAGTTGCTGAACGATATATTAGGATTCAAATATTGTGAATCAATTTCTAAAAAGTCATGTAAAGATCCATTTTTTATGCACAATAAAGTATAATATCAAGGTTATCTAAGCCAGGAACATATTTCCAATGGATATTTAATGATTTTAGAAAACACTATGGATTGTCTGCCTTGTGGGAAATTATACTATGGTTAAGGTAAAGCTAAGGCAAGAGGCAAGAGGCAATGCTTTGTTTTTGGGTCAAGCTGGTTGTGTTGCCGGACCTATGCTTACTTTATCCTTTCACAATTATCCATAATAAGCAAGAGTTGAAAACTCTGCGCGGTGTGTCTGTACAGCCTTGCTACACACCACCTGTCATACCTTTACACCCTCCAAGTTGTGTAGAGGGCGAGTAGAAATTGTACCACTGATGATTACTGTTAACATGCAGCCCTTTCAGATATCTCAAACAAAAGGTTTGGTTAGAAGGTTATATCCAATTGATGTAAACCTTATCTTTCTAAAGAATAAAATAAAATAAAGCTTCAAGATCTTGTATCTTGACTGATCTGCTGCAGATGTTTGTTAAGTTTAGGTGCCAAAAATAAAGAAAACCCCCACTACTTAAATGTTAAACCTGAATTTTTTGCTATTGGCTTGGTTGGAGATGCGCATCAACAGTAAGGTTGTAGTTTTACCTGCAGCACCAGATTCCAGGTGACCTCTGCTTTGATTTGCTTACAAGTTAATCAAAGGGGGCGTTACTACATGAAGCAGACAAATCAGCTTTCAATAACTGAGACACAAGAACACCAGGGGGGTGAGCACTAGCTTTGAATTACCAGCTAAATTACAATGAGAAACTGCAGCAAAAGCATCTGTCACAGGCTGTGCCCAACCGAACCTCATGTAAAAAGTAAAGGATTTTACTGCTTATAGGAAGCAGTTATAGCAGCCATTCACGCTCTTTTCTCTCTAGTTTATTTCCTGTCGTAGTAAAAAGTAAGAAAAGGTGCCAATTAAGCTTTGAGGTCATGTTAGAAAAATAAAAAATAAAACATCATCTGCACTGACAAACGAGCAAGCAGGTTCTGCAGGGCCAGCGTCAGCCATGTTGCTTGCCTTTTTTCTCTGATATTTACAGCCACATATGAGGGGAAATGAGCCGTTCGAGGGCTTCACTCAAGCAGACAACAGCATAACTGCCTTGCTCTTTTTTGGTGGAAAAGACAGAAAAATCCCAGACAGAAAGCCGCACCACCACCAGCAGCAGCAGACTGGGTTAGGTCTCTGGCTGTCTGCTTCCCCCCGCCCCTCCCCCGCCAGACCAACCGTCGGCGGGAGAACGTCAACGACAAAACGAGCGCTCAGCGTGTGTTGTTTTTGGCTGTTTACCTGCGGGCTGGCTCGCGAGCAAACTGACAGGTGCACGTTTGTTTCTGTCTTACCGTTTTATTTTTAAAAAATGGAGGACGAATCGGGCTGCGGCGGGGTGTCTCGCCTCCTGCTGTCTGTCCATAGAACCCGTTTCGACTTCACAGGAACCAGCAGAGACTCCACGGCCATCTCACCAATGAACGTTAGGCTAGAAACAGTCAACCACGTGACATCCGGTGGAGCCTTTCAAAATAAACGAACCAGCGCCTGGAAATAAGTCCAGTAATTTTTGTAAGCAGAATACATTCATATATATATAAAAAAGGAAAGTTATGTGTGGCTTCTATAATGTAATGGTTTCTATCTGTGAACATTAAACTGGCTATTAAATGATCCAAGCGGAAGTGGATTCCAGCATCAACAACAATGTACAGCCATGGCCAAAAGTTTTGAGAATGACACAAATATAAATCTTCACAAAGTCTGCTGCTTCAGTGTTTTTGGATCTTTTTGTCAGATGTTTCTATGTTGTTCTAAAGTATTTTATAAGTGTCAAGTTTTTGTTTGGCCACAAGTTTTCTGTGGGGTTAAGGTCTGGGGAGGTTCCTGGCCATAGACCCCAAATTTGTCGATCTTGATGATATGATAAATGATTGTTTCAGGTGCAATCTTACGAGCAGGTCTAACCTTCCCAGTGAATACCTTTTTGTGCAAAGCAATAATGACTGCAGGTAACCTTCCCACTGAGCATTTTTTGGACTAAAAGAGGTCTAATAGATGTCTAAATGTAGCCTAGACGACAATTAATTGCATTTCATCTGATTGTTCCTCAGAACATTCCAGCGTATATGCATATAGCCATCATAAAGGCAGAAGCAGCAGACTTTGTGAAAATTAATATATGTCATTCTCAAAAGTTGTGGCCACGGCTGTAGTATAATTTTACATATTTAGTCTTTGTCTGATAATTGTATGAAGTGTAAAACGACTTAAAACCAGCATCTTTTACGTTCTACTTGTAAAACAAAAAATTAGAGTAAAAACACTGAGTGTCAGGGTCACATTTTTTGGAACAAAATCTAAGATATTTAGAATGGAGTTGACATATTCTGAGGAACAGACCTTACAGGGATAAGATCATGGAAAATAAAAGTTAATGAAGGATTACATCCTGCTCTATTGTGAGATTTGCCTCACAAGAATTCTACAAGAAAACACTGTGACTTTATGCTATGGTATTACTATGATATTATTGAGTTTTCTTACATCTTAACTACAGTTACGACTTTTATTTTGCGTTACTGGGACTTTTCTCAACATTAAGTGTGGACTATAATCCTGAATGATCCTGTCCTATCTTTCCATTGTTATTACACTTTTCAAAGTCATACAAATAATGCTGTTGGATTAATATGTTCAACATAAACCACCTCTTCAAGACAAATTGTTGTACTTATTACAGCACAATCTTTGACAGCCAAAGATGTTCTGCACAAACAAAACAAGGATTGAACCCAGATTATTGGTAAACATAGATGAACTTATTAAGGGACAATATAAATGTGGCAAAAACTGTCAAATATTCAGCTCTTATTTTCACTTATACCTTCACTTCCGGCTGCATTATTGCGCGTTTGACGTTTCACTCTCTCTCTCCGCCCCTCGCTCGAGCTGCCAAATAGTGCAACCGAAAGGAGCTACAAGGACGCTGACTGGTGCATTACGCTGTTTTGCCCTGCCTAATAGTGATCCGTCCTGCTGTTGGATGCGACAGAGAAGGAGACAGAGACAGACAGTCAGTCAGATGTAGACAGAGCCATTAAGACAAAGATAGAAAATGCTAGATAAATAGGAGGCAAAGCTACACAGAGAGGTGGTGAGAAGAACAAATTGATGACACCATTTATGATCAATTTTGTCTTTGACAGAAAGTGTGGTTTTCTATTGTTATTTTAAATGTGCAAGAAAAGTGATTAAGAGGAAACATGATTTAACCATACAGATGATAAAGAGTATTTGTTTATTTGTTTGTTTGGAACCCCATTAGCTTCCACAAAGTGGTTGCTAGTCTTCCTGGGGTCCAAAAACTTAAAATCACAATACAATTACATTTCAACAATTAATTAATAATGAATACAATCACAGAATCAAATCATGATTCTTCACAACATTAAAACATTAAAATCACTCCAAAATCTGTGCTTTTATAGTTCATTCATATACACAGTTTTGTTTCAAAGTCCTTTTAAAATAATACCCACTGCTTTTTTGCTGTGTGCGCCTGGGCAATTGATTCCACATTTCCAAAGATCTAAATAACACTGTTCTCCTCATACAATTGGACTTGGAGAATGGAACAATTAAATTACTGGAGCTGACCTGCAGAGTGACATGTTGATGACAGTAGCCACTGTACACCAATTTGTCCACAAGTACCCTTTGAATATGGCAGTACGCATATGGCAAAGAATATTTATATTTAGAGTAATGCAAGGAAATGATGACAAGTCACAAAAACCACAAGGCCAGCAGCAATGACCAAAATTAGTGTGCGAATTTATGATTGTTTCATATTTGTACTATCTTGACTCTTTATTGTTCTAAAAGTGAAATGTTTGTGTTCTGTATTGTTTTCAGTCAAAAGTCAAAATAATGTAAATCATACTCTAGGTTGTCTGCAACAGGCAGTTACAGACTTTAGTCACAAGGTGGCAGTAGTGTGCATTAGGACATTGGTGTAATACGATGCTACTTCCTCTTTTTCTTTTTCCTTTTAAGTAAATAATGTACAGATAAAGCAAAACCACATTGTGAGAGTCTTATTTCAGTAACAGGTATAAGTCCAGTGAGGCACAGAGTCTTTGAGCATTCCTCTCCTGAATGCATCTGAGCGACTTTGCATACTGTTTCAGTTCATTTTTCCATCTTTCAATATGAAGTTTGTTCATATTGAAAGATTACATATTTGCATCTGTGAATGAAATTTTTTCCCAACAGCATCAAGTCATTGACCACAAACTCTACATTTTTGTCTTTCATAAATACTCCTGTTTTAACTGACATCACTGTTGCTAGCTGCAATAGTCAGATCCTAACTCAGAATCTTTCATTCGTCTATCCTCATTTAACTGTAAAGATATAGATTTTAAGGTGGCGTCAAAATGGTTCAAACACATGATGAGACTATCTATCTATCTATCTATCTATCTATCTATCTATCTATCTATCTATCTATCTCACATTCCTTTAAACTGCTGCATGATAGACAGAAGATGCTCGCTGCGTTTCTGGATGCTGCTCTGCTCCTCCTTCAGCCTCTCCTGTTCCTGCTGCACCTCCTCCTGAGTTAGAGATGAGGGCAAGACTTGATTTGAAGTTCACAGTTTTAAAAACTTAGAATGTTCAGTTTAGTTTGTGTTCACCAGAAAAGTCCCAGACTGAAAGTGAGGTTGACAGAAAAGGGAGAAAGTTTGTAAAAAAAAAGTGTTTGTGTATGTCTATTTTTACTGACTCGGAGTCTGCAGAGCTCCCTCCTCTCTCTGTCGTTCTCTTCAGCTCTCGCTCGGAGCCACGCCTCATTTTGGGAGCGATGTCTGTCCAGCATCTCCTGCAGTTCCTGAACAAAACAAGCAACACAAACATTATTCATTATTAACCAAGGAGGTATTATTTTTAGTGTTCTCTGTTTCTGTATCTGCCAGCAGGAGGATGAAAAAACAACCATACCGGTTTTCCATAAAAACCTGAGGGAAAGGTGTGTGAGTAAAAGATGTCTTTGTCTAACTCATGAAAAAGACATTATTTCACCACATTTTAAATAGAGAGACCATTTGTTTAGTTACATTTGATGAAACTGCATTTCTGGACATCTACTGTAAATTAGCTGAGGTTAGAGTAGAGAACTTATAGACCTCTTGCTGTTGTTGTCTGTGAGCTTCATGAGCTTCTTTCTCTCTCTTTAGAGCAGCTGCAGACTTTGACAACTCCGATTTTTCTCTGCAATGAAAAAAAGGAAAGAAAGAAATTCAGCCATGAACAAATGTCAGCTCATCGAATACATTTATTAACTCCTTGGTAAAAGAGATTATCTTTAACAAGTGTCCAATTTGAAGATCACAGATGACGGCTGCATCAACATGAAACATTTATTGTCAGTTCTAAATATACATCATTCAACAAATTATACATGCAGAGCTGTTGATGTACCTGTCCAGTTTCTGAAACTCCTGGTCAAGCAGAGTAAACGCGGTCTGGATCATTTTCATCGCCTGATCTTGAAGAGCACTAAAGTCTCTGTGGACGAATACCTGCAGAGGAAATAAAACACCACCTGAGATAATAATGCAAGCATACTCAAACAACTTATGCTACCTGGAATGACTTTACTAAATAGCTGAATAGTATTTTTACTTGTACAGCTCTACTTTGTGGAGTTGTGTCTCTATTGAATTTGGTGTTGTGGTAGCATTCTTTGACAAGGAGGCTAAACTTAATTTTTGTTCCTGACTAAACATAGTGAGGTTTTATTTCTTCACTTTTAAACTTTAACAACTCTCAATACCTTCTTTTCTACACTTTGCATCATCTTTAGTCCGTTTAGCAATTTGGAAAGCCACAAAATGCTCCCATCAAAAGCAGATATGTCTGCAAAATCGACACCATCATTTCATTATCCTCTACTTGTAGTGCCGATTTATAAAGCGTCACCCCAACCCACCACAGTACTTAATGACTGCTGCCGATACTTACTTGATACATGTAATTCCTCTAATTTATAGCAGTAGGTGCAAAAGTTAATGCTTTGGTAAAAGTAATAAGAAGATGGAGAGAGGACACGCACTTTCTGTTACAACATCTACCACTTCTACTCCTCATCTTGCTCAGCATATTATATCCAAAGGTTGAATATTTCTAAAATTCTTTTCTTTCAAATCTCAACCTCCTGATCTCTTCTTCATCTTTGCTTCAGAACTTAAAATTAGTGAAACTATTTTTAAAATTCCAACTTTTCCTGTAGAAATTGGCACATCATAAATGTTTACCACGACCCGCCCAATAGGATGCTTTGTGTGCATTTTATGATCACCTGTGTATTTGCTGCTGTGTTCCTGGACTGGTTTGGTGGAGCAGACTCGCTCAGCTCATAGCGAACATTGGGAACCTTTGTTGGAGTGAAGCTGTGGACGGTTAGACGGTGAAACCAAAGTGTTCAAACCAAGAGCTGGACTCAAACAGAGCGTGACATGAGAGTGAAACTGCAGCTGCACTCTGAACACTCATGCAGAAAGGTGTGTGGAGAGCTGCTGACCTGTGGCTGACTCCCTGCAGACCAAACTCTGACAGGATCTCCTTCATCACTGTGCAGAAACAAAAAAGACTCAACCATCCCACGGTTTTTCCTCTATCACCATGATGCTTGACAGCAATGTTGGACAGTTTTATCATTACAATTGTATGACCTTCCAAGTAACACAAAAACCATAACAGCAGGAGATATTGCTTGAAAGAGTTAAGTTTGGCATTTTAGCCATCACTATCTGGGTTTTCCGGAGTCAAAGTGAACATTTTTAGCTGAAAGGGAGGAGCAAGTGAAAATGGAGTAGGAGATCTTGGTTTGCTATGAATCTTGGGAGACAAATGAATTCTGTCATCGATGTTAACTGTTTGGTAATTGGAATCTTTCATTTGGCGAGTAAAAATAAGCTCAGATTGGCTTAACTTTGTATATTGTTTTTCTATTTCAAGAGAGACCTAAATTTGGATCATTTGGCAATTTCGTCTTTACAACCCTGCAATAATTCTCCCCTGCTTCAAGATTCATTTAAATATATTTTGGGACTATCATTTTTATAAATAGACATCATGCTGCAGTAGTCAAGTCTTGTTTAAGACCAAACTATTATTGGGAAAGAAATAATCAGTCCACTATTCGAGGTGAATACAGCTGCCTGTCAAATCCATTGTTTTTGTTATTCTATATTTAATATGAAACATGTACCTACCTGGTTGTCTCTCTGAGGGGTTAATGAGTTTCATTATCTTCAGGTCATTAAACTCCTGCTCTTCATTCCTCCCTCCAAACAGATACAGCTGTCAAACAAACAAGCCAAAAGTCTTATCGGACATTGACATGTGATAAAACTGATACTTAAAACTTTTTAGTTGCACACTGACAACAAAGCTGGTGGGGTCAATACTTTTATAAATATTTTATAATATAATTCGATAAAAAAAAATTTCAAAAGAATAAATAGAAAAGGAAAACAACAAGATAAAACAAAGTTGAATATATTGTAAAGAAATATGAAAATGTTAGTTATTTCAGATGCAAAAATATATATATATATATAAGATACAAAAAACAAACCAAAAAAGGCTTTATTGGTGAGGGCATAGTCATATTATTCCATTATTCAACACATACAGAGCACTTAGAGACAATAGTCTAGACAATAATCTGCTGTTGGCTCTCAGCAAATAATATCCCTCTTGCTTTTTTAGTTTCTACGTGAATATATTCATTTAAAAAGTTTTGTTTTAGTAAAGTTATGACAAAAGACAAACTCTTTTAAAATGAGTTTTTTCTTCTTCTTTTGCTGCCCACTTTAGCACCTTCTACCCTAATTTTTGCTCTCATTAATATTATTCATATTACATGGCTGTGGAGGATGAAGGCTGTGTGTCCATGTCGACGGGTTGGAGGAATCCCAATGTACAGAGGAACTTTCCACTTCATCTTAGCTAAAGAGACACAATGTGGGAAAAAAAGTAACTCCTTTTTCTTTGTCCAGAGTGCGTTTAATTCTTACATTGATTTGCTGAGTCTCACTTACTGATGCTGAGTTTGTGGATTTCATTAGAAGACGCCTCTGTGCCATCCTCATTTGTGCTTTTACCTCCAAACAGGTAGATGTCCTGCAGGAAGGCAGAACATGTGCAATGGTGAAGATTTTACATAAACTAAAGACTGATGGCCATTGTGTTTAATGTCTTTGTGTGATTTTACTTTATCATGATGTGCGGTCAGTGTTGATTCATTACAGGCTGCAGGTGATTCTCCTTTCACCTCCCATTTCTGCCACGTCAGGTTTTCTATCAATAGGATCACGCCATGTTTATATTATTTGTGAATATGAGTTCATGGCCACAAAATTATGAAGCAAAAGTACCAAAACTCTAAAAATGTCAGTGACCCAAACATTATGGAGACAGCTAGCTGATTGAACTGTATGCAGGAAAGCATAATGAGTGTTAGAGGTAGATGAGTGTCTGGGTTGATAATAATCTACATGGCAGACTTGACCCCATCTGAAGAGGACTACAGCTTAGTTTGCATGCCAGTCCTTCCAGCAGTTTCTAAGTTAAAAGGCAGAACTGACTTGTGTAGTTAGATGTGCTCAAGTGGTCAGATCAGCTTACAGAAACATTGCAAAATATGATTGTATGTTTTAATAAGGATCTTTTACACTGTGATTGTTGGAGAGTTTGGAGTGTGGTTTTCTTGGGAGGAGTTTCTGCAATCTTAATTGAAAAATTAAACCTACTATATGTATTGATACATAAATCAATTAGAAATGGAGCAAAGGGAGTTTCAGATAAACACTGAAATATCCCTTTAATGTGCACAATGTACAATATATATTTGTTTATTTGCAGTGAATATTTGAAAGAATGTATGATAATGGAGGTATGTTATTTTCCATATCACAGCATTATTCCCACTTTGTTTTTTGATTGCATAAACTAGCCCAGCCTTGTTCTGTCTCTTCCTCACTCTGTATGTCTGCTCTGTTTCTATATTGACTGTGTTTCATCTTATATAAATTGCCGTCAGTTTGAAGGTCAGTGTTTACCTGTGTTGAGAACGTGAAGGTCTTTACAGAAGTCTCCACCTGCATCACAACCTCCAAACATGAACACCTGATCTCCAACCAGAGCAAAATTCTGACCACAGCTGTGCAAACAGGAAATTCACAAATGCTTAAAGTTTCAAGGAGATTCACATAATGAAGGGTTAAATCACAAAGTTATAATTAAATGGATGGCCAAAGTGGCATGTGATACAAATCAAAAGTTCTGCAATAAAATGAGTGTCTCACAGAGCAGGAGGCGGTGGTCTGTTAGTTTTGACAGGTGTCCAGGTGAGAGACACTGAAACAGAAAAAAGAGAAAACAGGAACTAAATTATGTTCATGGCCTTTTTTGTTTGCACAGATTCAGTTTTGATTGAGAACAAATATAAGGACCTGTGTTGAAAACCAAGAGGTCATCAGTTGGATTTCCTCCCACAATTCCTCCATAGACAAAGATGTTGTCTCCCACGGCAACAGAACTGTGCCTGAGAGTCCTGAGGGCGACACCCCCAACAGCTAAGCGCTCCCAGGTCAGAGACACTGTGAATTTGAAACAAAAAATCCCATGGCACTAAAGCAGCATCAAGAAAAAGGCATCGACAGATTTCAAAGTGTGCAGTGACATCCTCACCTACATCAAAGCTGTGGACCCCTGGGAGACACTCAGTGGCACCGGGTTTGGACACTCCTCCAAACAGATACAGCTTTCCTTTGACAACACTCAAAGAAAAGAGGAAAAATAAATGCTGATTAAAATGGTGCAGTGAAAACAAGCCCAGTAACTCCTTGGTACAGTACATTATCATTTTGAATCTTCATACAACGAGCATAGGAATCCTGTGCATCTGGTCAAAGTCAGATATTTGAACACATTTTCATATTTCTTGTATGATTTGTTTTTTTTACCACAGAGTATGTCCTGCTCTGGCTGAGGGGACATCTCCACTCTGAGGAATCTCCTCCCACATCAAATCATCGGGAGAAACTATATACAACAACAACAAACATGCTGGGATGTTGGTATTAACAGACAGCTTCATGTGGACACTTGAGGAACTGCAGTTATTTGAGCTAGAACATTAGCTTAATTTTTCACTACCAGGTTACTACTTGGTTTATAGATTAGACTTTTTATTACCATTTCTGATCAAAATATTATGAAAAACAATACACTGTATCTTACAGATTGTCTTTTTTTAACTCCCATTTTGCACAACTTCAAATTTTGTGTATAAGATGCACTTTTAATACCATTTTTTATCATGTAAAAAGCAAGCTGTGTCCTACACACCAGTGCAACCTATGTACCTGTTCAAAATGTAATGTTCAAAATGCTTGCAGAGTGATTAAAAACAGGTGGTATCGGAGAAAGTTACACATCTTCACAAAGACTGCACATTGCTGAATGAAGAAGTCGTCACACAGTTAAACATTTCCTTTTCTAAAGCCCTCAAATACAGACTGCATTTTGAACTCTATAGTGCAACTTTTATCCGACTCTTAATGCAACAGGGTATTAAATGACACTGTACATCTTATCTGCTCATGAGTAAGACATGTCTCCATTTTTGTTTGTACCTGTGAGCATGTAGAAGTCATTGAAGTAAACAGGGTGGCCCTCCTGAATAGATGAGGAGAAAACAAGCAGGCTGTTACCACTACCCAAGATCCTTCAATCTTCTGGAGAAAGTTAAGTTGTAATATTCTTTTGAATGTAAATTAAAAAAGGATAAAAATGTGACCTCATGGTTGATGCAAAAGGCTCCTCCAAACAGAAACACGACATTTCCTGCCACAGCTACAGCGTGGCCGTGTCTGTGAGAGAAGATGAGGGCTATAAGAGGAGGTAACAAGATGCACCTATCCTAAACTATACCTTTGTCATCCCATCTTAACGTTCTCCCACTTCAAGCCTTCTTAAGGTTTTCATAGTTTGAGTTTAAAGCTATCGTGAAGATGTTAAATCATTAGTCTATTTTTTGACTTTATGACACTTAATGAAAAACAATATGACCTACCTGGGACTTGGGGCCTCTCCTCTCATCTCTTTCTCCAGCCAGTGACCACTGGCTAAAGCCATCTTCACCTCTGCCAAGTAAAGACACACAAAAACAAAGACACTGTCTTACCAGATCAGCTCAGGAGTCAGAACCTTTTGCAGGAGCAGCTTTTTTTATAACAAACGATAAAGTCACTAGTTGGTGTGAACACTCAACAAAAACAACAGTCTGAATAAAATAAAAGTTTCATATCATGTCAACACTGTCTGAGATCACTGGCTCGTCTCTTTTGATCCTGCAGTGTTTAAGTGAAAGCACACTCTTCTCCTCTCTTGACTAAAGGGACCCTATCATACCTGCAACACATGATTTTTTAAGTTTAATAAAGATGAATGAGGCTCTACATTTATTCACAGTCTCAATCAAGAAAGTAAAATCCGGTTACTGGACACCCATGTGGATGCATAGTGTCAACACTATTTACTGTGTTCCAGTCACACAAAACAATCATGTTGATTCTAGGTCTAAATGACCCTTTTGGTAGAGTGAGCCTTCTTCTTACTCCATTTATTACTTCATTACAGATTTTGCTGGTAAATTTATAGACCAAACTGTGAGTGTATGTCTTTAAAAAGCATTATGTTTCTCTCTATGGCCACAGTCTGTCTTTTCTACATATCATTTAATTAACATTAAATTGCTAAAGTTCAACTAAATTAGGACAGATTTTAACCCTGAAAATAAATAGTAATTTTCTTTAGGTGACGCTTCACTATCACGGTGCATTTAAATAACTTCAGAGTGATAAAGAAAGAAGTTTGTCGGTTGCTGTCTGAACTGAAACCATCAAGATCAAACCTACCTGTCGAGTTGTGTGTGTTGGTCTGAAAGCTGATTCCTTGGTGTTAGCTGTCGTGATGTTTTATTTTATACAATAAATAGCTGTTCTAAAGCCACACATGAGTCATCCCCGCTCACTGTCTGATGGCAGTCCTCTGTGTCTCAGCTTACAGGTAAGCTACACTTTCCTCTCTCTCTGCAGGTGTGCTGTTGCCAAGCAGCACTTGCAAACACTGACAACTTGTGCAGGACAGCATTTCAAAAGACAGCATGAAAAGACAGAAATAAGAATACCAATGAGGACTTTTGTTTTCATTTCTCCAAGAAAAATAGCCACCTTGTAAAGCTTGTTGTTGATCACACATCATCACCACCTTTGAGGACAGCATCAAAAATGATTAAAAACAAGCAAAAGTAAAATGAATCATAACTATGTCAACCAATAATGAAAATACAACCAGAAGAAGGAGCCTGTGTTCTTAAAGCATGAATGTAGCCGACTCATTATCTTTCTTAAATGCTTTACTGGGTTTAGGCCAAATGGCATGGTATGGTGTTGAAAAATTATGGTGGCCCAGAAGGTTAATGGCACAAATATTTCAGGTTAGCGTATTGCCGTAAAACACACAAAACATGTGTTAAAATGCATAAACATATTTTAGAAATGCACAGGGAAAGTGGGGGTCCGTCATCTCAAAATCCCAAGTGGGTTATATTTTCAGTCAACAAAACCCCTGATTCAAATCTTTTACATAATCATAAAAGCTAAATTTGACATTTTTTCTGCTTTTATTCATCTCATAATTTATGTCCCATTAGTACAGTCAAGGCTATCTAACAACAACTGTGATGAACCATGTCTGTAAAAGATTATGTTGAAGCTGATGCTGGCTCATTGAACATCTTGTATTGAGTGAACATTTAAACACAGGATCCAGGATTCAGTTTAGAAGGTTTATTTTCTTTTGTCTTCAGTGGATGATTTTTTCTGTCCAGACAATCAAAGAAATAGAAACATCAACATAAAATATTTCAATAAAGGGGGACTTATAGAGTCAAATGAATTTGTAAATTTGTTAACTTAGCTTACATCACATATGCATCCACTTCAGGGCTTTAAATCATCACTAAATCTGGGTGTAGTTTGACAGTAACCTAATGATACAATATTTGACAATAAACCATATTAGAAATAATACAATCAGGAGAATCCAACAAAATTTAGTAAAGCTTTGTCCATTTTCAACTCACATTCAGACTCCCTTTGTTCTCTGCTGATCTTTGGTCAGGGTGCAAAAGGAAGAGAAGGCCTGAGGGCGGGCTTTTATGGTATTGGGGGTGTGGCTTGGCCTTGAGTGACAGGGGGAGTCAGGTATGGTGATGGTGAGTTGAGAACTTGGGATTTGACAATGTCATTATAATAATTATCTCTTCATGTTTACCTCCTCAGCACTTTTACTCTTCGTCTACCCTCATCATTAAAACCATGTTCAAATTCTCAACAGCTAAATTCTATTTCTCTGGTGTGTTTTTATATATATACAAGTAAAACACCCTCTGTACTAAACTTCTATTTTTTTTTTTGCAGATGTCTAGCACTTCATATTTTAACATTTATTCACCTATACTTGGTGTATCATAGTCGACACAGTCCAGTTTAAGACATTTCTGCTGACTCTGTCACAGATAACTAATTTCTGCTTCTGAATCATGTTTCAATGGCAACATGAAATCTGCCCACATCCACAGCAGTAATATAAGCCTGTGATTTCCCTTTGAACAGGAAAAAAAAAACAGTTTATTTATTCATTTATTTATACATAACATCTTTTTTGTTTCTTGAGCATGTATTTCTAGAGTCATGTCTCCTCTGATTGCAAAAGAATAAAAAAGAGAAGGCACAGATGATATCCCTATTCACAGTTTTATTATAAGAAAATTCAAAGAAGACATCATAAAGATGGATTTTTATTGCTGTATTTGGCAGGTGCAGCTCATCTTTAAACGGTGTGGGTCTGGGCCTGATTAATGACGTAAGGCTGTATGTCACGTTTCCCACCGTCACCACTCCTTTTTTTTCTGATCATGTTTTATTCACACACACACACACACACACACACACACACACACACACACACACACACACACACACACACACACACACACACACACACACAAAACCCAACCACTGCTACCGACACGTGATCCATTCGGGTATATACCCCCGTTTGCCACTGTCAGAGCAACCGGAACATGGCTGCCTTTTAAAAATAAAACACACTTGATAGATGAGTTCATTTTTGCACGGAATGAATGAGGACATTTTCACTTGTTCAAAGGGGGATATAAATATGTCTTTCCTTGTTTCAAGTTCATGGACACATCTTAAAATGCTAAGTATCCATAAAGGACGTCGTTTGACTCGAGATTTTTGTGCATGATATACCAAACGTTCACATTTCGCCTTTTGTGATTGGTTGTGTTTAAAGCTTCCATTACAGTTTATTATTTTGATAATGATTTGTTTTAATGCTATTTCTGTTCCACTATGAAAGCTTTTTTGCCTCAGAAATGATTTAAACTGAGTGAACTTCCTTTGCCTGCTCCTGTTTTTGTTACCATGGCAACAGGTTGGGGTAAAATCTGCGCTTTAAACGGCGTTTCTGGTCGTGCTTTAGCTTTGAAAGGACGCCAAACCGGAAGCGCTCTTCCTAGTTACGTCCAACTTAATGGTGTCGGTTGGCGTTCACGCGAGCGGCGTACTGTCTGGCTGACCTAACGGCGGATCCAACGGGAGACTGTGGACGTTAACTTGTCGTTACCGTTTGAGTTATCTTTACCCCGGTAGCTTGGTTTTTAGCCTTCTGGGGGCCAAATACGAAGTCATCCTGGAAGCACCCGGAGAACCGCGGATATCAACGCGGCATGGTTGCTTCGTGACCCGCGGCAGGTGCGAAGAGATGCCGGGAGAGGCGCCGGCAGGAACCGGTCGGGTGGTGCTGGTAAAGAAGATCGTCATGAAGGATGGAGCTGCGGTAGGTGGACGGCCCGCCATTTTTGTTTTATTTATTTAATTCAATCGCCAACCTGTATGACAGCTTATCCTGATTTCATCCATAAAATCCAATCGAAATTTTTAACCATTAAGGCTGTCAAAAGATAGAATTCGCCAGTTAATTCAGCATTTGTGCAGCTAGTTTTGGCTCATGTATGTCCGTTAGTGTATGACATAACATCATACTTGAATACATGACGTATTCTGTATTGTGAAATTCTGATATGGCAAAAAAAGGCAGATTTATGTGAATTTTCCAGCGAGAATGGATCAAATTTGCATGAGTCTTATCGTTAAGCGTGCAAACTACCCCAATTGCAACCCTTATGATGTTAAGCAAGTGCTTATAGTTGGTGTAAAGGACATGTTCCAGGTATCAAAATGAATGAAATGAGCCCCTACAGCAGCTCAGGTCCAAAATGGCTGTTTCACTGTGTGGATGTGGATGCATGTATGTTGAAATGGAGAAAGAGCAGGTTTAATGTGGCCCTCAGTCAGCTCGGCTTAGTGTGGGGATGATGATGATGATGGGGATCCATTATCTATTACATAACAGCTCAGCACACCGAGGGCAGGCGGAGACTGCAGATTCAACACTGCACAGCCTCCATGGCTCAGCCAGCGTCCATTTTAGCAGACCTACGCAGACATAACACAGGCATTTACAATATCAGAAAAACAACCACAGACACACTATAGTGACTTTTCTGCATTTCCTTACATACTGAAATGAAATGTGCTATTTCATTATGATCTTTAAATTATAAATGATCTTTATTAACAAAAACTGGCAGGCTGGTACATCATGAAGCATCTACCATTCCTTACCGTTTCAAACTGAATGAATTAAAATGCCTGAATTCTTTGGTGCTTTGACTATTTGTTAGAAAAGAACAATATATTTTAGGTATTAAGTATTGAATTAAAAACTATATATAGATGACTAATTTTTCATTTTTTTCTCTATCAAATTAATATGTCAATAGCTATCATAGATCTGTAAAATGAGAGATTGACTTTTCATACATACATACAGTTACAGAGATGAGGGTTGATTAGTTTGATGATTGTTTTTGCAGCATTCCTTCGAGAACACCATAAAGACAACTAAGGCTGGAGAAAAATTGCATAAGAACAACATAAATATGTGATGAAGAAAGCAGAGTAGAAGCCTATTCTCTAAAGGGGAAAACACTGAGTCAATTTCCTCTTGAGTGCATTTTTCATCTGCAGATTTGAAGTTTTTCCAAATAAAGTCATTTATTTTAAATATTAATTGCCACAGATCTAATCTGAATGTCGGTTTGACTGAGCTTTGATTTGGTTTGACATGGATGACTGAGGACCTTTTACAGGGATATTTTGTACAATGTTTTATCAATTACACAGTAATTTATATTGTGATAAATAACTGAAAACCAAGATGAATCCATAGAGGAAACTCAGCCTGGTCATGTAGCATAAAAGCAACTATGATTACACAACAAAACATAAATACTTAATAAGCCGAACAGCACTAAAAACTTATCCTGTTTCTCTAAACATGCAGCAGGAAAATCCAACACGTTGAGGCGGCCTATCAATTAGTTGTTTAACCAAAAATAGATTTGTAAGCTTTAACATCTGCCGTTTCCTTGGATATTTAATCTGTACTCAGGCTGGACAGTGATTTCATGCAACCCTGGTTTTGCATTGTATTGTTTAAAGTTGGTTTTTATAACATGGAAGTCGACTAGTATGTCCAAAAGACATCTGTTTCAAGATAATGCTCTTAAATCTTTCTGACAACTCAGACCTCGTATGATCATTTTTGTACACTTTGGGGTCACAGTTGGGGTCTTACGGCATGATGTCCAACGTGTCTTCTTCTCTTCATGTTTGCATATTCACATCAGCATTATCAGTGAGCTGTGCTCTAATTCTTAAGGCACAATATTGACAGTGCAATACTCCTGGATTTCAGATGTTTTAGGGCACCATGGTGTTGCATCAATGCTGCTATTTTGCATGGTTTTACTCATCTGTCACTCCCTGCTTGTATATTTGCAAATACTAATTCTCAGCAGAGATACTGAGAACTTGAGTGGGCCCTACCCTTATTTAGGAGCCCTAGAAACTGATAGATAATAAATTCCCCAAATATTTTTGGCCCCGACTTGAACAGCTTTTTAAAAAAATTCCCCTTGAAAAAAATTATTGATAGGAACACAAGATTTATTCAATTTGTGACATCAGTGATTAATCAGTCTCCTTAAGAAGACATAAAAAACACAAGACTTGACAAACAGAAAGATCCTGCCCTGTTCTGTTGTTGCCATTTTTGACCCCTTGCGAGGGTCAGATAGATTCAGGGTCCAAAACATACCGCCACACTAAATCATAATTTAGTCATTTTAAATAAGAAAACTTGACTTTGAAGCATGCAATAGTGGAGGAGGCTTCTGGTGTGCTTTGGGAGACCTTAAGAAACAGTTGCTGAAATGAAGCCTAGAGAAAAAGACGTCACAAGCTCCTCAGAAAGGGAAGAAAAGAAGCCAGACTAGATTATTGCAAAAGAATTAGATACTGACCTCAAGATGGCCAATTTCAAGTCTTTATTCTTTATTTATTTCTGTGGACAGTAAATGTGAGCACCATATTTCAGTGCTTGTTATTAATGAATATCAGTTTGGGCCAAAATCATTTGACTGATCATCAGGAAGACCATCAGTTTCATTTCTGGACCCACACTCCTGCACATCTAAAAATGCTCATCACAGCTCCCTGCAGTGCAAAGCGAGTCCTACAAGTGTTTTATTTGGAGCAAATTACAGTCAAAATCCAAAAATATTCAGTGAACAGTCTGATGAAAACAAGAAAAGCAGCCAGTCCTCCAGTGGAAACAGAGTGTATGAGCCATTTTGGATGAGAATGGTTCGAAAAATGATCTAAATGTTAAAATCTTACGTACTCGTATAACCCTATTATCAGAGCTGAAACAAAATCAAATTAACCAAAGTGACCCTCAAAGTCAGATAATTATAAGACAGTTATGAAGTGCACACAGACTCACCTGCTGACCTGAATATCTGAAAACACTGGAGAGCAGCTCAGGATACCTCATTATCTAAGTAATCTAAATCTGGTCAAGAATAACCTGTTGTGATTATAAAATAGTCCATTTTACTGACTGAATCCTTTGTATCTGTGTCAGCAGGCTAACAATCACTTAATATAACTGTATCAGCACTTATGTTTAATACCCACTCAGTCTAAAAGGCCAGAATGCCATGACTTACTACACTTGGAACTGTGGCATTTTGCTGGAAAATGAATCCTACATAATGTTTTCAACAAACTCACCCCATCATTTCAAAATATCTAATGTTATACATCTGTGTGTGTTTTGTGTTTGATTTGTGTGTTTCAGCTGCAGCAGGGCATCGGCAGACCCAGCGTCTATCATGCAGTCGTGGTCATCTTCTTGGAGTTCTTCGCCTGGGGATTACTCACCACGCCCATGCTCACTGTGAGTAACACTGTGTGGTGATGACAGGATGTTTGCGTCAACCTCTGAGCAGCTGATCACTGTCATACAATTGAAATCAGCCTTGGGACAAGCTCCCATATGGAGGAGGCTGCTCGACATCCTTGATTTGTGACATCGAGTAATCAGTGAAGCCGATCACATCAAAATGCTGTTAATCGGGCTGATATCTGTTGGCCTGTTTATTGGTCAACCTCTATTGAGGACAACCACAGTGTCTCTCCAACTTTCATTTGCCTGGTTCTGTAGACAAGTGTGACAGCTGATCACATTCATGTCGCTTTTTGCGTGTGTAATTCAACAGCCAAGATCCTGAACATAAGACAATCCCAGTATTTCAAATGTACTTCAGATAGAAAAAAAAAACATTATTTTTATATTCAGGTTGATACGGTTTGACAGTATGTTTTTGTGGAGAGAGACAAATAAGGAAATGTTTCTTGAACTATAGAATCATAGTTTTTGTTGGACAGTTGGATGGATAGCTTGAAAGTTTTTGGTTTCAAGTAACAAGAAACATTTTGGTCCTCAAATTAAATACCTTTGCTTTGTGTAGAAAGAGATGTGTTTCGTATCACATTGCGCAAGATGTAGATATGATGATAGATTTGAGGTTGAAGATGGTGTCAAACATGCGGAAAATCTTTATTGGGTGTTTTTATGGTTTAAAGGAAATTCTTGAGTTACAGAATCGAGATTATATCTTACTGTGTGACATTGTTTGGATTTTATACAGCAGGATTTACTCTGTTCTACCTTTAAAGAAAAATAAATAGTTTCATGTTTGGCAGTATCATTATTGTTTTTTTTCTTTGTTTTCCTTGAAAGCTTTTTAAATGTTTGTGTTGTGTCTCATCTTACAGGTTTTACACGAAACATTCCCACAACACACATTCCTGATAAATGGACTTATTCAGGGTGTGAAGGTGAGAGCTCCTAACATCCTTGTATAAAAAGTTTCATCCGTTTAAAATGGTGTTACAAAGAATAAAACAACATATTTGTGCTTCACTTTAACTGAAACATCTTTTATCAAATAGTTGTGCGTATTTTCACTGACTCTTCCTCTTCTGGTTCAGGGTCTGCTGTCGTTCATGTCAGCTCCTCTGATTGGTGCGCTGTCTGATGTTTGGGGGAGGCGGACCTTCCTGTTGGTGACGGTCTTCTTCACTTGCGCTCCAATCCCTCTGATGAGACTCAGCCCCTGGTAGGTTTCACTCCTTTCTGTTGGTACAGAAATGTGAATCATATGTCAAGTCAGAGTTCTGTTGGAGCTTTAAACTGGGCAAACCAAATCCAATAATGTGAATTTAAAGCCTTAAAATGTCTTAAATTCTCTTAAAATCTCATAAAATGTCTTAAATACGATTTTGAAAGGTCTTAAAAATGTATTGATGTTACTTACAAATAAATAACGTTCCATAGGAATTAAGGTTGTTGATGTTAAATGGGTCTTACATTGTATTTATTACGGTCTTAAAAAAGTCTAACAAAAAATTTTAAATTTGACTAGTTGAAACCTGCAGAGACCCTGTTTAGGTTCTCCAGTATTTGCAACTCCACATATTCATTATTTGTGTGTTTGAGGTGCAGAAAAACAAGTGTGAAGCTGTTCCTCTTCTCGTCTTGCAGGTGGTACTTTGCCATGATTTCCATGTCTGGAGCTTTCTCTGTCACCTTCTCTGTCATCTTTGCCTACGTCGCTGATGTGACAGACGAGAGAGAAAGGAGTACAGCGTATGGTCTGGTAAGTCCTCCTGCCAAACAAAGTGAATACTCATTTAAGTAGAATAAAACATGAGAGGTTAGGTTTTTATTTCTCATTTGTCTTTTGAAGCTTGGCACAAACTGAAAGATTGTTTTATAACGTGACCAAGTTTGAAAATATAAGAAACCAGGTACACATAATGACAGATCTCTTTATTCAGATTTGTCAGACTATTTTGAACACAGATTACACCCAGCTGTGTGTGTCTCTGTGTGTAAAGGAGTCATGGCATCATGTTTGCAGTTACATCATACTTCAGTGACCTCAGACGGACGACGGAGGTGTTGAATGACACAGACTGTGCGACCTTACAGAACAGAAAATGTCAAGTCAGCTTAATAAGAGAACGCACATCCAGACAGAGCAGAGGAATATCTGAGGACATGACAACTTTTGCATTTGTGTTTTCTTATAAAATGACATCATAGGGACAAAGTGAGAGTCGTGACTAGTCATTCACAGGGAGCCTTGCCTGATTCATCCTCAGCTTTACTGTCAGTCTGACCGTAGCAGGACTGCAATTTACAAAATAAACATCATGCTGGTGAAGAGACCCGACAGGAAATGAGAGCAAAAACTTGTTAGGTAACTGTCTCCTGCCTGTGGAGTAAATAAACTAAAGAAAAGCTCATTTTCTCTTGCAGTCTCAGCATTCGGGGCATCTTTAACTCACTTTCCCAATCTCTAAAATTGATTTTCTCATTTCCTAGGTGTCTGCTACTTTCGCAGCCAGCCTGGTGACGAGTCCAGCTATCGGGGCGTACCTGTCCGCCTGGTACGGAGACAACCTGGTTGTCCTGGTGGCCACGTTGATCGCTCTGGCAGACATCTGTTTCATCCTGCTGGCTGTACCCGAGTCTCTGCCTGACAAGATGAGACTCAACACTTGGGGTGCACCCATATCCTGGGAGCAGGCTGACCCTTTCGCTGTCAGTACCCAATAAACAATCATTCGTGTGTTACAGTTGTTATTCGCTCATGAGTTTAATATCAGATTATTTTGCTATGTAGTTAAATGAAGTCTTTATTTATTCTGTTCTCTGTTTCTGGACAGTATATAGAGTGGAGACGTGGGCGAAGGTGCCTCAGTGTTCCTCCACACAGTAACTTTATTGAGTGATTTAATTATGATGAAGGATTACAGTTTGAAGGGATTACAGCTTAAAAAGGAAAGAACAAAGTTACACTACAAAGAACACTGTCTCAACGACCCTTTGACACCCAGGCTTTAATTTAAGGTGTGCTTATCCTCTGACAGTGTGCTGTATGTCCTCTCTCTCTCTTTCTGTCTCTCTCTCTCTGTCCTTTAGTCTCTGAGGAAGGTGGGTCAGGACTCGACGGTCTTGCTGATCTGCATCACTGTGTTCCTGTCGTACCTCCCTGAGGCTGGACAGTACTCCAGCTTCTTTCTGTACCTGAGACAGGTGAGACAAACGGCTGACTGAGGCACTGTTTCCTGACAATATTACTTTCAGCACTGTCTGTGTTTTTAACTGCAATGTGTGTTTTACAAAAACCAATGTGCAAAAGATTTAAGGTATATATCTTTGTTTTAATTCAGATATATTCTGCACAGAGAAGAAAATATTGCAACAACAGTTCAGTTAGGGTGACCATAAGTTCTCTTTTACCTGGACATGTCCTCTTTTTGGGGGGCTGTTCGGCCTGTCTGACTTTGTCTGGGGAAGTTTATAAAATCCTTCAAATGTCCGGGGTTTTGTTCTGAAGTTTGGAGTTTGTGTTACGTGGACTTACTGAGTTAGAAGCGCACAAAAGACACTCGATCTGACCCGAAAAACTCTCAAAATCAACTTTGTGCGCCTCTGTGACTTCGCCCCCGCATAGTGGTGTCTTCTTTTTGGGGATTCAGAATATGGTCACCCTAATTCAATGTATTATTGTTCAACCCCAGTCTTGAGTGTGTTTGCATCCTTTAGTGGGACAGGTCTCTATTTTAGCTCTAATTTTTAATATCTCCCCATTTTCTTAAATGGGCAAATTAACTTGAAAAATTAGGAACAGCAAAATCTCTATCCAGTAATAAGACTGCAGGGATTGTATCTGTGACGTTTTTACTGTTTGGCTGCTGCTTTTAGCAACTTCTGGCCCAGCTTCACCTGCTTGAGGATTAAGCTTTCACTGTCAGAGCTGCATCACTTAGGAATTTATTACTTCAGCCGACTGAATTGAAAATAAACATTGATTGGACATCACCATAAAACCCTGTGGGGATTTTCTTTCAGCAGTTTTGTTTCCTCCTGGTTGCCTCCAGCTCTTCAAAGTAACTTGATGATAATGCTTGTTTCTCTCTGTACCCTCAGGTGATAAATTTCTCCTCCACAACCCTCGCTGTTTTCATTGGGGTTGTAGGGATCCTGTCAATCGTAGCTCAGGTAAAACTGGTTCAGTTTGTACTTGTTCTTTGGTTTTATCCTCATTTTCTGTCAATTATACATTTTCCTTTACTTGCTGTAAGGTTAGAGCAACATTAAGTATTTCGTTTTTCTTCTCTTCTCACCTCTGTCTCCAGACTCTGTTCCTCACTCTGCTGATGAGGACTCTGGGGAATAAAAACACAGTTCTGTTGGGTTTGGGCTTCCAGATCCTTCAGCTAGCCTGGTATGGCTTCGGGTCCGAGCCATGGTGAGATGTGTTTGCTCTTTTCTGATTTTTGTTTTGGCTTCATGCAGAAGAAATTTTTTGAAATATAATATTAGACGCCTGACTTGTTTTATGTTCGTACATAAAATATTTCAAAAGTTTCTCATGTTGGGCATTGACAGATAGGTCCTCCAGATACTTGCCAGTCTCTAACCCCAACCCTAACCCTCTCAGGGGAGGTTTGCTGGGGTTACTGGAAGCTAAATATCCCCAAATCCAATAAAAGGCAGGAAAGAGCTGCTAAGATTAGCCTCATCTCCCAAGGTATCAAGAACAAACTTTCTCACAGTGTCAGAAAACGAACCAGCTGATGAGTTTGCAGGTCTAATGTTGTAACTACATGGTTAAAACTCATTTACTGCTAAAAGTGTTAGCTAGTTTTTCAAGTCCCCTAGATTTGAATTTTGAATCAATATAGAATTTCCCTTTGGGGATAAATAAAATATATTTCTTTTTGGATTTAAACTTTAATGCAAGCACATTAAAAATCTGTGTAATTCATTGACTTTATAAATAATGAACATATCCACAACGTATTGAGTGGTTTGTGCTGTTTTGAAGCTTTTAGCATCAAATTGAACATTTGAGCCCTTGACATTTAGTTTTTCTGGAGCCAGTATAACCACATTAGAGCAAGAGGGTGGAGAGAAGAGTGTGTAATAAATATGCCAGATTATCTAAACTACTCTGTTGTTGTGTCCATAGGCTGATTGTAGTGAATAAGCATGTTTACTCTGGCCGTATCCACAGATTGAGATCTGATTTTGTTTATTTGCCAACTGACACAACTACCACAGACTTAAATCTAAGGCCCTGTTATAAAATCGAGTTTTTTCTTTTCGTTTTGGTGTATGTTTATACAGTTTGTGTTTATTTCTGATGTAAAGAAGAATTCACTTTTAAATTCTGCCTCTAATGGTCATCTTGGGTACTGCAGTTTTTGGCATTTGCTATATTTTTCATCCATCTTGGCCACAACTTGATTTAATCTTTATTTGTTTGTGGTTAACAAAGTTCTGAAAAACAAACTGTGGGTGGAGCAGAGAGCTGTCGCTTTTATTCATTTATTTTGTGGAAGCAGGTCCGACAGGGGTTTTGAAAAGGCAACATCACACAAGATATAAATATAGCTCTAACTGTGTGTGTATGTGCGTGTGTTTACAGGATGATGTGGGCAGCAGGTGCAGTAGCAGCAATGTCCTCCATCACCTTCCCCGCTGTCTCCGCTCTGGTGTCACAGTCTGCTGATCCTGATAAACAAGGTGACAAAAAAATCCTCCCCCCTCTCTCATCTACTCTCTCTCCCTTCTTTTCCCCCCTCTTTTTCACATCCTCTTTCGTTGCCTCTTCCTTTTTCCTCTCCATCTTCTCTTCCCATTATGCTCCTCTCATCCTCATATTTCCCCCACTTCTCTCTCATATTCTGTCCTCCTCTGTTTTCTCCTCTCTCATCCCTCACTCCTTGTTTCTCCTCACGTCTCCTCTGCCCTGAGTTTCCTCACATCACCTCTTTTTCTCCTCCTTTTTGTCTTCTTTGTCTTCTTTTCTTCTCCTTTACCTTTTGTTTGATACTTGAACACTTTCCTCCTCTCATCTTTCCTCTGCTATGTCTCCTTCCCTTGTTTTGCCTCTCTTCTTTTCATCCTCTTTCCTCCAATTCATCCCCTCTGTTTTCTCTTTCCTCTCTTCTCTCCTTGCTTCTGCTCCTCTCCTCGCTTATCTTCTCTCTCCTTTCCTCTCCTTTTCTCCTTTTACCTTTCCTCATCTGCATCTCCTCTTTTTCTTCTTTCATCTTCCTCTTCTCTCTCTTTTCTTCTCTTCTGCTCTCTATCCTCTTTTCCTTTTTCTATTCCTCTCCTCCTCCTCCTCTTCAGATCAATAGGTCATTGTGTTGCCATGGATTTTCTGGGTTGCAGTCTGTGTTACGTATTACTAAAGCAGTCAGTGAAACACATCCTCCTGAGCTAAATATAACAGCAGAGACAGAGCTCACTGGGTCAGCGTTAACCAGCTGATCCATAACCTGATTTGTGTCTCCTGCAGGTGTGGTCCAGGGGATGATTACAGGGATCAGGGGTCTGTGTAACGGTCTGGGTCCAGCTCTGTATGGATTCGTTTTCTTCCTCTTTAATGTGGAGCTCAACGCCATGGACCCCATCCAGGGAGACTTCAACATCGACCCCCTGCCTCTGAATAATCCAACTGAGGTACAGAAACATGAAACATCCTCTACATACACAGACAACTGACTTTCTTCTACATGAAATCCCCTCAAAGCTCTTCACAGAGGACTCCATTTTAGGCAGACAGGCAGTCAGACAGCAGCCTGTGTGGGAAAACAGAGTCAATATTTAACGAATGTTGCTCAGCTCTGATTTCACCCAAATCCACCTGCACACACCACTAATCCACCAGCCTCCCACTCTAACAAATTATTTATGCTGATTTGGAGGCATGCACCCACCTGTGCTTTCATGTTAAACACTTCAGGATTTACAGGTGATTTCTTCATTGTGTGTTGAATTGACTGTTACAAATTCCATCATTTTTTTCTTTACGGTGTATTTAAAGCTGCTACTTTTGAGGACCTCTTTATTCGTGTTGAGCACAAAAGCAGTACAGATTGAGTCATGAGAACTTAGATTAAGCCCCTTTCTCTCATTTGCTCTCCAGAAATTTACGAACAACAACATGCAGGAATTAAGGTGTACGGTTAAAAACATGGCTACAGATGAAGCAACACAGTGAGGATTGTGTCGCCATTTATAGATTTACGTGCAGATCTCATCTTGGATGATTGTATTTGTCACATTTTGTATCAGCCTTTGGGTTTGCACAAGTTATATCTGATGGTGAAATTTTCTGAGTATAACCTGTGTCATTCTCACACCGGCTCACCCTGACATTTTGCTGAAATTTAACTCAGGAGCTGGCAGGAAAGATTCAGGGTTGAAAATATGCCTGTTTGTGCTCACTCATCCACCCTCCTAAAGAATTTTGTGCATGTGTGTTTACAAGGTTGGATAGTATGTTTTTTTTCTGTTTTTTGGAGCAACTGAAATGAAAATGCAATTTCCTCTCGGATTTTCTGAATAGACATTTTTTGCAGCTGTATCTCCAAAGGCCATAGAGACCAAATATGAATGCTTATGCAGTCTTTCGAATCCCTCTCTGTTTATTAATCAGCCAAAAATTATCAATAACTCTGCACATGTTCTGTTTTTTTTATTTGTTGTATTTCTTCACTGCACTGAAAACGTGTAGTAGTACTTAAAGGAAACTCTCCTTTGCTGAACGATTACCCAATGTGATGGTCCTCAATATAGAAGTCAGAATATGCCAGTTTACAACCCCTGTCCTAAGCACCTATATGTTTATTTTATAACTGTAATCATAATGTAATCACTCTTGTGTTTTTCCACTTGGTCAGTTTGCATGATTTGACTCGTAGGCACACACTAACGCCTGTTCTTGAAGTCTGTGGCAAGACCCCCTCCACAATGCAAGTAAACATTTGTTTTTGTTTTTCAGCGAGCCCTCATCCCCGGCCCACCCTTCCTACTAGGAGCGTGCACCGTGGTCGTCGCCTTCCTCGTTGCTCTCTTCATCCCTGAGAAGCCCTCCTGCTCCTCCTCTTCCTCCCACCTGTCTCTAAGCGACAAGCCCCGCCCAGACAGCAAAGAGTCAATGTCCTCACTGGCTGGCGTCCACATCAACACGCCTCTCCCAGGTAGTGACGAAGAGACCCCTCCCACTGCCAGCGACGAGGATTTTGAGCCCCTACTGCAGGACAGTATCGTCTGATTGACAGCTGGGAAAACCACAGAGTGGAGCTTGATTGATGGACTCTTTGTTTAAGGACAAAGAACTAGTAATTCATTTCCACAGCGGGATTAAGCATTATTTTATTGTCAGAAGTCTGACAGCAAGAAGCTCTTGTCGCTTTGTCTCCTTGCCAGAAGGAAATATAATTTCCTCCTACAGGTACGGAGGTAACCACATCTGTTGAGCGACCAATAAGGACGTTTCTTTCACAAGGGGGCGGGAGTTGTAAGCTGCTAAGATGTCATCAATTTATTTGACTATGCTTTGATTGAAAGGAAGACGGTAGGCCAACAGAGACATCATACTTAAGATGGAAACCATCGATTGATTGACAAGCGGAGGAACCAACTATGTTTTTTAAGGAGTGGACACGCCCATTTTTGGGATACACCCACTCTTGGGACTGGCCCTTATAGAGTCCCTCCTGAGGGGAGGAAAAAGTATTTTTGTGGCTTTAACGAAAGGGTTACTGTTCATCTTTAAGCTTGAAGTTGTTGATTGTTTTTGTGATAAACAAAAAGGTATTTTTTACCTTCAGCTGTATCGATTTGAAGCTGTATTTTGATTCATTTTGGTTCTTGTACAAAAAGATGTCTGCAACATATTTACAGCAGCCAAAACCTCAGTGTTGTTTATATTTTTTGTGCGTGTTGAGGAACAATTTTTTGTTACTGTTTTTTCTTTTTTTGTGGGGTAAGGGATTTTTTATTTTTTTAAGTGTACAGTATCTTACCTGCTGTGGATGCTAACAAGGTATGAATGTGAACATCTGAGAGATGAGTCAGCAACATGAAACCCTACATGTCCAATATCAATTTATATAGTTTCATTTTATTCCTAAAATTCACCTATGGAACTATTTAGCAAAAAGGGTCCAGAATAAATATTTATTGTACATACTTAAAACTCTTACTGAAGTACTATTCAGAAATTTAATTTGATAACCAAAACACCTCAGTTTAATGTAGTTTTCCTATTTATTCCACCGTTTAGTGTCCCTGTTTGTCACTCTACCTCAGATCAGTGTGTTTAAAATCACTTTAGACCTGGATTTCACCTTCACCTTTGTTTTATTTTTATATCAAAGTCACTTTATAAAAGTGCTGCTGGCTGCTGGCTGTGGGGAAAACCTCAGAACTGTGAAACCATCTGCGTATGATGAAGAAAGCATATTGTGTTTTGTTGAATTGTTGTTATTGGAGACACAGACCTCCATTTCATTACCGTCATTTCATAAGCACGTGATGTTTTTGCAGGTTTTATTTAGAAAATGTGGTTGCACTGATTTGACGTTTCACGGTCAGACCATAAGCAGACCCGATTTTCAACTGGACATGCATACAGTCGACATAGGGACAAAAAAATGGCAATTTTGCACTCACACTAATGAGACTCAGTCTTGAATTTATGCAGGTATCTTTTTTCCCAAATTAGAAATAATTACACATAAATGTCCCATTGGTACCCAGATGACATCCTAATATTGTGCAACAAAGAGTTGAACTGATCAACTTTGAAGAGTTTCTGAAATAGATTGTTTGAACTATGCCTCATAATCAAATCACATCACATCCAGTTATCCTTGTTTCATACTGCTTTCTTAAGCCAGCTGCAGCCAATTCCTTACCTGCTAAATAAAGAGAACTGCCACTTAAAGGAGGCATATAGACAGATGCTCCACAGCTGAAAAAGACATTGAGCACAGAGTTAGTTCAGGCAGGTGACAAAGTCCGACTCAGTCTTCAATACATCAGCTGTTAACTCAGCCAGTTACTTTCTACACATACGTTTGGCAAATATCAAAATGGACTTTGACTGCTCTTGTCGGCCCACTCTTCCTGTTCCCTCTGCAAGCTACCTTCTCCCCAGCACCTCCTTTTAAGTATTGTCTAGCTCTACCACAGTCATATGTATTGTCACTGATGACTGCTCTGATCGATACCCTGGAGATCTTTGCTGCTGCTCACCAAACGTAGCTCATTGAACCTGCAGTGTGGCGTCCCTGCAGAGTCCAGGTTTAGAAATGCCACCGAGCTCACTACATGACACCCTTAAGTTCAAATACAGTATTTCTGGCTCCCATTGTTCTGTGTCAGTGTGCCTTCAACCAGCTTTTATTTGAAGATTTGCTCTTCACTTGTGGGTTTAAAGCTGTCCTGTTTTATTTCTTGGTTTTATTTTTCCAACACACAGTGGAAGTCAGCAGGGAGGGATAAACATTTGATTTCACAGCTGTGAGGTTTCCCCCCCGCCAGCAGTAAATTTCCTTTGAATGAACTTATACTTGAAGCATTAGAAAGAGATTTTATGAGCTTTAGAGAAGAAATGCTGAAGAGTTTAAGAGTATATAACTGACACAGAGTGTACATAGTTATTTGCTTTATGACCTTAAAATGTAAATGTACATGTGAATGATGTATTGGTTTGTACATAATGTAAGTGAAGGGTGGGTTGGCTTGTTTTGGTTGATATGAAGGTTGTCCTTCAGATTTCAGTGCAGTGAAGCTCAATGGCACTAAAACAGTCTGGAATGAGGTTCTGCTATCTTTTTACAACTCCACACTAACATAAGCATCTGTTTTTGATTTTTCTTATTCATGCAAACAAAAATAATCCCCCTCTTGTTCACAGTTATGTTTACATGCAAACTTGTATCCTGCAAATCAGTCTTTCTCTGTATTTTTCATATTTTTGAACACAAAGATCGTGTACTCTTTTTATACAAATTCAAAGGTGCTAGATCAGATCAAGTTTTCTGCATTATGTCTCACTATTAGTTCTAGCTTTTTACCTGTTAATAACTTAGGTTTCATTTCATTACCACAACTACAAACCCCTGTTTTTGCTTACATTGTTGTTTAAGATATAATATAATTTTACAGATATACCAGCCTCTTTTATATTAACCCAATTCCTAATATCAAGGCATTTATAAACCAGGGTTAAATAATCCGGGTTTCAGTAATCAGAATATGATGTTGATGTAAGTGAATAAACCTGGAACCCATAGCAAGTAGGATATTAGTGTACGTGTGAGCACTCATTTGTTCACAATAGTGACTTAATTACCTGCACCTGAGAAACTGACTCAGCAGTGTAAATATTGTACATGGATGGATGTCTGTAAATGTGAAGACATAGATGTACATGGCATTCACTGTACATACACTCTGTCTGTTGTCTTGTCTGAAGGTGTATACGAGCAGATGTTGGATATTGGAAATTAAAAATTAACACTTGGTATCTGCATGGTGAGTGATTCTTTTATAATCCCGTGTCTACATTTAAGCTGAATTTTGTTTACCACATCCTCTTGTCCCCCAACAAGAAGGACAGCAGACCAGTGTTGTTTTCGTTGACAATGACGTTTACATCGTCAACGAAAACAACACTGCAGAATATATGTTTAGCATTTGACTGACAAAATGCTCATGAATTTTGCAACTCTGTTTGTCGTCCACCACTAACTTTTTCGTCTAGTCTCGTCTCGTCAACTTAAACGCACATTCGAAGGTCAAACTTGTTGTCTTGTATTTTTTTCTGGTGTGGGAAGAAATAAGTCAACAAAAAAACATCCTTCATTTTTCTGTATTATTTCACAGTTGAAGACATGAAGAACAAGTTCAAGAACCTGAAGGCAAGCAAGGTGTGCAGGTCTATGATCTCGTGTTTACATTTTAGCTGAATTTTGTTGACCACATCCTCTTGTCCCCCAACGATAAGGACAGCAGACTGGAAAATACAACACTTGGATCATTTTGAGCTCCTGAGATTCCCACATTTTAAATACTACATCCTCTGAGGACCTAATATTGGAGTGAATTATGATAATGAAAAGTTTTCCTTTAGAAATTATTTTACAAAGAACCATATCTTCATCATGGGCTTTACACAATTGGATTTTTGGTTGGTTTCCTTGTTTCTTTGCTGTGTCTGATATAGAGGTAGAGATTATTTTAGATTTTGGAATCTTCACAGCTGTGTTACTTACTTACTTACTGCCAATAAACAAAAACTAAATACTATTCCAATATTTTACTTTATTCATTTTCATTTCTGGGCAACTGCGTCCTCGTCAAGGAGATGAATATCAATCAACAGCGACATCTACAGGGCAACCGCTAAATTAATCTCCGGGAATCGTCCAATCAGAGCCGAGATTTTTGATCATGTGACCGCACTGCTGCGATCAGGAAGGGTCCACTGGCAACAACAAATATGGAGTCGACTCCGTGCAGCTTCACCCCGGAGCGATACTGGACGGAGGAAAAAGAGAGGGCACTCATTACGTTTTTTGCCAGTAAGTCAGACTGTCCATCATGGTTATATTCTTTTCCACAAAAGCAGCCTTTCTGGTCGATGTGTTGTCGGAAAGGGCAACATTGCAGGCAACCGTTGCTTTAAGGAACCGAGCAACATAGACGGTTAAGAGCAATGGCGACGAGCAACCGAAGTCAACTTAGCCAGTATCCTCTAAAAATGCGTCAGATCGTCAGCTTTACCATAGTTTGTGTCCTCAATCTGCATGTTTGATAATAAAATAGTAAATGAACAAACTTTGTGCCTTTATCTGGATGTCTGCAGTCATTTCAGTAGGCTGAGAGACATTGTTGACACTGTAGTTGGAAACGTTCATTCTGAAACAATGGCACACCTGGTTACAGTTCCTCTAAAGATGATTATAATAAACTCCTACTGCTCCAGTTCACTAAAATAACCCCGTATGTACAGTATATTCCTAAAACACACATCCACACACTGAAATAGAACTCTCAGTGAAAGTTATCTGAGTCCAAAAAGCCCCTCTTAATTCCCACTGTCCCCCAATCCAGCCCTCTTAAATAACAACTAAGATTACATGACATTAAATTTCACTGTGTTCATATCTCTCACTAATGTTTCAGTTTCACCCCAATATAATAGATGCCAGTGCAGAGACAAATCAAAAACACAAACTTTTCTAAAGCCATTGTGCAAATAAATCATAAAATTTCATCATAAGCTAAGCCATTTAAACTCTAGAAAACCTAAAATTAATTAATTGCTTAATGCAAGTCCTACAATTTGTCTACATTTGTTTACTGATGACTTTTGTTGTTGTTACAATGATAAACAGTAACTGCAAGAATCTTTATCTTTTAAATGTTAGAGTAAGAGGTAAAATGCGTGATTAAAAAAGTCAGAGGTGCTACTGTGTAATGATACGTGTTTAAGTAAAAGTAAAACAAATGCTCGGACACTATATTGAATATTTCAACAGTACTGTAGCTGTCAAGTATCTTGTTTTTCTTCTTTCCTAGAACACAGCTGTCTGTGGAACCACAAGTCAGAGGGCTACAAGAATCGACACCTGCGATGGAAAACACTGGAACATCTGAGAATCCTCCTGTCTGCTCACCCTCCACCTGTTCGATTTACAGGTATGGTTTTGCCTTTCTTATATTTTACCTTAATTTCACCTTTGTCATATTTATTTGTATAGGGACAAGTGAACCATTACCACATACTACAGCTTGAAGCTTGAGCTAATTTGCAATGCCCGTCTTTTTGTACATGGATGTATTTTTCAGTCTTTCATTTAAGAACATAAACATGCACCAAGGGTTCCATTGTAGCGTTGCGATAGCATCAAATTTGCTATTAAACCCTTATCTGAGTATTGCCTGTCAAAACATGAAATTGACACATCTTCACAATTTGTTAACTTTCAAGAACATTGCATTTTAAAAACTTTAAATATACCAAAATTAGCATGGTTTTGTGGGTACTGCAAAATAAAATTTGATTGGCAGTTATAATGATATAAAGGTTGTTATTTGAAGTCAGTGTAACAGAAATGAGCCTCACTATATAAAGCATTTCAGATTGAAATATTCAAGATTGTGTTCATGGATATATCATGAATATATTTATAAAGCGGTCATTCCTTAAAGACAGATTAGATTAAAACCCCAAATTAAGAGTACCTGTTGATTCTGTATTAATTCACAGTTGAAGACATAAAGAACAAGTTCAAGAACCTTCGCACCACCTTCCAGCGTCAGTACAAGATGGTGAAGGCAAGCAAGGCGTGCAGGTCTGACGACGTCTTCGTGCCGCAGTGGAAGCACTTCCAGCAGCTCATGTTTCTGCATGAGGACGGTCTCGACCGGCTGCCATCCCCACTGATAGTCTCGCAGGAGGAGAGCAAGCCTGTCCACAAACCCCTTGGACTCATCACCGCCTTCCTCCCAAGTCAGATGATTTCCCCATCCCCATCCTCCTCCTCCTCATGTGTCCCCTCCAACAACATGACAGTGAAATGTTTCTGGAATGAAGAGAGGGAGCGAGCACTCATAGCGTTCTACTCTGGTAAACAAAACGTCTTTCAGATGCAAAATAGTTTTTATAACCTCAAAGGGAGTCTCTGGACTTAATCTAATGATAGTTTGATTTCATACACTTACAGATTTTTGTTGTTGTTGTTGTTTTGCACAGATCATGGTTGTCTCTGGAACAAGAAATCTGAAGACCACAACAACCGTCAGCTTAGAATGAGGCTGCTGGAGGCTTTGAGGAGCCAGCTGTCTGACCACACTGTGCCCTTCTCAGGTAAGAATCACCTGCTCCCTGCTTAAATGAAGGTTACAGCTCAACACAGCAAGATCCTACCATAGAGATGGACATACCTAAATGTTAAACCAACTATACTGTGACTCGATTTAATTTTACAGCGCGACAAAAAGACCCCTACTACTATCTGAATCACAGAACAATCAGATCAGAGCTTCGAGAACTTGATTGTCCTCTGTTGATGTTTTACAGTTGAAGACATAAAGAACAAGTTCAAGAACCTTCGTACAGTTTTTAATCGGGAGTATAAGGTGGTGCAGGCGAGTAGGGGGTCTGACAAACCGTACATGTCCAAATGGAAACACTACCAGCAGCTGCTCTTCCTCTGTGAGTCCTGTGATGAAGACGAGAGTCAGGATGATGTGCTGATACTAACACCACCAGAGGACAAGGAACTGGACTGTGGAAACCAAACGCCCTCCTCCACCCTGAGCAGCCTCTCCTCCAGCTCCACGCATGCCAACAGCATCAGGTTCAACAACCCCTACAGCAACTCCAAAGCCAGTCCCAGTCCAGTGTATCAAGTCTTCCTCCCTGAGAGTCCGGATAGTGTCAAAATAGTGAACCAAACATCTGCTGCAGCTTTTCCCATCTCTCCATCCACCTCATCCCCAGACACTAAAGCCTCCACAGACCCCTCAGCCCTGAACGCCCCTTCACTAAGTTCAGCTCATCCAGACAGCAGACTGAGCTCTGATGCCCGCTGCCAGTGGAATGAAGCCAAAATTCAGCAGCTCATTTCATTTTACGCTGGTGAGTAGAATGATTTATAACTCAGTCACAGGCTGAGTGAGAATCTGGTTTGATAGTATAGAGGTGAAGCCAAAGAAACAAACTTTATCACCTGTTTTCACCTTTTTTTTTATAGAGCACAGCTGTCTATGGAACCACAAATCAGAGAGCTACAGGAACAGACTACTTCGACAGAGTCTGCTGGAGATGCTGAGCAGCATCCTGTCTGAGAACCACCCTGTCCCATTCACAGGTAACACTGAGGCTGAAACACTGAGTTTTTACTGGCTTTGGTTGAAACAAGCCTGTGGAGACTCTCAGCCAGATGTTGCCTCCATCTCCACAGGCTCGTTTCAGGGAGCGATACAAATCAGCCTTGAGAACCTTGAACCAGAACACTTTTATATACACTGAAGTCTTGGATATAAAGCCACCAGACTGCTGAAAAATCAATGCAGAGGGATTCCAAAGAATGATAAAGCCGACTGGATCTGCACACCAGAAACTTCTGTGTCTCTTAGGTTCAAGTTTAAATTTACTCTCATCCTTTTTGCAGTGATTCCATTAAAGTTTGAATCTCGTTCAATGTGAGTGAGTGAGATCTGATCTATTCTAACCCAAAAGTCCTCAAAAACTGATATTGATGGACCACTACTCTTATTGTTCTGTAGCTACACAACAGAATCAGTTATATCTGAAATGTTACTATGGGAAAATAAAATTTAGGGAAAAAAAAACTTTATCAGGAAAAATCCAAATCTTTTAGCAAGTTAATTAATAATTGATTATTAAAATTTACAAAAACAAAAATCCAAACATTGGATTTCCATCCCTAAATTAAATGGTTTCAAACAGTTCTCCTGGAGTTATTCTTTCTGTGTTGAGGCTAACAGTTAGTGTTTTTTATTTTCAGTGGAGGACATAAAGACAAAGTTCAGAAATTTACGAACAATCTTCCAGCGTGAGCACAAAGCGGTGAGCTCAAACAAAACCTGCGGCTCAGAGGACTTTTACCTCCCAAAGTGGAAACACTACCGTGATCTGATGTTCCTCTGTGACTCCTGTGACGAAGATGAACGACCTGATGAGCTCCACTTCATCCAACCGCAGGATTCCCGCCTCCACCACCTGGACAACCAAGCCCCGCCTCCCTCCATACACTACCATAACTCTACCCAGACTGCTGCCAAACTGATCATGACATCACGGACCGTGGAGGCCCCACCTTCTCCGACTCCCCCTGACTCTCAGCGCTCTTCCCCCTCCTCCTCACCCTGCACCTCCCCCTCCTCTCGGACTGACAGCAGAGTGTCAGGACGTAAACGAGTGAGCCGCTCATTATCTATGTCCAATGAGGTTCTCGATTTCATGAAGACATTGTGTCAAAGTCAGACGATGTCACCACACGCTGGCTTCCTGAAGTACATAGAGGAGTGTCTGAATGAGACGCCGCCGGATAAAGTCAAGAAACTGAAGAAGAAGATAATCGAGACCATCCACAGCGCATCAGAAGACAGTTAGTCTCTCCTTCACAGACTCTTATCTCCTCCTGAAACAAGATGACGCCAGCTGTCATCTTATTTCAAAGTGGACCTGCTTAAGAACCTGTATGAGATACGCTTTACCTTCTGGAGAGCACCTTGATTCAAACATGACATGTTAGCATGCAAAAGGTTAGCATCTTCCTCCCAGCAGAGGCATTATGTTGTGAACCAAAGTAAGTTTTTATGTGTTGCTGGTGCAAACAGGGACACTAGGGTCCTTTTATTATTGTTCACTTTGATCCAGTGCATTTGCATTTCTTAAAATATTGTATGTGAATTATTTATGTTATTGGATGGTTATTTACTCCAAAAGCCTGCAACAAGTTTCAACATCCAGTCCTGTGGTAGTTTGAATGTACCAGGGTCTAAAATGTAAGGGTTTTTGTCACTTTTAACCTGTCAAAGGACAGTGAAACAAATGCCTTCCACCTGTACCTCTGTATTTGTCACCAAAACAGGTTTCAAAATGTTACATTGAACGATCCGAGGTTGATCAAATTTAAAATTTGATTTTCATTTTCCCTTTCTTAGTACTGTTACGTCCTCTATATATCAGTCTAAAAACGTTACATGAAGCTGGATTTTATCAGCCATTAGTTTGAGTCTCATTTTTAAACACATTTCAAGCCTGTACGTTTTCTTTATCTTTCAAAAGAATCTATGCATGTAAAGACTTCAAAATCTGAATGTTTTTGTTTCGTTCAATGTGTGAAGATGAGCTTTAAATGAAAGCAAACCTTCTGAAGCAATAATCTTTATTCTCAAGCTCTATAACCGAAGCTGTAATCGTCTTTATTTGGTTAGGATCTTAAATTGCACACTTACACAATAATTTATATTTGTTTTATTTGTTGTTTGCACGTCTTTGACCTTTAAGTGCCTTATCACTATAACAGTTACTTTATTTTTTGCTGTACATGCGCAGGAATTGTGTTCTCACTTTTGACTTTATTTGAACTGATTTAAGTGCATAAAATTTAAGAACAAGCAGAAACTGTGTGGGGATGTTTTTTTTCTTTAAAATCTACGTCATGGTATTTTCATCTGAGATTATTTTCACAATCTTCAGCCTATTGAGATGAAGCTGCACATGTCAATAGAAACACGTACTAAATGAAACAATTCCTCTTTTGTCTTCAGTTCTTACATCATGCCTGTTAAGTATGTAATATGCTTTGAATCGGTGGTAAGCTGAAGTTTAAAAAATGTTGTTTTGTGTGCGTGGTAGCAAAAAAAGACGAAAAAAGTAAATCGGCATCTGCACCCTCAGGGCTAAGCTCCTGATCGCCAAGAATCCTAGATCCGCCCCTGTCAACTAGGTTTTGCAGTTTGTACTAATTGTTCTGAGAAATGCACCAACTGTTGTGCAAATGTTAATTGTGATGTGCGAAATGCATCGACGCGACTGAGAAAAACTGTAAGAAAGCAGGAGGAGAGATCCTGGTCAGAGAAAAATACAAAGAAAAGCAGAGGGAGAAAATGCAATATTTTGTCCACAGGGGGGCGCCAGTGAACCATAAACTGCTGGTTCTTACAGGGGGCTTTAAGCCTTAGAACTGAGACGAGTTGATGCAACAAGTGCAACTGCTCATGAGAGTTTTCTCTCATTTGATCAGATTTAACTCTGCATTTCTTTGCTCTTTGGCATCATGAAAACGTCTGTTTGTTTAAAAACTCAATTTGAAGCGCTGCTGATATCAGGTTATTGTAAAAGCGTATAAACAATTTGCCCCAGTAGGCAGTTTGATGTGTTTTCTGGGCTGTAATCTGGTTCCAGTGTGAAGGGAAACAGTGTCAGAGCTGCTGCTGTGGACTTCAGCTCTGTGTGGAGGATTGGATTACAACTCATCAGCACACACACAGGAAACACACCGGACACACACTCTCCCAGTCCTTTCTTATGTTCACATTTTTCTTCTTTACATGTTTTTTTTTTATTTCTCATCCCTTTTTTCCTCATTTGCTTCCTTTACCTTCCTTACTTTTTCCAACTTTTCATTTCCTTCATTTCTCTCTCTCTCTCTCTCTCTCTCTCTCTCTGTCTCTCTCTCTCTCTGTCTCTCCCTTTTCTTTTCGCTCACTGAGTCGCAGTAAATCCTATTGTGATGCTAAACTGATTTTCGGAAGAGAGATAGAGAGAGGGAGGGAGGGAGAGAGGGAGAGACAGAGAGAGAGGAGGAGGTTAGGTTTCTGTTTGAGCAGATCTGATCTGACCATCGCTGATCTGAAAGTTTATAACATTTCTCCTCTCTGTGTAACTTTTTTTTGTACCTCATGTAAAGTGAAGTTTCGGGTGTTTTCTGACTGTGTCTGCCGGAGGATCAGCCGCTCTCTGCGCTACAGGAATGCACTTTGCAGGAAACGCAGCTCGCCTCCTTCACTTCACTTTTTCCACTTTTTTCTAACCGGGATTTCTAAATGAGTGAGGGATATGCACTCGTGAGGGAGGCATCGTTAACGTCAGGCCGGTAACCCTGCTCCGCCGCAGCCGGGCTGAGGACAGAGCAGCCCGGAGAGAGCGCTCCCCGGCTCGGGCATGGAGAGCAGCGGCGGCCGGGCGGGGCTCCAGCAGCAGGCGGCGGGCGGAGGAAGACAAGGCGGCTGGGTGCTGGTGGAGGCCCGGCTGCAGGGAGGTGCACCGTGGGGTTTTACCCTGCAGGGCGGCCTGGAGCATGGAGAGCCGCTCATCATCTCTAAGGTACGATCAGTAAGCATTTTACTGTGACAGTTTATGGTTTATAATGACATACCATTTCACTTTAATAAGACACTACTGACACCTGTTCATTGTCAATGCAATATCAAGAAAACAGTCATTGACATTATCTCAAAATGCAAGTTTTATGTGTAACACTATAGCTTCAATTCCTGGGGAAAAGAAGCTGGAATACTCATTAAAATGTTGAAACCTGAAAAATTGAGAGTTTAAAGTTGAATTTGATGCCAGAAACATTTGTCAAAAAGTTGTAACAGGGTCAACAAAACACTGAAAGTCTGTGTGAAGCTTTAAAAAGTATAAATAAAACAAAAATCAACAGCAGGTTAGTTACATGACTGGGTATAAAAAGGTCATTCAGAGAGGCTGAGTCACCACTCTGTAAGAAACTGTGTGAGCTAATTGTCCAACAGTTTCAGGGTAATTCCTCATCATAAAACTGCGAAGAGTTTGAGTGACAGTACAGAATACGATTAAAAAATTCAGAGAATCTGGAGAAATGTCTGAATGAAAGGAGCAAGGACCAAAACCAAGACTGGACGGCCCTGATCTATGGGCCCTCAGGCAGCACAGCACTGCATTAAAAACAGACAGGACTCTGTAGTGCAACTTCCCCCCAAAAAACCATTGACTGTGAACACATTTAAGGAACAAACCATACTGTGCAAACTTGCCTAGGCCTAAGCCCACCAAAGATGGAGTTCTGTTGTCTGACGAATCAAAATTTGACATTCTGTTTGGAAATCATGGACACTGCATCCTCAGCCAAGGAAGAGAGGGACCAGTTGGCTTGTTACCAGCACACGGTTTAGAAGCCAACATCCCTGATGGTATGGTGATCATTGGTTTCATAGCACCAGTAACTTACAAATTTAGAAAGACTCTATTAGTGCTGGACAACATACAGTAGACAGGTTTGGGAACAACATGTGCTGCCATTTAGACAATACCTTTTACGAGGATGACATTTATATATCAGCAAAACAATGACAAATGACATTCTGTGTGTGCAACAACATAGCTCTGTAGTAAAAGAGTCCTCCTGCTAAACTAGCCTGCCTGCTAGTTTAGCAGATAGGACTCTGTAGTGCAACTTCCCCCAAAAAAACCATTGACTGTGAACACATTTAAGGAACAAACCATACTGTGCAAACTTTCCTAGGCCCAAGCCCACCAAAGATGGAGTTCTGTGGTCTGACAAATGAAAAATTTGACATTCTGTTTGGAAATCATGGACACTCCATCCTCAGCCAAGGAAGAGGGGGACCAGTTGGCTTGTTACCAGCACACAGTTTAGAAGCCAACATCCCTGATAGTATGGGGATCATCGGTTTCCATAGCACCGGTAGCTTACAAGTTTAGAAAGACTCTATTAGTGCTGGATAACATACAGTAGACAGGTTTGGGAACAACATGTGCTGCGATTTAGACAATTTAGACAATACTTTTTATGGGGATGACTTTCATATTTAAGCAAGACAATGACAAATGACATTCTGTGTGTACAACACCATGGCTCTGTAGTAGAGGAGTCCTGCCTGCAGTCATGACTTGACACCCATTGAAAACATTTGGTTAATCATGGTAGGCAAATATAGCAAAGGAGACCCTGTACTGTTGAGTGGCTGAACTCAAACCAGACTTCTGCGACACCTGGTCAAAATCTAACCAGACATTCAACCACAGCTAAGAATTGATGTTCTGTTTGCTGAGTAATGATGTAACCACCATCAGCATATTCAAGCTTCAAAACTAGTGAAAGTAAAAACCTGAGAGGAAAGCATCCTTTAAAAAAAGAGGATTTATTAACTGATAATTAGTCATGGTGTTTTTATTGGCAAACAGCACAGAGGCTAGCTCTTCTTCTGACTGTATGTGAAATGACCGCTGATCAGCCCTCTTCTGTCTGTACGACCATTATGGCCTAATTTTATTAACATGCAAATCAGCCGGCTTTGCGAGAGTGTGTGTGCGCGCATGCATGTGTGTGTGTGTGTGTGTTTGCGTGTGGAGGTTATTCTGGGACTGAAGCCAAACGACTGTAAAATAGGACAAGAATGTGAATTATGTGTTTTCCTGGGTGCTCTTGAACACAGTCATGCTTTTCTGCTGTAATGGTGGATGCAAGAGCTGTGTTTCAACCAGCAACTGTCTGATGGATAAAACAATATAATGTGATCAGTTTATGTAACATAATGGTATATAATAGTATGTATTTGGTCCATTACCATCAGACAAAACATGACAAGTGAAAGGTTCATTATGCAAGTTAAAGCTCCTGCAAAAAGACAGCTGTTCTTTCTATACAGTACATTAAAAGTTGAATCAGTTAAAATCAGGAGAAAATCGATTCAATCAGTCAGTCAAGCACAACTGATTTGAATGGATTGTCTCAGTTTATGTTTGCAAGATGTCAGTGCAGTTGGTAAAATATGTAGCATCTATGAAAGTTAAGTGTGCAGCTTTCGGGTCCATTAACAATAACCTCTTTATATTATATATTGTATTGAAACGTGTTATAGTGTGTTATTTTGGACAGCATTGTGCTGTTTAGATTGTGTCACATTGCATCCTATCCAATTGCAGTGGGTCAAATATTCTATAATACCATGTCTTATCATATAAAATGGTATCCATTTGTTCTATATCCTATCATATGCTCTGCTGTGCAGCATTTGATGTTATATTGTGCTTATTGTGTTTTATACTCAATAGTATTATAAATATCTTGTGTATTGTGGTATCACAAGATGGTACCATATCAGATCATATCGTTTCATATTGTATTGTGTCATATTGATACTGCATCAAATCCTTTAGTTTTATGTTGTGTCATATTGTATAATATCTGAAATCATAACTGTATCATGTTGTTTATTGAATATATGTCTGTCTTTTCATCTTTAAATGAGTCAGGGGTTTTGTAGTGAGTTAAAAAAGCTATTTGTAGCTGTTTGCTTAGACTGTGGGAAAATTGTGTTCTTGAATATTTTTTTGCCATGTGCTTGACTAACTAATAGATAACGGTATGACCCTCAGATTAATTAACTAGAAAAATGCAGTACCGAGGAAGCCAGTAAAACCACTGGGTTAAATTTAGGTAGGAATTCGGTTGAGGCCACAAAATAACTGTGTGTTTACTGTTTTTCTAGGAGATGTAAAACAAGTACAAGAAACACAGACTCATGAAAATCTGTTTTTTCATTTGTACTTATGATCGGATGTACTTCTTACACCACTGATAATTTGCATACATTGGTGATGGGCAGTCATTTACAGATTTTGAATTTAAAGGGATATTCCGGCGTAAAACTAATTTAGGGTCTAACGCACTGTAACACCGAGTTAGACACCCCCTCAAGAGATGAATGTTGCCGACTGCTTGCTTCTCTAGTTATACCAACTTTAGTAATGAGCTGAAAAGGCAAGCTAAAAAGATGTTTGGTGGCTAGTGCTGTGGCTACGACCCTATATGTACTGTTGATGAAGTTAGGTGCTGCTCTGAGCATTATTTGTGGCTATAAAGTGGCGTTTTGGTGGAGGTTTGTTTATGGCTCCTCAGACCGCTGTGTATTGCTATCCTGCGGTCGTTACCAAAGTTGGTATAACTTAAAAAAAAATATCGCTCACAGGAAGTATTAATTAACCTTTTTTACGTTATGCCACATATTCAGATTCATATTTATGAAAGTTATGAATAAGTAGAAGCATTTCTATTTTCAGTCAGTAAAATCAAACAGTATTGGCTCCATAAGCTTGTTTATTATCAGTGCAGTATTTCTTGGGGTCAAAGGTCACAATGAAGGTAATCCAGGCAGATCAACTCAGGTTACACAATCTTAATTAGTTTAATCTGAGAGTCTCATGATTGGCATCAAACAGGAAATGTGCTCTGACGCTGCTAAAGCTACACCTTCGCACTAAAGGTGAGAGTTAAAGCTGTAACCCGAACTCTCTCCTAGAGTTAACAGCAGCAACAACAACCAGAGCCAAAACTAGCAAATACAGTTCAACCTGCTCAACAGCTCAGGGTCTTCTTAGTCAGACTTTTTATTATATGATGCAGCAAATGTTGTCAATGTCAATACTGCAGAATGTGTTTTTTCTAAAGAGAGCCAGGAAATGTGGGGAATAAAAGTGGGGAAGACACGCAGCAAAGGGTTGTTGGTGGGAGTTGAACCAGCCACCATTGTCACAAGGACCGTAGGCTCTGAATATGAGGCGTGATTACACCAGGCCATCATGGAACACCTCTAACCTGCATTTGTGGATGCGGCAATGAAGTGTGTTAACAGAGAGTGGTTTTCAGCCCATGCTGTGACTTACACTACAGAGTCATTTATGTTTTCTTTGTAGTGCCACATAAGGACACAAAACTCACAACATGCAGCAGTGGTTTTTATCACTGCTCCTTTTATGCAGGGATTTCTCCAGTTTCTCTGAATCCTTAATGATATTTTGTACCGTAAACGATAAAATCAGCCAACTCTTTACCCTTTTGGGGCATTTCACAGCTTTAGTGGTGTTGTTGTCCCTCTATCAACTGTTTTTGAATGTGTTGATGGCATCAAATTTCAATGTTTTCATTACAAAATGCATCTGTTGGTTTAAATATTTGATTTATTGTCTTTGTGCTATTTCAATCTAATGTAGATATCAAATCTGTTTCTCTCAGCATTGAGGTGTATCCTAGCACAGCATACTATTTCATCATGGTTATTAGATCCACAAAGCCCGTGTAGGACTAAGAAAATGAGATTTGTGGAGAAGGGTAAGCTCTCATCATGAGGTCCTCAGGTTATTCTTTCTGAGATTATTTTCTCCAATCTCACATTCTTTATCGATTAGATGAGGTTTGTTTTTTCAGTCACAGTCCGAACAGGCCGAGCCCCTCTTCTTGGATATGTCTGACTGCCGGGTAATGAATTTCAGCTGGAATACCAAACTCAGTGACACACACATACACACACACACTCCCACAGAGTTACGGAGGGATTTGGCAAACCTTATTTGGGTATATTTATTCCTGAAAAAGCAAAACAGAGCAGGCATGTGCATGGTTCTGCAGAACTGAGGCACATTTAGCTCTACATCTTACAGGTTTCCTCTCTCCTATCAGATCAGTGGACTTATCTTACATTGGTGAGCTTTGATAAGATAGCGCTGTCGGCCTTACACAAAGCCCAATGAATCAATGACTTAGTTTTGATGTCTTTGCGTTTTCTGTCCTTCCCTTCTGCTTTGTCTTTTTTTAATGAACATTCAGTGTTGGGGGTGGTGCTCTGTGTGGGCCAAAGCACTGTATGCTTTTGTTCAAACGTAACACATGTTGTAATTCAGAAGAGGTCCAGACACACCCTGAGTTAAATTCTTGGCAGTTGATTTAACATTCGAACAGTCCCAGCTGGGTGGAGTTTATTGTTTCAGAGCAGTGTTGTGGATACCTCTGTCAATCACAGAGAGGATGTGAGAACAGACATCAAATGAAAGCACTTCATGGTAATAGTTACTGTACATCTGAACTCAGGGTGAACCCCGAATTTGATCTGTAAACCTTTGATGCTGTGCAGGTTCAATTCACGTCTCCTACGTACTGGAATCATAAAATCTGAAATCTGGGTAAAGCAGGTGGGAACTAGAGGCATGTTGGATTAAGCAAAGAACACTGAGAGCACTGATTGATCAAACATATTGTTGATATTCTGAAATAATCGGCATCACATTGACATCTGGACTCACAGTCGCCATCGTCTTTTCCAAATCACAACATTTTTTCCATTCTCAGTTACATTATCCATCCATCCACCCATCCACCCATCCACCCATCCATCCATCCATCCATCCATCTATCCATCCATCCATCCATCCATCCATCCATTCATCAATCCATCCATCCATCCATCCATCCATCCATCCATCCATCCATCCACCCATTTATCCATCCATCCATCCATCCATCCATCCATCCATCCATCCATCCATCCATCCATCCACCCATCCATCCATTCATCCTTCCTTCTATCCATCCATACATCCATACATCCATCTTCAACCACTTATCTGGGGGCAGCAGCCTGAGCACATTATCATGAATGTAAAATAGTCATTGGAGAATACTGAATATAACTTCTGCTATAAAATGTAGAATAATGCAGTTCACTGTTGCTTCTGACATGAATATCAGTTGGTACATTTACATGTTGGATTATTGCCTTAGTCTGACTGAAATTGGACTTTTGAAAAACATGTAAACACACAAGTCTGACTGAAATCACACTAAATCATATCTCTCATACTCTCATAATCAGACTAACATACCTGGATAAAGCAGTTCGGGATCGATTGTCTCTGTCATGTAAACCACTTGATCGAACTGAAACTGGCCTAAGCGGTCTGCAAATGCTCCAGTGTTCACACACCAGGCTCTGAGCCGGGAGTTGGACAGCATGGATGCACTGCTAAACAGCCAAGCAGTAAACAGGTGAAGAGAGGATGCAAAAAAGACAAAACTATTGTACAAACAAATGCTACAGAGATGTAAAAGTAGCGTCCTCTTGGCCTCTTTCTCACACATTTGCTTATTGTTCTGAACTGTTTGTATCAGGTAAACCAAAAGATGACTTAGAAGTAACAAGCTCAAATGGGGCATGTGCCCAACTACCATAGAAGTAAACATGCTTCTGTCAACAATTTGGTTCTCGCTCGGTGCTTGTAAACTGGGATAAAGACAGTAGTCTAGTTAAAACACCTTATCGAGATTTAACCTCAACTTGACTTAGCCATGCATGTAAACTTGCTGACTGGGACACCATTTAACACCTTTGAAGGATCAATATGAAAGTACAAAGGAGTGATAACAGCTGATATGCAGCACAGCATGGTTGTATACTCGCAGGGCTTAATGTGTTAAACAGGAAGCTTCAAAACAACAGTCCACCAAGACAGAGTTGTTTGGAGCCACTCTTGATGTGTTTACACTGTTTGGTCATTACACCATATCAAGCTTAGGCCTTCCAGTGTGTGGAGACATTTGCATCATGATCAGTCTTGTTGATACTGATGGTTATTAAAGTTTTTGACTGACCTATGAATCAGTCGACTTTGCAGGACTGCACTGTCTCAAAGTCTGTCAGTGTCTCCACAATCATTTTAAATCCAGAGCACTGAGGATTATCTTGATAAGAGTCAGAGTCATGTCAAAGTATTTTTATTCCTCAATGAGTTTTCTTACCAAATTCAGCAAACTTCCATGAACGTTTTCTCGCTTTGTGACGTCTGTGCAGAGACATTCAGACGACCAGCTCAGGGTTTGATCGAGCTTATCTCACAGAGAACAAGAACACAAGACAATGTGACCTTAAAGAGGACTAGCAACACACGCATAGACACAAACAGAGACGTATACACACAAACGAACACTAACACACACATAGAGTGACACACACAGTGCTGCACACGCTCTGACAGTGTTCTGAGAGGCATCATTAACAGCTCTGATAACGCAGCAGGTCATCCTGATACACGCAGTATGTGTTTGTGGGTGAAAGTTTGTGTGTTTTTGTGTATGTGGGCTGATGTTAGTTGGTGAATGTTAGTGAGTCAGACCTGGAGTTTCAGTCATATTATCACCTTTTCAGACAATAAGAACATAGAAGTGATTCGAAACACCACACTCAGGATCCTGCTTTTCTGATTATCAACAAGGCTGTGAATCATTCATCAAAGAAGATAATCATGTGGGTTAATGTTCAGGACAACATCATGACATGGTTGTGATAAAGTTTTGAATGTTTTTGATCCATTCATTTGGCTTATTCAACGAAAACAGTTTTGTAGCTTAGTGCTACATTAGCGTTTTCTTTACAATCCCAACCTTCTTCGTTTCAAGACTGAGCAGTGACTCTTGGTTTAGAAATATGAAGTAGATGCAGAAGTACAGAAAACTGCAGTTCCTCACGTGTCCACTAGGGCTAGCTCAAATAAACCAGCAAAATTACCTGTTTACAGCCAAACATACCTCAAGTCTCTTTACCTTATCTCTTAATTCAGATAGACTGTAGAGTGGGCAGGATTTTAATTGATTATTCATTTACATGATATGATTTCATCTGGTTTTAACATTTATACCTAAAGAGTTATGTATGATATTGCGCACCCACCTAGTAGACATTTGACTGACAGGTGGGTGAGTTCTTGCTGCAGTGATGAGACACAACATCAGCTTCACCTCTTTCCAGTTTCTTGTTAAGACAAAAGTTTCGATCACCACCTTCAATATGGAGACCACTCTTTTCTGTTTTTGCCCCCTGACACCCCCTGTGGACAAATCAGCATTTGCATGTCTTGTCCTGTACATACTCAAATAGTGTTATCTCCCAAAAAAATCTTATCAACTTGACTTATTATTTAAATTTATCACAAATTGTGGATGTTTTACAGGAGAAATGTGAAAACAAGGCTGTTTCTATCGCTGCTTACCCTCTCTTGCAGGTTTCAGGCATTAAAAATTACAATGTCAAAATCAGCTGATGTTCTTGTTTGCCTTTAAATATAAACAGGCATACATATGAATTCCAGTCTCATTTGTAGAAAAAGTGAAGTTGGAGTTGGAGTGACAACTTTCTAATAAGTACATCATGAAAAATAACAGCTCGACATGCAGAACCGACAAAAAAGAGAAAAAGGGTGAAAGGATCAGAGCTATAAGATCTGGCTCACTCCAAAAACAGTCATAATTCTCACCGCTAATAAAAAATCCAGATCCAGTGAAGCCCCACCGAGGACACCATCTGGATTTTGTTTGTTTTGGCAGGGTTTGGAGGAAAATTACACACAGAAAAAAAAAACCTGGAGAGAAAAAGCTCACTGGTGAGAATAGAGATGATAAATCTTACAGGCAAACAGCCAAAACCTCCCTTTTTGTCCTGCACACAAACACACCACAAGTGTTTCCTACTGCCCATAACAATAGAAACCCTGATAACAGCTGCCACAGAAAGTGTGACCAGACAGGTTTCAACACTGGGTCCTGTACACGGATAGGTTTGTATGTGTTAGCCTGCATGCAAAGGACTACCCTGGTCACATCGAGGTCAGCGAAAAGAAGGAAAATACATGCAAATCACAGCTGGAGTTTGATGACCTTGGTTGTGTTTATGTCTGTGCAGGTGGAGGAGGGCGGGAAGGCGGATAGGTTGGAGCAGCCGCTGCGGGTGGGCGATGAGATTATCGTCATTAATGAGGTGGAGCTGACCGGATACAGACAGGAGGCCATCGCTTTGGTTAAAGGATCCTACAAGACGCTGCAGCTCACCGTGCGCAGGTACAGACAGACTGTGTGTGTCTGTGTGTGTGTGTGTGTGTGTGTGATAGCAGAAACTTTGACTTTGAATGACCTTTTCAACCCTCCTCCACCACAGCGCCGTCTTTGATACTGTATCTGATTTTACCAGAGTCATATATTAATTATTAATACTGTCTTTTATTGCCTGCTCTGCTTTGTACTGTGAGGATCTTTGCCGCTGCTCTCCCTACATGTATGTACAATTGAAGGGGAGGTGTGCTCTCCCCGCCTCAGGCATTGTCTGTCCGTGCATGTCTTTGATATTGTTTCTGATTTTACCAGGGTCATATATCAGTACTGTATTTTATTGCCTGCTCTGATCTGTACTGTGGGAATCTTTGCTGCTGCTCTCCCTACACGTTTGTACAAATGAAGGGGAGGTGTGCTCTCCCCGCCTCAGGCATTGTCCTTCCATGCACACACATGGAAGGCAGGGAGCTCTCAGGACAAAACTATACCACTAAATGTATCTTCAGATGATTACTTTTTGACACAAGTGATCTTGTCTGAACTGTCCTAATAATATCCTAAACTAATCTTCTGTTCTACATGCTATGTCAGTGATTGTTTCTGCTTCTGTGTGACTGTCTGTGTGCTTGAAGGGGTGCACGACCATCGGGGAATATTTTGGTTTTTGTGGTAATGAAGGTCGTGTTTCACTCAGTTTTCAGTCAGTCTTGACCCCCATGTCTCAGTTAAAGGAGACATTTGTGCTTTGTTAATGGTGAGTGTGTTATCCATGGAGGGTCCAGACAGCTTGACCCTTTTTGTTGAGAAGCAGCTGCTTTTGAAAAGTCCCTGAAATCTTGAAAAGTCTCTGGTAAAAGAGTTCTGATCACCTATTTAAAGAGTCGAAGTCCAGAGGTTTTTACGACAACTATTTAGTCTTGTTATGTTCATTGTTCTCAGCCAATCAAAGCTCCCTAGAATGACTTTTCTTTATCATTTTGAAACGTCGTCCGCTGTTGTCATGTGAGCTGGTGTTCATGATCTTCTCTACACTCAGTATGAATGACCGACATAAACTACAGCTTCAGATTTCCCCACTTTCTTTGCTTCCTTGAGTTGGTGTAATCTGTAACTGGTCTAGATTATATCCTGGTTCAGAGTCCAAATCAGAGCTGGTAGTCTTGAATAAACACAGACAGAAAACACCGCTCATTACCGTGATCACTGCTGCTGTAGCTGACGAGTATTACTGTGATATGAAGACAATAAAGCTGTAAAGTGAACTTCAAAGTATTGAATGACCTTTTTCAATTAATGTCTTGACATGCTATAAGGTTTTGTGTAATTGTGCATAAAACATCTTATCCGAATTTGTAAAAACTGCCAAACTGGGTATTAAGAAACTTGATTTTGCCACATGGCGAACTTATACAGAAAAGGGGATACTGTGGCATGTATATGCATTACCTCAGTTTCTCACTGCTGCCAACAACTTGTGCAGGTGCCACCTCAGTTAAGTGACAAATTACCAAAACAAACATGGCGGCAACAACACCAATGTTTTCCCTCTGGAGCGACAAAACAGCTGAGAATCCTCACCTGATGCTCCCTTGTCCTTCACAGTGGTAGTGACAGGCTGATAACAGTCAGAGTTGAGGATATGTTTGATATTTTTCAGTGCTCTTTGATCCAGCTGCTAGGAATGAGATGAGAGTTAACTGTCATGGAAGTTTTTTCCATTGCTGCTAGTAAAGAATGAAATAGAGACTTCCGCCGGCCGACAAGGTTTTATAGTCTTTGCAAAGAAAAGGTCAATCTGCATCCGAGCGGTCAGAATCAAGAAAGACCCAGAAGATGGGGAAACCTGAACATTTATGCTTGAGGACCGCCCCTCAGAGGGCAAGTTTTCTGTGGGGACCGTCACTTCACCCCCCTGGGGTGGTGGTGGGGATGCTTCACACCTGGAGTATCCTGCAGGATGTTGTATCTTGCTGGGAAATTAGGGAAGTCTAGACATCATAATTAACTGATATGTTGGTAGGAAAGTCTGTTGTGGGGGGCACCTCAAGCAGTTCTAACAAAGATATTAAAATCACAATTACATACCAAAACTGCAACTCTTCACGCTGGTTTACAATCGTACAAACCCTACAATAAGCCACAGTTGTCCAATTTTCTCAGATTTCAAAATTGCTACGGTTTGTGTTGTGAAAATAAATATCATAGGTACAAATAAGGTGCAGTAATCAAAGGTCAGGATACAAGTATTAATCAATTTGTGCTGCTCAAGTCACAAATTTAGAATTGTCTGGGTGTAAATACGACCAGGGATGGTGCAACAAGTACCAGAACTCCACAACAACACTTGACTGTTACTATAATTGGACATTTGCTAAAAATAAAGCAGCAGATCTGAGGTGAATTTCTATTCTTTCTACACTTCAGCCACCAACTGAAGCTCCACCCATCACCCCTTCTTCTGCAGCGCCCTCAATAATAAGGTGAATAAGAGGAATAGTTGGTTTTGTCAGTTTTGTGTCAGATTGGTGTCACCAGCATGCTAGCTGACATTCCAATGCCGTGCTACTTCATCAGACTCATAAATGTTTCCTTCTGTGTTCACTGGAGGTTGAACATTAGTTGACCTCCGCTCAGGTGTGTTTTGCGGATGTCAGCCATCATCTCTGTGGGTTTTCAGGTTGATTTCCCCGTCAGATACAAAGCCAGGTATGTGTTTGTACTTCGGGTGTGACTGGAAGCAAAGCTGCTGCTGCTGCTGCCTCTGCCTCTTTTATTCACTGGCGTGTTTGAGACGTGAAACAATGCAGGACTTTAGACTTTAGACACAAACACTCACAGACCGGGGGGACAGGTGTAAGAGCACACATGGCATTATGGGAAGGCGTGGCAAGGGGGAAGGCGTGAGAATTTATTCTTCCAGACAGTAGCGGCGTGTTTTTGTCTGATCAGCTTCCTGCAGGGATTTGATGCTGCCTTCAGGTCTGTCTGATTTTAGTCGTAGAAGTGATTTTTATCATGGTTTGCTAATTAGGAGAGCGTGTTTGTTCTGTTTGGCTTGTAATGAGGCGGTCCACAGTGAGCTTTGGTTTGCACACTGTGTTCATGTTCAGTGGACTGTGCAGGAGGTTAAACTTGCATACCTGGGTTGATTTCACCTTTGGACTGTGTGCTGTTATTAGACTCTATTTCCCAGAGGCCCTGGCAGCTATATAAGAAAAATAAAGCTCTGCCAAAAGCTTTAAATGCTGCTCAACAGTGTGATGTTAACCTTGTGTCATGGCAACATATAACCCCTGTTTTGAACCATGTTTCAATCATTCAAAAGCTGACTTTTTGTTCAATATATACACTGTATTTTAGACAGTCCTGTGCAGAGGAGCATGGACACTAAGGCCAGTATTGGTGTCCTGACACACCTAACCCATACAAATACAATAAAATAAGGATTTTGAAGTTTATATAATGGCCCTTGTGTCAGTGGACCTTATGTGATTCCTTCTCATGCAGCCCCGCAGGAGCTGCATTTGTCAATCATGGTTTAGGACCCATTTTATAGCATTAAAATATTCATTAGAGTTCAATTTTGCAGAAAGGAATGTGCACTTAGGGTGCTTATGAGGCTACTAATTTCCTTATTCAAACAGAAATTGAAATTGCAACCAGCTGACTTATCTAAAGGTAATATGTTCAAAATTTACTAAACACAGCCAAACAAATGACTAGCAGTCATCTATCTTTGGTCTAAGAAAAATTACTTTTATATTTTTACCTAGCAACAGTCTGAAGGGCTTGGCTTATAGTGGTAGCTAAAACTAGAACACTAGCTACAATGATATTTTGTCCCTGGTTGGTAGACAGGCATATTACTTCTGAGCCATCTAAGTTCTGTGAAGTAAAACATGCGACTCAAAGTAGCAGTGTGCTGTAATACTTTGATTTAAAGTCTGACTCATGTTCCATCTGTTAACATTATAAAGCAGGCTTTACACACATACTGCATCGAGTCAAGAGGAGAAGCTCCAAATGTTTTGGCCTTGCCGTTGAGGAGCTGTCACATCATTTATCTTTTTACACAGTGTGAGGTCATTGCTCTGCCAACTCTTCACTCCTCACTTTCACAAACTTCACTCCCCCTCATCAAATCTCCTCAGTGAATCAGCAGCACTAACAGCCTCTCAGGGACAATAAAGATTTATTGAATGAACGGATGATTATTGCAGCACATGGCCAAAGTCTGCATGTGTGAATGCATATGTGTGTGTGTGTGTGTGTATGTATGTATGTGTGTGTGCTAGAGAATACTGTATTTACAACCAGCAATAAAAGTGTGACGAAGTGGTTGAATTTGTGTTATTTGTGCAGGTGGTAGGTGCTTTTATAGTCTGTGTGTGTGTGTGTGTGTGTGTGTGTGTGTGTGTGTGTGTGTGTGTGTGTGTGTGTGTGTGTGTGTGTGTGTCCATCTCGTCATAAAGATGTGCGTGTGAAGTTGACACCAAACACACCTGACTGACTCTCTCACCTCACCGGTCTGTCTGACTCTCTCTCTCTCCCTCTCCTCCATACCTGCTGTTCCACTCCGATTGGTCTATTCAGGTGAGCTCTGATTGGCTGAGAACAGACAGGTAAAGAGTTACAGAGACTCACAGACACAGACACACACAGAAGGAAGAAACAGATGTTGAACGATGCCATCAGTCGACTCACAACAAGCTGAAAACCAAGCCGAGTGTTTTCCGACCAGCTGTCTGTCAGAGCTGTAAGTCTGAGCATGTGTGTGTTGGTGTGTGTTGGTGTGTGTTCTGAGTCTGTCATGGATTTTGTGTGTTAATTATTGAAATATGACACTACTGACCCATTTTTGGATCATTCTCTAATTAAGATGGGTGTGTTTTGATAATATTTTGTGACTCATTATGTGACTTACATGATACCTTACTTTTCTGGGACTTTATCTATGTCTAAGTTTTATAATAATGCTGTCAGAACTGGCTTAGATCTTTAGTATACATTGTAAAAATAAGGCATTATCTTTCAATATATTGCAGAAAGTATTCCATGTTAGTGTAATATAGCCAGAAATTATTGATATCAACTCCTGAATCCAGTTTTAGAAATGATTTTAGCATAGGATTTGAGAGTGTTGCAAATGTCATGTGTTTTTCTAGATGATTCTGAACAGTAGCTCTTCTTCAGGACGTATTTCAGGCTCCATCAGGTCACGCCCCGTGAGGCTGCAGGGCTTGTTTGAATTAAAAATTCAAAAGGCATCGACCTGTGAGGAATGCAGTTTGTGACGTGTACAGCTATAAAGAGAGACAAGAATATGAAGAGTGAATCTAAAGGTGACAGATGAGACTTTTCTGAGCTTTTTGTTGTCTGAGATGTTTTGACAATTCAGGTTAGAGCATGAAAAATAGTCCAGGGGGGAAAGCAGTGGAACACATTTCAGGACCATCAGCAGTCTTCTCAGGACAAGCTACCCTCAAACACACCATGCATTTTAGAGCTGATTACAGTGGGTTTGAAGACGTGGTCTCAAGGTGGTTTGGGGGCTTTCTGTGAGAGGATCAGACAGTAGATAGTACAGAAGAAAACTTGTATGAAAAGGTGCTGAATAACTTTGGGGGAGGGTCTGTAGGTTGGATTTGAGCCAAGCCCACCCACTCTGAGCCGCTGTACTTAAAAGCTTACTACTAAACTATTGAGCTAAACTGACATCCCTGTTTGCTGCATTTCAAGTCTCAAGAGGCTGTCAACAATAGCTGACAGACAAATGACAAAATCTGAGGCAGGTTATCCTGTAATAGTTCTTAGAAAAACTACCTGCCATGGGGTAGCAGTTGCCCCTCAGGGTGCAAAAATCTTGTCAAACTGTAGTCGCCGGTTGTCACTTATAAAGGTAAACCTGTACGGTTCAGCGAACGAGTTCAGGTGCTCGTTCGAGTTGTTTTTTGACTTTAGTTCCTATGACTGACAAGAACCTGGTACCAATTGGTGGAGCAAAAGTTAGGGCCTGTGTCCACTGATGTTCTTTTTGTTTTTGACCAGCAGCCCTCATAGCCTCAATTTCTGAACATTTTTCACCATTGCATATAATAATGTGAAAACAGGGTAATTTTTGTGACGTTGAGTTTTGTTGATTAATGTACAAGTATTATTATTATTATTATTATCATTTTCATGATTTGCTTTTAAGGTGTCTTATTTGTAACTCCAATGATGGCTTTATATGGAATTGAATAGTTGGGTCATGAACCTAATACCAATTTGGATCACACTGAGTATAAAGTGTTTACATGAACAGGGAAATCTAGTCCTTTTTATGTCCTTATGCATGATAAATAGGGACAGAGAGTAAGGTTTGTCAAAGACTGCTGAAGAAATTTTATGTTCAGATGAGATTTCCAGTCCCATTTTACAGAATTTGCGTCTGAAATTACTATTATATGCATCTAAGTCACTCATGAAACAGAACAGAAAAATAAGTTTTAATAATGTGATCTGCAACATGCCAGTCACTCTCCAGAGGTGACTGTTGCGCCTCTTTTGCTTCAAGCATCATCAGGTATTGAACAGCTGTGTCTGCATATGTAAATGCTTGGGCCTCAGAGCCAGAATTTTGCAGCCAAACGATGACTGTATGTCCTTTTTCACTGCTGACATGCATAATTTCAAACATTATTTTACAATTTTCTGTACTTCTCCAAAAAATGATGCCCAGCACCGACTCAGTCATGCCCACAAATGGAGTTTCTATCATTTATCCTACTGCAAACAGCTTTAATGGTGGTGAACACATGAGGACTGGTGGCAGGGCAAAGTTTTATTAATGAACTTCCTTATTGTGAGTGTGTGTGAGTGTTTCTGACAGTGTGTGTGTTACCGCTGCAGCATGTGTGAAGCGAGCGTTTTATTGATACCTGACACTTGTGGCTTATGTGTAAGGTAAGACTATCACCGCACACCTGTGCTCTGTGTGTGTGTGTGTGTATGTTAATGAGTCGGTGTGTGTCAAAGTGTAGGTTTTGATGTGTAAATAAGGAAGCTGGAGGGTTTGAGTGTGTAACATTTTTGTAATACTTCTTTCCTATTATTGTATTCATTAGTTAAATGACTCTGTTTCACTCCGCAGCTGTTTTTCAGTGTTTCCCCTTCCTCTCTAATCCTCATTAAGCAGCAGTCTGCACTTCAGTGGTGTTGGCTTACACATGAGAGTTTTTGTTTTCCCCCAGGCTCAACAACAAAACCACAGTTGTGATGGACCTGACAAGAGTGCAAGCCTCATTTTTAGAGTGTTTTCATAACTGTACAAAGTCCTTATGCACCGCTGGGTTGCATTCTTGATAGAGGGTTTAAAAGTTCAACACAGAAGAAGTTTAAAATGCTTAAATGAACTATTTCGAGTCAAGCTCTGCTTGCCTAAAGTTGACTAATGATAGTGGCAGTCACATGGAGGAGAACAAGAACAGGACCTGTCTTTTGGTGTCTGATATTTGAGGCTGCAGGCTGTACTAGTGTAGTTTAGACACTTGGCTGTAAAAGCTGAACTGATACAAGTTTTCATCAGGCTCTGTGGTTTGATGCTCAGACTTTTCTGGTCTGTGTCGCTCTGTCAAGATTCATATGTTGAGAGCTGGACTCTTTAAGTTATTCTCAGTATGTGAATTGTTGTTGATATTTCTTCATACGTTTGATAGTTTTAATTTATCAAATAGGCAGCTGGGCATGTGTGACACTAGGGTCCTACAAATGACCTTGATATCGTAACATTTTGAACTGTATCATATCATATATTGTGTTGTGTCATGCCACGTCGTATTGTGTCTTGTGTTGTGTTATATATCGTATCCTGTTGTGTTGTATCCTATTGTGTTGTGTTGTGTCGCATCATACTGTGTCGTGTTGTGTCGTATCCTGTCATCATCCTATCCTATCCCAAAGTAGAGTATCCCACCATTTTTAATGACATGCTATGATGTGATCTGGTATGTTATTTCCAATCATATCATATTGTATCATTCAGTACAAAGTCATAACATAGATAATCATATTGTATGTTAATCCATTTTATAGCTTGTCATTGTCATCTGGATCCTTTTGTGTCATAAAATATGTTTCATAAATATATGTCATATTGTATCTTTATGCATCATACTGTATTCCTATCACATTATAGCATATCTTATTTTACTGTATTATGTTGTACAAAACCTGTAATATGGAATCATGCACCTTAAACAACACTTAATAGATAAACTAAAAGGTGTGTGTCAAAGTAGAGTTATTCAGGTTTTAGTTTTAACTCCTATTCCTAAAAGGACTGATTTCAACACCCTACCAAAGGCTGTTTTTTATGAAAAGGCTTAAAGAATTTTGACTCCTCTTCACATCTTAAGCCTGAACAGTTGGTCAAGACTGGCTGTGTTAAAGTGCATCCAGTCATAGCACTGCACCTCCTGTGGTTGAGATGGTGTCCCTGCTCCTGATGTAAATTTAAAGAAACAGAAGCAGCATTAGACCACTGCGCTCCTTGAATGCAACAGTGATTTGTGTTATAAATGAATCGAGCTGGCTGACAGGCGGCATCTGGAGGTTTTACGGCGAGAGTGGTCTTGTGCATATAAACTACACCGCCATAATGCAGAGGTGTGTGTGTTTTTCAGGCTGCTTGTGTTTGTCCTGTCAGCGTGAACACACTCTGCCGTCAGCCAGTCAGTATATTGTTGAGCAGGTTTGGTGGCCGTCCTTCACTCTGTATTTGCATGTGCTTTCTTTGGTTGGTTGGTTTGACTCAGACTGAATGCAAATCTGGATAAAACAACACCTCTCCTTTTATTCAGTCCTCATGTTCAGGCACAGATTTGGCCCCAACTCAAGAGATAAATCTCACAGACAGTTAAATGCTTATCTTACATTTACCCTAGGTGAGTTTGTAGGCAAACAGTTGGGGATTTTGGTGGGATTAAATGACCCCTGATAGAGGAAATTACATATTAATCTTTCCTATAAATAAAATACTGTATGAATGGCTTTAGAGAAAACAGAAAAAAAGAACAGACCACTCTCCTAGTCTGAGGCTTTTCTCCAAATCCTGCCACCCGGCTGCAGGGATTTGATCCTATTATGACACAATAGCATTAGCAGCGACCTAGACCAAACATCCCTGTGTTAAATCAACACTTTTTGGGCTTCTGTTTAAGAGCTGAGTTGTGTAATGGAATACAGTCAGAGACGTCTAGTAGGCCTAACAGATGAACTTGCACAAAGCGAAGACTGTTAGTCTGGCATAGCAGCCACGATGTCACCAACGAGGTTGAGAGATCATGTTTTAGAGGCTGGCAAAGATGGAAGCTTTTATTTGTGTTTTTAACGCCAGTTCAAGCTACAAGACATATCACCTTCAGTATGAAATCACGACTTCCATATTTGCATTTTTCCTGTGAAAGAGTTTGCAGCAGTTTAACAAAATGAACTGAAGGACTAAAAACATCAGTCCAGGGGTTCAACAGCTCTAGGTATATTCAAAAGAGGCTTATTCCTTATTTACAATTAGGGTCAAACACACCATAATACCGAGTTAGATACACCCTCATGTTGCAGACCGCTTGCTTCTCTAGTTATACCAACTAGTTATACTATGGCCCCAGCCACAGCACGAGCCACCAAACATCTTTTTAACTTTGCCTAATTTCTTTAGCAAAGAGACTAAACACAACTCACCTACTCTCTTCCAGCAGCCGCCTGTTTGTAGCCAGACCTCGGGCCAGTTCATTACGGACTGCTGCGGGGTGACTCAGCTCAAGGAAGAACATTTACGATCATTTCTTCATCATTTCCTTGACGTAATAATCACATGTCGACGCGGTAGTTCTTCTGCCTTAGCGTCTCGGTCTGATTGCATTTCCATTAACCATGGACTGGCACAAGGTCTCGCTACAAACGAGCGGCTGCTGGAAGAGAGTAGGTGAGTTGTGTTTTGTCTCTTTGCTAAAGAAGTTAGGCAAAGTTAAAAAGATGTTTGGTGGCTAGTGCTATGGCTGGGACCCTATATGTACTGTTGATGGAGTTAGGTTTTGTTCTGAGCATTGGGTCTCTGTGTATTGCTATCTGCAGTCGTTACTAAAGTTGGTATGACTAGAGAAGCAAGCGGTCAGCAACAATCATCTCTCGAGGGGGTGTCTAACTCGGTGTTATGGTGTGTTTGACCCTAACTTAATTTTACGCCGGAATATCCCTTTAAGATCTAGACTTAAGTTATGACCAGGAATGCAAACCCAGAGCACTTGTCATGATTGATCTTTGGAAATATTAACGATCAAGAATCAATTTCTTCAAAAAAAGAAACTCAGTGTGGACTTGGCACCCAAAATTTATTCATACAGACCTGGTGCAACAGGCCCCGGGTTTCCTTGCCCAGCAGTGTTCCCCTCCTCCTGAAAAAGCCAATAACAATTCTCTCTGTTATACAGTTAGGCACTTCAACATGGAGCCCAAGTGGAGTGACTCATTTATGGACCAAGCCTCAAGTGGCCACTCAAGGAACTACAGTCATTGGTGCCCAGATGCTGTTTTTGGCTGACTATTTTGTTCTTTTCTTTCGTGAGCTAAACTCCAAACTCAGGTATCACTAAAAGTGAATCAGACAGCAGGGAGGTGAGAGAGTTGAGTCACAGCGTCTGTAAGAAGGTCATGCAGCATACCAGCACTGTTTCAGCTGTGTGTCACTGAGCGTGTGAGTGAGAGAGAGACATTGTTTGTAGGCCACAAAAACATGTTTTATCTAGTAGGATTTGGTCAGGCTTTTTTCCTGGACAAATTTGGTGATAATTAAAGGGGGGAAGGATGAAAAGGAAAGCCTGATTGGTGACAAATAAAGGTGGAGAGGAATTTTAACTCTACAGACTTGTAGCCAGTTTTAATTACAGCGGCACATTTGTCTGCCTCCCTCCTCCTCTCTCACTCTCTCTGTCTTTGTCTTCTTCCATTCATCTCCGCTGACTCTCTGTCTTTGTGCTCTTTTGTTGCTGGTTGACGTAATCGAGCTTAATCAATGTTTGAGTTTCTGTGCTCAAAAAAGAACAGGAAGAAGTCATTACAGGGATAAAACCGTCTCCCCGGCAACTGACGGTCTCTGTGTGGGTCTTTACAGCACTGTTGGGGTACAGACACGTTCACACTTTGACCTTAGAGACTTATCTGTCTACACCACAGTCAGAAACAAATATAATTTAGATGACGGCACGGAAAGTCAACCTGAAAAATACTGAGGTTTTCCAAAAATATTATCTTCGTAAAAATTTCCAGCACATCAGGATTAAAGTGATGAAGGTTTCATGGCGAATCCTTCCCTAGGGGCTAGAAATGAAGGTCCTTATCAAGGTTGTGACATCTCCTGTTGGTTTAAATGCAATAATAATGACAAACTTTTCCTTCTCACAACAAACACAACATTTATTTCTCCTTAAATAGTTTCAAGGGACCAATTTAAGACCCACTGAATAACCACCAAGGCTTGATCTCTGACCGGGTAAAGTGAGAGAACTGTGTCCTGTAAGTCCTAATCCTGACCTACAGACAAAGTTAGTAGACTCGTCTTGATCTGAACCTCCATATACTCCAAGTATGAGGAGACACACCTGTACTGCAACGTGTTAACAGATTTTGATTAAGTCCAGCAGGGGGTTCAGCCAGGGGCCGGAGAAGACGTTGTTCCGTTTTGGTGCAGATCCAGAAATTCTTGAAGGATTTGCATTTTTTTTCTAAGGAGTTATTGAACAGGGAAAAATAATCTCTACAGTAATAACCTGAACCAACAACCGGCTAGCATGTTACACACAATGGTCACACTAATTGAACAATTAGTAGTTTTAAAGTGTTTATAGATAGAGGGGTTTATGACTGCTTGTTTACATTTGTTAAAAACTAAACCCAGATATTCATAAAGATGATAACATATTCGTAAACCACCGAGCAGCAACTCCGGTCATGAATTTAGGAATTGTTCTCCAAACTGTGTGTCAGGATAAAACCATAACGCCCAAAATCTTTGCATGGACATCAGTTATGCAAAGATTTAATGGAAATAAACCAGGACTTATTGGTGTTTCTTTACCAAAGATTCAATTAATTTCCTGTGAGACACTTTCAGAGAGTTTGGTTATCAAAGGGTAACTCCAAATCCGATGTGTGTGAGATTGAACCTGTTTTTTTGCAGGGAGAAAACCCAGGAGAGAAAGTTTTTTTTTGTTTGTTTTTAGCTGTTTTTGTTGTTGCCGTTGTTCTTATTGTTTGAGATGAAGAAAGAAGGAAGGGATTGAGGTACAGACATAAGTTGTAACGTTGTTTTTGGATTCGGCATAACATAAGTTTTACTTTTCCCATGGTTCCTTTAGCTTTTGTAGTCCCAGGGTGAATGTGACAGGTTCCAAAATAAAAATTATATCCTAGCACTGACATAAAAAGGAGGAATGGTTCAACTAGTTTTATTAATTTAATGTGAGCAGGGGCTGATGTTTAAGATTTGAAGGCGTCTCACTGATCTCCTTTAGCTGACTGATGCTGTTTCACTTCTGGATTTCACAGTGACTACATGAAACTTCTGAACTCAGGTGAGAGCAGTGTCAGGTGAAAGGTGCAGCAGTGTGTGTGCATGTGCGTGCGTGCGTGTGTGTGTGTGTGTGTGTGTTTGTGAGATGGAAAGTGGAATGTGCCGACACTGTCCCTCCTGTTCAGGTGATTTTCTGGGTGTTGTGGCTGCCACACATTCCTCTGACCCGCTCGACAGGTTTCACTTTAATGACTCTTTTTATCTCTGCACCTGTTTTTCTCTGTGTGTGTATGAGTGTGTGCGCGAGTGTTAGTGTGTATGTGTGAGTGTGTGTCACATATTGTTGTTTGGATGTATTCTGTATGAAGTCTTTTCTGAATACTCAGCAGTGGAATGTCCTCGGATCATAATATGACTCAGGGTGTGTTTTTGTGTGAGTGTGTGTTTTTGTAGGTTGTGTATTGTTTTGTGTATTCATCTCCCTGTTTAAAAGGATTGGAGCTTTAAATGGCTCTGATGGGTGGAGGGAGGAAACAGCTCCGACTTTAAAGCTTCTGTGGGGTGTTTGCTTTCCAAGACAAAAGTCGTCACTAAAATCTTTTTAATTCAGATTATTTTATTATTAGTGGAGCTGTTTTATTATGATCACATAAGTTTGAAAGATCATTTTTATTGTATTATTGTGCCATTAAAATTGAAAACTAATGTACTTCTGAACCCTGTTCTTCAAGTTAGTCTGACTTACTATTATCAGACTATTTCAGCACAATTTTTGAACTCAAAATGCTATCATACAATTGGTAATGTGGTCAAATAAAAAAAAGGTCTATGCTGTGCGCTGACCATGTGATTTCAGGTTCATGGGTTAATTCATGTGAAACTAGTAGCACTTTGTGGGATAGATTAGCAAACATAAATGTCTGTGTGTTTAATGTCACCCGTTAAAGCACCTCTATGTAACTTTCTGTTTTGTTTGATTTTGCATTGCCACCCACAAACCGATCAATCAATTTGATGTCATTGCTGATCTTGATAAGCTGATATGTGAGCAGTTCTTGCAGGAAAAAACAAACAAACAATATTGCAGAAAATGATGAATGAGGCGGTAGCATAACATTTCACAAATTGGAAAGATATCTCAAACCTTTAGCACAAAAAATCAAGGAAAGTCAAAGAGTTTTCCTGTGCAGCATGCATGAGCACAATAGTTAAAGAATAGAAAAGTGAGAAAAAGTGATGTTATTTTTACTTTTGTATGTCACTGGATATGTCGTAGGGCTGAAACAGTACACGAAATTCAGAGTTGGCACATACCTTGGTCTAAAACCACTGTTTGGTTAATTTTTGATTCAGTAAGGGAATCACAAGAGCTGCTGCAGATGCCTCAGATAAGTTCTTGTTAGCACAACAGCAGCTCTTGTTTGTTTATATGGGGCTGGTATGTCTCTATTAATAAAATATGGATGAAGGGTAAAGTTTAAATCGTGGCTCTATCACCTTTGACGTGAGTAAATCCTCTGTCAATCAACATCTGTATACAGTCGTAGATCTGCTGCCATAAAAGCACCAATAGTGTTTGTTATCTCTGTCACCTGCTCTGATTTTCCAGGTAAAGGTTGTTTAAATACCAGAGACAGCTGAGTTTGAGTTTTCTTCGTGTGGCGCTAATGTTAACGTGCGTGTGGTGCTGCTTCAAATGTGTTAACAAGTCTGACGTATTGCTAGAAACGTACCAACTGCTGCTGGAACTATGTCTGCATCAAACAGCTTTGGTCTTGTCCATGTGTCTTTGTCCATTGTTATGTTTCACATGGAAACCTTAGTGTTCCCGCATAGGAGACCACATAGTGTCAGTGGGGGATCTTCTAGCTATTTCTTGTTGTTTTTGTGCCGGCTGCCATGACAGGAAAAGTATGTTCTGTGTGTGGTCTGCTTCTGTCCGTGTGGGAACTCAGATTTCATGTACGTTTCCTCACACACTCAAACCTACTTGTGAATGTTAACTACTGACTGTAGCTAAAGAGTAGTTTGGGTCACACATCTCTATCCAAACACAACCAGAGTTGACCTGAACCTGACAGCCGGTCCTTTGTGTTTTGCTTGGACTTGACCTGAACCTTCCCAAGCAATGAAATTATAAAAAGCGATTTATTAAAGTAAACTGTTTAATAATAAAATAGTCTAGTTTCTGGGGAGATATTTAGTTTTGTTTGTGGTTCGTTAAGTGGAAAAATTTGGGACACCTGCTTTTGTATGATTTTGTAATGATGCCAAGTTCATGTGAATTATACATGTCTGTATCTGGGATGGTGTATCTGTTTGTACACACTACATGCTGTCTGTAAACTAAAAGAGGCTTCATATGGATCCTTCATACTTTCCAGAGTGTGTGACCTCCAAACCCTGACCTTTGAACTGTAAAAACCCCACTCTTGAGGCCACAGCCGTGTGCAGTGTTTGATCACTCGGTTGCCAAATCATGAAGTTGATGTCATAAGAGAAACAGACATGTTGACAGTCCTGTTCAAACCAGTCAGACCTGAGCATACCTGCTTGGTTTATTTTGGCAGCCATGCGGTAATTTTGAAGGTGTGATAGTTGAAGATTAGCCAATTTGTTCTGGGCCAAAAGATCATTTAGGGAAAAAACCCACGATGAGCTGTTACAGAGACATCTCTGAGTCTGACTTTTAAACAAAACTCCAGGTACCACAGTGAGTTGAAGGAGAATTTCTCATCAGGGTAATGATTTATTTTCTCCATCTCCACAGGGAGTTGGATCCAGGATACATCGAGTTTGACACTCCATGTTCCTCTCCTCCTGCTCTTCCTCCTCCTTCTCCTCCTCCTCTGTCATCTCTTTCATGCCCGTCAACACCACAACAAACACCTTCACCATCCAACCACAGTAGACCATGTTCAGCTGGAGGAGTCCAACTACGAATCAAAAACAGGTAGGCGAGAACTCACACTCCCCTGAACCTAAACCTCTCTCATATAGAAGTGGTCCAGTCATTTTTTCAGACAGGAGTGAATAAATCCTGCATTTCCAAAGTCCTGTCTCGAACAATAACATGATGACATGACCCCAAATTCATTATCAATTGAAACTAACACATAAAGAAGACTGTTATAGAAAATTTTGGCTGGGGTGACACCCTGCTTGTGTGGATCTAAAGCTGACAAGCTAGCTTCACACTGGTTGTTGTTGGCTGGATGAGGCCCTTCACACTGGTTTTAGTAGTCTGACTTTATGTTCTGTACTGCAGCCAGTCAGCAGAGGGAGCTCTAAATGTTTTGGCTTCAGTTCTGGGGAGATATCATGCCACCCATCCTTTCTATACAGCCTGCGGTCTGCCTCCTTTTTTTGTAAGTGGCTTCATGAGTCTCTCTCTTCAGATGTGGTTGCTGTGGCGGTGTTTCTGACTGGGATGTCCTGTGTGTGCATAAATTCTCTTTGTTTTTCTAACCTTTGGATGGTCCAACATCCCGCTGGTTAACTCAGGAAGTGATGTCATTTCAGTGACAGGTTTGCAGCAGTCAACAGAGGAGGTTATCACCCTTGTGTTAGGATGTCCTGCCTCTGTTTCCTCTGAGTGTGTGTGTGTGAGAGAGTTTTGAGTGTGTTCAGGGGATTTATTATAGACTTAGGGTTCAAACTCAGATCAACAGGAAAACCACAGCACAAACACACTCTGCTCAGGTTGCTGCGTAACAACACCATCATGTTTCCTGTGTCTTCATCAGCTTTGCATGCGACATTTAAAGTAGATTTCATATCCAGCCTGAACTTTGTAAGAGAAAATTAGGTGTTTGTTATTTTTTTTAGTCCTAAATTTAGCTTCCACATTTTTGACTCAGTTTTTCTTGAAGCTGCGATTTGTGTTGCCATTTTTGCTAATTCTGGTGTTGGCTATGATTTCAAAGAACCTCCACACTTATGAGGACCTCTTTGTTTTAGATGATGTGACATTTTTCCAGAAGTGTAAGACAAACAAAAAGGCCAGTATAAACACCTCAGGAAAGTAGCGTAGTATTGTACAAGTTTGAATTGGTAGAGGCTTATTGAGATAATTTCATAAACCAATCAAAACCTTTTATTCTAATACCATCATCTTTATTGTTTAAGCATGGTGGTTTACACAGTTGTGAAACTTTGCTGGATAATAACAAAATCTAATCATTTAAGGTAGGTGTGGGATGAAATAAAGGTTGCTTGCAGGTCATCACCGACTATACAACATGATATAATACAATAAGATTCAATATGATACGACGCAACATGATGTGATCTGATATGATACAATAGGATACGACAGAACAGGACACAGTATGATAAGATAACATACAATACAAGACAGTGCGTTATGGTACAATACAATACAATACAATACAGGGTGGGATTATATGATAAGATACAATAAGATATGACTAATAACAATACCATACAGTACTTAAGGCTTTTATATGATTCACATTATAAATAGATAAGATAATATGATACTATTTAATATAATACAATAAGAAGGATATAGGTCCATATGACAACACTGGATATGATACTCCGTGGTATGATGCCATGTAACACCACACAATACTATCTTATATACTCATCAATATGATGCAGAACTATACAACACTATAGGCAATGTTTATGATACAGTACATAGCAATGATATGAGAGGCAGTATGATAGGAGAGGATATTATTCAATACAATACAATATTATGTGATAGAATAAAATATATGATGCACTAGGATGCAGTCTCACAATGTCAAATCAAATAGGATGTAACATGAAGCAACTTGATGCAGTGTGGTATGATGCAATATGATACAACACTGTAAAATACCATATTATGATACCACATGATATAATATGGTTAATGCAAAGGGATAAGATAAGATGAGCTCCCATATGATATGATATGATACCATGCAGTACAGTGTAAAGTAGCACTATTCAGAATTATACAACATGATACAGCATGCAGTACAATGTGATGCAGTACAATACGATATTATACAGGACAATGCAGATACAATATCATGTAATTTGATGTAATATGATACATTACAGTACAGTACAAAAAGATGTAATATGTTAAGCTGGTCAGTAATTTTTCCTAGATTTGTGCGCTATATATTCAGCTGCCTATACACTAATATTATTTAACAGAAGGACAGCTACAAACAACATATATAGCTATATTGCACATTACCAATTTTGCCTTATTTCTGCATAATTCACAACATAGATAGATTGCTCATGTAAAAGCCGACTCCACTGTTTGTTGTCATTTTGTTTGTATGGAGTAAAGTATGTTGGAGTGATAGTGAGCACCAGTTTGTGATGGATGATGTGATGAACGATAAAATATTTAAATACCTTCTCATGGAAAACCAAACCCAAGGATGATTAAATGTTATGTTGTCACTTGCTAACAAACCAGGCCTGGTCTAACTCGGTCTGCTCGGACAGAAAACAGCCAAATACTGAAGCTCTGAACAGCAAGATTCATCCTAATATGGAGGTCAAGCGCTGGAAATGTTCTGTGGTCTTTTAGTAATAAACTTCACAGCCTCAGGGGGGTGCTAGTGTGACTCATTTTGCTCTTGTTGATTTTTTACTTCTCTCCTGGTGCTCACTGCTATTATTTAAGTCTGATAAAGTGACTCTACGCTCCCACAATCCCCCAGGCTTTTAGTAGTTATCAGATATCACAGCAGAGGGAGGGGCAAAGGGAGGGAGAACGCTTGTCTCTTATTGGTTCAAAAACAGGAAGAGGGCCATCAGAGCCCCATGAGGCTGGGTGTTAATCTGGCGAGGACAGACACACTAATTTTTATCACACAAAGTCTCTCAGCTTTCTCAGTATTTCCTCTCCTTTCCTTCCCACTTGTCCTCTTTCCTCTATTCTTACTTCTCCTTTCCTTACCTTATTAGAGTCCTCTCCTCCCTTTTCTGTCCTAAGATGTTTCTTTAGTTGAATCACCACATTTTTTCAAACTACATCATCCAGTCATTGCACATGCACAAACACAGACAAGTGCAATAGAAATAAACTCCCTTACACTCTCACATAAACTGATGTACCAACTAGTCTCAGGTGTCTCCTCAGAACTATTAAACTAACCCAAGAACAAAAATCTTATCTGTGTCAGCTCAAACCTAATAACTATTGATTTATTGGGGTCCTTGCATGAGTTAACTGGTAACAGAGTAGTCAAAGTTGTAGGGTTGTTGACTCACGTCATCGTCTAACTCCTCTTTCTCCCTTTGACCTCTGGCTGCAGCCACACCTGAGTCTTTTTAGCTTGGTAGACATCTTGTCATCTGTCAGTTGCATATTCATGAATGTTAATGTGTGTTTTTGTATGCAAAAATCTTACCCTGATTTCAAAAACTGAGAAGACTTTTTATAGGTCTGTAGGTCTGTGGTCTGTATACACTCTACCCTGGTTTCTGACAACGATCAACTGCTACCTGTGCAGGCGCACCCTCAGGCAGGTGACACATTAGCTAAACAAACATGGTGGTGGGAAACAGAGAAAATGAGGAAACTGAGTTTTGTCCGTAATGAAAGAATTCAATCATAATGGGTGAACTCCCTCACAACCTCGTCCAGCAGCAGTCACAGCTGCTTGTCCTATGAGCTGGCAGTGACAGGCTGACACCAGAGTTGAGAAAGTGTTGAATATTTGCTGTTGTGTCACTGGAAATGACGTGGATATACTGTCTGCAATGCGCTGTTGGTATTTAAACCTGCAACAAGCCACAGTGGTCACATTTTTTCACAGATTTTAAGGTTACATGTTGTAAAAATCAAAAGGCACCTGTGCAAATAAGATGCAGTAACTTGGGGGAAAAGTATCAATACAAGAGGTTGATAGATATTTGGCAAATTCTGTGTTTTCAGAAATCTGAAATTTACCCGGTTGCCGCCTCCTTAACAGGCAAAGACCCGAAACGTGAAGTGACTTAAACACTTCACATTTCACATATATCAAGTATTCAACTATACACGCGCTCGGCACACCCTATACACACGCATACAAGTAATCAACATAGTTTCATAAACATGTTTTGACAGATTAGACTCCCAGTTCAAGTGTACAGTATCAGTATTTTATTCCACTCGTCTGTCCCTCCCTCTCTCTTCTTCTCTCTCGCTCTTAATTTCTAGTTTCCGGGCAAATCCCTTTGATTATTATTACAAGCTGAAGAAACAGTTTCCCACGGCAGGAGATAAGGTCGCCGTGCTCTGGGACACACCCTGCTCACACACACACACACAGAGCTGAGTTTGTACTTTGCACATGGCTCATCACCGGTTTCTACTAATTGAGTTCTGCTTTGAGTCTTGCTTCACAGATTGATTCGGTTTGATTCAGATTCACATTGTAGAATACAGTTATTCAGACTTGATGTTTGGGGTATTGTCTTTACTCCTATGGGCCAAGAGCTGAAGGTTGGCTTACGTTTTAGTCTTGGTCACAAATCGCTCTTTTGAAATTTGACGTGTGGATAAAGTTTGAGATGAAGCTGCTGGCTTTAGACCTGGTTAATAATTAGGTCTGCTATTTCAGTGGTTTATTTAATATTGCTTAAACATAGTGATCAGATAAGCTTAAGTTAGCCAAGTTAGCTTGTTGTTACTGGCAGCATACAGTCAGGTTTCTGGCCTCGTGGCTCGAGTTAGCTTCCCAGCCTTGTTCGGGTTTATAGCTCAGATTTGGTCCATTCAGCTTTTTTTCCACTTGTAGATGTATATTTAGCTTAATAAGTCTTTATAGACACAGCTAGCTTGAGTTCTTATTTCTTACTGTAGCCCGTGTGAGTCCCTACAGGTCCAGAGTGACGTTCATTTTCTTGTTTTTCTTCGTTCAATCACTGCAGACATAGATAGTAAAGAGTTGGATTTATAGTTTCATCACCTTGCAAAAGAGCGACTAAGCTACCATATATCAAAATTTGCATGACTGAAAGTCACATAAACAAAGTCTCATTGACTGTTGGAGAGCTCTCTGAAGGAGGATTGTTCACCTAGAATATTGTTCCCCTTTTTTCCACCAGTTACAGTTTAACAGTCATCATTAATTTCGCTGTTTATATTTACCAACAGCGTCACGCAGACTGCTCCACAAGGGACTGACAAAGTTTTAGTGAGTATGAAAGAGGTCCTATTAGTCTTTGAGGAAATTCAAGAGGCCTTCAGAGGCTACTTGGGTCTTTGAGGAGGTGCTATCCTTGAAATTGTTTTACAAGAGTGCAGGGAGAGGTTTATGAGCACACACACTCACTTGCAAGGTTACAGGGAGGATCTGTAATTACCGCAAAGGGTGTATTCACAATTCATCCAACTGAACACATACACCTTTGTATGTCAGTGTGTTTGCAGGTGCATGTGTAATTATCTGTCCTGATGAAACTGGGTCATTAGTTAAGAAGTTGCAGTGATACTGTACAGGAGACAAATGGAAGGTCTCACAGCGGCCCTCAGATGTATGAAGATGTCCCATTGCTACATTTAGTAGATAAAACATTCATTCAATCTCAGTCGTTTTGTGTCCTATTTAAAGTGCTGTGAAAGTGATAATGTAGCATGTTGTATGTTATGGTGTAGTAATGTTTTTTCATCACATGCAAAAACAAAGACTGACCTGCTTTCTTATTACCTGCATAGGCTATTGAAAAGGCTGATCTCGGTCGACCTCTAGTTTAGTTGTTCAAACTCATCAACAAATCGGGGGCAGCATTAAATAGCACCTGAGTCTCTGCGAAAAAAGCCTCTTTAGAGATATCAATTTTTTCTATTTCCTCTTGGGCTCAGTTGCCACACCAGGTTTCGCCCAAAGGTTTTGTTACTTGAAAATCATTTTGTCATCTCTTGCACAAGGAAGGTGGAGCACAGTCCTGCTAGATTTGTCAAAAAGCACTTAAGGAAAACAAGACTGTCTGAGGTCAATTTCAAAGTGAATTAGTCATGACTGAAAGTTTCTGACAGATTGAAATGTCAACTTTAGGATAACTATGACTGAGGCAGAAAGAGGAACCATGGGTATTTCTTTATCTCTTTTTTTTTCCCAGTGAGAAAGGAATAAGTTATGTAATTTCTTTAAGTGAGTAAGGTGACTGAGCAGTGATTCTCAACATTTGTCTGTATGTTGGTCCTTGTTTTGGACTCCAGTCCCAGCGATCAATACTCCTCATTGTGTTGCACCACATGCTGCATCATGAGATATCTTTCTCCCTGCGGCTTCAGAATCCATTTCTGCTCCAATGAGCTCAATAATTCACTGTTTACAGCAACTCTCTGTCCTTGTTTATCTGCCCACCCCCTTTTTTAGCCTCATTTTCTGTTTTATTTTTTAATCTCACTCCTCAGGTTTCCTCTCCGTAACCCTTTAGATTTTTCCCTCCTACTTTCCTGCTTTCTTCCTGTGTCCTGTCTCTCTACCATCTTTCTATCGGTCTTTTAGCTCCTTCATTCCTCGGTAGCTTTTTTACTTAACTACTCTTATCACCCTGCATACTCCCTCCCTTTCCAGCTACTCATTCTCTCCCACTATCTCTCACCCTACCTCCCTCTTTCCTCCCTCCACAGACTTTCAGTGTCTCCTGGTAACTTAACACATCAACAGCTACCACCAAGACCAAGCTGGGATGAGGATGTTTACTTTATGTTTTTATCGTATGGTGGCCTAATGGTGCTTAATTGCACAATTTGCTTAATGAGCTCAGGGCCTTGGACCAACGCAGTAGGACTCAGTCGGCCAGCCCCAGACTGGAAATGGAGCAAGGAGACTGATGGTAGAGACAGCGTCATTAGTGGTGCATCTTTTTCTTGAAATATGGATGGTAAAAGGGAATAGATAGTTTCCGTACCAAGGAGACGCAGCATTTGTCTTATTTCTGATAGTTTTAGTTAGAAGCAGAGTTGAAGCAAGTAGGTAAGGAAAGGAATTTTTTTTTGGAGTTAAAAGCTTTAAAGTTTCAGTAATTGTTAGAGCTCTGTATGGAAAAGTACATGATCACAGGTAAAAGGGATGAAGTAAAGTACAACTGCAAGTAGGATGTCTTTCTAGGACGAATCACGGGGGACAGCTCGAATGGGTGTGGAGAAGAAACTTTCTGGGACTTTCGAAGAGGGGAATCAGAAGTAAGAGCGCAGCTAAGAGGACATTTGTAAAAGACAAATTAGATTAAAGTGGATCTGACCCCATTGAGGCCATGGAGCTGTTGGAGGCTTTCTACCGCAGGAAACTTCGAAAGAAGCAGAAGAAAAAAGCAGATCTGGGTCGGTCAGAGGGGGCGCTCTGTCGGTCACCGTCTGAGGCCAGCGTCAACAGCCTGGCAACCGGCCTCATATCTAAAGTCCTCAGGTTCACCTCCAGGTAAAATAGATCAAGCGTTGATGTTTTCAATGACAGATTTATAAAAGGATTTTGATTAAGAACAAAGTGATGAAACCTTCATGACATTTAGGAAGTCGACGCTTGCGAATGATGTTGATTACATTGAAATGAACTAAAATGCTAGTTTGCCAGTTTTGTTGTGAGTTTGACAAGTACAGTTAAGAATTGTTTACATAGAAATTGATTGTGATCATAACAGTTTGTCTGATTTGAGTAAAACTGTGATGGAAGAAAAGGATGGGACCTACCATTGAGAGATACTGTTATCTATGTTTTGCCAATGCTGAAAGACAACTGTGTTTAATTAGCCTGGAAAATTACCTGGCTGTGTATGGGGTACGGTTCTCTTGCCTTTTATACCAGATTAGAACACTTACTTTCGTAATGGCATGAACTAAAACTTTATTTAGGCTTAAGGAAGAAAAGAATGGGACCCAGACTTGAGCCCTGTGGGGTGCCAAATGACAAAGGCACCTGTGTGCTTATAAACTGTACATATCCAAACATCATCTGTAATTACAGATAAACCACGTAAGGTAACACCTAAGATGCAGTCACCTGTCTCTGAGATATAGTCAACTTATTCTTACAAATAACATTCTGCACTTCTTAAGAAATGGTTACAAAACTCATATGGGCACATACACATATATATGTATGTATACAGTATATATAGCTTTTGTTTTGGCTGTTGAGTGGTATGGTAGGAGGTGCGATCCAAAATGCAATATGCCCCAAAGTGGAAACATGCCATTAAAACATCCCTACATCATATGAATATGAACATATGTTTGTACAACCAGTGAAAATACAGATAAATTACAACAAAATTTCACAAAAACAGCACTAAATACACGAGAAATGGTCTCATTTTGGTTAGATCAATGCCTCAAAACTAGGAGATTATGTCTAAGAAAAGCCATGGTTTCACCAAAAATCATATTACCTTTGATTGAACTCTTAAACTTTTGTGGTTACTTGTATAAAAACATTAAAGTTGATGTGATTTTAATCACCAGGGATGACTTGGATATTAACTCACAGCCAGTTTATTTGAATCAATGTCATTTCAGTTAAAACTGGAATTAGGGTGAATATCTACAGTATAAGTGTAACCGCGATGATAACGTGCTGAGGTATTCCAGTCACGTCCTGTCATTACCCAGGGTTCCTTTGGTCCATGCAGGCTTTCATGTCTCTGTCTCCTACTTACTCTGATACAATCTCTTCCTGTTTATCTCTGAGGATAAATACAGAGCAGCAGAATATATCAAATACAGAGAGGATGACGGAGGACGAAGATGCTTTTTCAAATGTCTTATTATCACATCTCTCATCACAGTTCATAACGATGACGAACACTGGAAAGCAAACTCACTGATGCCGGATGTGTACATAATTACCATAAAAAATTCAGAGAAGTGATTGTGAATCATAACGGAAAAAGAGAATCAGTCCTTCAGAAAAGCCAGCACAGGACAGTCCTAAAACCCCTTTATTGTAATTTGTACAGAACATTTGTGCGTTTGGTTCTTGCTGTCATGATTGAGCTTTGTTGTTTGTTTTTTCTCTTTTTTTCTTAAGCTACTTTGGTACAAGACTCCCCACGGGTCATTAACATAAAATCTTGCATGTCTTGCAGCGTCACCACGTTCAAACTTATGCAACGGTCCCAAAGATATTCCCATCAAACCACTGAATTCTGCTATACCTTGTTCCCATTTTCCACATTATTAAAGATTAATATGTTCTGTTGTGATGGCTAGATGGACAGCATTTCTCTTTTTTGCAGCCGCTTAAGTTTTTGACTCTGTGTAATTTGCAGCTCATTTTCATCATTACATTTCTGTCGAACTTGAGCTTGTGCTTATGAATTTGTAATAATTCTGTATTATCAGCCTGTCTCTTTTGACTTTAATTGTTTAGATCATGGCAGTGCTATTGCCCTTGTTGCCTACTGTACATTTGAGTCCATGTAAGGCGTATAGTAGTAGAAGTAGTCTTATTGTAATGCTGACACCCCCCCAAGACCTACACAGCAGCTGAGATTTGTAGTGATAAGATTGATTATTTTTCTTCTAAATCTTACCGAAACACTGTAAAAAAAAAAAAGCAAAGTAGATATTTAGCACTCATCTTAAAGAGAAAGTAGTTCAGGATTATTTCCACTGAAAAAGAGAGACAGAAGGTGAGTCAGACTTCTGTGGAAAGAGTCTGAGCAGCTGAAGAGTGTTCGATGTGTTTCTGTGGGAGGACACATCAGAGTAATTCATCAGGTTGAAATAGTTGTTTTCTAGCTCTGATGATCGTCTCTGCACAGTGTTTGAATCACTGCAGCAGTTTGGAGTGTTTATTGGATTTTGTGAATGAAGATCTGAAGACTAACATTGTTTTAAGACAATCAAGATTTTTGGTTGTTCAAGAAAAAACAGTGATGTATTTTAATTTGACAGCAGTATTTAAGAATTCACTGATGTTGGTGCTTTTCAAATGATATTGACGGCGATTTTTGTGTCTGTTTATCCGCCTTTTTTGAAGGTCGATACTAAAAGATCTCCCTTTTACTATTGATTCCAACATCTAACGTTCATATGAAACCATTCCCAACATAAATTTTATCTTTTGTCTATAATTATGAGAGCATGAACTTTTCCACAAACTGAGGATTACTCGGATAACCATGACCACCTCGACCTATATCACTGCAGCATCATGAATTATTGGGCAATTCTGTCTGGTGTCTAAGCAGGAGTTGTCTTGAAAATACAGGTGTCATAAAATCTACATACTTCCCTTATTTGTTTCACTTCTCTTCACCAAAATGGGTGAACAAGTCTGCGGGCCGAAGTGTTTCTGTTTGTGTTCATCATCCCCCACCACCCAAAGTGTGCTACTTAGATGGAGTCAAGTGAAATCTGTGTTTACCTTGTGCTGAGTAAACTTCCACCTCATAATTCTCAGTACTTTCTTCAACATTCTTCCAAAATTAACATCTTAACTTTTTAGTTGATCCACAGGTCTGTTATTACCCTCCATTGTGACTGACATTTGTCTGTTGTACCTGTATGCTTAGCTCATTGGTGGTTGCTTAAACACAAAGTACAATTGTGATATTTTGGTTCTGTTTGATGCAAAGTGTATAAACTTTTAAGTTCAGCTTAGCCATCCCAGAGTGAAATGTGTCTGATAAAAGTGGAGTGGTGTTGGTATTTCACATCATGGTGGCAGTAGGACTTCAAGATGCTATGGTGACTTCAGTATGGTGTACCGAAAAGAAAAAAAACATCATTATTTACAGACCCCCGTTTTCGTCTTTCTAAACTTTTCAGACGCAGTGAATCAGCATCTCGTCCTCATTCATGGCACTCAACGAAGCTCAGTGACGGACAGCAGCACTTGGACCAGGGAGGGATGGACACGGTGAGCAGCGCCTGGCATCATGGCTACCACGCCAGGTAAGTTTTCCCAAACACCATTTTCTATTAACAACTTCCCCTGCTCTTTCGTATGAACTCTTTTTATTGCCGGGGTTAAAACAAACGTAACTCAGTGTCTCCTTGTATTCTGTTTTTCTGGACAGACACTCAGAGGTCAAAGTTCATGTTTTTAGAGGCGAACACGTCTCATTTCTTATCTAATCTCTGACAGACAGAGACCAGTCTTTGCTCTTGACATTAAACGTGTCTCACTTAAAGATCCCGCGAGGCCAACTTTGTATGAGTTTTAGTTTGCAGTTCTTGTTTTTTATATAAAATAATTGTGTTTATGGTCATTGATTTATTTTAGCTGTCTGTTTTGGTTGTTTATCACGTACGCCCTTCATACAGACAGCAGTAAAAAGCCCACCCTGCTCCGCATGGGGGTTTATCTCCAGAAAATGACAGGAAGTTTGTTACGGGCTGAAAGTTCTTCTGTTGTCTTAATGACATTTCGACGCCACAAAAAAACATCAACTGTCACTGAATACTTACAGAGTTTGTACAACATGCTGCACAAACTTTGTCTTGTGTTAGATGTCAGAAGGCCCAGACTAAAATCACTATGCAGAGTCGTTAGCTGCTGTCTGTCTTCTTTATGATGTGACCTTTGACCCTCAGTCTGCATGTTGGGCTTCTACAGTAATACTACGGGTTATTCATTATTGGTACAGTGGCTTTAGGATTATATGATCATTATATTTACTTATCGGCAGCTTTGTAGTCATGAAGCAACCCAAAAGTTATGACTTTACAGAAAACATATGAGGCTAGCTGTTAGCACTCACTTAGCTCTTCATTTAGCTACTCAAGAATTCACTGCTGTTCAAAAGTTACTCACAGTTTCTGGTTCTTAGTCTTCATGAAGGTCTTGATTAAAAAAAAAATAGTATTAGGAACAGTTGGGAAACAAATCCAGCTCATATGGGCCTTTGTTTACAAAAGAGTCATTGGTGAAGTGGTGAGCACAAACATGAAGACTTCCCTCTGTTTTCTAGCGTTTTCCTCTTTGAGACTGACTTTACTTTACTACTTTGCAACCAAAAGACCAGTTATGAGCTGCTGTCTTGGGCTGAATTAACAAGGACAAGGGGTGAGGAGCAAGACAAAGGTGAAATATATTTTCCAGTCAATCATAAGACGGTATAACCTGACCTCAGAGTGGTCATGTTTTGAAACAATCCGTTCAAAGAAGCTGGAAAACAGTCAGGAAATACACTGCCATCCATGTGTCTCATGACTTCGGATTATGCCAAGGTTCAGTCTGGCTATCCAGCATTGTAACATTATGTGTATGTATTACAGTACGAATCAGAAAAATGATTATAAGAACAAACTCAGGTTTGTTTTGAATTTGAGTAAATTGTCATTATTGTTGAATAAGGCCTGATCTTTTGAAAACAAACATGTAATTGGAAAGTCAGTAACTTATTTAAGATTTACATTTTTTTTTAATTATTTTTGGAAAGTTGTTCAAAGAAAGTATCACATTCTTTCTCAAACTAAAGAAAATTTTATAAAAGAAGTAATTGCATTTTGAACTGTTGTTTTTTGACTAAAGTTATGAAGCCCTATGGGGATTTACTCACTTTTGGAGCTAGCCCCCAGTGGTTGTTCACAGTACTGCGATTCCTGGCACTTCAACTTAGGTTTAATTTCCAAACATGTTTTTAGAAGATGTTTTTTTCCCTCACTTTTTTGAGGATTTAGTCCATGTTGTCATGGTGTTGTAAATGTTTTAGGATTGTAATCTATGGTGGCTCAGACCAGCTGGGACTCCGGCTGTGATTTACTGAAGAAATCACAATAAAAGGATGCATAGAAAGGAAGTTAGTTCAAGCCACAGTACAGTTACTCTTTTATATTATCTGCAGACTTGCTTTAACGTGGTGCTCGTTGTTGTTCCTGTGAGTCGAGGCTGTTGGTCAGCAGGTTTTTGTCATTGGAGTTACATCACCGTTCGTTTGAAACGGCCGAGAAGGATGAATGAAACCCTGACGTGGCTGTGTTGGGTGGACAGGACTGACGTCGATGCCCACAGAGAAGGGGCATTCCTGATACCCTTCCCCCTCACCTCGGGGTCTCCCATGGCAACAACCCCCCCCCAATACACACACCCACACACTCAATAACATGTGGGACTGAAAAAGAAGTTTGTGGCGGCAGATTTTATTGAACTGTAAGTTAAAAAAGGGAGACTCAAAGGGAAGTGGCATATGTCGACATGAAACTTGGACTCAGGGAAGTTTTTGATGGAGAACAAGAGAAACAGACAGACACAGACAGAGACTGTCCTCCCTCTCAGAGCGGTAATTGCATTGTGTTCGGTTGAAAGATTTGGTGGGTCAAACTGTGACGTCGACACACACGCACACACAAACATGTACATTCCAGTCAGTTATCTGGGGTGAGGAAACTCCAACAAATCACCAACTTTACAACCGACACTTTCAACAAATAAAACCCTTTCAGGCATGAACATGGTTACCTAATTGTTCTAAAATTTAACTCTTAACCCCATGCTGAAAAAGCAGCTTTTTTTCTGTAAAAGTGAGAAGAGTAATGGACCTCAATTAGTCAAATTCCTAATATTTTCACAATTTATTAAATTGGACCCTTCAGACAAACCTGCAGCCCTAAATGCTCCAGCCATCCTTATCTATGACTTTTTATCTCTGTAATTCAAGCTTTTATTTGCTTGATACTTTGGTTAATAAGTAAATTTTTGAGCTTTTATAAAAACTGAAACCCTCTTTCTTTGTCTCTTAGTGCTTCCACCACTGACCTGTCTGGTGGGTTCGACTCTGGTGGCAGCTACCTGAGGAAAAGTCCAGACCAGTACAGCTCCAGAGGCAGCATGGAGAGCCTGGATCCTCCTCAGTCCTCCCAGCTTCACAGCGGAGCTCAGCACCACCACCATCATTCCCACAGTGGACCCCACCCTGCGTATTCCTCCTGCCACCAGCTGTCTTCTGCCAGGTACAAACACAGCCACCGTTACCGACTGAAAGCAGGTGCCAGATATTTTTAAACCTTAGATAGCATAAAGACCAAAAACAGGGAAAGTTTCTCACCTCCTGAACCCTTCAAAACTGTCCAAGTGAAACCGTGTATCTCATTGATGAAACTGCTGTAGATATAAGGAGTTATTGTGCAACAGTAAACAGTGAAGTCATTTGGCCTCTTTCTGTTCGGTGTAGTGTCCCTTTTAGTGGCGCAGTCAGTTTTTAGCTCTGTCCTAAATCTTCTGTGGCTCAAGCAACTGTGCCGCCTAAACAATGTTGCCCTGTTTCACCAATGCACCTCTGAAAAACAAAAGGAGCGAGAGGGATTCAGGATTGGGATTCAGAGAAAGTTAGCTTTGATCGCATGCTGGAAAACAGAGCGGGACGAACAGTCGGCCAAAATGATTCCTGCAGTTGTAGTCAGTCTGTGCGGAGATGTTAAAGCTTCTATGAGGAGTTTTTAAAATGGTTAGAGTTAGGGTTAATTAATTACAGGTTAATCAGGTGCTTTTTTGTACATTTTTCACTGCAAACATTCACTAATACATTTGATCGCTAAAATTATATGATGCAATTAAAAAAATGACACAATTTGATGCATTTAGATATGATACTATACAGTTATACAAGATGCAGTGTTATACAACCCGACACAATACAGCGTGATATAATCCCGGCATGATATTATACAATGTTTTATGACACAGTATGATACAACAGACACAGTGTTTTACAGCACAGTTTTATAACATGTGATATAGTTCAATTTAATGACAGAATTTAATGCAAATTAATACAGTAAGATATGATATGAAATTATAGTAAGAATTCTATGAAATACGACACAAAATGTTTAAATACAGTACTATAAAACGCAATGTGTTGTGATCTGATGCTATTAGATGTAACCCTGAACAATAAGATACAGTACAGTATATGATACAATACAATACAACGTAATAAATGTAACTTAAAATGATACAATAGGAAACAACTCAATACGAGACGATACAATACGATATGATGTGATACGATATGATGCGATACGATATGTTATTGGATTTACCAGATCCTGATAATCAGTATGTAACATCTCTTTATATATAATTTTATAAAGAACAGGCTTATAATGGTTTGATCAGTTTTGGCCTCATAGCATTAGATAAACAAACTCATGTTCTCATATTGAAACTCTTGTCATGTTGCAGGTCCTCCAACAGCATTGACCACCTCCACAACAAACGAGACTCCGCCTACTCCTCGTTTTCCACCAGCTCTAGTATCCCAGACTACCTTGCCTCCACCCCTACTTTCAGCACAGAGCGTTCCTTTTCGCTAGAGACGGTCCCCCAGAGAGGAGGAGGGAGCGGAGAGTTGCAGCAGGCTGACATGCGTTACGTGCGGACAGTTTATGATGCCCATCAGGGATTATCCCAAGAGCACGAGTTAGGCTCCTCCTCGGCGGCACTTTTGCGCAACACAGATTCCAGAGGGGGAGGAGGATCGAGGACAGGACCAAGTCGAGATGTGCAAGGTAACGCTGTTTTTAAAAAATGTTTTTCATGCAACATTATTTTGATTTGATGAGGTCTCTGGTTTGATTTTTACTTGTAGTTTCAGGTTCAGTTGGTGGGGTCTGTTACCGTGGGAGCAGCAGTGGCAGCAGCAGCAGCAGTGGCAGCAGCTGTGGAGGGGTACCGGCTTCAAACCGACACAGTGTGGGTCCAATATGGGGTCCTGCAACCAGCCGCAGCTCCTACGAGAGCTTGAAGGGGGCACCAGCCCCTCCAAGGCGCAGCGACAGTTATGCAGCCATCAGAAACCATGAGAGACCGAACTCCTGGTCCAGTCTGGATCATGCCAGATCACTAAGGTGAGAGGATCACACCTTACTATAGACCCTAATCAACTCCCAATAGGTGATCTATAAATGCAGTCTGATGTAGTATTTCTGCTACAGAAATAATGAAGTGAGTGTCAAATGTTCAGAAACTTGCTGAGCTTGTGTGCAAAAAGATCTCTCCTGAACTCAGTCCATCCATTTTATGTTCTCAGGTCTCTGCAGAAAGGTTCCTGGCATCACTCTAGTGGTCCTGTGGCCTCAGGTGCAGGTAAACATCCACCATTTTTCCATAATTGAAGTGTTTCCAGGAATATAACAGGACCTAAACGCACCTTTTTGTTTTTTGATTGATCAACTTAAACATCTTAACTTAACATCATCATAAACTTTGCAAACATTCACATTATTTATTTTGTTTTAGCCAAAGGTTTGTACAGCGCTGAGGGTCAGCTCCACACAGTGATAGAAAAGAGTCCAGAAAGCAGTCCCACTACAAAACCAAGGCAAGGTGGAGGCTTCCCACAGTCTCCATCCCCCACTGGACCCGCCCCCCAGTCAGGCAGGACGATTCTGCCCACTGGCATGTACCCTGTCCCCCAGCCCGAGCCTCACTTTGCACAAATGCCCAGCAGCAGCCCTGCACCTGGCACCTCTGGAGTTTATCCCGCCTTGGCTAAGGAGAGCAGCCGACAGCAGCACCAGGGGCTGGAGGGCATCAGTAGGAGACCGGAGGCATCAGCAGAAGGGCAGAATGATAGGAGGATGTCAGCTGCAGAGAATGGTTACCAAAATAGCACTTCACCTTTACCATACCCCCACTCCTCTTCCTCTGCATTTGTTGCCACACAACTCAGAACTCAAGCACATGAGAACGACAGGTAGTGTTATCTGTTTAATCGAAATCCTATGATTCAGAGTTTATTTTGACACATTTGGTACTCATCTACATATCTATTTTGTGCCTCTTGGGTAACTAAGTCCTCTACATTTCAGACCTCAAAAGGAAGAGTCTAATCTGAAAACCCCTGGAGGTGGATCAAAGGGTCATACAGCGGCCAAAAGACCCCAAAACCACCAGGGACCTCACAGCCAGAGTTTCCAAGAGCCTTTGATTCATGCGAGTCAAACAGCCAACAGCCAGGTGTTTCAAGAACCCAACCAGGATTTCTTTACCCCCAACATCCAGTACAACAAAGAAACCCCAAGACCTTCATCCTCACAAGACTGGAGGGACCCTCCCACATCTGTGCAGTCCAAGGGAGACAGGAGCAGGTACAGCATGGAGGGTTGAATGTTGGGTAGAAACTCCTGGTCAGGAATTCAATGAGATGTTTATGTTTCCGGGATATCGGGATATTGGAGTTGTTTTCTTCCCAGGGTGATTATGTTGAAAATTGCTTGAGGTACAGAAAAATTTGACATGACTTGGTCTCATGACTTCATATTAAACTGCTCATAAATTGTTTCAGAAGTTTATTTCCCAAACTTTCTGTAGATCAGAGTCTCTTAGCTACTATTCCATGCTTTTGGCTCTCAGTATTCATCAGCAGGACCTGAAACAGTTTTGGACAAGAGTCTGTCTAAATTGTTCATAACAGATGGTGATCTCATACAGATGAAATAAATAGAAATGTTTTGGTGTCAAACCATAAAAATGCTCAGCAACTGAAACATCTACCACAGTACAAAGCTGCTTTAGCACTGGATGGTCGGGTCAGTCATCCATTGGTTCACTCACCGTCAGTAATATTGACAGTTTTTTCCTTTCTTTCCTTTCTACAGATCGATGGACCAGACGAGCCTTTATTCAGAGCCGCTGGCATCACCTAAACTGGCCCAGGGACAGGTACCACCTTCATACTTTCAACCTCAGCCCCATCCTCCACCCAGCTCCGCCCCCCAAATTTCTCCCCGTCACCTCAGCGACTCAGCGGCTCTACAGTACCAGCACTGGGAGCAGGACAGAGACAGAGACCACCCACTGACCCGCCTGGAGATCGCTCTCGCCGAGGTCCAACGATCCACAAGCCCGGACAGCGTTTTCTCTGCCAGTAGCCATGGCAACAGTAACTTTGTTGATGATAGTCACGTACCAGTTCGCAGCCTTTCTGTGTTGGAGAAAGTCAGTCGTTTTGAGCGTCGGGAACGAGCTGGGAAGCAGCGCAGTCAGAGCACCACCTCTCAGCACAAATCCAGCCAGCAGAGGGTGAGCGCGTAACAGCCAAAACAGTCAAAGACAGTAGTCATGAAAAACACTGATGCTGCTTCACTGCTTAATATTTTTTCTGTTTTTGAATCAGTTAAATGAAAAAGGCCGCGGCGTCCCGTGTGGAGCAGATGATCTCAGAAACATGCTGGAGAGGAGCACCAATGCCAGCAAAGCCCACAGAACAATGAGCTACAAAGGAGGCAGCAATGAACAACGAAAATACAGGTATAAGGACACATCTGAATTTGAAAGTATTGTAGATACTTGATAGTGTCAGGTTGATAAAAGATTGTGTAACCGTGTACCAAGTCCTGAAAGGATGGCTGTCTTGAAAATGGGTCCCATTACTGGACTTTTGACTACATTTTCTCTGTGGTTTTCAGGACCCCAGCAGATCCCAATTCAGCCCTCCAGAGGAGCCGGAGCAGCTTTCATATCAATGAGTCCAGAGAGGGTCACAGCAACAAAGACTTCCCCTGGAGACAGGAAGTCCAACAGATGCAAGGCTCAATGCAGGACACTTCCCCAAACAGGTGAGAGTCTTCAAACAAAGATGGGGTCTGCACACAGAGGTCTGGATCCACCAAGTCAGAGTCCTTTAAGTGATCAGAGGTCTCTCACAACAATTCATACTAGTGCCACACCAATTTTGAGTCCTGAACCAAGTCAGACTTTCCAGTTCACAGTCAGTCAACTAATCAGGGCCTTCCAGAAGCTTAGACTCCTTTCCCAGTCTAGATCAGAGACCTCCAGCATATGTCAGTTTTTCAACAGGTTTGAGACTTTAAGCCAACATTTGAGTCCTGCCCCAAGGCCCAAGTACTCTCCAAGTTCAGGGTCCTCAAATAGGTCAGGGTCTAAACATAAGTCCCGTCAAAGATCAGAGTTCCCCAACATTTAGTGGTCATGTTGGAGTCCTGTAAGAGTTCAAACATCTTGCCAAGGTTAGAGTCTTTCCCCAGAGCTTAAATTCTCTTCCAGGTCAAAGTCCTCAAGTCAAAGTCCTCAAAAAGGTCAGTCCTACCCAGGTAAGGGGCTAAACAAAGTCAGAGCCAGTTCAGAGTCTTTCCAATGACAAGACTCTGTTGCCTAATCAGAGTCTTCAAACAACCCAAAATCCTTTACCGTTGTAGTCCCAAAACAAGAGTTTTTTGCCAAGTTGGGGTCCTATGGGTTGTTAAGTCCTTTCTAGGGTCAAAGTACTCCCCCTTTAAAACTCATGGTCTGTCAACAGCAGTGGCGATTGCTCTAAGACTGCAAGGGAAGCTCGGCCTCCCTTAAAATGTCACCCCCCCAAAAAAAAGAAAAAGTGGTGAAATACGTACGGCTGTGTGTACATTTCATTAACTAAATACGCACTAGAAAGCCTTCATCTTTTGTTCAGACACTGTGATAAGAAGCTGATAATCACAGGTAACCGGCATAACGTCGTTCTCATTCATCCTCGCAGCGCCTCAGCGCTTCAAACAGTCGGAAGCTGGGCTTCTGCTGACTTCAATGTGGAAGCTTAAAGTGGGTTGTTCCAGCAGCGAAACTAGACGCTCATTGGATAAATGCTGGGCTTTGTCCCGCCCAATGGAAGCTAAGCTTCACTGGAGTTCTATGGCGAGAGGGCGGTCCCGACTTTCTCCCGGACTCCAAGTTTCTGCATTCATGATTGGATGAGCTGTCTGAGGCGAAATCCTTTTTTGATTGACAGCTAAACAAGCGAATCAGCGATCTTGAAGAATAAAACATCTACCAGAGCATTTTCCAAGTCATTCATTCCGTTGTTCTTAACTGCTCCGGAGACTTTACCGATCCTCAGCGACTCTTGTCTTTGTTAAAAACGACTGCCGTTGTGTTTGGCGACTCTGTTCTGTTACATACTAATAAACAAATACAATTATGATGTAGGCCAGAAAAATGAGCTTCCCCTCCTTGAAAGACCAGCAGCCGCCACTGGTCAACAGTTTTTAGTTAGGGTTAAATGGTAGGTAAGGTCCTCCAAGAACTCAGATCAAGACCATTGTAAGCAGAGTCCTTCAACAGATCAGTCTTGACGTCTTAGTTTTATTCTGATTTTGGTTTTTGTCTCTTATCAGATCTTACAGGGACTCCTTGAAGGATGCCCAGTCTAAGGTCCTTCAGTCCACCTCTTTCAGACGTAGGGACCTTGGCTCTTCTGCTAGCCCTCCACCTCCTGCAGCTTCCCCCCCAATTTCCTCCTCCATCAGCCACCACCCTTCACCTGCTCCTACCAAGTTCCACTCCCCAGAGAAAAAGGGTCCAAAAACCATGCCAAAACCACACGGTGTCATCATCCCCTCCCAGTCGCCACCACCACCACCACCACCCATCCTTTCCCCTCACACACCGAAGGAGCGGCACGTGGTTAGCCCAGAGGTTCGAGGCCACAGTCCTCCAGCCCTCCCCAGCGTTCCTCCGGTTGGACCTCCTGCTGTGTTGCGGATCTGCGGCAGAAAGCGCCTCGCAGCTGACCAGAAGAAACGTTCCTACTCAGAGCCAGAAAACTTGAACGAGGTCGGGGTTTCGGATCCGGAAACTTCTGCCCTCTTCAGGCGTGGAGGAGGTAAATATATCTGCTTTGAGGGCACACACAGGAGAGTTTTGCATGTGAGGAAAGTCACCATTAGGATTGATGGGTGTTTGATGTTGCACTTAATCAAAAGTCTGCAAGTTTGTAACTCTGGCCCTGATCACCATGTCTGCCAGAGACCAGTGTGGCAGATCGACGGAAGATGTTTGAGCAACATGCTTCGTCAAGAACCGACCTGCGCCAGCTCCAGCAAGATGCACTGGCTGAGTACGTCCAGAGGAAGAGAGGTGGGAAAAAGGAGGAGGGAGGACAGAGGAGTGGACAGAGACCCCGCAGTGCTTTTTTCCAGCCTGAAAATAGCAACCACACAGGTCAGTGTAAGAAGGGAAGAAGAAGGATCAAATGAAATGAAATGAAGATTAATCATGCCTCTTCTTTACTGTCTCCTTCCTCTTTTCCTTTCTTTCATCAGCCTCCTCTGCTCACTCAGACACCCTCAGTCTTTCCTCTGCCTCCAGCTTTCTCTCTCTACAGGAATCCAGTTTCTCCTCTGAAGGGAGGAGTCTCAGCTCCAGTCACCAACCTGCAGCAGACCTACGGAGTATCCAGTCCAATCTTTTCTACCCTGGGAGGGTGACATCGCCGAGGCCTCCAGCACAGCCAACACTAGGGTAACTAAAGCTAGATACCCGCTGAGTTCAGAACCAAAGAGAAACCGAATGTGATGGCAAATCTTTGATGTCATATTGATTAAACACAGTCTGCAAAATTCACACTTCTCGACATATTACTAAACCAAATACGGTTGTTTCTGCATTGATGAAGCCCTTACAGCTTGGCATCAACTTTGATTTACTCTGCTTTGGTCTGAACAGATATTGGGACAATCTTTAAGTCATGTTGGCAGCATTGGTTCAATACTAGCCAAAGTGGACATTTTCAGGCTAACAAACAACAGTGGAAAAGAAAGTTTTGGTCCTTGGAGGATATATCTTCATGGGCTACATGAAACAATAGCGTGTATACTAGAGCGCAGAAATGTAGAGCAAGCTTAAAGTTTGACAAATTCTGACAAACTGGCTTTAAACTTTGGATAGAAATCCATGCTATATGACAACTGCACCATTTTTTCTTAGTTTTTGCACCATGATTGACGCTTTTCTTTGGTCTATACTTCCAGCGCTCCTTTCCAACCTCAGCTCCAGGCCCAGAGCCTCCAGGATCTAACCCCTGAATCAGGGCTCAGCAGGCAGAGTCAGACTACCTTCAGAGGGATCAGCCCAGTCCAGCAGCAGCAGCAGCAGACCGCTGAGCCTCAAATCAAACGGCGGCTCTCCAAGCAGCTGAACGGGGCTCTGCAGCGAGCTGGATCAGCACGGGGATCTGCAAAGTCGGCTTCTGCAGAGGATCTCCTGGAGAGAACAGAGGATAGACAGATGTCTCCTTCACACCACAGATCCCGCTCCTCCCCTACAGTTGAGATACAGAGCAAGGTAACGCTGCCACAACTGCAGACCTGCAGGAACTTCACTGTTCAGCCACATCCTCATTCCTCTCGGTATTTTTTTGTATGAGGGGACATTTTGCTATAAAGGGACATTTGAGCCCTGAGTCACACAGGAAATACCCAGCATCCTCAGAGTTTCCTGTGAGGTGCCAGAGAGCCGGGGACGGTGGCTGGGCGCTGTCCGATGTGCTTGATAGCAAAGATAACCCACACACACACACTCACACTCACGTATACATCCATCATACACACACATCTACAGAGTTCATAAAAGTCTGCAGTGAAATCTCCTCCAGTGATCAGCGCCGTCTGTGTCACATAAACACCATTACAGTTTTCAAGCAGACAGATGGACACTGTCCTCCTCTTTTAAACAATAGATTTCACTGCAGGGTGGTAACAGGCCTGCTTTTATACTTTCACTTAGTTTTGGGACTTCACAGCTGGGTTATGCATAGAAAAGGGATGGCTGCTTTAGGCTTTCCATGCTGCCATTGAGAGATAGGACTGTAGATAGAGGTAGAAACAGAAGAGGTCATAACCTAGGGCAGATGGGAGATTGAGTTCCAATGCCGTTGAACATTAACTTTAAGGTACATAAGTGATGAAAAACCCAATAAGAAGGATTGTTTTTACAGCGAGGAAGGGTGGCATCATTTTCTTTGAGTTTGTGATTTCAGCTAACACGACTGATTCAAACGCACAGAGATTTCCATGAACTCAAAGGAAGCGTTTCACGATAGCACAATTACAATTTTATGTATGGAAAGAAGTATCCAAAAAGCCTCAAGTGGATGTTCAAAGAATTGCAGTTTTGCTGTTCCTATTTGCTTCATTTCATTTCTGTGTATGTGTATGTCTGTGTGTTTGTGTGGAGATCTCATGTGATCACTGGTGGTGCACTATGTCTGGATTTATTTTCTTAGAAAAGGTCAGACATGCAGACACAAAGTCAACAGTTTATTACCTGTAAAATAAACATGGAATTAACATCCACAAGCGTCAAACATTAATGTAAAGTTTAGGAGTAATCGTAGGAAGTTTGGATCAGGATAAGGATGCTGGTACTCAGTGCTCAGTACTTGGTGCTGTCAGAGGCAGCAGTCATTGCTTTGCAGTGTTTCTCAAGTCCAGTCCTCGAGGCCCACTGTCCTGCATGTTTTGGATGTTTCCCTGCTCCAACACACCTGATTCAAATGATCAGCTCGTTATCAAGCTCTGTGATGGCTTGATAACTCCTCCTGAGTTACAGTCCGCACTGACCCGTTTTTGTTATTAAATGCTTAAAAGAACCACATGATTTAGCTTTTTTCACATCAAGACTTTTTGACTTTGTCAGCAACCTCTACTTCAACAAAAGGAAAATTTAAAAAATTAAACTGATTAAATCATATGCATTTGTTGTGTTAGGGTCACTGTTGACCCGGTTAGATAAATATCTAATACTTAGAGCAAAAAATTAAATCATATGAGCTCTGTCAGGTGTCACACTGACAGTCAGATCCTTTTCTAATCATGTGAGATTTAGGAAATTCTCATTTTTCCTGTTTTTTTCCTTGCACAACAAACAACTTTGGGCATGTCGAGACATGTGAGATCAGTTCAGTATTGATGTCTGTGTGGAGGGGTATACTGACAAAGAAAGGCCCAGAGGCCCACAACAAAAATATTATAAGCAATATTTTCACAGATAATGAAGCCTGACAAGGTAACCTAGAGATGAGAACCAAATTGGATGATAGAGAAATGCTTTAAGTGTAATTTGCAGCTGATTTAAGACACGGGTTGAAACCGACCCTTAACATAGTGGGTGTGTAGTGAAAGCTAACACAGGAGGAAGGTTAAACCGCCAAAGAGACTGAAGTTTTTTTTTTCTGTGTGTGTTTCAGGACCGTCCTTCAGGTGACGTCAGGATGTTTGGGGTCTTCATCTCTGAACCCAGTCGTTGCTCTCTGGCTGCAGATCGGTGAGTCTCATCTATGTTAAGAACAGCTGATCATGTGACCCAACAGCTGGTAGATTTGAACCTGGATTTCCCCCCAAAAAGGTCTTCACAGTCTTTCATTCCCCTCTTATCTCTTCCGTCTTGTTCATCCATTAAAGGCAGAAAAGTACAGAAAAGAATTCATATTTTATCAAACTTGAAGAGTTTTGGGGGATCATCCAGCTCTGCATCATTTCTCTTGCACACAATTGTTGCTCAGTTTACAAAATTAATCTTTTTTAGTAGATGGAGAAAAATGTGCGGCTGCTTTTTGTAACCCTGCTGGAAAACTGGAGGATGATGGGAATTCAAACATTATGCACCCATTTTAAGCTCTTCTCCATAATAGGCTTTTAACATTTACTGAGTGTGTCTCCATTTGTTTGTGTTTGTATGTGAGTGCTTTGGGCTCTACGCTATTTTAAAACAAGCTATGACTGTCTGCTGCTGCTGCTGCTGCTGGCAGGAGAGAGGAGGAGAAAGAGATGGAAAATGGAGATGAGGAGGAGGAGGAGGGAGGAAAATGGCAAGAGTTACGAGAAGTGTAGACCAGAGGAGGAGGTGGAGGAATGAGGTGATGGGGGAAATATGAGGAAGGACAGAAGCAAGCAGGAGGTGGAGAAAGTGAGAGGGGTAGAGAAAGAGGTGAAAAGAAGAAGAAAGGATGAGAGGCTTGATGAGCATGAGAAAAAGAGGAGAAAAATGAATGTAAGAGGAGGTGAAATGATGCAAGGATGGAGCGAGTGTGATGAATATGAAAATGTTTCGATAAAATAACATATACACGGCAATACCCATTTAAATTGACTTTCTTTGCTAGACGTCATTACGCCTCTTACACCTGTAGCTGAATAGACATCTAGCAGTGATAACTTTGCATCCTTTTATGCCCTAGCTACTTTGTTAGAAAGGTAACCAGGGGATAAAAATAAATTCAGAAGAAGAAATCTGCATCATTACGAAACAATCAGGTGGTGGATTCAAAGAACAAGATAGCCAAGGACACGGGGACTGAAATGAGTTGAGTTGAAGAAAATGTAAGGTCAATAGAGGAGAGAAAATGATTTTATTTGTCAGTTCCGCTTTTTAATATATATATATTTTCACCAATATATGTTTATTTTTACTTACATAGGTATGAAATGAGATACCAAGAATCTTTACGATAGATTTGCTGATAACCTCATGAGGTAAAGGGGGGATTATCCCTTGGTATGAGAGGAATAGGAATGGAGTGAGGCAGCTGAGGACAGGGGAGAGGTGAGGGGGTAGAGATAGGAGGGCAGATTAGGAAAAACCAAGAGATCAGATGACAACAAAGAAAGAAAGAAGAAAGGTGGACTGAAGAGGAGTGAGAGTTCAAAGGAGGCTCGTGTGAAGAGGAGGAGTGAAGGAGAGGGCTTAGAGGAGGGAGGAGAAGTGAGGAATTTAAGGAATTGGAAAAAAAAAAACTGCCTGGCACATTAACAGAAAATAAACAAAATACCATCTTTAGTCTGTAAGGATTTATTAGCCTGAAACTCTTAAATATGTTTTCTCTCAAAATGTGAAGGTCGAAAGGTCAGGAGAGGAATTCTGAGAGTGTGTTTATAAAGATCCGTCTGCTGTCTGGATATTTCCAGGAACATGAACGCACCGTTTCTGTTTTTAGAGCACCCACTTTTACAGAATCAGCTGAGCCAGAGAGCAATTCTGAGAATCCTGGAGGAGAGCTTATTACTCCTTAACCATAACAAGCATAGAGGCCTATTCAGTTTCATTACTGCTGTGATAAACATCTCTGTTGAATATACTGAACACGTTCATAAACATATACTCACTGCCCTGAAACTTCCTCACAAGCTGAAGGGTCATTTGTGGCCCCCTGTCCTACGAGACAAAATAGATCATGAGTAATGTATTGCAAACGTTATCCTAACAGAGAAGAATAAAAAATGGTGACAATAGAGGAGATTTTGATAACATCTCTGTTAAGAAAGTTTTAATATTAGAGATCAAGAATGCAGTGTTTGAAATTTCCGAGAAATTCAGACCTGTATTTGTTTGATGGATTATAAACAAAGTCTAGAAACTTAAAGTTAAAAGGAAGAGGATGCAAACAGAAAATTAAAGGCATCTAATGGAAAAATGGAAAAACTCAGCAATGCATGTGCTCTATCTGAAGTTCAGGGTTACGAAAACCAGCCAACAGTTCTGTGTTTTGTTAGTTAAAAGTGCAAAAGTTTTCCTTCAACATGCAGACACAGATCTACGTCTGTGTCAACAAAGACGGTGCTAGCTGATCTACAGGTACAAGCCATTTTACGACTTCCTACAGCTCATACCCGGTTCCCTTGGTAGGTGTTTTAATCCATCACTGAGAATTTATGTAAAAGGGATTATCCTGGATTCCTGGTGTCACAGTCTATCATTGTAATCACCTCTATAATCCTCAAAGACAACAGTTACTCCACTTTCCCATTACCGATTATTAGAGCACCCCAAATATTTCCTCTCCGATACGACGAGAACAAAACTAAACACAATCACTGTCGAAGGATAATTGCGTTGACATGTTCCCCTCTTTCTTAATGGTTTCTTTTCCTGTCTGTCTTTTCCTCTCAGACCTGCAGACATCCAGGACTCAGAGGGCGCCGTCATTCCTCAGCACTCCCACAACAATCTGTTCGCCGTCCAGCCCGTAGGACCTGCAGAAGGTGAGACAAACAAAACCCCCTAAGCCACACTGACACATGTATTATTATTACAGTTGCAGTATGGTGTCCATAGATTTGTAAATAATTGGATGATAACTTTAACTTTTTTCTTACTCTAGATCTCAGCTCGACCCAGACTCCTGTCACTCGCAGGGAGCGGCAGCGAAACAGCGAGCGACAACGGGTCAGCAGCACCACTTTGGCGGCGTCTGTCGGCCTGCCCTGTCCCTTTTCCCCGCCCGGCACCGAGGACAGAGGCAACACTGAGTGGCGTGCCAACGAAAGGCTGAGTCAAGCCAACCTGGACGCCATCACCTTCCCTGACGTCCTACACACCAGCACAAGTGATGGCGCGGACACTCAAAGCTACAACAACAATCCAATGACGGACAGACAGGCGAGACGCAGTATGAGTGACGCCGGCATTTTAGAAGACACCACAAAGGACGTGTACCGAGAACGAGCGTTCAGTTTGGAAATGAGAGGAGGATATTCTGCTGAAAACACTGAAAAGGTTTCCCAAACCCCCATAACACCTCTGACTAATTTCCAGCTACAAGCTCCACCAAACAAGAGGGACAGCAGAGAAAACACACCATCTCCTCCTTCGCCATCCTATCCGTCCTTTCAGCAGCGTCTGTCCTCACTCCGGATCTCTGAGTCTAGCCTTCTCAGCCCCATGGACCAGCATCCCCCGTTTAAAACAGGCTTTTCACAGGAGGATTTTGATGAAGTCTTCCTTAAAAATCCTGCTCATCCCGTGGTCAAAGAGACAAACATCGAGGACGACTTCCCTCCTCCGCCTCCCCCTGTTGAGCTGGAGCCAGAAGTTGAATGTCAAACTCCGGAAAGGTTTGTGATGCACCATTTTCATAGTGAATTAAAACTCTGGGACTTTCTAGAGTTTCCTTTTGGTTCCTTTATTTTCTTAAATTTTCCTTTTTTTTCCTCCTGGATCCAGACCTGCCCTGGAGGTTTTAAACTCCATCATTCCCAACAGGACACTGAACGTCCACTCTCCTCCCTCGTCTCCTTCCTCCACTGTCTTCCCTTCACCTATGCCCAGCAACCCTCCTCTCCAAAGTCAGCAGCCCACTACTCTCGCCTCCATCACTACTTCCCCCGCCATCGAGGACACCCTGAGTCTGGAGTATCAGCCCCTGCCCAAGAGGGAAAAGACCTCAGAGGAGCTGAAAGTGGAGGAACTAGCCAGGCAGTTGGTGGGTATCTCCATCCAGCAGTTGGCCTTGAAGAGTGTTTTACCTTATTCTGACTGTATCCAGTTGTTTTTTCTTTTCGTCTGCAGAGCTCCTCATGCTTTTACTAAATGTTTCACTCTGAAATTTGGTCAAAGACAGCTATTTGGTTGAAGACGTAACTCTTTATTTGAGCAAACAGTGAACTTTTGCCATTAAAAATATTGGTAATGCTTCCTTTTAGTGTACACTTATTACCAGGTAATTAACAGGTAATTACCTAGTAACAACATGAAATTATCTGGTAATTACATGATAACTACTAAGTCAACACTGTCTAGTTACCAGGTAGGTAACCTTCCATCATCGTACAAATTTGAAGCTGAATTGCTCTGGTATTTCCAGGATTTTCTCCACTTCCTGGAACCACCACTTGCGCAGTAGCATTGTAAGCATTTGGTGGGTGAGTCTCTGTGATAGTGCTCGGCTCAAACAGCGTATCGCTACGCAATCTTCGCACGCCCATAGGCTGTATCAAGTGTCAATCATAGAAAATAAGAACCCCAGACAGTATTGACATAGTAGTTATCATGTAATTACCAGATAATTTCATGTTGTTACGAGGTAATTACCTGTTAATTACCTGGTAATAAGTGTATCGTAAAAGAAAGGGTAACCAAAATATTGTCATTAATGAAGTTGACTGTACATAAACTACAGTATGTTAATTATTTAATAACACCAGATCGTAGCTTTCATCTCTTTGCCCCTTTCACTGCTCAGCGGGTGACTTGAGTGTGTGTGATTTGAGCACCTGTTCATAAACTCCTGAAACAGCTTATTTCACCTTAAAGTTTTCCCTGATTAGAATGAATATGGACATTAAATTGAATCATAACGCACTGATCGAATAAATTCCGTTTAGGATAGGTATAATTCAGGACTATCTCTCAAAAAAGTAGGCCATTAAAGAGTCAGTTATTTAGGTACCTTTAACTCCATAACTTTGTTGTTGTTCATTGTTTGATTCGTCTTATTTCTCGTCGTGTCCAGGTGCAGCAGGACCACTCTTTGGCCCCCCTCCTGGACACATGGGGAGGTAAATCCACCGTGGAGCTCATGGAGGACATTTTCCCAAACAGCAAAGTTGGCAGCAAATCTCCTTGGCAGCGCAGGGGCAGTAGACCGTTGGACGACAGGTAAATCTAACACCTAGTCACAATCACCAAGTTTGCATCAGCCCCAAATTGTGGTCTCCAACTGAGCTTTGGTGGGCTGGTTTTGGGGGTCTGTATAGTGACCTAACTAATACAGATTGGCGACTATTGAGACAGCAGACTTCAGTATTGGACTGGGCCTTTAAAGAGTCCCTTATACACCTGTTTGGATTAACCCATGCAAGGCTGTAGGAACATGCTTTATGTTTGCATCATGAGTGTGATTGTACAACATATGATAGACTATACACCATGTGTCTTGCTGGAGGATACCTCTAGAGGGCAAACCAGAGTATCCAGGCTGTACGCTGCTACTGCTGGATTTGATGGATGTTAGGAAGAGATGACAGGACTTACAGATGTTACTGTTATCCTTAATCTGGGACTCAGAGGCAAACTGAGGGACACATTTTTGAGCTAACTGAGGCAAACCAATGACCGCTGGACTAAACACACCATCAGAATACCCCTGCTCAGCTTTGCTAAGGTTTCCTCTGTGCTCTGAAGTAACTGTCTTTGCTTTTAAGTCCTATAAAGAGCTTTCCTAATATTGAGAGTGTTTATTAAGACCCCTGACCCAAACTGCACAAAGTGATTTTAGACAACAGTAAGAAAAAAAAAAGAACATTTAGAGGAAAAGCACTTCCTGTAAACCAGCGTTTGTCATCCTTGTTGTGTTTGCTGACAGCTTCCTCGTCTTATCTGCTGCTGACACAGAAGACAAACCTCTGCTGTCTCTGCTTGTCCGGGCCTTTACAGTCGCTGACACTTTCAGGGTGTTTTGGTTTGATGGTGAACATGATGTTCATGACAGGAATGTTTCCTCATCGAAGAAGAAGCAGACACTCTTTTATTTAGAAGTGACAAGGTTACGTTTATACCTTGACCTTATGGACTTGCTGTCAATAATGTTGTGTTAGCCTAAATGCAGGATCGGTCTGGATGTTTTCATTCATTTCCACCAAGGTGGTCGTAATTTTAGATACTTTGATATATTTCCATACCAGGTGTTTTAAATATTACAATCCCTGTTAATTTTAAGTGTAACTGCATCAAAAATGCACCAAAGCCCCTGAGAAAGGCAAATGTATGTTCTTATATTTAACTTAAAGCTGCCCAAGCTAATGAGAGAGCGTGATGGTGGTCCAAGAAAGAGAAAGAAGACAAAGCCGTGAAAATGTCATTTTTTTATATTGATTATTTTTGGCCTTTATCAGATACGACAGTTTGAGAGAGAAGACAAAGTAGAGACAGAAATAAAAAGATTGACCCGATCATGTTGTGACTGTAGCCTCGTTCATGGAGCACCTGAGCTCATCTGGCTCATTGTTTCACAGTGATTATGTTAAAAATTAAAAAGGCTTATAACCACTAAACCACTGACTCTCCTCCTTTTACGGCTCAATAAATATTGGAGTTTTAAGTCGTTTTGGTGCCTCATAAAGATGCCTACACCATGTTTGAGACTGCAGCGTTACCTGATCCCTCTGTGCTTATCAGTCCTGACATGCAGACTGTTGGCTGGGAACTCAAAAATAAACGAAAAATGCTGAAATGAAAGAACGCAGAATTCACACTCTGTGGATACAACAATACCATACACTTCATTTTGATAAGTATTTTGTTTTGGTCTACATTTGTTGATATGGTCTGTCTTCGGTGTTTCTACATCAGCACAATGTTCCCAGGAGTTCAGTTTTTGTTGCCATCAGTTTCGTTTCTTTTTTACTGGAAGTGTTTCAAAGTTCCCAAATCAAGTATCGCAGTAGTTACTGTTGCATTTTTTCGTGGCATTGTCAGTCAGAGAACAGGGCCTCACGTAAAAACAGAAATAACTCTTTTTGACTCAGTTGAAGTCTTGAACCAGACCAGCAAGTTGGACTATCTTTACACTGTCAGCTAGAGGAGAGACCGGACAAACCTGATCAATGTTAACAGTAAGGAAAGAAGAGTTTCCAATCACAGTGACTGCTCGAGTGAGCTTTATCACTCAGATAGACTCGGAAAAAGTTATCCAGGACGTTATTACGAATTTAAGTTTTCCAAACACTCTAACTAATATTCCTGTTTCTGTAGGAACAGATCGAACTGTTTTACTGTCTTTTACTATCACAACCAGGATTCATGTCGGCCCTCTCCTTCACTGTCATCCTCCTGACTCACAGACACACCTGACTGATACAGAGCAGATCTGATTCAGATTAAAATGATCATCAGATTATGACACAATATGAAAACCTGGACAAGGCTGACCCCTTGTGGTCATGATTGGCATTGCAGCATGGGCTCCACTTGTAAGCTTCTGGAAGGAGCCTGATTTATTTTTTATTTTATATGTAGACATGTGCACAATAATGAACACAGGTATATAAACATGAAATATTATAACTGTAAAGGTGGGTGATACACATAAATATAAACCAAGCATGTGTGGAATGAATAAAGTAGAATGAAATAGTTCATAAAACTAGACAACAGAGAGCTGACAGCATGAATTAAATTACTTTACAAAGACTTTAAAATAAGAATAAAGGTGGCTTTATAACTCCGCTTCGATTAAACCAGGAATAAAGTCAGAGTTAAAGTGCTTTAGGTGTTTACAGTCCAATAGTGAGAGTTTTTCTGTTTCGTCGATAAAATATTGAGAATGTAAATGTAAGGATTATTTTAAGGCTCTGAGAACTCAAACTTATAAAACTGTAAATAAAAGGAAACTGTCAATCTGTTGTGTAGAAGAATAACTTGGGAAAAACAGGCCTCCACTCCCCAAGTTATCTAGTCTTTTTTTAACCTTATATGCTTCTCTCTTTCTTTCCTTTGCTGTGTTTACCAAATATGTAAATGAGGTAGCTCGCATCAACCAGACTCTCTCTCTCTTTAAACAAACTTTCAAATTTCAGTTTTTAAACAGTCTTGTCTCCTCTTTAGGATCCAAGATGGCGGCTGTGATCTTGCTCAGAGTACGGTGACGGATGGAAGAAAGGAGACGGATCTAGATGAGGACGAGAAAGACATCAACACCAAGAAGGTAAAAAACTGAACTTTGTGTAGAGGAAAAAACTATCTTGGATGTAACCATAACCTTCTCTTTGGCCATCTTCTCACCAAAGTCAGTTTCAGTTGAACTTGAAGAGCAGCTCTTGAATAGCTCCCTCTGTCTGCAGGTGGAGCTGTGTGAAGCTCTGAGGAGCAGCGTGGCGGCTCTGCGGCAGGAGAAGGAGGCGCTGTGTGAGGAGCAAAGACGTCACCAGGTGCTGGGTGCGAGCATCGAGACGCTGGTGCAAGAGCTCCTCAAATCCAACGAGCGGGACAAATACAGCATGTTCATCGGTGCGACAATCTAACAATTACTTTATTACCGTTAAACAACTACAGCTCCCATCATGTTCTGCTGGTGCACATAGTCTGAAATACTTTAAAGGCATGCTTTAATTTTTTAAATGAATTTATTTTCACAGGGGATCTGGAGAAGATCGTGAACCTGCTGCTGTCTCTGTGCAGCCGGCTGTCCAGGATCGACAGATCTCTGCTGGCTCTGGAGAGAGAGGAGCTGACGCAGGAGGGAGCAGCTGAGGAGAGGGTGAGTGAGACGAACCAAATCTTCCTGTCTCAAACTTCAGCTTTTTCTGATGGCACATCACCTGTCTGGGGGTCAGCAGTTGAGAAGTTGAAGTTCGGTAAATGTCGTCTTGAATTGGAAATCCACTTTTCATTTTCATTTTATCATTATTGAGGCAGTTTCAGTATCACCCTTCTTACTGAATAATAAATGTCGTTAACTTGAAGATGTCCATTGTCCATATTTGTTCAGCTTTCACCAGAAAGGTGCATTTGTTCGACTCGCTCTCAGGTTTTATCATGTTTAGTTCATGTAAACCAGCCTGAATCTAACTCTCGGGATCAGGATGACCCTGGTAATCTGGATCAAAGTTGTCTCAGTCCTTCTCAGGAGTTCAAAACAATCTGATCTAATCCTTTTTTTCTCCAGTTTTCTTCAGGATTTGATCCAATCCAGTGGTTTTAGTTTGATTGGATTACTCTTGAGCAGCTCAGCCTTGGGTCTCAGGTGCTCTGAGTTTTTGATGCTGTGTAATCCAAAGTGAATTTTAGATATTGACCGCAGCTTCCCATGAAGATTAGATCAGACGCAGAATCACAGAGGAAATCTTGCGCTGAAAACACAAAGAGACAAAGAACAGATCTTCATCCTGGTACTTCTTTAAAAACACAGAGTCTGTTTCATTCCGTTAATGTTCACTGAGGCGAGAAGTGAATCACAGCGTTAAAGCTTTTCAGGGAACTTACTGGTCAAACATTAACTTTCACACCTTTGTCTGCTGCTCCATCCTCACTGATAATGACAGATAACCAGGTCATCACACCAGGTTTCATGAACTTCACGTCTTTGTATGTATATGTCTTATCCACACAGCTGTGAGTCATTGATCTCTGATTGAAAGTACTTTTCCAGGTCCCTGTTGTGCAGAAAGTAATCTGAGTAGAGATGAGATCTAGTGATCTAATTTGGGTTTTTGCCTTAGATTAAATCCTTCTGTTTGTGTTTCTTAAACCTTTGAGTCTGATTAGATAGAAAAAAGTTATGATAGTGATACAACACGCTTCAGACATCATGATAACCCCAGACTTTGCCAAGGTGAGGCAAGAAACTGTGTCCAATCTTGCCAATGCTAACACTGGAGCAGAGGTTTCATCACAAGGTCCTATCAGGTGATATGAGTCTCACAGCCAAGTACATTTCATCTCTCCTACAAAGCCTACAGATGGGATGACTTTGATAAAGTGTCTCTTTCTTCATTCTGAATGTAGTGAGGCAATATTTTTTTATTCTTTTTTTGGGTTTTTGAGCCTTTATGTGCACAAATGAGATTTCAAACAACGCAGAAAAAGGGGAGATAGAGTCTCACAAGTGTGACACCAATACAGCAAAACCTCAGTAAACCAGATCATCACATGGAATCTGGGTCTTTTACCGGCTCTTGTTGCATTTATACAGATCCAGGATGGTGCAGACTGATGGTCCATAAAGAAAGATTACACATAACTCTTTGCACCTCTTGAAATTAACACTATTGTCACTAATAGTCTGGTTTGCGTAGGGTGACCATACGCCCTCTTTTACCTGGACATGTCCTCTTTTTTGGGGGGCTTTCTGGGCTTGTCCGGCTTCATCCAGGGAAGTTTGTAAAAACCTTCAAATGTCTGCGATTTTGTACAGAAGTTTCGAGTTTGTGTCAGGTGGACTTACTGAGTTAGAAGTGTGTAAAAGACACTCGATCCGACCCAGAAAACTCTCAAAATTAACTTTGTGCAACTCCACCACTCCCCCCTCATGTAGTCATGTCCTCTTTTTGGGAAGTCAGAATATGGTCACCCTAGGTTTGCTCTTGTAGGTCACAAAGACACATCAGGTGCTTTAATCTCACCTTTGTGGTAGAGCAGGTGTGCGTTCATAAAACTGGTCTATAAGCATCTGAACATGTCCAGTTTTATCTTACATTTTTATATGTTGTCACAAACTGTTTTGTAACAGATTATCTTGCACTTCTTTCCTAGGACTCCCTCCATCATAAGCGCTCCCTCCTCCTCTGTCAGACCGAAGACGCCCGGGAGCTGAAGGAGAACCTGGACCGACGGCAGCGCGTGGTCCATGCCATCCTGACCGGCTACCTCACCGACCAGCAGCTACTGGACTACCGCCACTTTGTCAGCACCAAACCCTCCCTCCTAATTCGCCAGCGGCAGCTCGATGACCTCATACGGCAGGGGGAGGAGCAGCTCGTGCGATTGGCCGAGAGCCTGCCGCAAGAAGTGGCGGAGGCTCACGGTTGGTCCAGAGGATTTCCGTTCTTGACATCCAGCCCCTCCCACTGCTCTTCCCCTGTGCATACAATCCTTCCTTCCTCCGCGACACCAAGCCCTGCCCACTCCGCCAGGTCAACCACTGTGACGTCATTGTGATGCCACGGACAAAAATGAAGGACAAGAAATGAAGAAAAGACAAATGTCTGTGTATAAAGTGTTTAACATGAAGGAGTGCGGGGCCTGAAGCGGCTCCGCTCACACCGAGATAACTATGCAGACTTCACACATGAAGAAGAAACACCTTTAACGTGCCTCCTTTATTTACACCTGACAGTTTGTTGCTCACCTGTTCGACTCAACATCGCCACCTACCGCTGTGTGGACTAAACTGACTGCTGCCAACGTCTCTGCCAACCTTCACACTCTGCTTCAAGATCATGTTTATGGGCCTTCGGGTTCGAGGTTTATTGTCAGATACACTTGAAGGTCCCTCCTGATGTCCTCACAGGTGTTTTTGTGCAGTTTTTCAGCTCTTCATAATACTCTCATCATTATAATCATTGACATGTTCGGTCTTAATATCTATCTAATACCTAAAATATTTTAAAGTGGAGAAAGGAAAGCAGGGTTTGAAGCTGTAAATGTAAAATTCAGCTTTGATTCATGAATAAACGGTTATTTGTAAATGTCAGTGAAACGTCCTGGTTACTGTAAATGTGCCTCTCTAAAGGGTTTTTCTTGTCACTTTAAACCTCGGACCTTTTTGGTTGATATATTTGGGGGTAGAAATGACTGTAGAGGGAGGACAGTGTTGGAATTGCTCATCAAGACTGATCCGGTCTGCAGCTTTGAAACAGGCTGTAGGGCTGCAGTGTCATCTTCAACAGTCAGTGTATTTCCTCAGTGGATAAGTTGGCAATAAACTCCTGAGCTAAACCACAATCCTAAAGTTACAAACTCTCTGTTCAACAAGTATTGAGTTAGATTTAAACCAACAACGTGACATGAAATCAATAAAGAAATAATTTGGACACAATTAGAAAGTCAGCCACAGGTTTCTGAAGAGTTAGTGTGAAGCCCAAAGTTGGTGATCACCACATCAGGAGCACTAACTCAACCTAACTTTAAATCAACCTGGAAAAAAAGAGGAGTTAAACAGTAATGACTTGCCCACCTGTTGGTAAAAACACCAGAAAGCACTGATTCAGCAAATGTAAATGACAGCTATCTACCTTCATACAATCAAAACCGCTGAAAAAAATCATCCCCACAGTTATTAGAATTTAAAAAAATGAGTTATGGCAACCTGAGCTGTTTAAAGATCAAGGACTGAAGCCACATGTAGGATGAAAAACATTATAAAAACCATATTTTTACAGATTTAGTTGTAAACGTATGACAGAAAGTCACCAATGGATGGGGATTAAGTTGTTAGTTTATTAGACAGAAATCATAATTACACTCTATGGTTAAAATGCCTTTTCTAAAATGAGTAATGTTGATCATCTTGCGAAGATGAGAACAAATAGCGGTTGCAGAAGTGTCCACAGACTGCTGTTAGCATGCCCTGCTTTAGAGTAGACTCAGATTTTTGCACAAATCCGTTCAACATCCTGCTTGTTATGATAACAGGAGGCTGATGTGCTAAAAGGTGGGGGGCTGCTCTTATGTCTCCTACTTAAAAAAAAACAAAAAATATTACAATATCTTCTGGGAATCTCATCTTTTTCTTGCAAAAGAGGCGCTGATGCTTTGCCTGTTTTTGCACCAGGCTATTGTAATGTCTACTCAACATGGTAACCACCAAGTCAAGTTTTATTTGTAATGTACCTTTAAACACAGCTGCAGCCGAACCAAAGTGCAGTGCAAGAGTAAAGTAGAATTACAGAAAATAACATAATTCAAGCATAATTATTGAAAGTAAATAAAAAGGCCAAAAACTGTCAAGCACAGCCAGCCTTAAAGCCAATGTAAAGGGATGTGTTTTTAAACAATAATGTGAAACTCTAGAGAGTCTGAGTGGGTTCTGATTTGGAGTGTCTGTTGGAGTGAGAAGCCGCAATTTCATGCTTAAACATTGGCTTCATTTTTCACCAAGATAGGTTGGTGCTTGGTCTACTGCTGTCTTGATCGTTGAAGGTTTTGCATGTTAACTTGTTCACAAATAACAGTTTTTTATATGAACGAACCATGTCAACAATCTAAGTCACGTGATGATACAAACAAAAATTAACTGATCAGAAAAACAGAAGGTGAAATCACAGTTTTTGTCAGTGCAGTCCTGTAGCAGTTCAGACAGTGATGTGTTCAGGATGTTCTACTTTTGCTAGGATCTATTTTTTATCTTTTATTTTGATCAGGCAGTTTGAGAAACACAGGACAAAACTAGAACAAGGTTGGGGTCAGCTGAAAAAACAAATGAACTTCTAATGCTCCAGTTGAGCACATTCACCCCTTAAGGATCACAAAGCAGCCATCGCAGCCTGTTTTGTGGTTTTTGGTCCAAGCAGTCTACTGGAGCAATTTCAAAACTTGTTGTACCTTTTACACATCTAGACCCCCATATATGAAAAAAGGTCCCAGCTTTAAGAGACCTGAGATCCCCTGTAATACCCCGGTGTGTTTCAGGAGCCGCAAACATTCAGACACTCCTTCAGGGACGCCTTGTTTTATAATGACGATATAAAGTGAGCAGGTTGTGTCTCCTTATGAACCTGCTGAGCTTTTGCACATGTACAGTGAACTTTTAAAAATTAATAAACACCAAAAGGAGGGTTTTATAATGTGGCTACAGAAGCAGTCGACACGGAGAGATAATCAGAAACAGAGAGCACAGATCTGTGAGGGTCACTGCTTTGCAATAATCACTGACACACGTCACTGTAACACTACTACTGTCACTGCTGTCCGGAGCACTTTTTATAAGATATAACTACTGTCTGCAGCAACTCTGAATTCTGAACTACAGACAGTCTTCTCACTGTCTCTATCCAACGTGTAATGCATTAAAACATTTAGTAAAATACTGAAAGTTTGAGAACATGAACATTTTTACAGCTGACAAAACGACAAACATGAACTTCTCGTATGGTCAGATATTTGGTTTGTTTCCTCTGCGCTCTGTTCAAGTTTCACTGTTTTACAACAATAAACTGAAACTTCTAAATTAATATCCACCACTTTTGTTGCTATATGAGTAAAACATCCAGTCCATAGGATGTGACAGCAAATGGCACAGTTTTCTTAACAAAAAGGTTATTGAAGGAGGTGTTGTAAAGATCTTGTTACAATTAAATAACCCATCACAAAGTTTAAGGTTAAATAAACTTTCTCACACTATCACAGATAAAACTGTAAATTCAAAAGGATCAAAGGAAACTTGGATTTTTCTTCAGAAACCATTTTTGTCCATCTGAAGTGTTTCATTTTCCCATTTTCTTGAGAAATGAAAAGTTGCGCGTACATAACACTGAAAGGAATTCAACGCTGCTGTTATGAAACTCAATATTAAATCTGTTTCTCGGAGAAAGTATTGGCATGTTGTAAGCTTGGTCTGTCTTTGTTTCACTTAATATCAGTCTGAAACAAATAATTTTACTTCAAGGAGAAAATTCCCATCTACTGAATTTCTGGTAGTTTAAGGATACAAATGATATAGGTTTACTATAAAGAAGAAAGAAAATTGAAGCTCCTAAAGCTGAAATTTTCTGACTTTTCATCTCAGGGGACTCTCACTCTCCTCAAGCAAAAAAAATGTTGATGAAAAGGTAAAATTGATTTTGAAAAAAAATGATTTTTTTAATGTTAAAATTAAATATTTTGCATATTTGTACTTGGTTAAGGTTTAAAAATGAAAACGGTGCAATAATGGAAGGACATAACAGGCAGACATTCAAGTGGTAGTTTGCAAACTTATAAGAAATGTCAAATGCTGCATTGCTTTCTCTGTTCAGTTAATATCGCTCTTTATTTCACCTTTTGAAATATCCTCATATTCTGTAAACATTAAAAACACACAAACTGCCTTCGGTCCTCATCAATAACACAAATTTCACTGTTGATTTTCGTTTGTGGTTTTGTTCTTGATATTTTCAGAGGCACAGCAGAGTAACTGAAACATTTTGGTTTGTCATTGAATGATATTCAATGTTCACTCTATGAAAGATTAAAAAAACAACTCTTGGTTTTTGCAAAATTAAAAAATGAATATTTTGTAAAGGACTCTTTGTCTTCTTTAAGTTACCCCACATAGAAACACACATACTCACATCCACACTTCAATATTTCTACCTTAGAAAAGACTGATAGACTAATTCCACAAAACTTGTGTGTAAAATGTTGATAAAAACAGAATTTGATGGTTATATAGTCACTGAAACCCTGATAATCAGTGGACAACATTGCAAATGTTGAAATTCACAAATATTATTGTGTAAAGATCCTATGAGGAGTTTTTAGCTGGTTGTGTGATAGAATGAAAATAATACTGACATCGTTTTAGAAACCCATAAAAGCAAACAAGAATATTTCTGTTTAGTTATTTCTTTTGTCTCAAACCCCTGGTGGTTAAAAGATTGACTCCAAGCTGCGGGTACAACTGTTTTTTCATGGTCAAAGATTCACAACGAATAAAACACTGGACTTTTTTGTGGATTAACACATATTGTACATACACGTTTACTCTGTTAAAGTTTCTTAGAGAAGCTTTAATAGAGTAAATCTGGTCATTTCAACTTAATCTGACATCATGTTTAAAAAGAAAAAAGTTTGGACAGGACAAAACTTTGAAAGATTTGTGTCACCCCCAGATTTGTACCATGACTGGGTATAAAAACAGCTTTGCAGAACAATTTCGTAATAATTCATAATTTATTTGTCTACATGTAAGTCCATAATAATGACAGATTTTAAACACTGTAGAGATTGATGTCCCTATGAAAACATAGTATTTATAATCATATTATAAAAACACTTTTGCAGGGGCTTGTTGTTCTTTCTTCCTATTTTCTTATCACCATAAATTTTACACAAGAACCTGAAATCAGAATCCTCTGAACATGGACAACAGGGACGAAGTTCTCTCTTAAATAAATAAAAATAAATAAATAAAAATAAAAATAATAACAACAACAACAATAATAATAATGATAATAATAATAATAATAATAATAATAATAATAATAATAATATTTAAAAAATTCTTTTTTTTATTATTTTTTTTTTTTACTAACATTTATTTTTAAATCAACCTGTTTATTGACTGTTTAATATGGGTCAGAACTTTGATAAATTATCAAAAAAGTTTTTGTTTTTTTTTGTCAATATATAGCCTATATTTTGCTGATGTGATTAAACAGCAGTGAAATCAGTTACTCAATATAGATCCTGTCCCAGTCAGTATAAAAGTAGATAACCAATCAGAAACATCCGGGTTACCTGGAGGAATGCAGCAGGTGAGGCAGTGCTTAAATACCTGCGGTGGGCGGAGCTTTAATCCAGTCTGACAGAAACAGTTCCCCGACCTTTGAAACCAGCAGGGAGAGAGAGAGAGACAGAGAGAGACAGAGAGAGGAGTGGAGTTCGGACCAGGATGGCCACGGATTTGTCCCAGGACACGGTGCTGCAGTACCTCCGAAACGGCGGGGGTTCGGTGAAAAACGCGGAGCTGCTTCTGCACTTCAAGAACTTTATCCGGGACTATGCGGACCGGGACCGGAACCGAGAACTCTTCAAGAAGTATGTTAACACCGTGGCCACCGTGCAACAGCTCGACGGAGTCTCCTATGTGGTTCTCAGGAGGAAATTCAAAGGAAGAGTCCCGGGCGGAGGTGGAGGGGGCTCCTCCGGTCCTCCGCGAACCTCCCCCGGGACGAGAAGAGAGCCCTCTCCGGGGAACGCGCGAGTGAGCCCGGGTCTGAGCTCGGAGAAGCCTCGGCAGAAACAGCAGCCGAGGGAGGCGACAACCTCCGCCCATCCGGGAGTTACCGCCACAAAAACAGTCTTACCTGCAGCTGGGATCATGCTGAACCACAACAACAATGTGGAAACTAACTTCAAATCAAGACAGTCACCAGACATCAACGAACCGGGTTTTTATGGAGGACCAGCTCAGACTCAGACTCCCAGGCTTTCCCAGTCACCTGTCCCGGACCGGAGCTCGAAAACCAGCCTGACTAGTTTGGAGTTTTACCATCCAACACCTGGGATCACACCTGTAGCCTCTGCTGCTGGATATCATGGAGAAACCAGGCAGCAAATACCAGTCCAAGAGCCCCTCAGAGGAAGGGAGGCTGAGCTGAAGACCCCCAGTTTCACAGAACCTCCAGCCCAAGACTGGGGCACTAAAATTAGGCAACATGAGGGGGTTTCTGTCCCCCCACCATCTGACCGAACACCTGTGACCGCTGCAGTCAGACAATATAAAGAAGTCAGGCAGCAAATCCAAGCCCAGGATCCACATAGAGGGCGGGAAGCTGAACTAAAGACCCCCAGCTTCTCAGAACCTCTTGCGCAAGACTGGAGCAAGAAAACAGGTCAACATGAGGTGGGTTATGCCCCCCAACCCGAACCCCAACCTTCTGGTGTAGCACCTGTAGTATCAGCAGTCAGACAGCATAAAGAAGTCAGGCAGCAGATTCCAGTTCAAGAACCTTACAGAAGGAAGGGGGCAGAACTACAGACCCCCAGCTTCCCAGAGCCCCCTACCCCAGACCAGAGCTTTAATATGGGACAACAAAAGGGAGGTTTTATTCCACCACTTTCTGACGCAACACCTGTGGTCTCTGCAGTCAGACAACAGGAAATCAGGCAGCAAATCCCAGTCCAAAAACCCTTCATAAAGAGGGACGCAGAACTAAAGACCCCCAGCCTTACAGTGCATGCTGCCCCAGATCAGAGAGTGATAGTGGGCCAACAGAAGATAGGATTCACCCCTGTAGATCTCAGTGTAACCCCCACGGTCTCTGCAGGGGAGCATCAGAAAGAAGCCGTACAAGTGGGGAGGGAGGCCGGTCTGCAGCCTGAAGGAAGTCCCCATCAGAAGCCTCCTCCGAATCAGGCCAATCTTAAATCTCAGGTCGCCCCACGTCGCCGCCACCGGTTCAGGAAGAGCTACAAATCTGCCATGTCATGTGATGAGGATGAGGAGGAGGAGGAAGAGCAGGAGGTCCCAGTTAGGCGAGGCTCAGCAGGTGGGGAGTGGCCCCTGAGTGTTCCTCTAGGTAGCATGGGGAAGGCCGTCTCTGCCTCCTCGCCGTGCATCATCGATGTTCCCTCTGTTGTCCCCTCCTCTTCCTCATCAGAAAAAAGTCTCCCCAAGATTTATGTCCAGGATGTTGAAGAGGAAAGGCTACCCCCCAAAGGACAGTTGGTGGGGACAGGACTTGAACCCAGGTCAATTAGACACAGTTTACCTATAGAGAACTACATGCAGTCACCAGAGGTGGCGCCACACCGCGATGTTGACGTGGACCGGCGGTACTCACAGCCTGCAGGTATCCTGCTGGAACAGAGATTTGGGGGGCAGCAAAACCAAAGGGGGTCGCTGTCATCTAGCACCAGCAACATCTACTCCCCCTCATCTGACTCAGGTCTCTCTATGCGGGACTGGCCTATGTCCAGCTCCCCCAGAGGATCAGGATGGAATAGCAGCTCGGAGGACCTGCGAGTAAGAACAGGTAAAACAAACTGATATCTGCTTTTTCTGTGTTGTTGACCAAATGATGGTAAGACTTAATCCACCAGAAGATTTATGTGAGGAGGTAGAGACCATACCTGATACATGACTCACTACAACAGCTATGTCACAATGAGTCTGATAACGAATAAATTCATAATAATATGATGATAAATCGCAATATCTGAAATACTGAAGAATACAAAATTCCCCTGAAAGTCAGAGTGCAGGATTACTGCAACCCTGAGGAGTCATGAAGATGTGAGTCAAGTTGGAGTCTATTTAGAGCACAGTCTTACTTTGGAATTTGAATATTTGCCACTGGTGATACAGTAATTGTGTTGCACAAGTCAAGTAAATGATGTAATGCAGTATTAATATCTTGCTCCACAGTGCCTGTCATCCAAAAATATAATGTATTTTTGGGCTAATATGTGTCTCTTTCTCATAAAACTGCATACCAGTTTGAGTGGTCCTGCTAAGCATCCTCTCCAGAACTGTTCTGAAACTATTTAACAAAGTTTTGTGATTTAAAACTCACCATAACTGCAGAAAAAAACAGAAGTCATGCTGTTTTTATTGCAGAGTCTAGGCCACTGAATCTGCCTCTGATCTTCACTTCTCAGGTTATGTAGGTTGTGTCTCGTGAGGTATACTTATATTTAGGTATTTTAATCAACAAATCTCTCTCTTATGCCTCATATTGAGCAGTTGGTGAAGAGACTTAAACTGAATGAAAACCCACCTGGATTATTGTGATGGACTTGTTTTACTTTTGGTCTGTACATTTAGCTTTCTTTGTAACCACCTCTTTTATCTTGTTCGTTTATTTGGCTGCTCTTTACAAGAAACTTTCACAGTGTTGTTACTTTTCTTGACAAGAAGATGAATGACAATGAATTTTTTCTGGTACCATAAAAAATGTTATAAAAAAGCAATTAAATAATGTTAAAAAAAATCTTTCAGTTGAATACTGTCTGCAGACAAGGTCCCGAACAAGAGCATTAGTCATTTTGGTTTTAGCAATATTTATCTTCGACTTAAGTTGCGTGCATTAAGTTTTTTTTGTAATTGATCAATTATAGTCAGGTGTTTCCTAATTGTTGTTTTAAGAAAATTTTAAGAATGAAAAGGCAAAATGAAGTTCTTCTGGAGGTCTGTTTTTTTTTCATTTGTTTGATCTTTTTTTAAAATCTGTCCTTGGTGCTTTCTTGGTGTGTCTGTGCCGGGCTTCTCTCCAAATATTGGTCCAAGGAACTTTGATAATTTTTCATTTTAAAGCCTTAAAGATGTCATCAAATCAAAGCAGTGTTTTTATCTGTATTGCACAAGACAAAGTAGATTCTCCATCAGTTACTCTGAAAGGCAATTTAGAGTATAATTTCATTTATGAAGAAAAGGGAAAGATATTGATTTGCTTTTTGATTGAAATTTTAGTCCACTGAAATGCTCTGAGAAACCTCTAAACTAGTATAGACCTCCAGCAGCTACCAGAATAGCTAGGAGTTGTGGGTTTTACAGGTTGGGGAGTGAATGTCTTAACTTTGCCACTGACCACAGCTAAACTTTTCAATCTGCTTCAAACCCTCCCGGCTTCCTCCTTTTACAGGTAGACCCTTAGACATGCAGAATGCACTCTTCATGCGCCTGTAAGGCAAATTATTGATATTAATGTTGATAAAAATCTGCCCTTTTAGTGTCTTTTAAACTCTTTTGTGTCATCAGGAATGACGAGAAGTGAGTCTCCAATCCAGGAAGTTCTCCTGCGAGCCCAACAAACCAGAGCCGAGCCCTCAATGCTTCATGGGGGCAGTAAAATTCAGGCACCATGGCATCACTCTACAGGCCATCTCCTTGACGACCAGGAACACAAAGCTCATTTATCGCCATTCCATCACTCCAGTGACCATCTCCATGAGAACCAGCAATCCACCATGCCAAGGCACCTCTCCACAGGTCAGAGCTAAGGGTTCAATATTAAAGACATTCGGTTGATTCATTTTTCATAAACTTTTCTGCCTGTATTGTTTAGTGGGTTGCAGTGTTCAGGGTCTGATAGTGGAAAATTAAATTCAGTCGAACAGATTTATGAGCCCATGAAAGTATCTGCATGCTTCATTCCTCAATAAGCTCCAGATTTTATTACAAGCTTTTGCATGACTGGACTTGTCTGCAGAGGCACAGTCTGTTTTATACCAACGATTTGATGGGATGTAAGCTTAGCCTCCTCGACTTTATACGTTGGTTTTTGGTCTGCTGCTTTAAAGCCTTGAGTTTGAAGAGAAGGGACATTTTTGATCAGCACTAAGTAATTCAAAGTGCCACACACAAGACATTAAATGTATCAAGACAGAAGAAACACAGGATTGGAGGCTTTAAAAAGTTATCAACAGAAGCCCTTTAAAAGGCAAAAACCAGCTTGAAAGCTTAGAGGTGTAAGATTATCAAAAGATATCAGTTAAGGTTACAGTAGCCCTGTTTACATGGGTAGTTTTCCTCAATCTGATTGAAATCAATCGGATTAAGTGAATCTGATTCCATCTGTATGAACTTTAAGTAAAGAGATCCATGATCAATCCGCGTTTTCATGGCCCCAGCTGAATCCGATTGCATTGTTTTTTTTACATGCGCAGGAGGTCACTCTGCCACTACCTGCAAATGTGTAAGAGAGGTAGAGGTGCACTTCCTGCTTCCTGTTTACCTGTAGAAAGATGGATCCGCGTCGTGTTTTCCACCGTCCAGTTTTTCCGTTTGTTCACCATGTTTGTTTTCGTTTGGCCGCGCTCTGCATACCTCACTGCGTGCCTCTTACGTACTACGGAGCGCCTGCGCAGACCGAACAAGCCTCTCTGTAAACCCAATCCGCTCCACTCAGCCGTATATATGGAGCATGAAGCGGATTATCAATCGGGGTAGACTACCTCTTAATATCCGACCCGAAATACAATCAGATCCGGGTGAATCAGATTGGCTAAGGTGTTTATATGAGACATTTTGAATCTGATTGACTTTTCAATCGGATTGTAAATAGGATTTTTGGACCCATGTAAACGGGGCTATTGTTACTGAGTTGAATGCATTTGATCATTAAATCTGCTGTGAGGAGTTTTTACCTGGCTGTAAAAGCACAAAAATTGAACATTTAAAAAAATAGTTGATGGGGTTATCTTGTAGCCACCATCTTTGAATGACAAGCAACTAAAAAGGGCATTTTTTGTACCGACTTAAAAACGGTTTCTTCACCTGAAGACACAGTGAACTAGTTGCAGCTTAAGTGACAGGATTAGAAATAGGATTTTTGTTTATCTGTTGAACAGAAACTGAAACATCCTCCATCTATTGTCTTTAAGCAGTGTCACACATGCAGGGATCTCCAGGATGTCCTGTGTTTTTTTTTTCAACTTTTCACATTGTCTGTTACACCTGTAATAACACACCTCCGCCCTCTAGGTGATCTCTATGATGACCACCAGGAAGTGGAAGTAAGCGAGGGCTCCACACCTTCGCCTACGCTCCGGGTGCCCGCGGGAATACCGAGGCGGCTCAGCAGCCACCTGAGGAGCAGGATGTGCCGCAGCATGGGAGCCGACCTCGACCAGCTCCTCCAGGAGGAGGGAGGAGGAGGCAGTGAGGCTGCTCGTCTGAACCGCCTCCACCTCATCTCTTCCTCGCTCAGCCTCGGGCGCAACCTGTCCTCGTCCTCGCTGTCATCCTGTTCAACACCTCCCCGCAGTCACAGCATGGCGAACCTGGCAGAAGATGTGGAGGGTAAAGGGAGAAAGAAGAGCCTCCCCTCCTCTTCCTCGGCTCATCCTGAGGGCTCTGGTAGACAGGTGAGACTCACAGGTTGTCAAACTGACGGAATAATCAGGTTTTTTAGAAACTTTTACTTAATTTTTTGGTTTTGTGAACTTCAGCGCTCATTAGAAATGTTCCTGATTTTGATGAATAGAAAAAGACGGTTAGTTTATCAGTCAAATCCAGAGAAGACTAAACCTCTCAAGGTTTAAAATTTCAGCTTCGATGCTGGTTTTGAATTTCTTGGTGTAAGTAAATCTGTTTTTTTTCTTCTGTTTTCAGTCACAGGTTCCTCTGGAGTCCAGGGAACATGACTGGTTAGTGAAGGGGGCGGCGGGGGCGTGGCCTGACATCTACTCTTTGTTCAGAGAAGACCATACTCTGCTCAACAGACGAGACTTCATCTCTGGCTACACCGTGCTGCACTGGATCGCTAAACACGGAGACCACAGAGTCCTCAACACCTTATGGTACGACACGAGATTATTATTTTTATTAAATTGTGGCTTATTTAGTTGCCAAGTACTAAACAAAACTTGATAACATCAAATTGCTCATGAAAACTATGAACCTAGATATACTTGGACACTATACTATATACTTTAGGACACTAAGTATGGTCCCTCTCCTGTTGTTTTTTAGGTATGGAGTTCAGAAAGCAGGTCTGAGCTTCGACATAAACGCGAAGTCAACATGCGGACACACCCCTCTCCACATCGCCGCCATCCACGGTCACAAAAACATCATGCGCCTGCTGGTGAGCAAGTTCGGCGCCAACTTGAAGCTGAGGGACACAGCAGGAAAGAAACCCTGGCAGTACCTGAGTCACGTCAATGCACCCGACGTCTTCCAGCTGCTGGGAGCCCCAGCGAGGGCTGCTTTAGGAGGAGGAGGAGGAGGAGGAGTTGGGAGGGCGGAGTCCAACTGGAGACAGGAGACGCAGCGTGGTAAACGGCGTAAACATCACCTCTCCTCGGCTTCCTTCCTACAGAAACCGAACATATCAGCGAAAGTGAAAAGATCATCGTCCATCGCTGCGTACCTCAAACACAAATCACTGCAACACTTTCACAAACATCAGTCGGATTCGTCTGTTTGAGCACTTTTACTGACGGACACGCTCTTAATTTGGAGAGTGTTGAAACCTTTTATATAAACTGATTCTTTAACTGGTTAGCTCCTGTCGGCTGGCTGGTTTCAGAAAAACGAACAAGCTATAAACTCGAGTTTAAGATCAACAGATGGATTGTTTCATGTCTCTAACAGACCTTCTCTCTGCTCTCTTTCTCAGATTAATCATTGCATTCTTTAACATCCCCCAAAAAACTGAATCCATTTGTGTTTACAGCATTCAAAGACCCAAACAGAGTAAGCTTTTGACGGCCTCTATCACCTGTGCACTCCTATAACTTTTTTAAAATCTTTAGAGGCTCCTTCCTCAAAATTCTCCTTGGAGCGAAACATGCATGATGGTGGAAGTTTTTGGATTTTTACCAGTGCCAAATGCAGACAGATGTTCATATATATCTTTTCTTATCTCATCTTGAAAATAAATCACTCCTGGTAGATAAAGTTGGGATGAAATCTTCTGATGGATGGATGCATTCAGACACACAGCTCATCCTGACATTTTTGGGATGTTTTCCAGAGTTTTATCATGCTTCACAGCAGCATCTTGTCCTCATAGGTTTTCGTCACTTCACTATTGGGAGCGGTTAGCAAAGGAGCGTTTAAGTCTAACATCTGAATGTTAGATGATGCAAATTATCCTCATTTTAACACACTGTATCTTTGAATGGTTGCTCCACTGTTTTTCTTGTTGCAGCTGCATCATGAAGTTCTCAGTTTCTGACCCTGTTGGCTGTTTTCTGACAGTAGTACGTGTCTTTGGAAACGACAGATTGTCCTACACAGATGGAATTTCCAAACTTTTCCATTCCCTACTTCTTGGAATCATTTTTGGAAATACCTACTTTTCTATTTTGGAAATCAGTGTTTTATAACTGTGGTAATATAGTCTGTTAACATAAATATTTGTCCATGCTTTATTTTTCATTTACTTTTTAAGACCTGGAAATTACTTCCATACTTTTCCATACTTCTCATACTTGTGTAGAAACCCTGTTTTCAACTGTTTCAGTTTGAGAGATAAGTTGCACGGAGGTTTCATTCTGACTTTTCTGCAGGATGAACTTCAAAAAGAAACTGATTTTCTAACAATTTACTCAAAAAAAAACTGATCGGAAGTTTCCAACTTATCAACATCATGATGCAGATTGAAAGTAAAAAGTCAAGCTTTGTCAGGTCCGACCTCAACAACTTGATGTTTTTGTCTTTTTCCACTGAACTCAGATTGATCAATTCTGATGCATTCAAGGAAGTTCGGAAATCTAATAGTGGATTGGCTTTCATGACATAATGTAAAGCAGCTGGATTTGTATTCAGATATCTGCTCAAAGAGGCATGAAGCATCAGTGTTGAGATTGGAGGATTTGGAAAAAGTTTGTACAAGCCATAATTTTCAGGTGTTGTTTGAGCAAAGTTCAGCAACAGGACAGCACTGTGAGCCAACAAACGCTTAAAGTACACTAACCTACAATTAACTTCTTTAAAATCTGTCCGTCAACAAAACAATAAGATGAAACCAGTTTGACAGGATTAATTTGATGATCTGTTTCCACTCAGGTTATAGAGTGGCTTCTCTCAAAGTTACACTGACGTCACTCTGTGTGCTCAAAACTCAACTTTCACCTCTTTTTAAAGCCTTTCTCTGATTCAAAGCGTCCTTGTTATTTTGAAGCATGTGTCCAAACATCCTGGTTAAACATATCAGGGATTGAGAGCAAGTTTCTCACGGTTGGTTGATGTTAAACAGAACATTAGCCCTTTGTCATCCTCAATTTTGATCTCCGGCTGGATCCTGGATTAACACTTCCCCTTTACTGTCCAAAGCCTCTTAACCTGAGAGTGTGTGGTCTGCTGGTTTTGAAAAGATTACTAAGGACTTGAAACCCTCTTCATCGAAAGACCTGGGCTCAGACTCAAAAATGAGAACAGGGAGTATCAGTGTGAAGTATTCAGAGTCTGTACCACAAAGACAGCAGAGAGGGGAGATAACACAAAGGAGGAGGTGAATTGCAGCACTTCATAGAGGGGATCAGGTTTCAGAGCGGTTGTCTTATGTCACTGTTGTGAAAGAAAGAAAAACAGAACAAGGTCTAAGTTTATGAGCCGCAGGACACAAAGAGCTTCAGTTTCAGTCTGCCGCTGTGATTCAACGACAGAGACGGAGGCGATACTGCAGCTTGTCAACACTCATGAGGCATATCTGAACTCTGCTCATGTGGACATAAACGATCCTCGCATTGTTCAAGGTTGTTTCTAACAAATTCAACCTGCGCTGATTTGAAACGCAGGAAAGTCTTGTTGAAAACATGTTTAAGAAGATTCATGTTTTTGTGTAAGCTCTGTCACAGGGGAGTCAGAGGGATGAACCCAGGGAGAATTATCAGAATTTTTGTCTCAGATTCAAAGTTTTATCCATTGTTTCTGTTTCTCACTGGAACGTAATGTCACAACCTTGACTTCAGTCCTCATTTTGAAACCAGAAAGACTGAGATAGTGTCCGACTGCTGTCTATATTCTCATCTAAACTCAGCCTATTTTACTTTAAGGTTGGCTATATGATGTATGATAGATTCACCCCTTATAAGAAGGAAAACAGGGATTTGAGACTGAAGTTGTCATACAGGACTAAAGTCAGTTTAACAAGAAAAAAGTTGTAGTATCACTTTCCTTTGACCGAGTGTTCCCAAACTTTGAAAATAACAGGACTAGTTACCTCCACTGCCTCTTAAGATGGTTTAACAGTGCTTAAAGCTGCACATGCAATACATACGCATAGGTCAATTCAAAAGTGGACATTAAAATAATAACAAAAGAGACAACAGCCAAGTAACCATCAAACTGTCCTTCAGAATAGACTTGGTTTCTCACACAATCCATCCAAGATTCTTATGATAATGTGGTGCTGATGAGCCAAAAGATTAAGTAAAACCTGAACTACAATATAAAACTACGTAAAACTGCATAAACTGCTCCTCAATCCTCAATTTAGCTCAAGCTGCAGGCTCCTTATCTGACATGATAGCCTGCCTGAAATCAAGCCTTCATTTGGATCTTTTCTCGTACAGTTAAGACCACATTTTCAAAGTGTTAGGACATGAATTCTTTAACATGGCTTTGATAAATAATTTTCAATGCAAAAAATGTGGATATGCAGAGATTCTGTGGAGTTTTTCCACCTGCAGTAACATCTTTGCTTCAAGAGTTTCAGAATATTATTTGGTGGCAAATGGTCCTTACCAAAGTGCATAAAACTGAAAGGATTCAAATAAATACACTAAACACTTGAGTTTAAGATGAAGATGTCTCTTTTAAAAATAAAAACTACCTTTATATATCTTTCCTTAAAGTCAGCAGACTGATGAACAAAATTACCAAGGGGTTATTTTTTCAGGTGCAACACCAGAGCCTGTTTTCATTTCTGCAATTCACTGGAGCACTCACAAAACCTTTTCTGTTCCTCAGAATATGAAACCAAAATTCCTCTTTCTAAGCAGAGTTGAAGAGCCAAATTAAATGACAAATGAGATCTGAGAATAAGTGCTAACCGTCCTCTGCCCTCTCAGACCAAAACTTCTTAAGGTTTTCTTCCACTTGTTGTCAACATTTTGTGTAAGTTAGTTTCACCCTCTTCAAACTCACTCTCCTGTTACTGTCACCTTGGCCTTCTTCTGTATGCTTGGCTTGTTTTACTCAGTCGCATTATTACTGCATGGTTGGGCGGTGCATTCAAGTGCTGCTTGGACATCTGAAACTCAAAATTGGTGTCCTTTTACCTTTACAAACGTATAACTCTGGGAGCATATTACAGTCTTGGTAAACAGGTGGTGAAAACCTGATGGAGACATTTAGAAATGTTTAACGCATACTGAATGTACTTTCAAAGAATTTTGTATAAACATATAAAACAACATAAGTATTGTCCTGTAACAGAAAAAACTGATGTATATGCAGGTTTGTGAATCAGTCCTGATTGAAGTTACTGTCATTTATTCTACCATGGAGATGTCAAGTATCTCTGACTGCAGGGGTCAAAGTTTACACCCTCAGCAAGTATTAAATTCATTTTTTTCAAACTCTCATTGCCTCTCACCTCTATTATATTTAGCGATACGTTGTGTGAGCCGAGCATTATCACAGCAACTCACCCGCCGAATGCGTACAATGCTACTGCGCAAGTGGTGGTTCCAGGAAGCAGAGAAAATCCTGGAAATACCAGAGCAATTCGGCTTCAAATTTGTATGATGATAGTAGGTTACCTACCTGGTAGCTAGACAGTATTGACTTGGTAGTTATCATGTAATTACGAGATAATTTCATGTTGTTTTCATGCGTTACCAAAAGCACATTAAACCTCCAATCTGACAAAACTTCAAACTTACAGCTGAGTAAGTCTGGTGGAGCAAAGAAAGGCTGCTGCTGATTTTCTTCTTAATCTCCTAAGTGCAGAGTGACAAATCCAGTGTCATCAAGTTTCATTGGATAGTTTTCAGTGGGTCCACCCAGCAGGATTCAAATACCTCAGTGTTGTGTTTTTAATGTTATCAGACTGGTACCAACATGTGAAGTAGAGAAACTCTGCAGGCTGAAGGACGTGTTTGCACACGACTCTGTGTGAGCACTGTTGCACTGTGAGAATCAGAAGTGCAAACACATGGAAGTTTGTTTGAACAAGCCCAGTGTGTCCTGTGTGTACATCCAGGTCAGACTTGCGGCGCGTTGAGAGTTACATAACACTCTGCAGGGCCTCTCCTGTGCATTATACTGGAAGTAAACAGCATTCAATGTAAAATTACTGGTGATAGAAGGGGAAATCTTTTTGGAAATTACTTTTAAATAAAAATTGTTTATGAGATCACTAATCCTGTGGGCAATAGGAGTGATTCTGACCAGTTACCCACTTTGGTCCATGTGGTGCAACATACAGAGTTGTGAGAAATGCACTTCAATATGCAAGATAAGCGGTAAGACGAAAAGTATGGTTTTTTTTTCACATTACTGGTTAAATGCAACAAGACATGCAAATGTTTGATAATTACAGATCTTGCTTAAACTCTAGATCAGTGGTTCTCAAGTCCAGTCCTTGAGACCCACTGTCCTGCATGTTTTGGATGTTTCCCTGCTCCAACACAGCTGATTCAAATGATCGGCTCGTTATTAAGCCATTACAGAGCTTGATAACGAGCTGATCATTTGAATCAGGTGTGTTGGAGTCCTCTTTTTGGGGCCTGTCCGGCCTTGTCCAGGGGGAGTTTATAAAATTCTTCAAATGTCCAGGGTTTTGTATGGAAGTTTTGAGTTTGTGAACCGTGAGGTAACTGAGTTAGAAACACGTAAAATAAACACTCCACTTGACCCGAAAAATCCTTAAAAATTTTGCACGTGACTCCGCCCCCCATCGTAGTGTCCTCTTTTTGGTGACTCAGACTATGGTCTCTCTATTATCCCCTGCAAATATGATATTGGAAATATTGAAAATTCATGTATAAATCCTAAGATTTGCGAAGATATTCACAAAACATTAAATAAAAGCTGAATAAATTTTGGTGTAGAAAATGGTGCACATTGTTCCACTATTGTTCTTGCATGTTTTGTACTTTTGCTGTTATCCTCCTCTGGGTCTTGTGAAATAAAATCCAAGAAATGCAGCTTCATTACACAAGATAAAGCTAAAGTACAGTACTACATAATAAAACACGACACTCTTTTATGTGATAAAATAAAGACAGAGAGCTCGGTCCGTTTTCATTCTCTTATCTCTTTATTGTGGTGCATTCAGGGACCTGAAGCAGCCACCAGCAGCTCCTACAGCAGAAACAACAGAGCTTTTTGCAGGAAGAAAAAAAAATATTAAACAGAACTTCAAGAGATAAAAACAGAGCGTGTTGTTTTAGATGATTCTAAGCATCGACATGAAGATTGTCACTTCTGTTTCTTAGTTTAAAATAACTGAACTTACTCAGTGTTGTTTTATTTCATCACAGCTTTCACCCCTGCTGAGTGTTTCAGAAAGTGCTGCATGTAACGCAGCTTATTTATTCCTCAGACGAACAGTAACAGACTTATGTGAGCTCCACTTGAAGAGAGCTGGTTGTTGGTAACTGACAATTTGTTAAATTTCAGGATTTAGCTTGTGGGTGAATAAAACAAACAACATGAGAAAGTTGAGTTCAGTTGATCTGTTACAACACGCTTAGATGAGAGGGAAAAACAGAGGGATTCATAGGAGGGATTTTTATATTAGCATCTTATTCACAATCAAATTACACTTCACTTGAAAAGAAAAACACTTCTATCTGGCCGAGGATTACTGATTATCGTCTACAGAGCAACATTCATACATTTTTCTGGAGTTATAAATAGAGATGAAAACATGCAGAGTGAAGAGGAAAGGAGAACGATGGAATAAAAACATAGACATGAAAATGAGAGAGGTGAAGATGTGAAAAACAAATATAAGATGACAAACAATGTGGAGAGTGAGACATTACAGGAGGTTAAGAAGTCAATTCTAGGTTTCTGAAGGTACTTTTTTTTTTAGTTTTTGTAATATTGTGTTTGTGCTCAACAAATATAATTAATAAGATAGTAGCAGCAGCACGTTTTTTAGTTTTTGAATGTTTAACTTTTTTTGGGGCTCTGTTTTTTCCAGCTGCAGGAGACGACGGCGGCTGACCTCAGAACACCCGAACAGCTCGGGGTTGTTTACACTGAAACCAAAATCATCTCCATCACCAAACCACATTTATCACTGCTTTACTTTGATTAGAATCTGTATGTTTTCTGTCTTTACTGTGACACTGGCAAATCTGATGAGCAACTTTTCCAGAGGAGCTGCCTTTATATTGCTTTTAATGCAAACGAGAACACTGAACGTAAGCTTTCTCTTTCACTGTTGACTGTTGCCGGAGGAGTTGCTCATCAAATGTTGCCAGACACACCACCCGTGTGAGACTTGTATTTGGAGAACTTGAATCCAAAAGTAAAACAGGAGGATTGGTGTTGGTGTGGAGGTGGTTTTGGCACCAGTTTGGTCTCTAGGAGGCACTGACTGGCTGCAGAGGCGGGCAGGGGGAGGAGCTGCCTTCCTGTCGGGTTAACAGGACACTGCAGACACCCAGACCTCCTCCTTCTCCTTCTCCACCTCCTGTTGCTATCGCCCCCATCGCAGTTGTTGCCCCCTCCTGTACGACCGTGGTGGTGACGTCTTCATTGTAAAGTCGCTTGATGCAGTCGTAGAAATCGTCCACCTCCATCTCCTCCACCTGAACACACAAACGTGGAGAGTCAGGAGTTGGATTGTAGTTCATCTATTTCATACACTGACAGACTAAAACCTTCGCCTTAAACCCTCTTTGATTTAAACAACGTAAATCCTCAAATACAGGCAGGGTCTTTTGTTTTAGCTGCCTCAGGTAACAGGCCTTTATTTGAAGCTGGCTTTTATTAGAGACAGACCTTAATATCAAGTCCTCTCAGTCTTTCTACAAAGTGACGGTCTTATTCACTCACCCCAGCCAAAGATACATAAGATTATTCACAAAACACTTTGGGCTCTATTTTCCTGCCTTGCCAGCGGCATGGTGTAGGCACGGCGTAAGTTAGGTCCGGAGTGCCCAAGCACATTTTGGTATTTTGGTGAGCGGCAGAGCCCGGTGTAAGTATCCCCCCTCCCTAACTCAGTTCCTCCCAGCAGCATAAGTCGTAGAGAGGGCATGGAGAGGGTTTAACACAGCCGAGACCTGTTTTCGCCAATCAGATCAGGTACTCTTCTCACCTTTAAATCCGCCACCGGCGAGGCATATTACAATTTTCGTGAAATAGTCAAAGAGACCAAGGATGGCTGAAGACCACTATGCCATGTGATGGCGACAGAAGGCAGCCCCTCAACAAGTATCGCTGTGAGCGCTGCAGAGGGCGCGCTCCACACTCTCTCAGCACACTTTCTATGCCACCGGCAGGCATGAAAATGTCACTGTGCCAGCTGATTCTGTCGACACCTCCCCCTGCCGCGCCACCACGCCCAGCTTGGCGGACTTTGGTGCACCTTAGCCTATGAAAATACCAAACTGGCTGTATGCTGGACTCCGCCAGACGAAAATACAACTGCGCGGGGTCCGCCATCCTCCGCTGTGCCACCGGTGGGCACGAAAATAGAGCCCTAAGGGTTTAATGCTCCTGTGTGCAAGTGATGTTACCTCAGAATCTCCATTATTATTAGTATCTTGGAGGACAACTAAATGCTGGTCATTAATGGAGGATTTACAGTACTAAAGCATGTACACAACTTACTCTGGTTTCTGACAACTTAGGGACTTCCTGCTTAGGTGAGGGCCTGGACTAAGTGACGCATCATCAAAGCAAACATGGTAGATTCAACAAAAGAGTCTTGTTTTTGGAAGGTTTGTCTTTGGCTTAAGAAAGAATCAAATATAATTGATTCTGGCCTTTCAACAGGCTACAAGTCACTGCTTTTCAAACAAGCTGGACTGGATAGGACTGAGGAAACGTTCTTCATGACCAAACAACAGAACAGGATGCTTAGTCACCACAGCAGACGGTGGTGTTGACGTTGGCTTCAACGAGTACAACAGATGCCGAGCCCTTTACAGGAAGACAACTAAGGAAGCTTCACAGGCGCCCGTGCTGATAAAATGCAGTAATCACAAACTGGGATGTTTATGTGCACAGGAATATGAGTGAACATGTTCCTCTGTGTACATGTTAAAACCAGGTCCTATATAGGATCAGAACCAGGATGAGGATCCTACCTGGGAAACTCAAGTCCATGTAAACACACTAAATAAACTGCACCAATCTGAAGGATCTTTGTTGTTTTATCAGGGAGCTGAATGTGTGTTTTGGTTGATGAAAGGGGTGTCAGTACTGTGGATGCAGCGGCTGATCTAGACTATAAAGACTGGCTCTAAATGTCCAGGGTTATCTTGGCTTCACTTTTGTACAATGGCAGCAGGTGGAGAAAACTCATCCATCTATAACAACAGTCAATTAAGTAAGCTAATTGGGTGTTGGCATTAAATGCTGGTAAGCTTTTAGCAAATCAGTTGCCTTAAAATGGTGGTTACCTTGCGTTTGGAGGAGGACTTGCAGCGCAGCGTGACCTTCTGCAGGTGGTTAGGATGTCTCAGGTTTTTGGGAGGAGAGAGTAGCGCTGGGATGTCCGAGGAGGAGGCAGGTGTTAGCTGCTCTGGAGGATTGTGGTCCCTGGAAGACTCGGTGGTGGAGTTGATGATCCCTGGAAAGAAGAAAATCAGCAGAGATACTTCAAACATAAAGGACTGACTATGGACAATCCTCTGGAGCTATCCAGGTCTGTACATGACTCAAAGATATGCAGCGTTAATTATCAACACCCTTTAAACATACCCAGTGTGCAGCAGTGGAGCGAGGGTTCCTGGTCTGGGGGCTGAGGGGTGGTCTGGCTCTGCAGGGGTTGGTAGATGTAGACAGTGTTTGGAGGCAGGGAAGCTCTCAGTGTGGACAGACTACGAGCCACCAGCTCTCGACTTCGAATCAACTCTGAGCTGTCAATCTGAGGAGAAAAAGAAGGAGCAGTTTTGTTTTCATTAAATGTTTGTTCATTTTTAGCCCTTTAGACTTTGCTGTTTTTAAGGATATAAAGGGCTGCTATCTTGAAAAAAACAATCAGGTGCTTTTCACTAAAACTAAAGGTGTGGATGAATGAAGACTTGAAACACAATAATTTTAGATTAGATTACTGTTTATTCTTTAGTGTCATAACAGATCTGGATCACAAATTTCTAGGAGAAGACATCTGTGGATAACTGGGCTTTGGGTTTTTTCCAAGTACCCTAAACAAACAAACAACAATCCATTTTTAGGAACCAAATTTACGCTTTTCAGGAGTTTCCTCTTTGCTTTTATCTTCACACAAGTTTCTGCTTTTAGATTTCTACTTCTCTTTCTCATGGTTACATGATCCACACACTGAACATTTACAGCTTCTGACTGACCAGAGGGCAGATCGAGTTTGGTACCTGTGCCTTCCTCAGCAGGTCGATGGTGAGGGCCAGCCAGTCGGGACAGCAGGTCTCCAGCTCCAGAGTGATGAGGGCCAAGGCCAGCATGGATCCTCTCAGCTACAGGAACACATGAGGGACAAACTTGTTCAGTTTTCAGACGGGTGAAAAGACCAGCTGAGACAGCTTCTATGTAACTACGGCAGGGCAGAGGATCTGTGAGGGTAAAGTGAGGATGTGCACCTGTATGAGTGTGTGGTCAGCCAGACAATGGTAGAGTCGCCGTGTGAGCATGGAGAGGTGCTGGGAGCGGTTCAGGTGCAGCATGGACTCCAAAAACCCAGAACGACAAGACATGACCATGGCGTGGAACTTAAGGAGGAGGAGAGGAGGAGAAAATACAGAGTGAGACAAATCAGCACGTCGTACTCTGTTTCAAACATTTGGCAAACACAAATTCAATCTTAACCAAGTGGAAAAAAACTATTGACAACTGCTGTATGTATGAGGCCATTTTAGATTATCTCAGAGTAAAACCCCCAACCAAACCTCGCCCTGTTAGAAAGTGAAACATCAGATAGAACCAAACTGATCAGAGCTGGAAAACTTCAAAAAAATTCTGTCTGAATTTTTAAACCTTTTGTAGTTTTATTCATTTTTTCAACTTTTTTGTTCCTGCTTAAGATTTTTCTATTGTTTCTTTAAGTCAGATATGAACGATCCACAAAATTATAGCAATACAGAGAAATCATGTTACATTGATGCAAAAATGCAGAATTAAACTTAAATAAAATTTGCAAAAGCTTTAAAAACACAACACAATCCTGCAGGGAGGTAAACAGTAACTGTTTCTCACCACCAGGTGTCACTAGCTAAACTAGTAAAAATTTACAACCACCAACACTCGACAGGACTAACTTCTCTTACACTAAGACTGTAAAAAGAGTCTTTGAATAACAAGCTATCAACATCATTTTAACTGTTTCATTTGTTTTTGTTTGTGCGTATGTGTGTGTGCATGTGATGGACATACGATGTGCAGGAAGTCCAGTGCTGTGGCGGTGTGCAGATCCCAGTTCAGTTTGTCCAGAATGATCCGCTCCATCCTCAGGATCTCTGAAGGAGAACAGCCACAGCTGCTGGAGGCAACCAGCTCCTTCAGAGAGGGCACACACTGAGAGACACACACACAAATACAGACACACACACGAACACACACACGGTTACCCAAGTGGCACTAAGTTCAACACGACTGACCCTTGATGCATCCTCATTTCTATGAAACCTGTTAGCTGTATAGATTCTTCTGTTACTTAAATACAGGAATATTTACACTCAACATTTGTTTGGATTATTTCACACGAGTGTTTGTCTTCATAGTCTGAGTGGTCAGTGACGGGGTCGCACATTACCCAAAGTTATCGAATCCCAAAGTTATAAGCACAAAACAATAGACAACCTGGATGTTTATGCTCTGATTTTAAGTGTGAAAGAAGCAGGACAAAGAAAATAATGATTTCATTTTCTGTCCCCTGGTATTTCCCTCTCCTGTGTTTCCTTATCGTAAGTTCTCACTGGTCCTTTATGAGTCCCACAGGGGGAAATTCCAAAATTACAGCGTCATAAATACAAAAACAAAAGAGAAATTAAAGGATAAAGAAAGAAACTTATGTACACTTATATAAGGTCGATGATGTTGTCAAAACTAATTCCACATGGTTGGATTTTGGCTCCCTGAAATGTTGTGGTTTTACACTAAAGATGTTGGAAGTCTGTGCACCTTTCGCTTTACAATTTTTTTTTTCAAAATTTACTCCAAAGTAATGATCATCAATTATCTGAGCTGTCATATATCTAGAGTCTCAGTGGAGGGATCGATGTGTGAAAAATAGGGACAGGAACTGTGCAGCCGACACAAGCGTCTCCTTTCTGATGATGCATATGAGTGTGTGTGTGTGTGTGAGTGTGTGTTCACCTCATCCTCCTCACAGGTCTTGGCAGCCAGGAAGAAGCAGGCGATGGCGATGCAACGAAGGTACTTTGGACGGGCCTGAAGACAAACAGTAAATCAGATTATAGATCAAGTTTTATCAACCCTTTAACACCAGAGTCCTTAAGTCCACCGAGATCAGCTGATCAATCCGAATCAGTCCCCAGTTTTGTTGCTTTGCTGCAGCTTTTTTCTGCCCCTTTGGTGTGTATAAGACACCTTTTTAAGAGGACTGATAAAGGTCTCACATAGGCACAGAGCAAATGTTTGCTTCATTTTTGCAGCTCATGAGCTACAGCTGATAAAGTCTGACCCAGAGCTGTCATTATGTCAGCTGGAAATGAATGTTAGAGCTTTATGTTTCCCTTCGTTTTACACCGGCTTTCTCTCTGTTGCTTCCAGCTCTGCAAGTAATGTGATCGATAGACAAGGTGCAACTAGATTTGATTCAGCGGTTCAAGATTCAACGACCAGGATGATAGAGGCTTCTCAAGAAATGACTCAAGGGTGTTTACACTTCTCTTGTGTTGTTCTGTTTTATTATTCTTTTCCCTAGCTAATCTTTGCCTTACAATTTATGTACTTGTATTTCATTTTGTGTTCTCACTTTCTGAGAACTCAGAAGCTTTTATTCGCATGTGTTGATGTTACACCACATTTCACCTCATTTTACCTGAAAATTCTGCGATTTACTCACTCTTTTGTTTAGACTCGAAATGTGCTTTGAACTTGCAATAAGAACAATGCATCTACCCTTGGCTTGTGACTAAATATGAGGAAGACACGGTGAAAATACAAGATAAAGCAAATCTGCTGAGTGAGTTTTTCTTTATCCTTTTTGAAGACTTTTCTTCCCTGCATGTTTAAAATCTTCTTGTGATGATCTCAGATGCTGGGTACATTTCTCTTAAAGATACAGAACACAGTATGAACAAAAAAAAACAGTGGCTGTGTTTATCAGACACAAAAGGACTTAAAACCAAAGGCTCATACACTGATCAAGCACAAATGCTGAGTCTCTAGCTGAAAATAAAATTCTGCCCCTGTCGTATTTGTCTTTGGTCGGAAGTTTCCTCACCACACAGTGCTGAACAATGTGTCTTATCTGAAATACACCAAGTTCAGCTCCTGATTATCTGAGAACATTTTATTCCTCGGCTAAAAACACTGACTCCCTGTCTGTCTGTGGAGTGGGACGTTGTCCTGACCTGACACTCTGAAATAACACTGTTCCTGTGTGCTCACAAGTCCACAACTGTGGGCCAGACCGCTCTGAGGATATCCTGGTCGCCGTGGCTGTGGAGCAGCATTAACCACAGACAAACATATCAAGAAGTTCCCACTGACACACTGACTATATCTGACCTGACAAAACCTCCCGACACACTTGAACCTACATTTATTTTCTCTCCTCAGAAGTCAAGCTCTAAGTCACCAGTCTGAGTCTACATTCATATTTTCATACATTTTTCTTATCCCTTGGGTTACGTAGATTTTTACTTCTCCTTATTTCTTCTTTTCTTTCATTATTTTGCTGTTAGATTTTATGTTTTAGCCTTGCAACAATGTCTGTGTTGTTTTAGTTTTGTTATGTGGAGAACTCGATCCTGAGCTTTTGGGGGATTTAAGCTTTGTTTGTTTATATAGTTTCAGAGAGTAACTGAAGATGATCAACAAAAGCAGCTCCACTCTTATAGGCCCTCAAAGTGACATTAGCCTAAAAGCAGTAAAAGCGCTTTTGTTTTTCTTACCTTGATGGGAGCGAGGAAGCGGTCCAGGATGCTAACAGCTAACACCAGGGTCTCTGGGTACAGCTGCAGTCTGCCGTGGAGCTCTGTCAACCAGCGCACAGCCTCGTCCCGCTGAGCTGGGGAGATATCTGTATCCTTTAACAAACACACAAACAAACAAACAAACATCAGCCGCTTAATCTCTCTAAGCTATTTGTGCAAACTGGTGCAGCTAATGAGGCAGAAGCCGTTAATGGACTTTTTGTATTACAGCAGGAAATAATCGTAAACAGCCAACATAGAAACTCTTATTTCACTACAGCTGATTCACTACACAATACCTGTACAGTGTTAGGATGCTTTTGTTTGGTTTTCACTAACTATTAAGCTTCATTTTCCACTGATTATTAAAAGGGCATTTGAGGGGGTTATACATTCAATTTTAAGGAATTTGCAGACTATTTTTTCAATTAAATGATTCATTCGTGTTTAGCAAGTTAGAAATCCAGATGAAATGTCTTGTTTTGAACTATCAAGATTAGTGAAAAGTCGTTCAAACCTCACAGAAGGTAATATTTGGTCTTTTTAAATAGTTTTGCCAGAAGAAAAGATCAGTCAGTAGTCAAATAGTTGTGAAAATTTCCTCTGTTGAAACTAAAATGCTATCTTTATGTTGAAGATGAGGAAAAAGAGTTATTGCATTATCATCTTAAAAGACACACCTCTTGTACAAGCACTGAAATGTGCATTTCCACTTTTACTGTCTGCCTGGAAACTCCAATAAAATAAAAGCTTTAACAAAAGAGCGACATAAACGAGTAAACACGAAACTACCTTTGGCAAACTCTGTCTATAAACATCAATCCAACAGCTGACCCCGAAAGCAGAAGTGAGGACGCAGAGAGCACAAGAGAATCTATTTCTGGTCAAAGACACACAAAGGAAACAACAGAAAAGAGGCCCAGAGGAGCTCCTTTTCTCTTGGCCTGGTTTCTGCTGCAGGGCCAAACAGGACTTTCTAATCCAGATCAGTTTTTGAGTTGGGGTACTTCTTGGGGGTCGGAGTCTGACATACTTCACTAAACAGAAAAAGACAGGATGTTCCTCTACAGCTTGACCAAAAGTGGTGTAAAAACATGCCAGAAATTCCAGTTTTTAAGTCATCTGACAGCTGAAGTGTAAATCAGACGGACAGGCTTCCTCCTAAAGAAAATATTAAACTTTGTAAAAAAGGGATTTCTACATCGTTCTTCTGTTGGTCTAGAGAAATCAACATGGATTTAACACAGATAATAACTACTATTATTATTTGGACTTCAGGGAACAAACCGCAGCCATATTTTCTGTCTTTTTTAATCCTCTCTAAGCAAATCTGTTTAAGAAGAAGAAGAACTTTATTGATCCCTGACGGGCAATTCAGTAATAATTTAATTGTTTGCTTTAATTTCTAGCCTTGAGTCTCTCCCTGATATGCTCCCAGTATGCTCTTACGTACGGTATACACATCTTCTCTCCTAGATTTGATTTATTTACGATAATCCTTTAAAATTGAAGACTACAAAGGAAACGAACATGATTATTTTTTTCTATCTCTGAACTCGGCGTTACAAGCTGTTGTCCATGTGCAAAAACAAAAAGAGGGAAGACAAAGCAGATGACTTTTCCAAACTACGTCAGGCTGGGTGGGCATTCCTTCCTCTGCTAAGTGAATTGTCTGTTTATTGCTTAAAGGCATTTACAATGTTGAGTGTGAAACAGTCATGATGGGGCCTTAACAAAGCAAATATCCAGCATATATGTAGGCCTGAACTCAAGTTAGTAGTTTTGCTAATGAAACCCATTTTTAAGGTCCAAATTTTGACAATTTTGCACTTTTAAATGAACGTCTTAAATGTCTGTGATGCAAACTAGTTAACTAAAACTAAATCCTCAAAGAGCTCGTTCATTGCTCACAGGTCTCTTTGTGTTATTACTCTTTTAAAAGCTGTTTTTGACACATGCGGTAGAGCCCAGATAGAATAGAGTTTTCTTTTTGTGTCCCACACCAGAAATGTCTGAATAATAATCATGAATGGTGTGTTGATCTAAAACAATGCATCCATTCACAGTATTTAATGTGCTTCCACCACAGAATTTGTGCATGAAAACCTAAATGACAGGAGTCAAGTATGAATTGTTCAACTGTGGTTATGATACATGTTCATTTGTGGGTGAGTAGGGTTCATAATAGATGCTAGTTACTGTTACCAAAAGCTGCCTTAAATGTCAAATTACTTGACACTTTCAATTTTCTATTGACCAGCTATAGTCTAACTAACCACAGGTCTTTATATGATACTAAGTTACAGGTCAGAATTGATGCTGAGACAGAAAATTATTACAATCAATAGGGTGAGTTTTCTGGTCATGTAGCAGGGCTATCATGAATCAAATACAAAGGCTTTATACACATGAATTTGCTGCTTTATAGTTATAAAATATAAAAATAATCAAATTTAAAAATTCATCTTTGTGGTTAAATAGTAATTTCGTTTGTAAAGTTGCATTATGAGCTGAAAAAATGGTGCAGTGAGTGCGGTATATGTAACACTGGACTATCAGCAGGGGTCAAAAGTCAGAAGGCCGCTGACCCGCTGGAAAACTGTTCTGCAACCTGACACTGCTCAGCTTCTAAGCTCTTTACCGTCCAAACTAAAAACAACTGGCCTATTTCCAACCTGTTTCCCAAAAAGACCAAATCTGTCAGTGTCATCCGTTCATCGTCTGCAGTTTCTTCAGGCTGCAGAGGAAAGGAATGTGTAGTAGAAAATGAGTCACTGGTTGCTGGTTCTTTCTGGAGGCCGGAAAGGTCACAAAGTGTGTTTGACAAGTTCAGGGTAACTGGAGCACACACAGCATCTCCCTTTTTAAAAAATATGCCCCCAACCCATGTCTGCAAGTGCAAAGTCATGGTCCTTGAGCTTGAGACTGCATTAAAACAGACGTGTTTGGAGTCATTTTTTGCAGGAAATTCAATTAAACAAGAAAGTTATTACAATACAGAGTTGTTTTCATACAGCACCTCTGCAGGTGTTTACACATCTATCTGGAGACTGACTGCTCCCCTGACCTCCTACACCAGTTTACTTGTCTGCTAATGCGGCTAAAGGTGCAGATAAGTTTCGTAACTTCTGTCTCAGTCTAGTCATTTACTGCCTCTCATGACCGTTATCACAAAACTACTGATAGGCAGGACCAGAGGCAGAGAAGCGCTCACATGTAAGTAAAAAATTATTGTTTATTTTGTGATGTTTATCGGGCTTTATTTGTGTACACATTTTACAAATAAATGCTTAAAATATTGTTGTGAAAGCAATATTTTCTTTTTTTTTTATCATCACTAACAATCGATTAAACAAAAGGAGGTGTTTGGATGGGTATTAAAGCTTTCCATATTGAGCTAACCAGATAATACTGCAGGATCTAAACCCAACAGATCTACAGCAGGAGGTCCAGAATGCCCTACTGGCCAGATTATCCTGGCAGACATATGTGCACGCAGCAGTGACTCAGCAGCAGAAGATCTGGATTAACAGTCAGAGATTGCTCTGATGCTAATTCCGGTTTACTTAAATTGCTGATCAGCTAAGAGTAAGTAAACAGAGTGTAGGTCACATGCAACAAACATGAAGTGGTTGTGTGCTTGTGTTGTGATGATGAAAGTTTATTCCTGCTGCAAAATACTTTTTTAAATACTGCATTATTCTGAGCATCAGTGCTTCTTCAGCGGTGTTACTGCAGTGCTGCAGGCGTCTCCTGTACAGATTAGTGACTAGGGATGCCCCACTGCCAATCCCATCTGCTCAATTAGCTTCATTAGCTTGATCAAACTTGATCACCACTACAGTATGGCACACTGAGGGGATCCACTGCAACAAGTCCCAGAGCAGGAAATGTTGCAGGGGGGAAACACCTCTGTATTAATGCAGAACAACTTCCTTATTATCTACTAAAGGAGACAGAATACTATTAGGTAGTAAAACACTGTGTCTGCATGCAACATCCTGGATTTCACACCTTTTAACACGTGCAATACACTCCTGAGAATTTCCAGTATTTTCAGAGTGGGGTGCATTTGTGAACACATAGAAGACTTTTTCAACCAGTCTTTACCCACACTGAGAGGGTTTCAGCAAGAAACTGAGGTGAGCTTTGAACTCAGCAGGTAGTTCAGAGTTCTTTGTGTGCGAGAAGATATGATTACGTTTACATCATGTAAACCTTCATGACTTTTTTATATGTAATGAAGCTTTATGCTCTTTTCTTCTCGCCAGCATGTTCCTTTACACTCTTTTTTTATTACACTGAAAACATTCAGTCATTCATACAATTGATAAACAAGACATAATATGATCTCATCATCGCATTAAGCTCTGAGAGATTCCCTGACTTTCTTGGTTATGTTGTAAACGTGACTCGGTGCCTACTGCCTGAAGGGGAAATGTCCCGTGATGAGAAACATGAATGAGAGGCCAACTTTGCAAAAATCCTTCAAGAATTTTCAGCAGGTCAAAATGAAAAGAAAATCTCTGGCTTTTTTGTCATAAGTTAAGGTAAAAAAAATGTTGACACAAGGACTGTCCCAATATCTGATTTTCACCTCATGATTATTGTGGCCATAATGATATCATTGTGTTACTCATGTAAGACTTGAAACTTGAGACAACACATCGAGTTTAACTGGAATATATGATTCATACTGCAGGTCCATACATTTTCCTATTAAACACAATGAACTTACATGGCTTCATTCATTTCTAATTGTTTTCATTTATGATCTATGCATGTCACTGGCTGTGTCACTGAAACTTCTTTGCTGTTATTCATAAATTTTCTCACCTGCATTTCAGTTTCTCCATTTCCTACTTTGTATAACTATACTTTTTTTAAAAGTTGCTTTATTTATTTAGAGGCTACCTCTGTAAATTGTGAGATATGGACCTGAATAAAAAGCAGTTTGTTCATGAAAACTCCACCAAAGTTTACCCTGATCTTTATCCACAAAGAAATACTTAAAAGAATAGCTTAATTAATTTTTTAGAGTGTATTTTACAACATCTATGTACTAGTAACGTCACAAGTGTGTATGCTCTTATTAGGTAATGTTATCATGTGTCTTTGATTAGGTTTGCAACCATATTACTACATTTCCCCCAAACAAATTATTAGACTAAATCAGTCACTGCCCATTGCTGGTTTTGTCATGTCAATTTTCTATCTCAATATAAATTTTGAATCCAAAAACATGTCCAATCCATGACAAACTGATCTGAAATCAAAAAACTCTTTTATTGACAAGGTGAACGAACTACACGTTGATTCAAAGTTAATGTTTGAAGTAATTTCAGGGGTGTCGAACATGTTCAGACAAGCCCAGAAACTGGGCGTACCCCAATAAGGGTGTGATGAAACCAGACGTTATGACATCATTTGAAAATGTGTCTTCTGACGTGTGAAGTGGGTTAGACCAGCCGGTGATGAATGTGTGTTCAGTGACTCATGTGTTATCTACTGCCGTGCCTCTGACGCTGCAAAATCAGCAACCTACAACCTACTGCAAATAAAAGAACCAGTGTGTTTGAAAGGAATAATACCTCTGTAATCATCTATAGATAAAACATGCCATCTTAATCTCCAGACATAATCTGCAGGAAACATTATGGTAATCGTAAGAAAAGGTAAAAATAATACATCCAACCTAAACAATGTGCCTTAAATTGCAGCATGGGAAATGATGCAATGTGTTTTGAATCTGTAATCATATCCTCTGACTTCAGTAACTAGAAAATGAACAAAGGTACACACAGGTTAAAGTGCTCACCTGTGAGGAGGGTTTCTTTGGCACGCAGACCCTCCACATCTTGGCTTCCCTAGAGGCTGCCTTTTCTAGAAGAAAAGACAGCCTCTGGCGTCCCCAGGGGTCGATGAACTTCATTCTGTCCTCCCCTGGATGAGCCTACCTCCCCACTGGATACAGCTACCTGCACAGAGACATAAATGAAACATATTCAAGGTTTGTCCTTTGTTCCCGCAGAATATTTTTTAGAAAACCGTTCAGGAGGACTGAAGTAAAATCTGTCAGCTCTACAGGAGAAAAAAAATATCAACTCTTCAGGACAGGACAGACGGGTATGACAGTTATATCAGAGTGCCTTTATTTGCCTCATCTGGTTCCTGGATTCATTGGTCACAAGTCTACACCTTTCGAAACAACATGTGGCAAAAAGAAATTATTCTCCTCATCTCTCATAGCAGCAGTGACTGCATAACAACAAGCAGTGCCAAGACATTTTATATTATAGAGAAAGTGATGAATTCAAATGCAGATCCAACACTCCTCATTCTTTCACACCTTTACAAGAACTACGTTGTGAAAAACAGTGGTATTAGAATCGTCCATTATGTTATTAGGCCATTGTGCATGTCGACAGGAAACTGAGATGGAACATATTCTGGACTCTTGTCATGCAAAACAAAATGTTTGGGGCATTTTTCCATTTCTGTTTTGATAATTGTGGCCTACAGTCTAAAAAACATCATAATTCTTAACTCAACACATAGATTTATTCGATTTTGAGTTTGAGTTCATGTAAGGTTAAGCCAAAATTGGTCATTGCTGGAGAGGCTGGCTGTTCACAAGTGCTGTGTGAAAGCATGGTAAAGAGTCCAGTGTGAAGTCTCTGCGGTCTCTGATAAATCAGGATGCTATGTAATCTGCTGGTGTTGGTCAGCTGTGTTCGATTAACTCTGTGCAGTCAATGCAGCCGTCTACCAGGAGATTGAAGAGCACTTCATGCTCCCGTCATGACGATGCTGGTTTTGTTTTCCAGCATGACTTTGCACCTGCCCACAGCACCTAAAGAACCAAATGATTTGCTAGCTATGATATTACTGTGGTTGACTGGCCGGTCGATCGGCCTGATCTGAACCCCACTGAGAATGCAAATGGTATTTTCTACAGGAAGTTGACAAATACCCAACCCCCAAAATACAGAGGAGCTGGATGCCACTATCAAAGCACGATGGACTTAAATAACCCATCAGCAGTGGTATAGAGTGATACAAGCCCTCATGCTACCCTACATTGCTGCAGAGATTTGTGGTAAAGTAACCCCAACTTATGAAGGTAACAAATGGTCATTTAACAGGGTTTAACATTTTCTAACTTTTTTTGACTGATCTTGGAAAATGTTCATTACATTTAACATGTAATGAATACCTAATATATAAACTTGTACCTTTTAGTGTTAAATTACAAAGAAAAAGGACTTCAACATTATACATATATATATATATATATATATATATATATATATATATTTTTTTTTTTTTTATTTATTTATTTATTTTTTAAATGAACATCAACACAGCAAAAGTATAACAGATTTGTAATACAAATTTTGAGCGCTGATATATGCTTATGGTAAATTTACTTACTAATCTATAGTTCAAACTATAACAACAAGTCTGGGCAAAGCTGTATTTACAATCGCAATATCTTATCACACTCCATATAAACAAACTTTGTGCTGGCTTCAGCCTTGATATACAGTTACGTAACAGCTAACTATCAAACAAACAGCTTTGTTTTTACTTACTTAATCAGATACCATCTGAATACTTGGACAAATTCTCTCATTATTTCGAGAATTACCTGATCCCCGGGCCTCCCAAAGCAGGTGCATTACAGTCCAATTACTTTCATTATCACTTGTGTATGACTATTGGCTGGATCAGAGCGAAGTTGTCTGCCTAGCGTCGTTAGCAACTCGCTAGCTGCGATGACGTCGCGCTCATATTGTGAAAATTTTAACATTTAAATCATTCAATCGATGATATGCGACCTAACATTGTGTCGTGTTTATCAAGTGAAGAAGTATTTACGCCAATCCGTGGATACAGTGTATGGCAGGGGCATTTAAATTGCTGACTCAAACCCAGAAAGTAGACGTAGCCCAAAGCCTTACCTCCCCTGCGAAGCGGAGAAAACCACAGTTGGATTTCATCCGGTCCGATCGATTCAAGGATAATTTAGGGGTGAAATCGGGGACCCGTTCTTCTGTTTAGTCGTCCATCTTGGCGGCCATGGTGCTGAGTATTGGGGAAAGGGGTAAAAAATGTATAAAAATAAAAGAATGGAATATAGACAGCTACGTCTACTTCCGAGGAGGGGACTGGGGGAAGAGAGAAGGACACAAGCTCCGCCCACCTCAAGGCCGTACGGGGGGACAAAACAATCCTACCCTCTGTGGAAAATTCCCATTAGTAATATTCTAATATAATGTAAAATTTCCTATCATTACTCAATAAAGTACGCTCATTTAACTGTTTGTTACTGCAAATACCGTAAACAAATTAACACAGTGTTAGAAAGATAGAAAGATAGACAGACAGATAAATAGATAGATAGATAGATAGATAGATCAAGTAGTTAAAAACATAAAACCCATAATTCCAGAGAAACTTGGGTACTGTAAATATCGATAAAGTCAGGTTATGATGGTTAGCAAATCAATTGTTTATCACTGAAAATGTTGCAAAGAAAACATGCCAAATGTTGAATATGTGTATGTTTTTTATTGTTTCATGAAATAATATGCTTGTTTTAAATTTGATGCCAGCAATATCTTTTAAATAAATTGGGGACAGAGGCTATGAAACATTTAAAAAAGCTGCATAAAGGTATAAAATGAATGTTAAAAGGGTATAAAATGAGCCTTGTTACAATTTTCAGTAAAAGGATTTTGAGGATCTTAAGAAATCTATATCTAGAGGGTGTTAACTAGTGAAATTTTATCAACTTTGAACTTGTTTTAGACATAATCTTGTTTTGAGCATACAACAGGGAATATTATATGATGCAAGAGTTATTATACTTTCAGTTTCAGGATCATACTGCCTGCCAAATTTATACTAAACCAGCCTAAAATAATGAGTAATGGTAACTAAAACACCAGTTCACTGGTAGATCTCTGTTTGTCTATGATAAAACCTCGGGTTCTGTTTGCATATTGAGATGATCCTCAATAAAAGCGGAACTAAAGAGATGTATTGACTGACTTCTATCCAGGAAATCACCCTCTGCTTGGATATATGTTAGATAAGTTACAGCAAAAACGCCAACGGCTCTTTTTATATAATTTGGGCCAACGAATGATTTCCTGAATGATTTCCTAGCGTAGGATATTGCTGAATTTGTTGTCCACTCACCTTAATACCCATAGTTTATTACTGTACCTGTTTTATTACTGTGTGTGTATCGTACAGCCATATTAAAAAGTATGTTTAGACATAAACAAACTCTATTTCTCAAAGTTATATCATATTTAAGTTATATCTTATTAAAGTCAAAACCAAAAAGAACTACGTAATGCAAAGATTGCGTCAGGAGACTGTAGGTTGATAACCAATCAGATTATCTCATTTTGGGCGGACTATTTGAACGTTCTAAAATGGGGCTAGCTGATTAGCTACTTAAAACGTCAGTCAGAGGGGTCCGTCTCCTTCAGGGCATGTACTATTTTTCGAACCATCTATTAATTTAAGCTTTTTTTTAATCTCATGTACAATTTTCATCGTGTTCAAGTTATTGACTTTGTTACACGGCAATAAAATAGATTTTTACGGGATTTTTTTGCCGTTTAAGCAGGAAAGTGGGTGAGTGCTATTCTTGAACCTACGCTTGTGATTGGCTGCTGATTTGTGACGTTATATTGTGGGCGTGAGCTGCAGAGACATCAACAAAAGAGAGAAAAGGAGAAAGGAGAGAAGACGAGAAGGAGTAACAGTAAACGGTCGAAGACAACAGATATGTGGATTTAATCTTCATTAACAGGTAGAGTATCAATTTATGGATACACTTTTCTTCCGAATACATCAATATTTGACGGGTTTGGTGTATTTTTTGAATTTCCCTTACCTTTTCCCGATGCCTGCAAATAGAAGGAAGCAGTTGTTGATAGTGAACGGTCGATGAAGAGACACAAATTTCCTTTTTTTTAATCCTCATAAGGTTTTTACTGTTGGAAAAAGGTATTCTTTCTCATTTTGCATCAGATACTTTCATAGTTTATAACATGAAACCGAAAAATTGTGCGTATAAAACTGTAATTTTAGGGGAAATTTTGGTTTCAGTCTTTAAAACGAAACAGTGGCACTATTGTTGAATCTTTCCTCCTTCTTGTCGTTTTGTGTGAGATATTTGGCAATTTAAGACTTGGGTCGAGAGTTAGATTGCTACAAACGGAAGATATTTTCCTTGGCTGTTGTTGTTTGTATCCTTTGGATCTGTCTCCTGTCCACAGCAGAGATTTGTACACGGTTAAAACATAAACAAACACGATGGCTCTGGTGCAAAATACTGTAGTGTAGTCCTTTAGAGTATATTATTTTATTATGAGGTTTTACAGTATACTATAGTGGGCCTTTTGACGGCTAAGGACTGGAAAAATCAGCCCCTCCCCCGCTCCTCTTAGAGAGGATTTAAAAGCCAGCTATAGATGCTGTTCACGCTAGCTCCTTCGGTTAGCATTGGGGGTAAAGCGGTGAAACGGACTATTTCCAGCGGTGTGGATGTTATTTTTGTGTGTTTTAGATTGTTTATTAACAGACAGAACCTTGGATGGGCATTTGTTTTTCGGTCAGAGGACAGAGGAAGGCGTCTACCTCTGGAAATCTGACACCGGAGCCCAGCTGAGGGGGAGTGGGCGGGGCTCTGGGCGCTGACCCCTGTTTGGGCTGAGAGGAAATGTAGGCCAGAGATCTACCATGTACACAATAAAACATAGAGAATACTCAAAGTAAACACACTTTTGCAGAGATTTATCATCATTACACCAGCTCCAACTTTTAATTGACAGAAACCGATTCTTCTATTTTGTCCAGATGCATGCATTACAATGAAGAGATAGATCGACTGTCTTTTATCTATATACATTTAAAATTATTTTAATACTTTAATAAAAGACCTTTTAACCGGTTGATAAACAGGCCGAAACTGATCCAAATGCTTCTTGAAGATGCCCCTGAGCAGACAAGTAATCTTTAATACGTAAAGTAATAGCCTTTTCACACTATTACTAGGTAAATAATCACAGTTAGTGTTATATTTTAATGATAAAGACCACAGGATGAGGTTTTTGTTCGAAGAGATAACTTTCACATGGACAGGACTGAAGATACAGGACCAAGAGTGCCTTGCAGCAGCGTTAAATCAAAGGTTCAAATGATTTGAAAACCACTTTTTTTCATCAGGATTCTACAGTGTCTAGGTTTTTGTTAACTGTGGTTGTACATACCAAATTTTCATGAGTCTAAAATTGAATATAGTCTCTGATCTCTTTTTTTGCAGTAAAAGTACTGTACATAAAACCTCAAGACCACTTGTACCAGTGCCAGCTGAGACATGGATGCCTTTAAGCTGATGAAGGAGCTGCGGCTAAACTATGAGCAGGAGGTCCATTATCTCCCTAAAGAGACAGGGCTGAGCCTCATCGAGTCCACAACACAGGTGAGCAAATCTTTTACGCTTCATATTCATCGACCGCATTAAAAATTGTAATTTATACAAGTAACACAAATGTTCCAAGTTAGTTCTTTCTCATTCTTAATGTTCAACTTTTTTGCTTTTTACTCAGGATGACAGTCGAATCTCGGCCAAGTGTAGAGATGCCAAGGTGGAGGACTTGTGGAGTCTGACCAGCTTCTTTGGTTACAGCACACAGACCTTCGTCCTGGCTGTTAACCTGTTGGACAGATTCCTGGCCATGATAAGGGTACGAACTGCCCACACCAAACAGAACCAGACAGAGGATAGAGTTTTTTTAGCCTTGTCTGGTAGCACAGTTTGGCTGCAGCACATACATTGAGTAGCTTTTTATAAATTAATTCAGGTCGTGGTTAAGCAGTTTCTCACTCATGCGTTGTCCACCTTAGATCCAGCCCAAACACCTCTCCTGCGTCAGCCTCAGCTGCCTCCACATGGCGGCCAAAGTGACAGAGGAGGAGTGCAACGTGACGCCAAGCGACGAGCTCATCCGCATCGGACAGTGCAGGTTCACTGTGTCCGACCTTAGCCGCATGGAGAAGATCGTCTCGGAGAAGCTCAACTTCAAGTCCAAAGCCATCACTGCCTTAACATTTCTACATCTGTATCACCAGATCGCACTTTCGCACTGCACAGAAAGGTGAGACCAGAAATGGTGATATTTGATTTATATTGCAGCCTTACCAGCATGTTAAGTTTGCTGCTCCTTTTGAGGCAAATGATAGACTCTTCTCATGTTTGAGTGTTCACATAATGGTATGAATGTTATGGTAGCTTTACCACCTAATGTAGGGCAGGAGCCACTGATCAACTAGGCCTGATAAGATTTGGTCTTGGCTGCTAGAACAAAACCCTCACACTTGCATAATCCTGGCAAAAGTTTGTTGTTTTGCCTAGTTTATCCTGAGTTAAAATTAAAAATATTCAGATTAAGCCACTTTTGTTTTTCCTATGATTTAAAGCTTTAACCAGACTGAAAAGATTTGAAAAATCTCTTAAACAAGTGTGTATTTCTCTAGTTCCTCGAATGACTGTGCGTGTTTTTCCTTGTGAACAGAAAAGAGACTCTGAGCCTGGAGAAGCTGGAGGCGCAACTCAAAGCCTGTCTGTGCAGAATCTCTTTCTCCAAAGCAAAGGTAAGAAACTGCTGCAGGGTTCATAGGTCGCTCTGGCTTACATCAGCTCAGCAGTCTAATGACACACTCAGAAATAAGTTTCGTTATGTCACTGTTTGCTCAAAAACTGGACTGATTCTTTAGCAAAAATGTTAAACCTGTTGTTGTTTGTTCCACTCTTCTCCTCCATTTGTTCATCCAGCCGTCCGTCCTGGCCCTGTCTCTCCTGAGGCAGGAGATCGAAGCTGTCCAGTCAGAGGACATGTTGGAGATAGCTTATCACATCCAGAGACACCTGAAGGTAAAAACAACACCACTTTATGACAAAAACAACTTGACCAGGGAGAAACTTGACGTAATGGAAAGAAAAAAAGTTTGCCTTTCAGTAACATAGGCGACCACAGCAGCTCTGTAGAAATCAATTTAAGAGGAAATTCAATTTTAAAAGCTTTGATTTCACAGGACTCGTGGTTTTGTAAAAGTCAATTTGCTTTTAACATTGGCCGTAACCATGAACATTTAATAGACTTGACTTCACGAACAACATGAAAAACTACTTTAGGCTTACCTCTTTAAAGTCTGTATCTAGTTTCTGGCTTTACAGGACGGAAAAAAAATACGTACAACAGAATGAGGCGGGGTCATATATTGAAAAGCAGCCGCTGTAGGGGTTTATTCTTGGCTTGGCTCTGATCCAAAACATTTTTTTAATTGACGGCTGTTGTTACGCAACTTGCTGTCGTGACGTGAGGCTAGACTCCATACATAGCAGAAAAAAAGAGACCTTTAAGACCAGGAACTATGGCAGGATTTTTAAAAACAGCTGTGTTTTCCCCAAAACTAAAATCATTGATGGCTTTTTTCAGAACACAGTATCTAGTTACCTTTTGAATAAGATGATCCAGCCTTTAAAGAACAACATCCACAGTTTTAATTCAACTTAAAAATATAAACAGTGAATGAATTTACTATGGTTTGTTTTGATAAATAGGGTTATTTTAGGTCTTTAAAAGGCTGCTGACACAGTGACACTTTGCTCCCCGACATGTTTGTCGTCAAACCCTCCCACCTACCGACGCGCGTACCCTCAGGTGTTATGTGACCAGCAGATCAGGTTATAGAGCAAACCTGCAGACACCGTTTTAACCTGGTTTCTCTTAACCTTGTGACCTGAAAAAAGAAACCAGGTTTCCTTTTACAGGAACATAGTATTATGTGTTAAGTAACAAGGTTATTTTAGATACAGTATCAGTCACTGTACAGGGCTAACAGCCAAGTTTCTTTACTGATCGGTGTGGTTTGGGTTTCAGATTGCAGACAGTGAGCTGCTGCTATGGAGTGAACGTGTGGCGCTCTGTTTGTTGGACTACGCCTCCCCTGAGTGCAGCAAACCCAACCACAGGAAGCTGCAGTGGATTGTCTCACGCCGGACCGCACAGAACCTGCACAGCTACCGCAGCGTACCTGAACTGCCTACCATCCCTGAAAACTGCTGGGATGAGAGCGAGAGGTCAGTCTCAAAGATTAATGCAATCGAAACACCAAAACAGCCAAAACATGATACACACCTGAGCAAGATACTGACATGTTCTGAAGTTTCTGCATACCTGAGTAATTAAGGATGCTGTCTGACTCACACCTTAATAAGGCGTGCCGTTAGTAACCCATATTCGCATTAGAGAGGTACAAACACTCAGTTGTTTCAAAGCAAGATTCTAAGATTGTGAAGAGCCGAATACAACGCCCTCAAACAACTGAGCAAGATACTTACCACCAAATAGAAGAGCAAACATGCTCTGGTATAATATTTGAACTCACCTCTATAATTTATAACATGACCAGAGCTCTGATCCCATCAGAGCAAGATACTCACAAAAGCCCATACACAGTTCAGTCAAGATACCAACAGTCTCTGTCTCAATCTCATAACATCAGAGCAAGATACTCATGCTGTCAAGGGTTCTACAAAACAACATGAAAATAACTACCATTGGACCAAAACAAGATACTGGGGGTCCCCTAAACCGTTAACACATTAAAGGAGAACTCAAACACACTGAAGCAAGATAAAATTTACCAGAACAAGTGCTACTGGAGCAACACAAGGCTAAGCAAGATACCAAAACTGTTGTCATTACACTTGAGAGCAAGATAACACTTAGATCTGAAATTAAATATTCATTAAAAAATCTAAAAAGGTCGAATTTAAAGCTCTGAGCCCAAAAAGTATCTGATAAAATCAATATACAAACACAGGACTGAACATTTAAGTCAAAGGAACAAAGGTAAAAAGTTCAGTCTGAGCCAACCGTGCCGGGTTTCAAAACACATCATAAGGATCAGACTTTGACTTCTGTTGGATTCAGCTTCATTCATATTCAGATTGAGCACATGTGAAATCATGTGATGGCGCACAGCTGACATAGTCTGCTGTTAATTCCAAAAACTCCTGACAACAAGAGAGGCATTTGAGTCTTAGAAGGAAACAGACACACCCGGTTTGTTGCCACACACACACACCCAATGCTTCAGTATGTATGACAAAACAAGGCTTATTATTATTATTATTATTCTATAAAGTCTCATCTTGAGTTTGATTTGGATGAAAAAACATTCTTGACTTCTCAGGATTCACAAATGTTTGGAGTTTCAGTGAAAATTTCCATCGGTGTACTCTGTGCTGCCGCTGTGCTGTAACACTCCCCTAAAGTAATACATAAGTTCCCTATATGTTGTAACTGCATGACACACAGACACACAAACCTTCCCCTCTGTGTGTCTCAGCACGTCAGGGCCTCTCATATCTCCCAGCACTGTACGATGGGAGGTGTGCGAGTCGCCAGTCACGTCTCGCTGAGAGACGTTTCCATGATGTCACAGGAGGCCAGAGTCTGTGACTTTATGTAACTTTTTATCAGAGGTGTTGTGTAAAGAGAAAAACAAAGAAGCGGACATCAGACTTTCTCAGCTGACTCTTTATGTAGAGACATAAAGAGGAAACATCATCAAACTCTATAGCTTTTATACTTGGATATGAAGTTATACTCCACTTACTCGTGACGCTCAGAATCAGCAGATTTCAACAGACTGCTGAGTCCAACCTCACATCATGTTGTGAGTCAGAACATGAGATCAGCTGATGACAGATGGTTAATGTCTGTTTTGAAACGGTTTCTGTTTACTCCTATCCTCTGATTCCTTTCAATGATCCTCCTTGCCCTCCTGTGTCACTGTATGACAAATGTGGGCTGTTAATAATCATGGGATCTTGCGTCCTATGAATTAATCCACACTACTTGATATTATAAGATCTTAAAAATCAAGTTATCCCTGTCCTGTTTCTAGCCGTAGAGGACAAACGTGATGTAAAGCAGACAGTTTCGACCATATTCTAGCCCTTTTCAGTTTTAGTTTTGCATCAATATGATATACTTTGCGTAAATCACTAAAAGAAGCAAAACTTAAGTTGAGAATTAGTGGCCTTATGAATACAGTTAATCCAGTTAAAAGAAAAATTAAACACAAAGAAAGACACAAGAATCAATTGCCAATGTTAAATGGTGTAGAAAAGCACAATTTGGTGCATAAAATTCACCAGAAAGCAGAAGAGGAAATGATTGGTTCTAAAAATTCCCTGAGGGAAAACCTCCAACTAACCAAACTTGATTCATGTTAAAAAAAGATCCCTACAGGCAGCACTCTATCTGTCCCACCTAATCGTTTTCTACTTTTGTGACGATACACAGTGTCATTTGTCTTGCCTCTTAGTGCTTGGCAGGTAATCTAATCTTTCAATCATCATAAGCCCACTTCAGAGCCTAAATTTCTGATCTGTCAGACCTTGATTAACCCTTTTAGAGTCTGTGATAACATTGTTCCTTAAACCTGAACATCTAGATTCCTGTCTGAAGCAATGTTTATACACCTCTTTGGTTAATAAACATGTTGTCTTTGTCTTTGCAGTGAGGATTCATGCGAGGACATGATGAGTTCAGGTGAGGAATCCCTCAGCAGCTCTCTCGGCAGTGACGCAGAGGGGCCCTACTTCCCTCTGCACCTCCGCCGCCAAAAACACCGCCAACACCTCCACGCCTGATGCCTCCGCCGCCACAGTGTGCCTCTCCGTCTCCACCCCGTTAAACTTCTACACCTGGAAACATCCTTTTGAATTATAAGCTCTGGTGCTGGTGGAGAATCGCACAACAACTGGCAGCTGAGCGGTCCGGACTTTTCTGGGTAGAAATGGTAGATTTTTTTAGTTTGTAGCCGTGTTGGTGCATGTTGAGATGTCACATTCCAGGACAAAAGTTAGATAAAACTCAGTCGACTAGGCGCAGGGTCAGGTTATCATGGAGCTGAGCGCATAGAGTCAGACTCAAGAAACTCGAGGCTCAGATGTGAGATCAGACCCGCAGCATTTTGTTGATGAGAGAAAAAAAAAAGCTAAAATGTGGTGACTATTTATCAGAGTTTTTGACTGTTATCGTTCTTCAGACTGTTTTTAGTGAGAGTAAGGAGGAGTTCTTTTAGTGCAGAAGATGAGAGCAGCTGTGGTCTTAGTCTTGGCTTGTGATAAAAAAAAAAAAAACAAAATCTCTGGTGCTCATAATTTATGATTTAAAGAGACGTCCAGCTGTTATCTCGGAACAGGGTCGAGTGATTTTTCTTCTATTGCAGCTTCAATGTTTTATTTTATTAACTAAAGTTACCAACTTTTAAGATTTGAATGAATTAAAAAAAAACGTTTTTTTTTTTTTCCTATTTAGCCATTTTTAGGTTCTAAAAAAGTTTTTACTTGTAAATTTATTCCAGATTAACCTCTCTTGTTTGGTCAAATTTAACTATTTTGAGGTAAAGATAAATGTAGGTGCTCATCACATAAAAATTTGACCTTTTTTTTTTTTTTTTTTTTTGCACAGCTGCTTTCTTCTTCTGTCAATGTTTCATTTGCACAGTTTTCTTTTCAAACCGTCTTCAAGTGTTTAATGAGCAGATTGGAGGTTTTGAGTTTGTGTCTGAAGGGAAAGACACGTGTGCACCAGTTCATGTGGTTTGATTTCAGGGCAGCCCTCTGATGTGCCTTGCTCAAGGGCAACAAATAAGACCTGACCTTTTTCCTTCAGATACAAACCCTGCTCACACCACAGGGTATTCAGATAGATATTTAAAAGGTGTGTTTGTGAGTGTGTGTATGTATGACCCTGGTTTAATAAGTCAAAGTTGCCAACTTTAGGATGTAGCGTTTATAAAAATGTTTTTGTTCTTTAAGTGAGGATGTCGTATGAAACTAGATGATGCTGACTGTGTCAAAAAAAAAGTCTAAAAAATGTCCAAAATGTAAGAAAATGTTAATATAAAAACATGTAAAACTGTAAATGATGTACAAAAAAATGTGAATAGTTCTTTGTAGATATTATTTATTCTTTTTGTCAACTGTACTGAAACAAGAAAATCTTATAAAAATATTGTTTTATAAGTTGTTGTTTTCTGCTCTCTTTCTTTTTGTGGGTCTGAATTGAACCAGCTGATCTGGTCTGACAAAATAAACTTTGTTTTGTGGGATAATCATCAGCTGCAATAAGCCCCAGGATCAAAGTTGTGTTGGCAAACATGTCTAAAATCACAGGTTCTTTGTCTGTGAGAACAGTGACTCGATAGAGTTAAGTGAGAATCTTTGTTATTTTATTCAAAATATAAGTTACGGAGGTAGAAAAAGTTTGTTCAAAAATTGATAACCATGAATCCGACTTTCTTACACTTGTCAAAGAAACAACACTTGCTCAGAACGAAGCAACAGCCATCCATGAACCCACATAAAAACACACATACCAGAAAAGTAGCTTTAGCAACGCAGTTTTGCACATTCCTGAAAATCTTCCAGTAAATAAAGTTCTTGGCTATGAGACATGTGAGGGCTGTCACTCTTACAGTCACAGATATCTTTCAAATGAGGCCTGTCAGGTTTTTTTTTTTCTCTTTGCCACCTGACTGGTGTAATGTCAACCACCTGACTTAAACATCAGCAGCAAGTTAGCAATAAGTATACAAAGAGGATTTTTGCAGAGCTCAGACTACAGGTTCAAATAGAAGTCATCTCGCATTGTACATTTGACCTGTTTTAATGGAGGTTTGGGTAAAATGGCCATGCTCTCAAACCATTTCGATGCAGAGCAGTAAAGCTTAAGTTCACTTCAAGCTACCAGTAAAATAATCTGGTGCCAAATTAGAGGAGGAATAAAAATGTAAACAATTTAGATCAGTCAAGGAGAAATGTGGCAATTTTTTTCTATAAACATCATATAGACTAGCAAGTGTGCACCACAGTCTTTAAGGCCTGACGAAGGCCTCTTTATGGCCTTCGAAAACATACAACAACTTAATCTTGTATTAGCAACAAGGCTCATTTCTCTTCATCATATTTCTAACAGACAGACCAGGCTGAAGGTTTGTTCAGATTATGGTACAGCTCTGCCGTTGAAGTTTTCAGACACACATACTCAGTCCAGGTTCAGACAGCTGACAGTCAAACAGAAGCTATCCATAGAAAGCTGCAGGTAACAGGGACTCCACTCCAGCTTGAACACTGGGGGATGTAGAATTGACTAACGCTTGATGTTTGGGGACACTGATGCACGCACACACACAAACAAGTAAATACCATCATTGATGAAATACACAAGCGCAGAACAATGACAACAAATACTGCTGAGTCCTACCAAACCTGTCTGCAGTCCATCTTTTCCAGCCTCCAGATGAAGTCCTGTGATGGATCCTTCTCAAAGGTCAAGTCTGTTCCTCCTCCAGATTTAAATCCAGTGTGCATGTTGAGCTTTTATCGTACAATCCAAAGGAATCAAACCAAACACATACATCCTTTTCACAGATCCCAGGGCGGCTGAAGACACCAGGAAACAAACTGGCTCTCACTGATCTGGTGTTGTACTCTTGTATTCAAAGACCTCCAACGATGGAATCAAAATCCCATCTGAGACCTCTTCTTCTTTGGTTGTGACCCCTGTGACAGCCCCAGGCGACCCTGTGAATTCAGGGAGGAGGTCTGGGACCACACCAGGGAGTCCTGAGACAGGTCCACCCTGAGGCTCCTCTGGGAGAAAGACTGGGAACCAAAGAGCTTAGGGGAGAAGACCGCAGGTGGACGAACGATGTGAGCTGTGCTGTCATCTTCCAGGGAATAACTGTCATGCTGTAAGGGCTCCTCCTGAAATCAGAGCAGTTCAGTTCAGTTGACAACATTCCTCATGGATTTCAGATTTAGATTTCATTGTTATACTGGTACTATACTAGCCAAAGTTTCATTACAGACATGCCTTCACCACTCAATCACCATCATCTACCAATAGGATTCAATATACATCCATTCGTTGTGAATTGCATGTAGCCCACTGAGCAAAAGACGGCTATTAGATGTCTAGTTTTTTTTTCAGACCTAATTTCAACCGTCTAAATTCTGTTTATTATTATTATATTATATAGATGGAAGTTAGGTGTTGCACTTTAACCCATTATTCGATAACTATTAATTTCAAAAAACAACTGTGAGTTGCATAACTGATCTCCAAGTACTTAACCAAAATATTACGATAGCCGTTGAGCAATATACAGTGTAGCATAGATATAGTCCAGATTTGGACTTGGTCTCCTTTGATTTTTAGACCTGTGGTAGTCTGATTTTAGACCAGTCATCTAGGCTACATTAAGACGTCTATTAGACCTCTTTTAGACCAAAAAATGCTCAGTGGGTAGTTGATTCCTGTACAGAGCACACATACATTCACAGTGGCTGGATATGCACTGATTTCAATTTCTTCATCCCATGTAAGATTTAATTTTATTCAAGGTCTTACCTGCTGATTGTTTTCCTTTCTAACAGGAAAAAAAAAACACTTATTATAAATTTCCCTTAAAGGACATTCTATTTTATGCCCAACTTAAACATCTACTGTTATACTCAAGAACATTTATGAAAACAAAACCTATGCTCATCCAATTTTTTTTAATAAACAGTACAGTACTCTGGGTCATCATCATCTTATCTTTGTAAAGGGGAAAAAAAAAAACTGTTTACCTACATTTACCTCCATAACTTACAGTAATGAATTTAACACTGTAGAAAACTCTCTGTTGAAGCATTTGACCGTTGAAAAAAACGAAGGATCCTAGAAACGCTGCAAAGAAACGGCTCATTCTGACCTTTGCTGAATGCAACATCTCACAGGGAAGATAGTTTGAACCCTTTCACCTCTGAGAGATCAGACTAGATCTTGTGTTAGAATTACTCAACCCAGCCAATGTCTACCCGCAAACGGGAGCCTCAATCAGTCTCTAAGCTGGTGTTTAAGATTGTTTATGAACACCTGAGGAACTAGTTATCTTACAGGGACTGCAGCTCTTGGATAGACATGTTTCTTTGATCCAGAGAAACTAAAACTGCAGATCTGATAGAAATATTGCACAGAAACATTATTTTCTTACCAGAGAGCGGAGGAAATCCTGTGCTGAATGTTTGCTCTTCCTCTGACTGGACGGTGTGGCGATCAAACTAGGTGTCTGTGGCAGGGTGGAGGTGCGGGAGGTGGTTGAAGTTTGCTGGTCATTTTGTTTTGCTTTAACACTTTGAGGTGTAGCAGGAGCGGGACTGTCTGTTTCTGCCATGGAGAGTGAAGTACGTTTAGGTATCTCACTCTCTTTCTCTGAAACGCCCTCTGATTGGGACCTGATACTCTCGAAGTCTGACCACGCCCCCTGGCTCTCTGACGACATCCAGCCTTGTGAATCTGTGAAGTCCGAGAAATCACTCTGGTAGCTGACAGATGAGGTGAAGCTCCCTAACAGGCCCAGGTGTCGCCCTGACGCTCTCTTCGCAGCTTTCGCTCTGCTCCTCTTCCTCCTCAGAGCCTCCACCTTCTGCTTCCTGTTCATCCCCAATTTGTCCTCCCACCACGCCCGCCACTTCTCCTCCCCCTGCGTGGACACTGTCAGGCGCTGGCTTAGCGAATCCCCCCACGCGCCTGTGTCCACCATATCAGGGAGTGGTTCCACATCTGGAGCTGTGATGGAGTTGGACACGAGGGTGTGGACCAGCACCGTGCGTTTGGACATGCACGCTTTCAGATCACGTCTCAGGTTCTGAACACACTCTCTTTCTTCAGGATCTCTCTTTTCACCAAATGCCTCAGTGAGATCCCAAGTGTCGCATCGAACATTCTGCTGGAGGGGTGGAAGGGGCTCTTTTTTTCTGCTTTTTCTCATTAACTTCTTTAGCCAGCGTTTCCAGGTGAGAAGAGCGCTGTCGCTCAACTCTACTGGAGTCTGGATGACAGGATTCAGGCTTCTTGAATCGACCGTTTCCTCCACACCTTCAGGCTGTTCGTTCGTACTTTCATTCAACTCTCCATCCGTGGCGCTCTTATCCGATCTGTTCATTTGATCCGTGTCTGGATCTTCATTGACGGTGACCTGCAGGTTCAACTGTTTTCTCCTCTTCTGCAATCCTGTGTCGGACTCCTCAGACGAAGAATCAAAAAATGTTCGTTTTCTTCGCTGTATCTTCTCTGGCGTTTCAGCTACAAATCTCTTCATATTGGGGTTCTGAGTTGGCCCGATCACGTCCTCATCACTTGATGTTTCTGAAACCACCATCTGAGAATCAGTTGGAGTCCGTGTCTCTGTTGTGGCCACTTTTTGTTCAGGTAGCGAATCATCCTCTGCTGCTGAAGCTGAAACAGAGTCCGGCTGCTCGTGCTGGATGATCTGGTAGAAAATATCTCCAGTCTCTGTTAGCTGTAGCACACACAGCCTCTCTTTACCATCTGCTCCTGTTTCTCCTGTCATCTGGATACAAGTCAGACCTGTGAGGAAATACAAAAGCTCAGCGTTACACACATATTGTTGTCTTTTGCACCATTATCTAATAGCAGCCATCTGCACTAAACCCATGATTACGATCTCATGAGGAAGAGTAGCTGTTAAAAAGTGACTTGTCTTCCTTAGTATCAGCACACTTTACTCATTTAAGCGACTGCTTGCTCCTTTGAGAAATACTTTAACACAACACCTCTCTCTGCATTTTTACACTTGCATATAGATCACAATGGTGTAAAGGCAACAGCTTATTATTTAGATGATATAAAAGATATCAAAAGGGCCTCTTAATTGTGACTTTGAAATAAAACAATCCTAGGTGTAGGGTTTCTATAATCACTGCTGTTGTTTTTTATAAAGGTTTAAATTTATCACTTAATAATGTTTCCTTCCAATTACTTTTAAACCACAAACCTATACGGGGCTGTCCTTACTATCCGTTTAGTAAATAATATTTGTTTATTCTATAGAAAATTTTTTAAAATTTATTTTTTATTACATTTTTACCGTCATGTCTTAATAAAAGTGTGCATTGAACAAGCTAAAATGTGTGGCTCATTTGCGTATGGCTCTTTCTGCCTGGCTCGCTGCTGTGGCCTGCAGCATGCATGGGTTAACTTCCTCAGAGTGAATCAACACTAAGCAGAGCTTAATTCACTTACTTTATGTCATTCTCCAGCGCTAAAATAAGATTCTGTAACATATTTTACTATTATAAGCATGGCTTTCATGTACTCTAAATATTTATTTCAGATGATATCAGGCCATATTGATCGACATGGGCTAAATTTGGGCTGTTTTCTGGGAGTTAATTAATTTTCGTGTATTCGAATATTTGGTTTCAAAATGGTCGTTTAAACGTCAGTGAAATTAACCGCTGGGAACATCCCTAGTGTACACACCTCACTGAATAATACAAGTGTCTACAGTAATCCGGACAGGTTCTGTCTTCACTCTGAATCTTTCATTTGCAAACACATGAACACAAACCTGCTGCAGGTGAGGACAGTCTGTTAGTTAATGTTTCATGGCGGTGAGGGATCTGGATAGGGAGGTATTTGGTACTGTCTCTAGGTCTAAGCAGAGCCTGAGGAGGACCATGACTGGAACAGGCCTCTACTCGGCCTCCTGAACACAAACACAAGACACTGATAATGACCACTGCAAAAAATCAAATCAAATCACTGAAACACTCAGGAGATTAAGCAGGGATTATAACTGACCACTGTTGACTGACCTGAGTACTGCAGCAGAGTGATTTCCTGAGAACTTTGGGAGCCCAGCAGAAACTTAGTGGTCCCAGCCCCACCTGCCAATCCAGAGGAGGCAGATCCAGGAATGACATGACAGAACAAGGGTGGGGACTGCATCATGTGATCCCATTTCAGCATGGGAACCCCGGGGAAACGCTCGTCTATGATGTAGGCTGAATACTTTGACAGGAGGAGAGAAGGTCCAGTCAGCTGTGCAGGATCGCTTCTATGACAAAAACTTCTGAGATTTAAAGAAACAAAGAAAAAAAATAGAAAGACTGCAAAAAAATTAATCCGTGTATTACTCTGTCTTTTTAAATAGTTGTTCCATGTCAGAGTAAGAAAGTCACTCGTATCTTGCTGTCATTCCTGTTGTTCCAGGACATTGATGTAAATCAATGTTACTGACTCTTAAAAATACTCCGAAGGTGTCAAGGAGCTTTAAGTTTAAAGATTTTTTTTCCTGAAATAGTGTGAATCAATTTTTGTTCTCACGTAAAAAACAACTGCCAAACATACACCTTTATGAACGCTGACATCTAGTGGTGACAATCAGGTATTGCTAGCAGATATATTTTGTGTCAGTGTGGGAAAGCTGACTTGATTCTCTGTGTTAAAAAAAAAAACTGTGAGAGAAATTGAAAAGTTAGTGTTTTGTTTTGTATTTTTTTTTTACCTGTGTGGTGACTAGGTGGTGGAAAGTGTGAACTTCTCCGAGGTATTTGGACAGGATGAGTCTCTCCCCACTGCGACACTCTGAGGTGTTGCCAATACAAAACAGAGTGTGAGAGCCAATGGGATTAACCTGGATGGACACAGGAAGGGGAGTGAAGTTAAAAACTGGAGCCACAGACCCGTACTGGACTCGGTTTCTCTAGAAACAAACCAATAAACAAAGAACATCAACCCAGCCTCAAAGGAAATAAAATACAAAATAACCTGAAAACACCAATAATCCATAAACTCTTATCTTACCCTGATGTCTGTGAGCTCCACCCCTGTCCTGTCTGCGTACAGCATCACCCTGGGGTGGGCCGAGAACTCGCACCATCGCCATGAGGACTTGGCATTGAAGTACAAGTTGCAGTCTTCCTCCCGGATCTTCTGCATCCTAACCAGGCAGACATATTCATTCATTCCAATTTGACTCACTAAACTAATATTTGTGGCACAACTGTATGAAAGATTCATCCTTACCCTTTGCCAACGGTCCACAAGTTTGCAGCTCCGCTCTCGCTTGCCACCAGAACTTCCCCTAAAACATGAGGACTGACAGCAAGCAGCAGAGATGCTACTTTAACAACTTCTTCTCATTTAGATCCATTTCTAATATCATGATCTTCACATTTTACCCCTAACCCCTCACCTGACACTGATGCAGGTAGCGACCTTTCTGGTTTTGACGACCTGATGCAGATGAGGCTCGTCCGTTTCACTGAAGCCCCAAACTCCACACAGATAGTCCGACCTCACAGCGACACAACCTGCGGAGAATTGAGCACATGTATTGAGAGTTTGCACAGCCTAGCATGACTCATGACACCGTAACAGGCTCCAAGTGACACGTGTGAAAGTGTACCTCTTGATCATACTTTGGTTCAGTAGAGAAGCAGAGCTGATCTGTCTGATAGGGCCCTTTAGGTGGAATGTGGACAGATGACCCATACTGGCACCCGCAGAAGGACCTCCTGTGTGATTCTGAAGCTCCATTTGGTGGAAATCTGAGGTACTAGGTTAAGAACCACAACCCGCAAAGACACACAGCAGGAAAAAATTGGGAAGGGTCCAAAACATCTAACTCATCTATTATAGTATGATGCCTACTGTTCCATTCTTGGCTCCTAAAATGATCACTACTGAGGTTGATCCTATCTGCCATCTTTGTTTAGAAGGAGGCCGAGGAGGAAGATTCTAAAAAGTTAAGAGTATAAAGCTGGAAAAAACTGGCTGTGTCCGAAATGGATCCCTAACCCCTATATAGGTGACTACATGGGGGTTAGCACCATTTTTAGGGGCCTCTGTGTTTGTAAGCCATAACTGAAAAAAACTTGAAGGGGCTGTTTAAGTTCAAATAAACTTCGGCATCTGTCACATTCTGGGATCTCAATTAAGGTAATTTCTTCAACTGGCAGCAGCAAAAAACAAAACGAAAAAAACTGTGATGGTTGCTGCGAAAGATGCTTCATATTAAGAGTCAAACTTTTTCAAACTGAAAACAGCAGTGACATACTTTTTCAAAGCGAACCAACTTTCCTTGTCAAAACTCAAAATTTCCCAACCCTAGATTGGTAAAAAGTGCCTTTGTAGCAACTCATACAGTAATAAAAGTTTATATATAATGCAAAAACTGACTCACAATTTAGTAAATGGTTACATCATTAGATAATGTGCAGACGTTATTGCGTTATGCACTTATGACTATTACATAATGAGCCGATTATTACATTATGAGTTGCAACAAGTGAGTTATTTTTATATGCTCCATTTAAAGTGACCATTCAACAATCAAAACAAATCTGAATCAAAACACTTTAGGATGTAATAAGGGTTAATTCTCTTCATTTGGAGGGTAAACTTACATCTTTTTTTTAAATCTAAAAATACTTAAAAAAAAATGTTTCAGGGCTGCTAGCTGAAGATATTTACAGGTGGAGTCCCAAAACTTTGTCAACCTTAATAAACACTAACATAGACGGAAAAAAAATACATATACAAAGTTAGGAAATACTTTCCCATTTACTCCTTTAATGCAAGTCGACTCTTAAGGATACTGAGGCAATCCAGTGCCTTGTTTCCAGGGTAGATGAGGCAACCATGCTGGGGGCTCTGGGAGAATGGAATGAAGGCTAAAGCGCCCCCTGTGGCTCCTTCTGAGAACAGCAGGCGGTTTCTCTGCTCAGTTAACTCCTCATACAGCAGAGAACCCAGGAGCTCAGGAGGGACAGAATGAATCCCATCTGATAATAGAGTGCTGTAATAATTCAAAGGTGTGGACCGGTAATAGCTGGAAAAAAAATATCAACATGTTTTAGCAACAAAAACAAACAACACGACCTGATATGGGGTTCTTAATTGTATACTTGAAAACTCTGTCCTTTCACACTCACTTGGACACAGATCAGTTCGGGCCACTCACTTTTTATAATTCTTCTTCTTTAAGTACGTCCACATGCGATCCCAGTTCCGCTGATATTTCTGAAACACACAGCACATAGACACATTCTGAGGAAATGAAAAACTATTTACGGTCTACAGAAATCACTGAGAACATAGGAGACAAACACACACTGATAAATCGTTCACTTTGAGTCGAAAAACATTTAAACAAATTAGCAAACTTTTTCAAAAGAGGTGTAATCCTATTACAACTCACCTCTTTTGGTCGGACATTTTTTTCTTTGAAATTCAGGTTTTCACCCAAAATTTCACCCATGCAGCCAAAAGCAGCCTGGCAGTGATCTTTGAAAAAATTCTCCATCTAACAAATGAATGAATGAAAGATAGAAATAAAAAAACCACACAAACACACAGAACTGTTTGTAATCTAAAAAGTATTCAAGACATCCAAGACTTATGAGCTCAGCAGCATATACACAAACTCTGATTATTATTCAAGTGACTTGATTTTTTAGCTTTTCCCGTTGCATTGATGCAGAATCACTCATGTTGGCATCATGATGCATCTTAAAACAATAGCTTTTAAAACCCCCAGAGTACTCACGTGGTCTCTGAAATCCAATGGATCTAGAGTCAAAGGCCAGAGGACAGCTGGAACAGATGTTAACGTATAACGTAAATGACAGCAAAAATGAACACAGTGAGAAAAATGTCCTTAAGGGTTTTTTTTTTTTTTTGATAGAACTAGAACAGGACAGATTTTTTATTTTTCTGTTTGTTAATTTGATACATACAAAAACACTTCAGCTGAATTTAGTAGAACCCTAATGTTTCAAATGATCTGTTATCTCATTTATTACATGTCAGTTTGGTCTGTTAATTAACTCCTTTCATTCTCCCTTGAAACATGATGGGAAAAATGTGGTACTAAAAAGTTTATTACTAACAGAATGGCAAACTAATTTGGGACTAGAGCTACAAAAAGACACTTTCCTTTTCATTGCAAGTTTCTTGATTTAAGCACAATTGGATACAGGCTAAAGAAGAATAACTACTTTTTAAATGCTGGCCATATTTACAGGTCCATTTCTTTACAAACATTGTGGTAACAAGAAGTTTCTTTTTATTTCTCTACTTCTCGATAAAACTGCTATTTGATTAAAGCCACAAAACTTTATTGGAGGACGAAAGAGTACTACTATCTGAGACCTTAAAAGCCAACAGTGAAGGGATAAAAGTGCTGCAGAGGACTTACAATCTCTGTGGGACAGGAGTGGAATCGGTGCTGGCTCTGTCTGTCGCCATGTCTCTGCTTTGACCTGATGTCTGGAAGTAAACCTCCAGCAGGAGCCAGGACCAGGGCTGCCCTGAAACCAAGAGGACAATGAGTCAATAAGGAATGTGAAAGTAGAACTCAAAATCCTAAACAGAAACATGTAAACACAGATCCACTACTTCAAGTTCAACAGAAGGCTCCAACCACTTGATGAAAAATGAATAACTTGTGTGTATTAATCTCAAAAACTGACAGAAAACTGCCAATAAACCAGAGATTTTTTTTCCGCAATCTTTGCAACACAAAAATAGTTCAGGAAGAAAAAAAAGTTAAACTAAATTTGCACTATTTTTGATAATACATATTGAATTTTGACCACTGAGGGATTGTGTTAAAGTATTACAGTATTTATACTTATAGCTGAATTTTCAGGGCTACAATTCCTAGAAAAAGATCAATTCTGTAGGTTTTGCAGTGTTGAAAACTGACATGTTACAACACTCAAGCTACAAAAAGTACACACAATCTTTGCGGGATAGTTGCCTTACATGGTGGCAGATATTGCAAAATACCATTACCGGTATTTCAGTATCGGTATTATTGGTTGGTGTAAATTTTGACACTGTAAGCAAGATTATTTTATTGTAAAGTCATTGCAATTCTTACTTTTTTGAATGACATTATTGGTATTTCAAAATCTGACTGATAAGCTGTTTATTTCTGTCATGAATGGAAACCCACTCCTGCTTTAACAGGGGTAAATAAATCCTCAAGAATCAGTGCCACACCTACATTTCAGGGGTAAGATAGACTTGCCTGGTCCTATACCATGGAAAAAAAAGTTTTGTTATAGCAGCTCAGGTGGAGATAGGAGTATTTAAATTAAGATATGATTAAAGTAGCAATCCAAACACTAGATATTCCCTCACACAAATAAGACCACGTTTATCACATTTTCGAGACTGAAGCACACATGTTGAAACACGAGGTATGAAGACTGATCAGGATCCTGCACTCTTATACAACTATATAACATAACAAACTACTTTAACAATAACAAAGAGACAGCCCGTCAAGATTTAACTTAATGAGTTGACAAAGCCTCTGTAACTGAGCTAATGTCGATTGATCAAATGTGGAGCATGACTAACGTTACTGACATAGGTGAGATTAGCATTGAGCTAACAGCTGACCCACCTGAGCTCTCACTCCGTCATAGCTGCCCCATTTTCCAGCGCAATGTTGCTGGGCCAAGTCTGGTGGTCCACGGTTATAAAACGAAGGAAAAAGCTGCTGTGGAAACTGGTAATCCATTTTTAGAAGCTCTCTGATAATTTCAGTTGCTGTTGTTTTTTCTAATAGTGTGTATGTCGTCCCTCCACTCGCACAACGTGTTCAGGAACAAGTCCAGACATGTTGTTCTCCGGCTCAGCTAATGTGAGCTGTCAAAAATAAAGGCCTCTGTCTTCTTTTATTTAAATGATATTTATTCATTAGAACAAATTACAGATATTCCTCATCCAAACGAATCAAAAATGTCCAAAGAGATACAAATGAAGCAATAAAAGTGTCCAAAAACGGCAGTAAATCTCCAGCACACGTGCAGACCTACAGGACCCAGGGCCGTTAACCGTCAAGCTAGACGGAGCACGCGCTGGAAACACAGAAATGACACTTCCGGTTTTTAACTATGCAATAAAACAATGATAAAATGAATCTCAATTTTATTCGTATGTAAAAGAACTGAATAAAAAAGGAAAGTGAAAGTTTAATCTAAAAAATTCAATCATTGACGTCAAGCACACTCATAAATAATAAAAAAACCGAACTTGGTCGACTTGCTTTTTATTTTGAAGGCACAACACTGAGTTTACACGGGGGTGGGTTGGTGGACAAAATTATGACGCTGCCTTTTGAAACTCTCGTATCAACACGGCCGCCATCTTGGATGGGTCCCCCATGCGCCTCCAGTGCATTAAGGTAAATAGGAATGCTCAACCATATTGATAATAACTCTTCGAATCTCTGCCCGATTTCCACACTGTTTGGTTTGTAACAACGGCAGGCATGTAGCAATAACATAGGACAATTTCACACATTAAAAATAAAAAATGTATATTTTTCAATCCTATTTGTAAAATTTAGCCCTACGTGATCTGGCTTTAACATTGCGTCGGGTTTTTCAATCATTGAGAGCAAAAAAACGGGCTGCTCGTTCTCCATTTGCTCCATTCGGCTCTTGAGCGAGCCTGGAGTGGGGAGACCCATCCAATATGGCGGTAACACTGGATTACGTCTACGTATATTATGTCTATGGGTATAATCCTAAACCGAAACTGTTTTTTTTCTTGAAGTGAGAGATTACGGAGGGTATCAAAATGCAAAATATTAAATGAACAGAAAAAAAACATTTTAATCAGTTTTCAATTTTTTCTTTGTGGTTTGTCTGATTTGTCTGAGTGTACTTCCTCGGCTCCGTCATTAATTTTTCTCAATTTATATCACTCCCCCTCCACCAATTTGATATAATCTTCAATAACTAACACAGTAATCCATTTTTACTTCTTTGCTGCCATCCTCGTCGGTGTGTCTGAAACAAGCAGTGCATAAACCAACGGTCCGTGCTTTTATTTTGCCCGGAAGCAGCCTGTAGTTGTCGCGTGATCAGCTGATCGAACCGATCAGGTTGTAAGTGGCAGAATCAGCCAAAAATAAGCTGAAAAAGAGGGCGACTCGGACTTTTTCTGCCACACAGGCGAAGTTTCGTTTTAAAACTCTTCATTAGCGGGAAATGTTCCTCTAGGACGTCTTTTGTGGTATGTATTTGTAATTCACAACGCTGTGTTTTGGTTCAGTTAGCCGTGCTGCTAACCCGGTAGTAGCGACATTGCAGGTGTAGTTTAACATTAGCCTTAGCATTTCATGGATCACTGAACAGGTAATCTGTCCTCTAATGTTTGATTATCTGTAACGTTTTGCTCAAATTGAGATATCAAGAATATCAATTGTGCCTTATGCATCTCACGGGTTTCTGACTGTCTGCATTTGACAGCGAATTTGATGCGTACTTGTGTTTTTTACCTTGTAAATACTGCTACTCCTAATCGTAACTCCAAGGTGAATTGATGTAGTGGGACCCCCAAAATGTAATACTTGGATGCTGTGTCGTGAAAGTGTGTTGTTTTACATATGTCAGGGGATTTAAGGCTATTTCAGTGTCTTTTTGGTGTCAGGATGATCAATCGTGACTGTGATCGTGCAAAAGTGCCTATGGCCAGGCTAATATGTACATGGTCCTGTAACTATTACTCTAAGTCCTATTACTTGCACTCATTTGGAGCAGTGCTGATGTAAAAATCAGTATGTTACATAACCTGCGTTATGCATAATATGTCAGCCATGCTCATGTATGTCATACATGAGCGTTGGGATGTTGGTATGGCATATGTTTGCATCTTTTGTGCTTACAGACTGACAGTCTTAGAGAAAAATATAAATCCTGTTCAGCTTAACAGACTAGGCTCTTAGTGTATGATTCTAGGTAGGTAGGTAGGTTGACTTTGTTGTCCCTGTGAGGAAATTCATTTGCAGTAAGTTAAAAACATGCACAAAGACAGCACACATACACAGTTCCATACACTGTCCCATATAAAACAAAACAACTCAGAAAAGACAATATAAAAATACTACTGTACTGTACTTTGTCAATTCAAAAAAGACCTCAACCACAGCCAAAAGTCCAGTCTCCCATGTATATACTTTTCTGTAAGAACAACCTGTAGTTGTGTGTGGATACTGTTCCCAAAAATCTAAGCATGATGGCAAGGTCATTGCAGATGTTTTGATTTTGTAGTGCTGAATAGGGAAAACTATGTATTAATTTCACTGCTGATACTTTCATGGAGCTGGGGTAGATCTTAGCTGACAGGTCATGTTTGGACAGGCGGTCAGACAAGCCTAAGCTAATTGATTCTCACTGTTTGAAAGTCTTGAGAATCTGGTAAGTTGTTTAATGTCTAACACTGCTTACAAACATACAAACCACATCCTAACCGTCATGAGATGATTGACCATATCGAAGATCAAACAAACACTAAGGGAGTGGATAGTAATAGACGGAGAGTACATTATGTTCTTATACATTTCAAGCACAAGCTAAAAGGCTGGGTCATTAATAGGGAGGTTGATTTTGTTTGGACTAGAGAGGAGGGTGATGAGTAGGAATTTTCAAAACCAGACCTGTTTTGGTGGTGAGGACAGCTCATGTCTCTTAAAACACATTTTTTTGTCCCTCCCTCCTGGTTTCATTTCTTGCATCTCTGGTGGGAAGGACCATGACAAAAGAAAAGAAGTGGAGGATGCATGGAGGACTGATGCACACCTTCTTTATTTCTTTCAACAGTCCCTTTTTTCCTTTCAGACACATCAGCATAATGTCGGGGAACAGCTTGGTCCTACCCATAGTGCTCTGGGGCCGTACGGCTCCCACCCATTGCATCAGCAGCCTGCTGGTGATGGATGACTTCAGCACCATTATCACCGGCTGCCATGATGGACAGATCTGTCTGTGGGACATGACGCCTGAGCTGGAGGTACTGATTAAGGGGCAGTGTTGATAAGGATATATCCTACTTATAATATCTGCTTTTAGTTAACCCATGTGACCCCTCGTTCTTTTTCTTCTTCTCTTTCCTGCTCTTCTTCTCTCTCTTTGTCAGATTTGTCCCAGGGCCATGTTGTTTGGTCACACTGCATCCATCACCTGTCTGGCTAAAGCCAGTGCATGCAGTGATAAGCAGTACATCGTCAGTGCGTCAGAGAGCGGGTGAGAATATCTTGATCATCTAAAATCATTTGTGTGCGTTTGTCTGTCATTTTGTCTTGTAATTTAACTGATGTTGCAAAAAATCAATTTGTCCACTACTCCTGATGACAGGTAGCGTCTTATATTATTGAATTTGACTGTATTTGTTTTGAGAATCATGAAACTGATGTGTATTGCTGACACATAAATGGCCTCAGGATGGGCATGCCAGTGCTTTACTTTCAAATTTATATACAGTTTCATGTACAGCTGTATGTTCACATGCACATGCCATGATCAAGCAATTCACTTTATTATATGAACCTATTCTTCTCATCTACAGAGCTCCAAACAGCATGTGTTTTCTGTGTTCTGTAATCTGACTTGGTTTTTGGCAGTCATGTCAGATGACTCATCAGTCTATCTGTGGTTGTGATATGAAGGAGTTTTTGTATGCAGTTGTGTAAAGCGGTCTCAGTCAAACTTGTGCTCTCATAAACTGACTTGGGAACTGCACCAGCGATCATAAAGAAAAAAAAAAAGAACTTTTTAGTGTTTTACTGTAAGCATCGACAAATATCTTTGAATTTTACATACAAGTAACAAATTTCAACCCAAACAGTTTCAATCAAATAGCAGACGTGATAAAAGAAGGTCAGTATGTAAATGTCAGGATGAGACTTTCACACTTTCCTTCATGTTTAACGTCTTTTTCATGATTCTACAGGGAGATGTGTTTATGGGATGTGAATGATGGACGCTGTATTGAGTTCACCAAACTGGCCTGCGCTCACACTGGCATTAATGTGAGGCCCAAACCCACACATTCTTCAATCTTACACAAAAGCAAATTTAGGTTCTATTTTGGTTGATTTGTTTCCGTCGCACTTCCTCTGTTTCTCCTCCTTTAGTTTTATCAGTTTACCATCGGCACTGAGAGGGAGGGACGTCTACTCTGTAATGGTCATTACCCTGAAATCCTTGTGGTGGATGCCACCAGCCTGGAGGTCTTGTACTCGCTTGTGTCAAAGATCTCCCCTGACTGGATCAGCTCAATGAGCATCATTCGATCCCACAGGACACAAGGTAAACAGAGCTGTGGGGTAGATAATTGCTAGAGCATATTTTACATACAAATGTAATGTCACTTTTGCCTGTGTGGAAGTGAAGTGGAGCAAGGAGTCTACAGACAAAGGTTTGTTTGATTAATCACGAGCCACTAAATGTCTGTCTCCAAACAGAGGACACAGTGGTGGCCGTGTCAGTGACGGGGATTTTAAAGGTCTGGATCATCACAGCTGAGGTCAGCAGGATGCAGGTACATCAGCATACAGATATTTATCCAAGTTATGCATCAGAAATATGAATATAAAGTCAGGTATGGTTTTGTTTGTCTCCCGTCTCGGACCGGTCTGAACAGCTCTGTCTAATTTTTTTTGTCTGGGCCTGTTTTCGTGTATGTGTGTTCAGGACTTGGACCCTGTGTTTGAAGAAGAGTCCAAACCCATCTACTGTCAGGGCTGTCAGAGTGTTTCCTTCTGTACCTTCACACAGAGCAGCCTGCTCGTCGTCTGTTCTAAATACTGGAGGGTAAAAAGAACCTGCATTAACACGAAATACTGCATCTGAAGCAGAACAATGTGTGGACTAAATGTGTTTGTTTAGAAGTCTTTACCGCAGCTGAGTGCTTTTGTAACACACACGTTCATCTCTCTTGACAGGTGTTTGATGCCGGCGACTATTCGCTGCTCTGCTCGGTGCCGAGTGAGAATGACCAGGCCTGGACAGGAGGAGAGTTCATCGCTGCAGACAAAGTCATCATCTGGACTGAAGACGGCTGCAGTTTCATCTACAAGCTA